GCTAAATTGACTCTGACGTCGATGTTGCCGTCGAAGTCGCCTCGCTTTCGTACAAACCGGGGGTCTGAGGATGATACGCCTCGGGTGGAAGTCTCGAAGTCGACGCCGATGGAGTACTTCGACCACCCCCAACGTCATGTTCTTCTGTGACACTAATTATAAGATTAACACCGTTCTGACGCCTTGTCACAGAAGAAAGACTCACACTTTCTTCTTCTCACGAGAACGATTGGTTGGTTCTAAGTCCGGCACTTCATTCACGCTGGATGACGAGTCAGTGTGAAGATAGAAATGGGCACAACTGCAGACTCACGTCGCGCTCTTCGTACCACTAACACGGGCGGAGAAGCGATCTTTCTTCGACGGCGTGTTGGCGGCCGGATTCACAGTGACAGTCCGCGCGGCTAAACTTCCTGATCCACCAACGGAAACGTTGTTCGCAACGTTTAGGGCAAGTGAAAGCAACTCAAACTGAATATATCCATCGGATGTTTTTGCTGCGCTCATTCCTAGCACACCAACACTGCTATTAACAGCTGGAGTAGGCGTATGGGACCAGCGTGAAGTTGAGCTGTTGAATACCATTCTACACAGAGAGTTAGCGCAAATAATCCGAAGCAGTAAACATAACAAACTCTGCTTTGCTGTGCTGCACCGTATTTCTCACGTACTCCGACACAGCGATATCGAAACGTTGCAACGGCGGAAGAAGAGAGTCAATGGTGGACGGAGCGTTTACACGCCCCACTGCGAAAAGAAGAGGGAAGTCGAATTCAGGAACATGATCGTAATACGCTTCTTCCGAGGGATCGCCTGGGAAAGCATAAAACTGCTGTGGCTTAGCATCTAAAAGGATTGGGCCCTCGCGATCAAAGTACGCCTTTGCGACCACAAAAGCGAGAGTATCGTCGGGGAGGGTCAAGCCACCCAAAGGACTGTATACTCGAAGCTGAGCAGGAGAAGCGTCGGATCCGTTGCTGTAGCGAAACGCTGTCTCATAGAAGCAGTAAAATGTCTGGGTACTTCCATTCTGCTCCGCCCGACGATCGCCATTGACGAGGCTGAACAAACCAACGACAAAAGCGGTAGACATGATGCGTGAGTTATGGAAGCAATGAGATGAGAGGATGCGACTTCGATTCTTCAAATCTTCGGTGGATTCGAAGCGACTGTGGGAGGCAAGAAGGAGAGAGGTGCTTCACGGGTGCCGTTAAAAACTGATAAAGGGTCGATAGCGATAATAGGGTGATCTGATCGCGTACCGATATCGAAGCCATACTCTATAGCATCAGGGAAACGCGCAATACATTGTCGGATAATGTAGAACAAAGGAGAAAACAACAATTGAGCAAGTGCCTTTATACGCCACAAAGGAGATGCGGGGAACGAAGCGCAATATATTCGACTTAAGCTCCGATTTCCGTCCCATACATAATATTCTAGCGGCTGAGGGGCGTCCGTCATAAGCAAGTGTAGGCCGCACGCAGCCATACAATACAGGTGCCACGCCACCGAAATACAGGGGACGACTCAACTCAGTTCAACCTCCGCCAACCAAGCACGACCAAGCAGTTCGCGTCGAAAGATTGAAGATACGATTAATCTTGGTGTCATTCAGTAACAGATTTATGGTACAGAATGATTGCGCATGGACTGACCGCATCATTGGCTTGGTTTCCAGACGGGTCTCGCTTTGCAAGTGCGGGAGATGATTACACCATCAAAGTTTGGGACGCAAAAACGGGAGAAGACTCGATTGACGCCTTTGCTCATCATACACGTGCTATCAAATCCATCGACATCTCCCCCGATGGCTCGAGACTGGCTAGCGGCTCTTCTGATCAGACAATCTGTGTATGGGATACGGACACCAGGACCCTTGCTATGGATCCCATCAAGGGCCACTCTGGGGAATTCACGGCGGTCAGATTTATACCTGATGGTTCACGTCTCGTCAGCGCCAGTGAGGATCGCACCATACGTGTATGGGATTCACGTACCGGCAGCTCCCTTCAAGTTATCGAGACGCAAGACAGCGACATCTTAACTCTCAGTGTATCTGCGGATAGCTCAAAGCTAGCTAGTGGGTCAGAAGACGGCATGGCACGTGTTTGGGATCTCCACACAGGCACCCAGATAGCAGGGCAGTACAAGCATGGCGACTGGGTATGGTCACTATGTTGGTCCCCAGACGGGAGATGCATACTTAGTGGCTCTCACGACAAAACCGCACGAGTGTGGAGCATTTCTAGTGGTAAAGAAGTACTCAAGGTCAATCATAGCGATGCTGTGTACTGTGTACAATACGCGCCGGATGGGAAGACATTCCTGAGCGCATCGAGCGACTCGACAGTTCGCATTTGGAATGCGAGTACCGGAGAGCTCATTCAGGCACTTCAACATGATGCCCACGTCCTGGTGGCTGCCTTTTCGCCGGACGGGTTACGGATTGCAAGCGGAGCACGTAGTGGGTATGTCAGGGTTTGGGAGGCAAAAAGCGGAAAGTTGCTCCTAGGAAAAGTACGCGTCGTATCTTTATCAAATGCCCCCACCCTGCTTACGTTGACAGGGAGCGGAGGATGACGATAATGGTGATGACTCTGTACAGGAGAAAGAAAGAGGGGCAGAACAAGAGGTGCGTGATCGTGTCGATTTGGGAGAGTGCAAGCATTGAGTGTGTGGGTTGTAAGCGACAATATGATGACTCTCTCTCGGATTTTATAATTGTGGGTGATTCGCCTTTCACTATATTAGATCTCAAACTGTCTTTGTAGCGTCCTGGGGTTACCCGAAGGGAAGGACCGGGGCCCGTCGGAAGTAGTAAGCGTCAGCGGGTAAACGAAAACGGAAGGGCTGCTCGCGATGACCAAACAGCACAGGCGGGCCGACGCCGTGTGCGAAGAGGCGATGGAGTGACCGCTGCTCTCAAGAAAATCTTTGGATTGACCGGTGGTCGTGGCGAGCAACGCCGGGAGAGCGGGCTCATTGAAAGGGGGACGTTCTTTCAGGGCATGAACTCTCTCGGAGTACATCGCCTCGTCGAACGTGTATACCCTGCTCGGGCTAAAGAGGTGCGTTATTTGTGCCCATAAGACCTCGTGGGCCTCACCAGTCCCTCTAGCGGCTTTATCACGTACCCGAGCCACGGACCAGTCACGATAGCACTGACCCCGAAGAGTCAGAGTTGGGGAACGATCAACAAGAGAATACGAACACTACCTCCGCTAACGAACGCGCGCAAGCACGATCCTCACATGTTTCCGCTGCTGCTGACACTTACCCTCCGGCGACTGGGCAGCTTCCGGAAGATATGAACGTGACATGCTTCTGTATCCCTGTGAAGAAAAGACATATAAACGCGCCTCGGCACTAATTACCGGGAGATCAGACCATCGTTTGTCGACTCAATTTCTGCTCTTGACAAATAGCTGGGCCCCGCATCGTCTTATTACTAGGATTACACCAATCACCGGTTGGGTGACTGTACCCGGAATGTTTGTTCGAGCCGTTTTGGCCTGACGTGTACATAGTTCTTGAAGCATCTTGCTGGCAGAAGATGCATATTTAATATGATTTAACTAACTACTATCCGAGTGCGAACTTGTATCAATGTATGTCGCGAGAGGACATTCACTACTAACGCGAACGTTGTTCGAATTTACTTTTAGCTCATGACGTTAAGACCGGGAAGAGCAAGGGAAGAGGGCTTCCATTCCATCGCGGTTCCCACGCACCTCCTCTTACCATCTCCGCCAGTCTCCCGATCCCAAGCACAGACTTCCTCTGCCATTCCTCAGCGTATACCACATCCACACAAACTTTTGTCAGGCGAGCCACTCTCTCCCGACCCCAATGTTGTCCTGCACCTCCCCCACCCAGGCTCCATGTTGCTCGCATCAACGTCAATAAGCTCCCTGCATGCCTCACATATCCCTTATTCGATTCATTCCCTTTCATAGCCTCAGCCTACTGGATTCTTCGAGCGTAGCGGAGACCTGACGTCCGATGTTAGATACTTAGTCGGACAGTTCTTTGAAATCAGGATAGTGTCAAGGAGTCGCCTCGACGTGCCAGTGTTACATCATTGCACGTTCGGTTCTCGTAAGTCATCACTTTCCGGTGGAGGTTCTCAATTCCACTCGAATTCTGCTATCCACACTTCAAGATCACGTTCGTACTCGGCATTGCAGTCCATCACCTACTCCATCGCCTACCATTCGTTGCAGCACACGTACATCCGCTCCTGTTGTCCATCTCCGACCCCTGCCCTTGTGATGCGACTTGCGGTGCTCTCCTAAGCCCTCCGTCTCCCTTCAACATAGAAAACCTACCCCTACCCCCAACCGCATCCTTGTATCCGACGTCGTGAGTCCACAGGGAGTTTGTCCCCGGAAACCACCGACTCCGCCTTTCCATCTTTGTTCCACCTCCAGGCTAGCCCATTCTCCGAAGAATCGAATGATTCTACCAACCCAAACTATCGCATATCCCGACCGGACCCGTCTCTAAACGCTCTCGCCCGCCGGAAGGAAGCTTTGATTAGTAGAGTATATTCTTCTTCCAAGGCCCCGCGGAGAGATTCAGCTCCCGCGAACGCATATACGGTATCCCTTCATCCCTGAGCCCGTCCCCCAAACCACTGACTTCCATTTGCTCGCAGCCACCGCTTGTACCGCTCCCGCCCGCCACGGTGGTCAACACGCCAACGACAGCACCAGCCGGCGTGTACTGGGTTCTCCATTATCAGACTAGGTGTCGAGCTCTATCCCTATATCGTTCACCATACCTCCTCACCCCGCTCGTCACTTTTGCCCTCCTCTATGCCCGATATTACCTCGCGACCTCCGCCTCTTCCAACCCGGAATAGCATCAAGGCCTGTCACATCTCCCGTTCCGGACCGCAAGTCCTCGGGGGCAACAAGCTACTGCCTCCGCTCGTACGTAGAGCAGTCCCCCTCGTCTGATGAGGATTCGGAGGAAGACAATCAATCGCCGTCTGCGGTGACAGAGATGATGCCGGATGCGTCTCGGTCGTCCAGGCGCCCACCGTGCACGAATTGCTTCCATTATCTCGACTACAAGATCCACGTCCCTGCGTATAGCGGCCATGCTGCGGACCCAGGATCGAGTATTCTCGTTACGACTCCACACCACATTCGGTACTACGATCTTAGCGTCAGCGACATCTACTTGTGGAGTGCGGATATGAAGGGGCTGGGTATGGGGGATATGAAGGCTGTCGTAGATTGATACAGAAATTCGAAGGCGGATGAGGATGGCAAGGGATAGACGACCCCCAAGGAGATGACGCCATGTACATGTTCACTTCATCGTTTCCCACTTAGTCGAATTTCGTACGGTTTACGCAACTGCACAGGCTAAACTCATTGGGCTACAAAAAGTAATAGACGCATGGATCCGCACGGGTAGGAACACGTGTCTTGTAAGGCGCTCACCCAATCTCTATCTTCACCCCAACCTAGGTCTCAGTGCGACCCCGATCCCAGAGACTGACACGAGATGCTCCTCGCAGATATTCCATGTTCGCCTTGCATGTTCCGGCGGCTTTTCGGTCGTTGCGTATTGCCAAGGCTTGGCGTGAGATGGGGCTCGTCAAGCGCTGCGCACTGAGAAGTGGGTGCTGGTGCAGGCTCGACTGTGGAAACGGATGCGAGGTATGGATCAAGACCTTGTGAGGTTGGGTGATTGAAGTCGGTGCGGTTTGAGACGGTCCTTCGATAGGCAGACGATGCATGTATTGTGTTTATCAGCCTAACAATGCATTGGTTCTTTTTCTGTTGGTAATTTATCCACGGAGATAACGTACTCGTATAGAGATGTTTCGGGGAGATTTTGGTCACGACATTATCTTGACATATGAAGCGGCAGAAAGTGAACGTATCGCAATCGAGGACCAGAGGTGCTTGGGCCATGGAGGTGCGACGAACGTAGGGATACCGTGAGGCAGCCTATGGCAGCAGGACATCGAGCCATGATAGATGCAAGGGAACAGATCATGCATATAGATCCATGATATATAAGTAATGCAAAAAGAATGGAGGACGATCGTGACCAAGTGGTTATGTGAGGGTGCGTTGGCTACTTTACAGACTTTCCCACGGTGACAAGTCGTGCGCGAAGCACCGCATTTACTCTATCATCCCATCCGCTCACTCCTTCAACATCCTCGCCGCCCTGCCCCAACCCATCCCAACGCACTTATTCGTGCCTTGTACCACATGAAAAAGATGGACATCAAGATCCCTATCAGCCAACGACCTCGGTCGTTTGACCCTCCACCTAGTCATACTCGACTCGGCATCGCACAACAACCTTTCCCGGGAGTGCGTTGAGACGCTCCTCTCGTGGGTTCAAGATGTGTGGCGTACCGTCTGGGCTAGATGCACCGGCTTCCGCCTTTCGCATACACGTTTACTGTACGCAGCAGACGTACGCGTAATCGACCGCATTGGTACCATTGATTCAACGTGTGTATGCGCCTTCTTCACCTGTACTATCATCTTGTCTTACTCGCTATCCGGTGCTTGGCTACACTTTCTGTGCTACTGCAGAAAAAAAAGGTTAGATGCGCTCAAATTCAATGACGTTTCGGCTACCGGACTTTGGGGAAGACTTGGATAGGGGGAGGACGGGACTAAAGGTACGTGCGTTGGCGGCGTTCGATATCTAGGTAGCCAATATAAGCCTTACTATTTCAACAGAAACAGGACATTGAGTACGTCGATGGAGACGTTGAGCTTGACCCACCGACGCGTGTATAATGCCACTCCATCCGCCCCCACCCTCCTCCTCTCCCTCGCCCGACCCCAACGTTTCTACCTCTGCCCTTCCCTCAAACTCCGCACCCCCACCCGCCACGGAAAAGCCTACCTGCACCTGCGCTCGTCAGAGTTTTCACTGGATGCCCACCTACAACACCCTCGCCCCCGTCCTCGAAGAAAGCATCGCGATCTTCAAAACCACACCTTCCCTCGCCAACTTCGACGCAATCTACTTCGGCGCGGTGTACGACCGCCCCACCGCGATGCGCAGCGCGCTCACTGTTTTCGCCAAGGTAGCTGTTAACGGTTCGGACAACTACTCCGCTGCGCTCGCGACCCAAGGTGCGACGGTGCGGGACCGACAAGATTGAAGAGCTGCTCGAGGGGCACAGCCACCTGTTGATGGCGATGGATTACCCAGTGTATCAGCCTGCCGGATTGGGGCTTCTCCGTTTCGTGATACTATCGCCCCCGTCGTCTTCTCCTCCCTCCACAACTTCAAGCGCGCCCACGCCATCAGATCCGTACCGCGCTCTTGCCGCTCACCACAACATCCGCACAGAACTGCACGGCACCATCCTTTCCGTCTTCGAGCGCCGTCTTCGCGAACCTGGACGATGACGTTGACGGCGCCAATGTCAACGCTGGCGGTGCTAGTAACGACGGGGGATTCAGTGCGAGCGCGGATGGGGGTGCGAATGGTTTCGGCATTGGGTTGGGGGGATAATCGCGATGCATCGGCGTGCGCGAGGGAAAGCCAAGAAGCACCAGATTTGGGGCGGCTGGCCCGAGAACGGTGGACGCGATATCGCGTTGGACGATTTGAAGGAGCTGTGTAGGTCGCTGTTGAAGGAGCGGTTCACGGCGTGGTTGAAGGCGGCGGCTGAGATGGACAAGTCTGTGGAGGGGGAAATGAAAGAGACGGAGGCAGAAGCGGAGACGGGGAAGGAGGACGAGAGCAAAGTTGGAGAAGGGGAGGGGATTCTCGCGTCAACGTTCGACCTCATCGTTGCGTAGATGCAATGGACGAAGGGCGAAGACGCTACGTGAGTCCTATTTTTGTCCATGTCTCTCAAGGTCTCGTCGTGGCCATTTCATGCAGTTTACACGACCGACCGAGCAAAGCCCATCTCGTCGGCTCTCTCGGTACACTCACCAAATTCTGCAAAGAGCGCCAGCGACTCATCGCATAGCACGAACAAGAACTCTCACAGCGTGCCCAACGCACCCTTCAGGGATCTCTCACGCGATCTCTACCCCAACCTCATTGCGGACCCAAAGTCTGATCTCGATCCCCAAGCCTCGCGCGACGCCCTCCTTGTGGAGATGTTCCACGTGCAGCTCGGCGGTGCCAGCGGCTTTTCATCAGGCCTGCCTCTCTCGACTACATACGATGACTTATGGAACGGAGACGAAGACGACCCGTACCTAGGTTTAGACGAGGGCGAGCTCCCGCCACTCCCGCCTTTGCCGCAGGTAGCACCCGCGAGGGGATCTGTGCCCGCGACCAGCGGCAGCACCTCCGGCAGGCGCGGGTCGATGGTGCGCGTTGAACCGACGCTTGCGATGCTTGCTGCGGCTAGTGCGCACGGACAGGATTTGACGTGGTGTGGGGCTCCGCCGGATGTTGGACAGGGCGGTGCGGGCGCGGGTGCTGGCGTAGGTACGAGTTCGAGCGTGAATGCGGATGGGGGTACGGGGTATGGAGTGAGCATTGATGAGGTTGATTGATCGGAAGCGATATAGTGCGAGGCGATTGTTCGATAGAAGAATGGTGTATGTACTACCGTGCTTGTCCGTGTACCTAATGCCTTCTTGGTTCTTGTTCTTTTGTTCTTGACTCGCTACCTGCTTGATGCCAAACTGCCTCATTGTTCACCGTGTATCGCCTGTTGTGACTTCCGTGAGGTACGCTACTGCATGGGCCCAGACTCATACAACATAGCACCGGCGGCCAGCCTCATGTTCACAGAAGCGAACAAGATCCGCCAGCGTCTCTGCTTGAATGAAATAAACGCCCGGTGGGACGAGACTGCTACGAGGGACGACAACAGGTCTCCCAGTTCTCATGCAAGGAATTTGGGTGTTCTCATGCTCGGATAAATATTATTGTTGCAAAGTGTGTAACATCAATTCGTCACCCATAGTCTTGACTTCGGCATAAGGAATGTGCAGACTTCACAGACGATCAATCGATCACAAGCGCCTAAAGTCATACGATAAGCGTGAGAATGCGTGGCGCCACCAGCGTCAATTACTGGCCTCGAGGGGACGTGCGTTTGCTGTGAGGCGGAGCACACGTCTTTTTGCGACCACCACCGTAAGTGCCCCCTTCTGGGTCGTTCTAGCTACTCACCTCTTCATATTTATCAACAGCGTTACAATGATCCCGCCTCCAGCAACGTCATCAGACTCCGGAGGCAGCGTCGGCATCCCGAAACCCTTTGAAGGGCACACTCGCGAAGTGAATGCAGTCGCCTACTCCCCTGACGGCAACTTGATCGCTTCGTGCTCGGACGACGGGACATTACGGATATGGAATTCGAAGACCGGTATGCAGGTCGGAAAGCCTCTGACTGGTCATGACCTCTTGGTCTGGGCCGTCGCGTTCTCTCATGATGGTCGTCGCATCGTCAGCGGATCAAAGGACAAGATGCTTCGCGTTTGGGATGTTGGCACTAATGAGTGTGTCTTAGGCCCTTTGGAAGGGCACACTGACGCTGTCAAGTCGGTTCAGTACTCCCTGGATGGCCAACTCATCGCTAGTGCGTCGGACGACCGGTCACTTCGTTTGTGGGATGCAAAATCGGGAGAGATAATTGGAGTTCTGCAACATCCGAGCGCAGTCGCTCATATAAGCTTTTCTCCATGCGGAAAACAAGTCGCAAGTCTCTGCCATGATAAAATGGTACGAGTATGGGACGTGCCATTGCAAAGGCTCGCTCTTCCGCCTCTTTCTGGCCACAAATCCGAGGTATGCACTGTGGCATATTCGCCAGATGGTCGTTCGTTGGCAAGCGGTAGTCGCGACTGGACCATTTGTCTGTGGGACACTGGCACTGGTAACCTACTCAAAGGGCCGCTGAAAGGACACAAACTTTCCATCTCGAATCTCGCATTTACTTCTGACGGACAGATTCTCATCAGCGCATCAAGGGACAGAAGCATGTGTGCTTGGGATCCGATGACAGGCGACTGCCTGCGAGGTCCGATTTATATTGATGGACTAACTAGCGACATCTCAGTCTCTCCCACACAACAGGCAGCGGTCTACGTCTATGAAAGAGGTTCAAGCTTGCGTATCTGTAATATTGACACAGGCGAGCTCATTCTTCCTAAAGTAAGTGATCCAATAGTTGCTGAGAATGTAAGTTTACACGTTGGTATGGAAAGGGGCCTAAGTGGAAGCCTTCTAAAGGCGACCTGTACGTATGATTCACCTTATCTTGCTGTCATTCAGCGACGAATTTACTGCACAGGATGTTTACGTCTGAGCCAACCACCTCATTGGCATGGTTTCCTGACGGATCTCGCTTTGCAAGTGCGGGAGGCGATCATACCATCAAGCTTTGGGACGCAAAAACAGGAGAAGACTTGATAGATGCCTTCTCTTATCATACTGGCGTTGTTACCTGCATCGACATCTCTCCCGATGGGTCGCGATTAGCTAGCGGCTCTGTTGATCAAACGATCTGTCTATGGGACATAGATACCAAGGCACCTGCTATAGATCCCATCAAGAATTGCTCTAATGAAGTCACGGCGATAAAATTTACACCTGATGGCTCCCGTCTTGTCAGCGCCAGTCTCGATAACACTATACGGGTATGGAATTCACGTACCGGCAGCTCCCTTCAAGTTATCGAGGCGCAAGACAGTGACATCTTATCCCTCAGTGTATCTACGGATAGCTCGAAGCTAGCGGGCGGATTAAAAGACGGTACTGTACATATTTGGGATCTCCGAACAGGTACCCAGATAGCGAGGAAGCACAAGCATGGCGACTGGGTGCGGTCAGTATGCTGGTCCCCAGATGGGAGGTGCATATTCAGTGGCTCTGACGACAATATCGCACGAGTGTGGAGTGTCTCTAGCGGTGAGGAAGTACTGAAGGTCGATCTTGGCGGTTATGTGCGCTACGTACAGTATGCACCTGATGGGAAGACATTCCTGAGCGCGTCATGGGATAAGACAGTTCGCATTTGGAATGCGAGTACCAGCGAACTCATGCGGGAAATTGATCATGATGGCAAAGTCCGTGCAGCTGTCTTTTCACCAGATGGCTTACGGGTCGCTAGCGGGACAGGGAGCGGGTATGTCAGGGTTTGGGAGTCAACAAGCGGACATCTACTCCTAGGAAAAGTATGTGTTGCATGTTTATCACACCCCCTTACCCTGCTTACGATACCAGGGAGCGGAGGATAATGACAACGAGGACGAACCTTCCCAGGAGCTAGAAAGAAGGGATGAGCGAGAGGTATGTGTGATCCGGATGATTTGCGAGAACAAGAAGATTTACATTAAGAGTCGAAAGCCAACAGCTATTGACTCTCTCGAAGATTTCGAAATTGTGAGTGCCTCCGCTCTTAAACTTTGTCGGATCTGATCTCAATATGTCTCCGTAGCGACCTGAGAATTTTCGAATGCAAGGACTCGGGCTCTCCGAGATTAGTGATGACCTAACAGCACAACCAAGCCCGCGCCGTGTACGAGGGGGCGATGGAGTGACCGCTGTTCTCAAAAAGCTCTTTGGCACAATCGGTGTCGGGCGGTCGCCAACCGAGAGCGATGGCTCCAGAGGAGCCAAGCTTCTCTCGTACATGAAATCGATTAAGCTCCCTCGCATCGTCCCTGTGTACACTGCCAAAGAGAAGCAGGTACGTATCTTACATCAGCTGTACTATCGCGAGTCTGGACAAGCCCGTCTAGCGCCTTGCTTGTGCACCCGATCCACGGGCAAGCCAAGATAGTTCTGACCCCGAAGACTCAGAGTCGGGGAACGGTGAAGAAGAGAATGCGGATACCACCCCTGCTGACGATCGCACACAACCAGGACCTTCCCGAGATACCACCGCCGCTCACACCTACCCTCCAGAGAGCGTGCATCCTCCTGAAGAAACGAATGTGACGTGCTTCTGCATCCCTTTGACGAAAAGACAGGCGAACGCGCCTCAACACTAATCGATAATCACGGGGAGGATTAGACCAGGTTACTGTACGTACTGTTCTTTATCTACTGGGTTTTTTCTCTTAAGATATGGTTAGATCACGCAATGGCTGAGTGCTTGGAGTATGCCAATATTTACCGGTTGAGGGGCTGTACGTCCCCGTCGGGGTGTTCGAGTCATTATGCATTACTAGGCCTGACATGTACATACTTTTGCTGCATTTTGCTGGCAGGAGATGCGTATTAATATGACTTGATCGGCTGGCTTTCCGGGCAGGGCCTTTTATCAACGTATGTCATGAAAACATCGCTACAAATGTCGCTTAGTATAGAGTACACGGGCACGCCAGCGTATACACAACATCACGTCACCCTCCCCGGCCTCCTCTTTCCCTTCGTCCGATCCTGACGCATCTGCTTATGCGCCTACGCCTATTCCGACCTTTCCTCGACCACCGATTTTTACATCCCCACCCGCTACGGACAACGTACAAAAGTCTACATGCACCTCTGCCTACCATTGGTTTCTCGTCTACGACGCCTTCGGTCCTGTCCTCGAAGAGAAAATCCGCGAAGGCCTGGTCTCAATGTTTAAACCACATCTTCCCTTGCGAAGTTCGACGCACTTTGCATTGGCGCGGTGCACGACCACTTCAACGTGATGCTCAGCGCACTCAAAATGCTCGACAAGGTTGCGACGAACAGGTTGGACGACTACACTGTTGCACTCGTTACCCATTCCCGCAAGTGGGAGGTTGTGGGGCCGGAGAAGCTTTAGTAGCTGCTGGAGGATTATGTCCATCTGTGAGAGTCAAGAGATTCTCCGGCGTATCGGCCCGTAAGCGCTCCTGCGTTCCCTGCCATCTTCATTGTATTCTTTCATGACCCCCAGTGAATACCAATCCGATTGTTAGCGACGCGCGGCGACACAGAAAACGACAATTTAGCTTGAGTCGCGTCTTGTAGGAAGACTTGTGAATATACAAGCTTGTTGTCCCACGCCTTGTATCGGCAACGCTATGCACTACAGTCGGCTAATAACATTTCCGCGCGCATCGGCTACACCAGAAGCCAGCCCCACATCGCTCGGAACAAACAGCCGAAACCCGACTGAACTCTATCCCGATGGCTAGCCTCGGCATGCGCGTGCCTATGCTCCAAGCCGAATCGCCTGATGTTCTCCCTGCGGCTGGTGTGCACAGGCAGGATCTGACGTAGTGTTGGGCCCCAGCGCTGGTCAGAGCGGAGCGGGTGCGGATGCGGGTACTGACAGGCCCGAGTTCGAGTTCGAGCGCGAATGTGAGATCAGTGGATTCAAGCACGTATGGAGTGAGCCTAGACGAGGTTGACTGGTTGGGATCGGCGTAGTTTGAGACGATTGTCCGAGAGATGTAGTATGTACCGTGCTTGTCGGCGCAATCCCTTCTTGGTTTTTGTTCTTGTAATGCTGACTTGTTACTTGTTAGATGGCAGCTGCCTCGGTGCTAATGTTTATGGAACGACTAAGTATCGTCTGCTCTGGCCTCCGTGAGGTACCGCTATGGGCACAGAGACACAGCCTTGCTTAAGCAGCGTCATTAACAGTTTCCTCGTTCATTATCACATGCAACTCTACTCGTCCACTCCGCTCGCCTTGATGGTGGCTGTGCTTGTGCTAAGGTATGGTCGTTCCTGTGTTACGTCATCCCCGCATCATCGCTGCCACCAACTTGCCCAGGGTGCGTGTCTCCAGGACTGTCTCCAGTTGTCTCCTTCCGTCTCGGAATTTCACTTTTCGTGATGTCACTGTGCTCCCCCGCCCCTGCGTCATCCGCTCCAGACCCACAAGCTTTGACCTTCACAACGCGGTCCCGTTACGAATACGCTACGAGATGAAGAGATCTACAGGTATATAAAGAGAGGTGATCACCCGTAATCACAATCCACAATCCAACCCATTCAGATAAATTAACCACTTCATCAACCAAGTCAACCACCACCTTTATTCGCAAACATGTCCTCCACCGACTCCAGCAACCAGCCCTCGTACGTTTGCTCCCTTCGCTCATCATGTGAGCTGTCCTAACGGACCTGCGCCATTTTCACAGTAAGGCCACCGGCCAGTACCATTCCGTGAAGGGTACCGTCGTCGAGACCATCGGTGATGTCACTGGCGCCACCACTTGGACCCAGTCCGGCAAGGAGGAGCACGCCCAGGGCGAGGCCGAGTATAACGCTGCCCAAGCCCAGAACTACGTTGAGGGTGCCGCTGACCGCGCTGCCGGCTACAAGGACTCGGTCCTCGGCGCTGTCATGGGTGATAAGTCACAGCAGGCACAAGGTACGATTCACTGACTGTTTTGAATATGCAATGTGCTCATGAAGAGGATTTGTAGGCGACGTACGTCATGACGTCGGCAAGGCCCAGCAGAAGGCTAACGAGCCTTCGACGTGAAGGGGTTAGTGCCAAGACGAAGCCTGAATTTTTGTAATATAGACGAGAATCGTATACTATACCATGGAGTTGTCGTGATGATAGATCTATTATGTCAAACGTATAGACTAATTAAACGTCGTGCCAATCTGTTATAGTACTAATTGTAAGCAAATGTCGAAATGACACATGAGCTTCGTGAGACCAGTACGTTCAACAATTTGGTATAGGTTGTTTCGGGGGGAAAGTGGATAGGATGATTAATTATTGCTATCTCTCTCTGAAATACGTTGATCAATCTCCCCGAGGGGCGTGGTTTCCTTTCCAATAAGTGTAGACCGAGAATTGTCGAACGACCCGTGAGTCCCCATTGACCATGCTTTCCCTTGCAGTACACGATAGATAATCATCAGCGGCGCGATTGACTGTGTGGACCAGAAGTTTAAGCAAAGTTTAAGCACACCCTGCTTCGGCTATCATTGAGATGGTACAGCGCTGACCTGCGTTTGTCCCAGAACTGGTGTTGCTAAATCCTGGACCGGATTCTCCAAAGCAAGACTGATGACGAGGATGAGACCGTTGATGGTGTACAACATCGCGCTCTCAATCAACATAGCGCTGACAGACACATAAGGCGTAAGCATGGTGGTAGCTGCAATTGACTGTATTCTCCATCGAGCATATAGCAAGTAGGCGGTGATTTCCAACGTCAGTAGAACGTTGACAGAAATCGATAAAGACCAGAACGCTAGAGGAAGCTGAGCCGTGACCTGCGGAGAGAATGGAGGTGTTGTATGTGGAAACTCATAAATGAGAAGGCAGCCAAGAACTAGTGTAGATTGAGACTCTTTTCTCCCGATCGATTTCTAGAACATACCTAAGATGACAATGAAAGCCGCAGCGGAATTAATTGTGGCGTAAATATTGCGATTCCATATGATAAAAACCAGGTATAACTGATGGTTAAATTCATAATTAGTAAACTCAAGTAACGTCCCGATATTTTTGTATGTTACTCGCCAAGAGAGCATCTGAAAACCAGAGATTGACAACATACACTGCATTACTAACCACCCAAACCCAGTTTGTACTCTCCTCCGTGCTGAAGGCTAGAGGCCCTCCAGGGAAGTTAATGTCATCTATGAAAACCATGTCGGTGGAACCCTGCCCGAGGCGGGGAACACTAAGTTCGGACGAGAGCTGAGTAGAACGATGCGTATGATTCGTGAGGTGACGCAGGGAGGTACAAGAGTAGGTAGGAGGGGATTCTAAGGTAGCTATCGTGAAGGAGTTCGTTTTATACGTATGAGCAGATGAATAGCAAGGGCGCGGAATCGAGTAAGAGAGAAATCCAAGGGAATCGTAAAGAAGACGAAGTCTTCTTCGAAGCAAACATAATCATAAAAATAGAACGGAAGCAGAATAGTAGTCCCAAAGGAAATGGGAATAGGAACGTCGATCGAGGATGTGGAGTCGTAGCCCGAGATCGCCGAGAATGTGGCGTGCGTCGTGAGTCCGGGAAGGCGCCGGGCTTACAGTCGGTCCATTTCATAGAAAAAGCATTTCCAATGGTGCCCATAGTGAACACGGCACAGATGTAAGCAAGATTTACCCAGTCTCCCTTGGATTTGCGATGGTTTGTCCAAATCAAGTTGGCACACAAGGAGAATAGTGTCAAATGAACGCCTTTTACGAGACGTTTAGCGCTTAGTAGTGGAAAAGTACGGATTGACTCGCCGTAAGCCACACTGGCTAAGAAGGTGCCATCTAGTATGGACCGTTTTCCCCATATCTCGAAGCCTGACAAACCAGGTGGTGCCCAGAATGGATTGAGTGACATCTGCGCTGTATTAATGAGATGGATGAGAATTGTTTCCCGAGCACCGTAGTATGTTGTGCCGACTCTTTTAACTTGTGGACTACGATTAAATACCTATTCGCCACGTTTTTGGACGTCAGAGCTCCTTGTGGAGATTGGTACTGTAGTTACGGCTCTGCCCCATCTTCATCACGTAGTACAGGTTTCAATAAACCTGTAAACTGAGACGAGCTAGCATTCATGGGTTGACCTATTCCATGACATTATAACTGACCGTTTATCCTAGCAAGACAGTTCTTTCCACGCAACCCTGAAATCTCATCTGTTGCGACCTATGTATGCCTTCATAGAAGACGCAGTATATTGGTTGGAGTTGGGTTGGAGACAAGGCATTTTGTTCTGGCTGATATACTCCTCAGCGAGTGACGCTCCACTGAGGTCGCACGAGTCAGAACGTTCACGGGTACATCGCACATATCGTGATTCGCATAGGAATATGCACTACTGCCTTTGATCGTCATTTGATAACTCTGACCGAATAGGATGGTTTGTCCTATATCAACCATTGTCAAGGGAAACAGCATGTGTAAGTTGCTGTTAAGACGAATGATCAGTGCACCGCTTCTTACCGTTGGGTCATGTACAGCTAACACAGCTGAGATAGTAGAGACGGTCTATAGCTAGTAATAAATATATATGCTTGACTGAGGATATATGCAATTAAACTGATGCGAACTGCGTGATATTGGCTCTTTTTGATGGAGGTACCTACCTGACCTGCTGGAGGGAAAGGATGCCGTTCTGGAAAACTGGTGATTATCAATAAGCCGAGATTGACTTCAGCACTAGGTTGGCTATGTGAGACAGCCGCCTTTTTACAGCACTGACAACATTGCCAGTGATGTTTGCATCTGCTGATAAACTAAAGGGCACTACCCCTTACATCTTATTAAGAGGCACGTAGCCTGTGTATACATAGAAATTACCTCCATGATATCGTTACTGTGCAACTAGACAACACGGTGAACCGGTGGAGTTATCCAAAAGAAAGGCTAAGAATATATATACTGCAGCAACTGAGATGTGTGCTAGTACACTGTAGTGGCAATTCGTACAGCTGCGACATCCTGACTCTTCATTACAGCGCCGATGTCGTCCGATCATAATCGTGTTCAAACCTCGTATATAATTCCGAAGTGTACATGACGTTCGTAAGATTTATACCTCCCGTAAGAGCGCCTTCAAGAGCCAGTCAAATAATGGTGCACGTCCTGGTTACCTTAATGGTGCTTAGTACCGCTACTACTGCGCTCAGTTCCCCATTAGGTGATGTGGAATGACTTCTGTAGCACCTGGAACTGAATTTCATATTGCATTCAATGCAGACAAAAGCCTCAAAGAAAGATGTTATTGGTGGCTGCCTGAAGGTATGTAGGACCATAAACCCTCTTCAATAGCGACAGCCATAAACCCTAGAACAACAGTACCCAACCGGAGAACAGACATGCTTTCAGAAAGCGACTTGGGTCCGGACGCATTTCAGCGTTCAAGTACCAGTCCATTATCCGAGGAAGGTGCACATTATGAGAATGAACAAGACTTAGTGAGAAGGAGTACGTATTTTTGTTCCTTTCTGTATGAGAACAATCAACTGAACGAACCCTAGATCCGCAACTACAAGGGTGGTGTCCGTCAGTACACCGGTGATATATCGACATATCAACATGGCGTAGAGCACAGTCCGAGCATTGTGTCAGTATATATATCGGAGTACATGTCAATGTATCTTTGAGCCACCATCACAAGGGACTCTAGCTACGAGATGGCATTTAGAGTGAAGCTCATCGATGGGAAATTCACTGTTGTTTCATGAGACTTTAGTTAGTGTACAAGAGTACAGCGTAAGGTATCGAGCGAGCGAGATCAGAAATGACTGTATGGCTACAAATGTTTGATAGTATGAGATGGTATATATGGGGCTTATCTAGGAAACAACAGCGACAACTCGACTTGGAAGAGGGGAATAGGAAGGGGGTAAATCCGGTCACAAACAAGGTCCTCGAAGGGGATAGACGAAGGAAGCAGATGTACGGATGAAAATGGGGTGCGGTCAGAGCACGAGGTAAACCGCGCTTCCAACAACCGAAGCGAGCATGATGGTTGTCGGACCGCCTAGCCTCAGCGCGCCGTTCTGGTACGTAAGAAGACGTCATCAGTTAACATGCTCCCGCTCAACACACTCGCGGAGAGGTCACAACTCACAGAAGCTGCGTTCGTGCCAGGGCCGCCGGAGTCGCTTGGCGTCGCGCTACCATCCGCGGCCGTATTCGCATTCGCACTTGCAGTGGCGGAAGGAGGGAAGGCGGTGGATGAGTATGCATTGATCTGGGAGATTGCGTCCATGCCGGCCGAAACCTCTTGATTGAGCGCGTGGATCAAAGGTCGGCCAAACTGGGGTGCTGCGAACACTACATGAAAGTATCGTTGTCAGCGGTTATTGGTGTAGGTAGAGCGAGGATAGGGCGTACCAGGAGAGAAGAGACCAGCCAGAAGGACGGTAATCGAGGCGACGGTGATGAACGTCGTGCGGAAGAGGATGAACTGCATGGCGGTAAGATACCGAGTCTAACAGGTATGCGAGAGTAAGAAAGCTCTTGCACAAAGGGTAGGGGATAAGTAGGCAAAGGCTACAGAGGAACACTGTTTTAGCTCAGGTGTTAGGGTGCGGGGTCAGGATATTGGAACGTCTGACAGGACCAGCTGCACAGATAGCAAGATGGGTAGTAGGGTCTATGAAGGGAAAAAAGGAGAAGGCAAGAAGGTGATGTCGAACACCGGATACAAGGCCCATTTTGTTATATACTCTCTTCCTAGAATGATAATGAAAAGGGCCAGGGCGCCTCAGAAGCGATGGATACCGGGGCGGGACGCCACGTCCCAGAGGCAAAAAGGTACGGAACACGGCATGCGTGCGCAGAGAACCTCCGTCCTTCGGAACACGTTTTGTGAGGCTATCGCCTACCGAACACGCACCACAGCGCGTGTAGGTGGTGTGAAGGGTACTCACCCATCTCCAAGAGGCACCCAGAGTTCAGGATATATCAAGAAATCCGAACAAGCAGATACAGCAAAGGAGGTACAAAGAGCGTGGCCCTCGAGTATCCTGAGCAGCAACTGGTCCCAGAGCAGCGTAAGTTGTTCCTTGGACGACACCTTGTACTAGTCGGCATCCATTCTATACGCGTGAATGGCGGCGAAAAGTCGTTCGAGCTGTTGGAGGGACACAAAGTGGTCGCCTGTTTAAGGGAGTCCTTTCATGAAGATATAGACTTCGACGGTTCGATGTCAAGGAGGAGACAAGGTGAACACCGAATTGGGATGAATGCGGGCGGGTGGCGTGGGTGTATTGTGGTATATTTGTTCTGAACCCTAACCTTGGTATGGCCTTGCGTCTCAACCTCCGACATGGAATCTCGGACATCCATTGAGCCAAGAGAACAGCAACCACGGGGCCCTACAAGGTTAAGCGGGCTTGCTAGCCAGGCCGAATGTGAGTGATCTACATGTTACTCCCTCACAAATCACTCAGGAATCCTGGTTCACCTGGATATATTAGACAGCATGAACTCAGCTTGTATGCGTCCCCTCGCGGTGCCGCTGCATCGAGTCACCCGAGCAAGCGCCATGATCTGGACGTTACCGGCCATGGATCATGCCTTGTAGAGACGTTGATCTTGAACTAAGATGGATAAACATGGACTTCCAGACCTTTACGACGCATCCATCGCAGAGCTACAGAAAGGAATGGTCGAAGGGCTTTTCACGAGCGTCGACCTTGTTAGGGTGCGTGCCCTTCTCTGATTGCACCTCTGCACATCCTCACAGATTCGAAGACGTACCTTGCTCGGATAGACGAAGTCAACCATAAAGGACCTCAGCTCCGCGCAGTCATCGAGACGAACCCGCGCGCACTTGAACAAGCCGCGGCCCTTGACGAACGTCGCAAGACTCGGGGGCCCCTTGGACCGCTGCACGGCATCCCCTTGCTGCTAAAGGATAATATCGCCACCGCGCACGAGGATGGTAGGGCATACCCCACCTCTCGACGAACGAATGATCATCTGACTCCTCCCAAGGCATGCAAACGACCGCAGGTTCACATGCCCTAGTCGGGTCCATCGTCCCCCGCGCTTCGCACGTCGTCTCTCTCCTCACCCAGGCTGGCGCCATCAACCTCGGCAAAGCCAACCTCTCCGAGTTCGGCAATTTTCGCGGGAAAGTGTCTCAAGGTTTTTCGGGGCGCGGCGGGCAGACCCTTTGTCCCTATGAGCCCAACGCGAAAGGGTGCCCGGGAGGGTCGAGCAGTGGAAGTGCTGTCAGTGTTGCGGTAGGCCTGGCGGCAGGCGCATTAGGCACCGAGACGGACGGCTCGATCTTGAGTCCGGCGAGTAGGAATTGCGTGGTGGGGCTCAAGACGACAGTGGGGTTGATTTCAAGGGCTGGGGGTGAGTTACGTAGCAGTTTCAAATCGATTTCTGCGTTCTGACTAGAGTCACTATCGAACGTCAGTGATCCCCATTTCGTCAACTCAAGACGTCATTGGCCCAATCTGTCGCAGCGTCGCGGACGTAGCTATCATACTCTCGACAATAGCAGGTCCAGACCCTCGGGACGAAGTCACGCGCTCTCAGCCTTCCTCCATCCCTGATTACGTGGCTGCACTACGCGCCGACGCTGTGAAAGGTGTACACGTCGGCATACCACGCAAGCTCATCGACCCCAACGAACGACCTGGTATGAACCAAGCGTTCGAAGTGGCCCTGGGCGTCCTTCGGCAGCTTGGTGCCGTCATTGTCGAGGACGCGAATCTGCCATCTACGGAGGAGATCAGACTGTTCCCAGAAGCTGAGAGAACGGTTATGACCTGCGATCTCAAGGTTAGGGTTCGCTGAATCTATGTTGAAACTCTTTCTGACCTTGTATAGGCGGACCTCAACAAATATCTCAGCGAGCTTGTTGAGGTACCGACAGGCGTGCGCTCTCTAGCAGATCTCATTGAATGGAATAAAGCTCACCCGGAGCTGGAGCTTGTTTCCCCGCACTTCGAGGATCAGTACAGGTATGCTTACGAGGTTCACGCTAACTCCATAAGTTGTGACCTGGAAACACTCGATAGGTTCATTCAAGCGGAGGAAACGAGTCGAGATGACGCGTATTACGCCGCACGGGAGATAGCTCGAGAACTCGGTCGAGAACGCGGGATTGATGCTGCCCTCAAAAAGTACGGTGTTGATGTATTTGTTCTGCCAAAGAACGGTACGCCCTTTCCCATGATGCATTCGTCCAACATTTGACGATTTACCATACATAGGAGCATCATCTAGAGCTGCTGCTCTCGCGGGATACCCTGCAATAACGGGTCTGTGCAACTTTTTGCTGCATTCGTCGCTTTTGTAAGACTCAAGCTGGTCAACAGTGCCCATGGGCTACATGCCCGACGATACTCAACACGTCAGCTATCCTCCATCGCCCCTGTACGACGAATGGCCAGGGTGCCCGTTTGGCCTTGTGTTCTTTGGAGCTGCATATAGCGAAGCCAAACTACTGGGGTGCGCATATGCGTTCGAACAGGCGACGAGGGTGCGTGGTCAGAAAAGACCATGCGAATGGGCGGTGCCGAAGACCCAGCTGGCTGACGTTGTGGCCAAGAAAGCATAGCGATGGGCACTCACTTTTAATAACAATCTTGCGTTTTCGTTCATGCGTCTCTCCTTATCACCACTCATCCGGAAACTTTAGGCCGTCCGAGGAGGACCGTCTGAGTGTCATTCAGCGTCTGCGCTGTCAAGGTTATCCGACCGATCTTCAGTCATGTGCATGAATCCAAAGAACGACGAAGAAACTCGAGATAGTGGGGTTGCCGTACTCATCGCGTTGCAATCTCGGAGCGCTCGGGCGGGCGCTCGCTGGGTGGCGGTACTCGGGATAATCGGCTTCCCGGTGGCTCGCAGTTTGTTCGCTCCACAGTCGAGCACACTAACGCTACCTTTCTGCGACGACGATCACTGCTTGACGCACCAGACGATGATCTTTTCTCCATGTTTCTGAGACAATGACGTTTACTTCCTCGGCAACATTTCCGGCTCACCCACACACCTCCGTGCGCTCCGACCTTACGCCCGTCGCACCTCATGATCGTATTCAATTCTTCTGGCTTCATGCGATGCGGATGCGCTGATATGTGTCAACAACGCAGGATATTTCTGCACTCGGATTACTATTCATGCATTAGCCGAGCTGGCTTCGTGGACGTATAAAAGGGATACGCCTTCAAGGACGAGGAAGCATCATCCATCGGCTCACCTTACTTCAGCCAACCTTCATCCAGAATTTATCCAATTTCACCATTCCTCGCACTTCACTTCGCAATGCCCTCTCTTCGTACTCTCGTCCTCGCTGCCACCGTCGCTAGCGATACAACGACCTCTGTTATGGTCAAGAACCAGTGCACGAAGGACCTCTTCCTCAACACCGCGTCCTCGCATGGCACAATCGACAATAACGTTGCAGGGCAAGTCCGTCGACATGCAGGCCTCAAGTGACTGGGACGGCGTGATCAGCGTGGCCAGGGGTGCAACTCTGACGGCTCTACGCGTACGACGCGCGGGCCAACGTGGTCCGGTCAGTCGCCGTTTTCGAGGGCTGAACTGAACTTCGTTCGTTGCTCCTCTCTCGCTGTGTCTCGCACAGGTCGCTGATGTGTGTGTATTGTAGTGGGCCGCCCCAGGCAAAGTCACCTACAACATCTCACTAATCTATGAATGAATGGAGATCAACACCGGCGACAGCTCGTGCGACGACTACGAGTGCACCATCTCATCTGGATGTGTATGTGCCTTTCCTTCGCATCTCTGTCTTCATCTTCACCTGTCTAACCCATGCACCTCCGAAGCCCGTGCCAGGTGATGACGGCTCGTGCTACTCCCCTTGCTGCTCCTCAAAGGACAGCTGCTCCAATGGCGCACTCCCAGCAAACAACCCGGGCTGCGTTAAAAACGCTGGCCCGGGCCCGAACTCGCCGTTTGACTACAACACATGCCCGAACGCGTATGCGTTCCCGGATAACGACGGCTCGGGCGGATACACGCCTGCCAACAACGTCGACTACACGTGTGGCAACACAGATGTAACGATTACACTTTGCCCTGGCAAGACTTCGAGCATCCCGAAGTAAACGAAATTTAGCCGGATCTCTACGGGCCTGGTAATTGAATAGTCTTGCTTTTAGTAGCATGATCAGTACATGTGATACCTGTTTTTGAGAATCGTACACGCATACAGTCTACCGTTCCACCATCGTAAATCAAACTCCTAAATTTCACATCCATTAACTTCATAATTTATCAAGCTTGGCTTCGCAAAGGTTTAGATGGATTCAATGGGTGTCGCAAGTATACAAGGTATCAGATGTCTAGCTTCACCGCTTCCTGCCCTGCTCCCTGCTCCCCTTCCTGACGTCTTTCGGGTTCTGAGGATTAGGCTTTGCCTTAGGAGGCTGCTCGTCCATAGACACCCTCAGCCTCCCCGCCCAGTACTCCTTCACATCGCGTGCATTTGCTCGTGTAGTAGGGTCGTGCTTCCAGCAACTCTCAAGTGCGCTCCACGCCGCGTAGCTCGTGAGCTCCGGGAAGTCGCCTCGGTGAGGGTGGTACCCAGGCTGAGTGAGCACACGGCGGGCGATTTCCTCGTCGGATTTAGGGTAGCCTGCGAGGTATCTGGAAGGGTAGGGCGTTTTGCCCGTCAGAAGCTGCGAGAGAAGGCATTGCGGTCAGTGGGAAGAACGAGGTGCTGAACAGGGAAGACGTACTTGGAGACATGTTATCCCAAACGCGTACATGTCCATCTCCTTTGTTCTCTCCACATCCTTTCTCCCATCCCGTGACGCACGTATAAGCTCGGGCGCGAGATACTGGGTCGTCTCCTTCAAGTTCGCTTCTGTCTCGTCTACTTCGGCGAAGCGCCATAGATCCCAATCGGTGATGCAGACGCGGTAGAAGGAGTCGATGAGGATGTTAGAGGGCACGAGGTTGCCGTGTACGATGTCGCGGGAGTGCAGGAAGTGTATGGCTTCGGCAAGTTGCTCTGCCTACAGCCGGATGCAGGCATTTAGCAGGTGTGAAGAGACGCAAGGGCTTAACGTACCTTGTGGGCTCGATGGTCCCTGTTGAGCGCTCGAGGGTTACTACACCAGTCCTCAATCGATCCGAGTTTGTGCCACGGCGATATCAAGGAAGGTGCTGTGGAACCGAAGTCGAGGTCGGTACATACTCCAAGGAAGGGTACGATGCTTTTATGCCTGATGAGCTCTCGCTCGCGAGCATACTTGAGAAACTCCTGAAAAGCTGTTTAGCAAATGCTGATTGAAAAGCTAGGTTCTTGAAACCGGACTGACCTGGAGTGGATCCTTCAGGTCCGCGACAGAGTCTAGCTGGATCAGCGCCATAGACTCTTCACTTCGTACAGGTTTCAGCTTGATAGCCTTAATGGCCACCTACAAGAAAGCATGTCAGAACACCGCGTTCAACGCACACCAGGAAGAAGCGCACCTGTTGCCTAGGACCAGACTCCCTTGCCATGCTCCCCTTCCACGTCTCGCCGTGCCTCCCTCGCTTAACTGGCTCTTTTCTAACGCGTCCATTGAGATCTGCACTGTTACTACCTGAGTCGCAGGCTACTGGTGGGCTTGAATCCAAGGGCAAGACCGAACTCGATGCGATGGGAACGTTGTGTGTACTCCATTCGTCGAAAGGTGTATCCATGGTGGAGGTTATCGCGTTGTGAAAGGTCAAAGGCAACTGCGCGTGTCCAAGGCGAAGGTCGCTTATATAGTTTCCCAATGGTTGCTGTAGGCGCCATTGCTATTGTTCTGAGTGTATGGGAGGCGGTCAATGCCAAACAAGAGTCATTGCATCGACCGTGCGCACAGCGTGAGAAACAACAAAGCGCGCGTCGGATGCTGTGCACGTGCTGTGAGTCACGACGTCCTTCTACAGCTTTATACTGCACTTCGCTTTTGACTACCACCATCACTTGCAGCGATGCTGCCCCCAAATGCAAACGACAGATAGCGTCACGCCCAAAACATGAACGCTTGGACTTCAAAGACACTGCGGTCGATTCAGAGGCGATACCCGACTTATATGGTTCGTATCACGAGTCGGTCTCATCTCAAGGAGCTGACGATTCAGTGTTCAATGTGTGTATTAAGCTTTTCACGCATGAAGCTACATGTTCTGTACTCATACTTCTAGTACACTAGATCACTACCTCACATTAGCTCAGCTATGGCTCAATATTGGCCAAGGACTCACCGTGGGCGCCTAAATGGGACAGAACTTCATCGATTGGCGAGCCAATACTGCTTGATGTCAGTCTCGCTCATATGGTCTTCTCTCATAAAGTGACGCACTACTGTTGGAAGCCGTCGTGGTGCTAATGCTCGGGCTAACAGTCGCGGTCACGCTCGGGCTTGAGCCTGTCATGGCGCTCGTGCTCGTAGATGTGCTCAAGTCTTTTCCGTCACTTGCACTACTTAGAGAGTAGCCAAAGAGCAAGCATCCACTGTCCTCCAAACCTGTCGAGATATGCGAGGTCAACTTATGTTGTGCTGCAGATCCATGAGATACAGTACCTATCGGAGCTCCGAGAGCGACGGAGAGTATGAGGGGAATCACTAGACCGGCTAGGAACTTCATCTTGAAAGTATGGTTCTGGAAGGGATCAGTGGAGGTGAGCGAACACACAGAATCTGCAGGCTTATGTCCATACTACTAAGTAGATGCTGCGGATGTTCTCAGGGACAGTATTTGTGATCGTCCAAGTCTTTCACAACGCGAACTTCTCGGCTCAAGTTCAAACTACAGCGTATTATCATGATCTCTACAGCTAAGTTCCCACACTTGCCTTCACACCCAGTGTTCCTTCTACGTGCTATACTGCCGCACACGTTCTCCGATCTAACCGCCGGCATAAGCTACGTTGTCCAGTACGGAACCCCCGTGTGTAGCTGGGTCTTCTTCGCCTCTTGATTGCCACCGCCGCGGTGCCTTACAGGTGTGTCTTGTTGCATGATCCAAGACGGCCATACGGGTTTGTTCTGCGCTTTGTGGCAAGCCTGTATTGTTATGTGTCCGCTGTCCACGCCGCTATCTCTCCTTGCCGCTCGTAATCACAGGCGCCAACTTTGATGGTCAAGGTTGGGTTCGGTATTCAGCTCACCACACTTAGTGCAGTCCCTTGACCGAATGAAATATAGAAGGCCAAACCTAACATAAGACATAAATGATCTCTTTTCGAGATCATCAATCTAGAATAGCTGAATAGCTTGCCCTTAAAGTATCTATTGCAACTGCGTTCCCTAGCCGTTTAAGCAAGTGAAGGAGCAACATCAGCGCATATGCAATTAGATTCAAATGGTGGCGAGTATATGTTCGTAATCCTGACGGCTGTCCTCCATGTCTATGTAGCAACCTGCATCCAGCGGCAAGACAACCAACACCGCTCTGATCATGAAACAGACAAACTAAAAAAGGGAACACTGATATGTCAGATGAATAAACACATCCAAAGACGCATCGATAAAGCTCTGCCTCTAATTATAGCTCGAGGTCTACATTTGAGTTTATTGATAAGGAAAAATACACCTAATCCACGTTTCGCTATGATCCTCATTTCTCTGTGTATGATCGTGGGACTTTCACAGGAAGGATATTCCTGTGCTCTAACATTGCACTTCTCATATGAACATATGAATGATCAGATGCTACGCACCTCAAGAGCCCATCTTTTCCACCTATAATCATCTCATTGACATAGTTACATATGTCTCTCGACCCAGCTTGGGCACCAGCAAACCAGACGAGCTTTGACCTCTGGGTCGAACGCTCATCACTTGACGGCGTCATGTTAGGTGGCGTTGCATACGGTGAGTGCTAGTGTTATTCATGCATATGTTCCTTTAATCACACCCTCGGTAACTGACACTCACCAGGCGTCCACTTGACACTTTTTTCCTTATGCTTCAACATGATATTATCAATTAAGAACAAGGCTATGGTTGACTGGCTGAATCTCGGATATATTTGTCTTGTCTTCGCTCTTGGTACCCTCGGAAACGCTCTCACATTGAAGTGGTGCGAAATGGCATTCGTTGACAACATCAATTTCCCCGGTCGACCGGTTGCTTTCAGTCTGTTAGAGAACACAGACTGGGTCTATGTGGTTTTTAACGCTGTCTACATTGTCAACCTGTGGTTGTCCGATGGTCTTCTTGTACGTATATGTTCCTTTGCTCATAGTATACCTCGTGCTGTTCACTGCTGACTCGTCGTCGCTTATGCCTTCAGCTCTACCGTTTTTACATCATATGGCGTTGCAACGTCAACGTGGTCGTCCTACCTGCTATGGCATTCTGTGTCAGCATCAGTCCGTGTCTCTCTCTCTCATCCATTTCTAGCCTCATGGTGCCATAGTCCTAGGTTGTCTTCTGATATACGTTGTTGCTAGCCCAATAGAGTCGCCTCCTTTCCCTATTCAGGTTACAGAGCAGCTCCCTGTGGTATTCTGGTCTCTTTCAGTCGCTTTCAACGTGCTGATAACGGCGGCAATAATCGGGCGCATGGTATACTCGCGCTGGAAAATACAATCGACCACAACGTCGGTCGCGTTGATCCCATACCTATCCGTCAGCGCCATGCTGTCCACCGAACGCGTGATTTGAACCAGGGTCGGGTTGGTGTGACTCTTCCAAGCACCTGAACTCAGAATCACCCCCATGCTTGCAGGATCTATTTTGTCGATTGACGTATCAAATCCTCGCGGATAAGATGATATACAGGACGTAGTCGATGAAAATGCTGCAACTTCAAAGCGCGCCCTAAAACACAGATACTTCTTATGTATTCCTACAATTTGAGTCGCTCGTCTAGATTGTTTCAACGCAGAACCAGGGATATATAGGCAAACATTCTGGCAGCGAGTAATATCACGCTACATCGAAATAGGGAAATAATGAAGGCCGTCTCAACCTTGTAGCATAATATTCCTTCCACATTCCTGCACAGAAAGCCCTGCGGGAGAGCGCTCTTCCACAACGAGTGAACAATCTGAAATATCGAGCGACTGATAAGTGCACGTGGACCATGCCCTGCCTTGAAGAACTCGATATACAATCATCAAAGGCGCGATCGACTAAGATTGTTCTATTAGTTCACTTTGAATGACAGGTTATAAGGCGCTAGCCTACTTGTGTCTGGCCAAAAACCGGATTAGCTAGGTCCAATATGGGGCTCTGTATGGCTATGCCAATGATGAGTATCACACCGTTGATCGTGTACAACGCAGCGCTCTCAATTTGAACTTTGGTCTCATCAGAACTTATTTTGACTTCATGTCACGCAGAAATCATGTAGATATAGCAATTCATGAGTTTTCTCCGCTTACATCTGCTTCAATGTTAGCTGTCATATTGCAATACCTAATGACTGATGAGTGACAATGCACACCGTAAATGAGATATATCCCGAGTGCTTGCATATGAGTGACCTCTAGCTTTGGAAAGTGATTGAGTTCTACGTCTTATTCCAAGTTTGTTGATGGGATCCATAAACCAAACACCGTAACGCTTCAATAAACTAAAATAACCCCGAGAACCCTATTAAGAGCGCTATAAATACGTTTGTACTATATAATATTCATGAAGACTTCGTAACTCGACCATCCAAGTCGTTGATGTTCATTAGGTTTGTAGTAATTTATCTGAGTACGATTCATGCATCAACGTCGGATGAACGAGCAGGCGATCGAATATCGATAACGTGTAAAACCTGCTGGCCAGAAGTCGATATGTTCGTGCTGCTGATCGTTTGCTCCTTTGATATTCTGGCATGGAACTCAGCTGTGGTGGTGTCCAGCGACTCATACGTGTCGATAGACCAAGCCTGTCCTTGGAGGACGCGATAGATTATCATCAAAGGAGCGATGCCCTGTTTGAAACACATTAAGTCTTAAAAATCGATATCGGCATTCTAAACAGAGAAATTGCTGACCTGAGTTTGTCCCAATAACCCCAGTACTAAGTTCTGTATCTCGCTCTCCATCGAAAATGCAATAATGAACACCAGACCAATGACTGTGTATAGCGCTGCACTCTCTATCAGCATGGCGCTAATAGAGACGTATGGATTGCAGGTGCGATATGCTGACGCCAGTGCAGCTCTAATCCTCCATCGCATGTATAAGAGTCTAGCCGTTATTCCTAACGTCAGGACAGCGGTATAGGCAATTGACAGCGACCAGTATGCTATGGTAATATGGGAGGTAAGGCCTGAGGGAAAGCTGCTGAGCGGCTCGGACGTCTGGGCTACGAGAAGACAACCAAGAACTAGAATGGTGTGAGCGCTACGACACTCTGAGGTATAATGACATCGTACCAATTGTCGCCAAGAACGTTATGGTGGGGAGGAAGATTATTTGCATATTTTGTCTCCATATTATATGAAACCTGTAAAGCTAAAAAAAACTTAAAATACCTCCCAAGCATTTTGTGATACGTACAAGAAGGCCGTCTTGAAACCATAGGTTGACGATGGAGACGGCGTTGCTTATCCATATGATGTTGCTATGGGGGGGACTGTCGAGGACATTCGATCCCTGAGGGACATCGATGAACACCATCTCGCACCACTTCGTACCCATTGCGGTTCCTATAGAGCCAAGAACGAATACAATGCAAATATAGCCAAGTATTACCCAGTCACCCTTGTCTTTTCGAAGACGAAGACGCGGGGAGAGTATGTCCAGACATAAAAAGAACAGAGTCAAATGTACGCCTTTGTGTGAGTTTCAGTCTAGATTTGAGTCTCGCTAGAGATATCTCTCTCACCATATCCTACGTTAGTAACCATACAGCCATCTAGCAGTGATCGCTGCGCCCATAGCTCGGCAGCGGTCGCGTTTTCTGTTGCCCAAGATGCGTTTAAGGACATGATAGCTTGGGAGTCCAACACAATAAGACCCGCCTGTTTGCTAGAATTCGGGGGAGGAACTTCAATTCGTCAGAGAGACCATTCTGTCTTATACACCGGCCGACTTAGTCAGTGATCTTGTGGCTGATTACCTCCAACAGAAAGCAAAACTACAGCCTCATGCGATAACAATGGCCGAAGAAAGATCACATGTTGGTTATGGACAGAAATGGAGTCTTACTTGCATCAACAACGCCACTGACCGCGTGAGAACATGCTTTCTAAATTAGATGTTACCACGGCGGTCATGAAAGGTACCGGTAAGCCCACCCGGATTCCGATTCTTTGGTGTTCTACTCATTAGGAGGTCGGGGAGTTACGTAGAAGGGATGTTTCTCTTTAGTCCTAGCTGTAGTGATATATGCATGATTCAGGACCAGGGTGTACTCTGATATCGACAGTGAATGACCAGATAATGCGGTAGAATCAAAACGTATACCATCGTATTTTTGGTTGATCTAGTCGAAATCGATTTTAGCTTATCCAAACGCTGGAACTGGTGAGGTGTGGATAAGCCATGCTATTCTCATCTCAATCATTGATGCACTGGATTTTACTAAGTCATCGGACATTCACATTTTCTTTAGGCCCCAACATCAGATTGACAGTTTGGAGGTGGTAGAGCACCGGGAAACAAATAGGCACACCTTACAAAGAGACATAGAGGGACATAGAGGGAAAGAGATATGCATTCCGATAAGGTGTCGACGATTCGAGCGCACTTTCCAGCGCCATGAGGTCACAAGCCTGCCATCTGATACTCTTGGGATCCGCCAACATTTTGGAACCCTCACAGTAATCACAATTGTAGCCTTCAAGGATCTAGATGAATGGATCAAATTGTGAAACTGGCAGTGAATACGTCCGGCACCTTCAGGTGAGAATGCCAAGTACGCCTACTAGTCAAAAACAGAACTCGCTATCCGCATGGGTCATCTTCCGCCGGCTGACAAGCCATCACTCTTCTGTACCTTTTGGGACCTCCAGCGCTCCAGCACTCAAGAGTCAGTCCGCTAGCTTTTAACGTCCAAACAGTGACAGGTTAACCCATAAATCCGTAGCACCACGGATTTTACACTCCAGCATTCAATGTCGTCGAACACGTCTTGGGGGCCCATCAACGATACAAGCTCCGATTTATGGGCCCAGAGAGCGCTCATGGATGGGGTGATGATAGCTAGCGTTGGATACGGTGAGTCGCAATTATTTCAACCTCAAAACATCGGTTAACTGAAAATACAAGGTGTACACATTACACTTTTCTTTCTTTGCTTAAGTGTTATTATCTCGAAGCGCCGCAAGCGTCGCGCGGACTGGGCTCAACTTGGATACATCTGCACTTTATTTGTCTTAGGGACTATGGGGAACGCACTGGGCGCACGGTGGTGCGAGATGCTGTTTATTGACGATGTCAGTTATCCAGGAGGACCGGTTGCCTTCAACACGGAGGAAAGCTCCAATATAATCACTGTCCTTGGTGATTGCGTCTATATCGTCAATTTATGGTTACAGGACGGACTTCTTGTATGTATATGGCGTCGTTCTAAATGCAAAAGAAACTTACCTTGTCACTCCAGCTGTACAGATTCTTTGTTATATTTAGAAAGAGCTACTATGCTATGATTCTACCCACAACAGCATTTGCGGTTACAATGGGTGAGTGCCTCAACAACGCGTATTTATATTGTCCTTACCCCACTCAAGTTCTTGGCTCCCTCTTGATGGCTTCAATTGCCAATCCAGAAAACAGCTTTTATTCCGGAAGCGCGTTCGAACTGGCCCTCGCGTATTGGTCTTTGTCCATAGGATACACTGCTATCATGACACTGGCAATCACCACCAGGCTCATGTACTTACGGTGGAAGATGAAGCAAACTTTAGGATCGGACGCGCTGTCTCAGCCATACGTTTCTGTCAGCGCAATGCTCATCGAAGGCGCAGCGCTTTATACTATTAATGGACTCATATTCATTGTGAGCTTCGGGCTCAACAGCAATATTCAAAATCTAGCCATTGAACTGCTTGGTCAGACACAGGTAGGAGAGCTATCATTTGTCAAGGGCGCTCACTCATGTGCGTCTTCTCTAGTCAATTGCCCCGTTGATGATAATCTATCGCTTGTTGCGCGGCCAAGCGTGGTCCATGGATACATTTGGAACATTCGAGCCATCGAACTCTACCACGCTGGTCGACCAGTCCCGCAGCTTGAGAAAGAAGAAGTAAGAAATGGTGTGCTGGAAGATAGTTCACTACGTGTACTACGGGTCACCCGAAGGAGATGTTTTATGACAAGAACTAATGTGATCACTCTGAGTAATCTAAATTGGGGTCCTTAACTCGCAACGTAAACGTATCTTGTTGAGAAGGATTACACGCATGCATACATGTAGGGACACAATATTAATGTCAAGCAGCGCGTCTAGCTGTCGTCCAACTTAAGCGCTTATCTCGGTCTTCAGATAACTCCCCGGTGAAGAGTTTCACGCGGGTGCTGTTTTATCTTGTGATGCGACCTGTGCGGCGCACCCACACCTGTCTATCATAGTTCTCACAATGGAGATGTATGTCCAGTGTCCACGGAATACTCTATCTTTAGATGCTCATGACCATGCGGTTCCACCTCCTTGAGATGGCAGTCCAGAGCCGATAACGCTCCGTTGACGCTCCGTCTTTCTCTGCGACTTTCCCACCAGTACTGGAAATCAACCGCTGTGTTTGGCACGTTCTCAGTTCTGCTGACGGGAGCATACGGAGCAAGCAGGAGCCTTGGACGTTGGTGAGCGAGTTGCATGTTGAATCTTCGCAGCGCAGACGTCAATTCTTAAAGGTTCATGTTTTCCTAACAGCTACCCTCCTCCTGATCGTAAATTTGAGCTCTGAATTTGCGATGCCATCTGTACCCCTACTGGTTGGACTGATATCCTTAGCTGCCCTGACTTGCATCAACGCATGGATGGCAGGGAATGCCATACATTCTATCTCACCTCAGAAGATGGATGACGGTGAGTTGGGTTTATCACACCTCTCCATTTAGTGAATGGCCCACAAAATCTCTTAGACCCACTTTTGTCGCTACGAACGAGGTTGTGGACTGACAATGGGACACAAGAATATTCTTTGTTCTCCCAGTCTGGTTGGGATCATCTAGAATCTGCGCACGAGGCCTTTGTCAAGACAAACACCAGCACTCAAATCTATCAAGCCTCGCTCTATCACCAACATCGCTGTCTGGACACGCTTCGAATGTCTCTCATCAATGCAAGTGAAGGTTGCTCGCCACTCAACAGAGGAATGGTTGAGGTCTGTCTCGACTACCTGCGCCAGTCAATCCACTGTGGCGCAGATATTACTTTAGAGCCGGGTACATCAGTTACTGAGGTGAATGGAAAGAAGATTGTGGGTGCTTCAGGCGTGGGCGTTCCTCGCGTTTGCAAAGACTGGGAACAACTTTGGCGTTGGATTCGCTCGCATGCATATGATATTATATAGGCAAGCGTACGTGATGATATAATACCCGATCAACTTAGGAATGAAATACTATCGTTATCGGAGACATTTTCATGATAGAGGCACGTAAGAGGCGGCTAACGTTGAAACAGGCTTGCCACAGAGTTGACGGCAACGTTCGTGCATGGATTGGCCGTAATGTCACGTCGATTATCCTTGCTCTGAAAGATGAGATCGGTATTGGATGCTGCGTGGATTAACCATAAATAACAAAAAGATTCATGGGCAGTAACTATGCCGTTATCGCGTCAGACTTCCTAGAGTTCTCATGGATGGAGCGCCATTGAATCCTAACCGCATGCTCAAATCTCACGATGTCACGATCACTGACACAGTAGCTATCCAAGCTGTCCATCCCAAGCACTGGATCGTAATATTTTTATTAGGCTGTTACATACTGTACGTCACATGTGTCCGCGAGCGAGAGGTGAGCGCTATAATTAGAAGATCACCTATATAAAGACCCGAACACGACGGAGAGATTGGTCATGCTATCTTGCAAAAAATGGCGCGGGCGCAACGCCGTTTGCTCTCTGGACACAATCTAGTTGGGTTTGCCTCCAGGCCTGAGCGTTTCAGAGGTGTTCGGAGAGGTTGCGTTCCGATCAACTGACTATTAAGTGATATTCAACCCTCTATAAAGACATATACTGTGAGATGGATAGCCATGGTCCGGTAGCGGAAGTGCGTATGGGGCGTATTGAGAGTAGCTTGATTGAATTTGGAGAGTGTTCACTTACGAGTCAAGCCTGACGTTGATTAAAACTTTCAGTCGATATGGCTTCCTAGCTCGTTACTAGCAATCGTGATTAATTCTCGCTCTCTGGTACATCCTGGTGTTCCTGAAAGTAGCTCACAACCAAGTCAAGAGCCTGAGATTTTGTTACTTTTCCCTCGCCGACAAGGCACCAGGGAGGAGTAAGATAAGAGTCATCCTTCTCTTTCGACATTAATTGAGTACGCACTTGAACAATTGCCCAGCATGAACCTTACTGACTAAACAAGGTATAAAGGAAGCATGTAGGACGGCACTCCGCTGATTCATCTCTTCCGTCCATCACCATCATGCGCTCGACGCTCGCCCTCCTCTTTTTTACAACTTTTGTAGTGTCCGTGTATGGAGCAGCCATAGGTTCGTATCTCGCCATCATAAGATGTCCCTGAGCGTCCACCGATAAACTTCCTCGCCCAGAAGGGAAATCTGTCTTGGATAATGGTGAGTGAATATCAGCAATACCATGTCGATCAGAAGGTTTGATCTTCTGCAAGAATCGGCTCTTAAGCGTGAGGAGCCACATGCAATTGGAGCGGCCAGGCATTTGGACGCACGGCATGAAGTCACGGGTACGTCGGCTCACTCAATTCGGTGCCTTCATCGTCTTATGTCATCTCGCCTTCAGCCGACTCTATCATATCTTTCTATGAGAATGAAGATGATCCCGATGCTATATACTCTCAGTGATGTACTCTGTTTTGAGGTATGCTCATTTTCTTTACATAATCGTCAAGGCGGATATAACATCACGGTTTAGTACTCGTGAATGCTTGTTGTCTGGTGCATCATATTACGTTGGAGTTTGTACGTGTAAGATCAGTCAGTCAGGGGGAGGATATTCTTTTCATCTCTGTTAGTCTCTACGAAACGCCTCACTTGTGTCCAATCACGGCATCTGTGAATTACACCAGCCCCTGCGCTAGCCCATGCAGGGACTGCGGAAGAATGATGGACAACTTTTTCAGCCAAAATTGGCTCAAGTGTTGCGTCCGCGTTGCAAAGCAAAAGCTGTGCAACATAATCGAAGCAGTGCGTCGAGTGCTTCATAGCTAAATCGAGTTTGTTCCTGGATTTTCCTGTACACGTGTACTCGTCGGCCTCAGACATTGCCCTACGGATGGTGTCGAGACAATGGAGTGCGTGGTACATCGAGACCGCAAAGGGCATGTCTTCTTCACCAAGGTGAACAAAACCGACAGTGTTGGTTGGTATGAGTGAATGCCATTCCTGGGCAGACTCAATCCCGTAACTCCCGTTCGAGTTTGTGAAGTTGACTGCGACATCTCTCAGGGGAATAGGGAGTTGATACAGCGTTTTCTCCTTCAATCGCTCTAGTAATCCACCAGTAAGATAGTTTCACCAAATATGTGGGCTTGAGCGTACCCGCGAACCAGTCTGTAGTCCCAAACATTTCTCGCGTCTCATAGATGCGAGATAGAAGGATGCTGATGTTTATAATGGTGAGAGCGCAAATGGAACCAGCGACGAGTGCTGTATAGCAGTAGGCCATGCTCCCCCGAATTTTGAACATGGCTACAGTGCACTTGAACGCGGAGTGATATATGCACATCGAAGGGTGAGAATAGAAAGCGGAGGGAAAATGAGGTGTACAACCTTTTCCTTACCTTTCAGGCAGTGATGTCTCGCCTTGAAGCTACTTTCGACAAGGTTGACAGGTTACAAAGCGAACGACAGGCAACAGCAAGGGCTATGTCTCCTGGGTGATATCGACTCGCGAGACCGTGAGGTAGTATCATTAATAATCTGACGCTCACGGGAGCGGTGAAACCGCTCTTGATGTGAACCAGACTTATCTTACCACTGTCCCGGTTAGAGGTCCGACTCTCAGGACTTCAAGTTGGGCGTCACGCACGACTTCCGTTATCAGCGCCGATGGAAACCTCTAAGCATGATTTCGCTCACAACAAACTCGTGTCCACATCTTGCGCGTGACGCAGAAGCTAGTATAAACGCCACGCAAAAGGTTCTAACTCTTCTACGCCTCTTCTGTTGTAGTGACCGTAGAGCTCGAGGATTACTCCCATACTCAAAGCAATGTAGGTCAAGCCAAAAAGACGACGCGTATTACAGCTCATGTACGAAGCCAGATGAGCTCTCAGCAAGGATACGTACCAATCAATATGCAGGACAAAGATGACGAGCAGCAAAGCACTTTCCCGCAACAACTAGCACACGATAACAGGTCTCGAATAGCCTTTTGGCTTGGCGTTGGGGTGATATGGTTGAATATCCTGTTGCTTTGTATCACCATGTACTTCAACCGGAGACTAGAAGGGCTTGGATGGTACAAAAACACTAGCTCATTACCACAACTCAGTCCGTAGTCGGTGACTAGGATAGTCTTAGACCGTTGCTTAGATGATATAAATCAGCGGGATGGCGCGTTGCGTATTGCGCGGGCGGATATCGTGCCCGTGTGAGAATTTGGGCCACAGCATGTGAACAGAGCCTCCTTGATGGGGGCACGATCAACCATGTGAGCGGGTTCAAGAATATGACCGGGGATTCACAAACACCGGAAGGTTAGCACTGTGAACAGGCAATTGAGATGCCGATATGGCACCTGAATCGATCGGCTCAAGCATATACAAGCCGAGATACGCAACTTTGAATTACATGTAGGCCGGCGAGTCGTACACCAAAGCGTTCAGTGTCCCCGCTCGTCGGCGCGCAGCGTATGATATAAGATGGTGTCGATTGGAGTCTTAGTATATAGAAGTGGGCGACGGAAGCCTGCCGACAAACTTTCGAGCTTGTGCGTCGCAGAATGGCACCAAGGTCAAGATATTGGCTGAAGTAAACGCATAGGTTTCCACTTCTGCTTGAAAAACGCTCCTTCCCAATTTGCCGTGAACGTTTATTTGTGGTAATGCATATCAGAAAACAATGATATAAGATAGCAAGAGAGAGGATGGCGCATTGGCTTGTAAGACTAGGGTGTCTCGGCCTGCTTCCCCTCCTCTTTCTTCGTGGCCGTCGCAGATCGAGTCTTCAAGTTGTAGTTCTTTATACACGTTCTAATCATGGCTTGAATTAATGTTTAAATAACAGCATGAATGTGTAGTTACTTACAGCGATATCAAGCTCGAGATAGCACCAATGGGTACGCCAATGAGGAACACCTGATCAAGGCTATTCACGTATGCCTGCACTACCGCACCCCGCTCTCCTATTGGAAGCGTGAAAATGTAAGCGATACTCTGCTGCACGCTCGATGCCACCGAAGCTGGGAGCAATGGCGCGTAGTTATGTAAGTTGTGCGTGAGTTGATTGAGGAAGATAGCCCCTCCGATGCTGGCGGGTTTACGTATAAGCTGCACCCGCATTTCATATGAAGGATAACGACACTTACGCAAGTCCAACAATGCCGCCAAGTCCTTCAAAAAGAGCACTAAGCGCAACAGCCTGAGGAATCAACTCTTCTTCGTGAACTAACTCAGCCTGTGCAACGTCAAGTTAGAGTGAGAGCATGAAAACGAAGCGACGGTCATGCCTGTATAGATAGCTCTGGCATCTGTAGTGTAGAACCTATCGAAAATGAGACGTTCGACCGTCGAGCATATTACATGTCGCATATAACATACCGACGCCAATACCGCTGATTATCTGGTATCCAATCAGTTTACCCTCGATGGAGCCGACATCGACCGTGTACATCAAACCGAACCCAATAGAAGATAGCAACGGGCACACGACCATCAAGCTAAACAGTGACATTGAGACTTTCGACCGAGTGCGACTGCGCGGCACTTACATCCAATATTTTCCAGTTCCGTTGGCCAAAAATCCGGCCACCATCGATGCTGCAACATGTTCGTTATCCCTAAGAGTTTATAACGCCTTTGAGAACTCACATAAGACACTTGATAGAATGAATGGAAGGAGGTCTATGCCGGACTGAATTGCAGTCCTCCCTTGTGATTGATACCAAAGCGGAATGTAGTACTGGGCAATCGATCAGTCCCCATTATAGAAAGTTTGAAAGGCGGCACCCACGATTCCAACCATGATACCATAAAAGTTGCAAAACGCGATGAAACATGATGCCACCACCGGCTGGCGCATGACTTTCCATGGTAATAACGCATGATCGCCTACGTAGCGCTGCCACCAAATAAACAGAGCAAGTCCGACAGCTGAGAGGACTAGAGGTACTATGACTTGTGCTGACCCCCAAGGATCTGTGTTTCCTCCAAGTTGCAGCGGAAACAAAAAGGCGACAACGGTGCAAACCGAGATCAGGACCCCTACCCAATCAACCCTACGTACGAGAAGTTTAGCTGATATTATGAGTGTATTCATCTAGAAAGATACTGACTCTGCTATACGCCGAAGTACTGACTTTGTGTCAGACGGCTTGGACTTTGTCAGAGTTTTCCCATACGGCATGAACCACGAGATCAAAAGCGAGACCCCGCCAATCTGCAAAGGGATCAGTATCAAGGTTCAGACGGGACATGGATCCAGCTACCGGGAGATTAACTGATGCTCAGTGGTGAGTTACCCTTATCAGATAATTGAAAAACGAGGACTTACTGTAAAAGCACCATCGCCAAGTTACTCGAGCTAGTAAAATAATGCGTCAGTACTTCTCAAAGAGCATTATCCGCCTAAGCCTACCTGTAAATGCACCACCGACCAGCGGTCCCATAACTGAAGCAATTGCCCATGCCACCCCAATCAGACCAAACAACGCCGGCCGAGTCTCGAGCTTTGCGATCTGGAAGCATACCATCAGACTACCTATGTCATGAGAGACGATACAGCTGGTTGACGCACCTGCGCAATGGCAGAAACCACGCACGTCACCATGCTGAGCGTTGACGAGCCTTCAGTCGGGGAAGATGCAGCGAAAGGACTACTCACGCTGCATTTCCTATACCGGCGATCGCTCTCCCAGCGATCAGGAAGCGCATAGAAGTCGAAACAGCACACAGAAGGCTCCCTAGCTCGAAAATGATGATAGAGGTGATATACACCGGTTTTGTAGGATATAAGGATAGAAGTTGGCCAACGGGAAGTGTAAAAGCCGTCACAGTAAGCAAATCTATGACCGCGTTATCACTAATTCCGTGGTTTAGAAGCTGATATCAGCACTCACATGCAGTAGGGACCCTAACGTAACCCGTGATTAGATGTTATGGTAGAGGTATAAGCTCACATACCATGTAACTTGACCTAGCCCGTCAAACTCAGACAGAATGGTCGGTAATGCAGTACTAACGATTGTCAGGTCTATAATATTAGGCAGTTTTGAGTGTAGTTCCTGTGTAATATCGTCAAAGAGACACGCTTACCCAGTGTCCCAATCAACGGAGACAACAATAGCCCGCTGTTTAACGTCAGCGTCAACGTTCTCTGAATGGTGCCAACACTCACACAAAGGTGAACGCGAGCCGCAATCCTGTCAGATACTGCCCGTTGGCATCTACCTCTGGATCCAAGACATCAGTTTCTTGCTCCTCCTGTACCTTCTCTGTCGAAGCAGTGCTTGGGAAGCTCGCCGAAGGCAAGTGAACCGTTTCGACACCGTTAGCAGGGGAGTGCGGCTCTGCCATCTCCTCAGAAGGGGGAACAGCACGTCGAAGAAAGGGTTTATGCACGAAGTGCCAACAGGGCGACGCTCGCGCAGGTTATATGAAGGGCATCAATGAACCGCAAACGAGCGCCGCCGGGCAGATAAGGACCAAGTACTTGGGCGCCGCATCAACTAAAGCAGGTATCCAAAAGAGAGCTCCAAAATAGAAGGTTCCACGATCAAACTTCATCGCTATGTATAGACGGTCAATGACACTCACATGCACGCCTGGCAGGTCTCGCATCCGTTGACAACGCTGGTGTAATACAAGGCGTTGACTGTATGTTTTTGTCAACAAAGACTCCATGCACAACTTTTGATTCACAGTAGTTGTCAGTGCTTACCTATGCCATGGTATTTCCTTTGGTCCGTCCTCGGCAACATTGCCGGGCGATCAGAAGCGGTACAGCCATTGGGGAAAGCCAGCTCTCCGTTACCCAAGATCAGAAGATAACTGATGCTGAAGCGCTGATGCATTCCACCAGGTTTCAAAATTTCACCGCTGGTGCACATGTGCACGGGGAAGGCCAGGAACGGTGAATGATCAGATTAAGGTTATGAACTTCCCGGATAAAGCCCAAATAAAGCCTATAGCCATCCGGCCGGCCCCGGCGATGCTTCCAAACGGTTGCCAGTCAGCCTCACGGTGCTGTCTTGTATAAACATTTTAACTTACAGCACTGAGACGAAAGTACACCACATACAGTCCTTTGGGGGCAAAACTGCGTTTAACATAAACGTGAGCTTCAACGTGTGACTCGGGAGAAACATGAGATGAGGCCGACCCTTTCCCACCCCTCGCCTGCCAGTGCAACGCCCCGAATAAACGTGCAGCTCTCTTCACTAAACCATTAACGAGAGTCATGTAAGAATCTACCACAATGTACACGATCCTCTGCATAATGAGGATCTGTCTCGCACATGCGGCACCCTTCTTGGTACCCGACAATGTAAACCCCTATACTATAGAGAACGCAGGTCCAGCTTGAATAGGGCACACGACCCTCAATCCTCGAACTATCGAGCGAAGTGTTTTGACCTGAATCTAGGCGTAACCTTAGGAGTATATCGTCAAACCCGATAGGACATCCCACCTTGTGTAGGCGCCTGAGCGGGCTCACGAACGCGTAAAAAAACTATTGACCTGATGCCGCTGTCAGTAGGCATACCGGCATGGTATTTGCACTGAAACGAACCACCCATGCTTACGAGCGTATTCATCTTGGTCTTGTATCCATTGCTATACTCCACCGTATATCATCTTTCGCCCGCTGCTTTCGCCCGTTTCAGCACGATTGCCACATTCAAGGAACGAAACACGCACCGTTCACCACACCCGTCTTCCTCCCAACTTCCTCGTCATCCAGTGGCCGTGTCAACCGCGCTTTTAAGGTGGTCTCTCGCATTTCCGCGCCCGCGGCACTAGTGAGCGAGGGCGAAGCGTCTGATAAGGAGGCAGAGGAGGCCGAAGGAATCATGGAGCCCACAGATTTGCGAAATTCAGCTGTGGGATCGAGGGGCTGTGATGAGATAGCGAGACGCGTCGTGAGAACGGGGGAGGAGTACAGGGCGCTGGTCAGGGATTGGGGTGTTCTAAGGGAAGTCGACTTAGCCGACGATGCAGCAAAACGTTGAGAGACGATCTTACCAACTTCGGCGCCTTCCACCTTGCACTCTAGGCGCCCTTGCGTCTGTTGTGCTCTGAGATTTAGGAGGCAGTCGATCTATCAACTTGGACCCGCTCCGTACAGCCATCCTTCACGCCGCGCTTGGGCTCGAGCACAACTTAGTCATGATCCCGAACGCCCAGAGCGCACTCCACGCCGCGCAGCTGGTCGTCTCGGGAGTCATCACTGGTGGTACTGACTGGGTGAGCACGAGGTGGGCGATCTCCTCGTTAGATTTGGAGGAGCTTTGAACGGATAGGGCAATTCGCCTGCAAGAAGCCGGGACGGAGAAGGTGCTCTTATTAGAAGAATAGATAACGCGTTGAACAAGGAGGGCGCACTTGAACACAGGTTATCCCAAACGCGTGTATGACCATCCCCTTCATCCTACCCGTGTCTTTTCTTCCTTCCCGCAATGTTCAGAGAAATTCGGATGCGAGATATTGCGCCGCCCCACTCACATTCACTTGCTATGTCTTGTCTACTTCGGCGAAGCGCCATAGATCCTAATCGGTGATGCAGACGCGGTAGAAGGGGCCGATGAGGGTGTTAGAGGGCACGAGGTTGCCGTGTACGATGTCGCGGGAGTGCAGGAAGTGCAAGGCTTCTGCGAGCTGTTCTGCCTGCCGCCACAAACATACAGTGAGAGGCGTGTGATAGGAAGGATAGGAGGATACAGCACCTTGCGGGCTCGATGATCCCTACTCAGTGTTCGAGGGTTGTTACATCAATCCTCGATGGACCCGAGTTCGTGCCACGGCGATATCGAGGAAGGTGCTGCGGAACCGAACTGGAGGTCTGCGCATACTCCAAGGAAGGGTTCGATACTCTTGTGTCTGATAAGCTTTCGCTCGCGAGCGTACTCGAGAAACTCCTGAAAGGCCGCTTAGCAAGCGCTCGTCGAATGGTTAAGTTCCTGAAGCCAGAGACTGACCTGGAGTGGAACTTTCACGTCTGCGACAGAGTCTAGCTGGATCAGCGGCATGGACTCTTCACCCCGTACGGGTTTCAGTTTGATAACCTTAATTGCCACCTACGAAAGGCTCGTCAGAACACCGCGTTCAACGCGCACCAGGAAGAAGCGCACCTGTTGCCTAGGACCAGACTCCCTTGTCATGCTCCCCTTCCACGTCTCGCCGTGCCTCCCTCGCTTAAGTGGCTCTTTTCTAATGCGTCCATTGAGATCAGCACTATTACTGTCTGAGTCACAGGCTGCTGGTGGACTTGAAGCCAAGGGCAAGACCGAACTCGATGAGATGGGAACGTTGTGTGTGCTCCATTCGTCGAAAGGTGTATCCATGATGTACCTATCGTGAAAAGCCAAGCCAAGAGCAAGAGATTGCTCCCAAGGGTACACGATGCCGTTGTGTAGCCCCGCAAAGGGTTGCTGTAGGCGCCATTGCTAATGTCGCTATTGTCCTGAGTACATGAAAGGCGGTTGATCAAGCTTCAAGCCCAGTGAAAACTCGGGAATCAAACACGAATGCCAACTTTTAAATAGACGATTTTATTTTGAACTCTTTTACCGTGTGATAAATTTGGCAACCAAGCGCGCGTAAGCGATTCAGCCGCGGTCGCCAGGCTGCGGCAGGCCTGGCCAGCCCCAGCCAGCTAAATTAAGGCTGGCTTGGCTACTCCCACGCTAGCCTGGGCTCGGACCGACTCGAGGCTAACCGAAGCAACCCTGCGGCAGATTGACGCGCTGCCAAATCCATCTAAGTCCCTTTCTGCCGTCGCCGCCGGTCTCCCTCGCGCAATGGACGACACTCTAGTGCAAGACCCGGGCAAGCACTACAACTATGAGACAAATGAATACGAATGGTTTTTCCCATGCATGCTCTGTGCGCCAGCCCCCGATGACTCACCTAAAAAGGTCACCCGCAAGACGTACAGGGAGCACCAAGACAACCCTGTGAATGTCTTTGGCTCACAGAACCTGGCCACCTTCGAGCGAGACGCGCTCAGTGGCCTACGAACACACGCGAGCGCACAGGAACCCAAAGCCTCTGGCTCTCGGCTGTCAATTCCTCCACATGAAGGCGAACTTCGGGCGCAAAATCCGTTGAGAGCGACTGTGGAGGAAATACCAGAGGAAGACGAAGTTGTCATAGGACATCAGGTGCGTACATGTATCTACTCCTTCTAGTCATTTTGTTAAAAGCGTCTTCAACTCTACCTCAGGAAAACACGCATGAGCATTCTGTACACGACTCAGAGGCTCGCTCTCGTCGACAGGAAGCTGTAAGTTCAGCTCTATTCATCAATGCAGTACTAACTATATTGACGATGGCTCAGCAGGACCACGAGCGTTGTCAGTCAAGCTCTCCCAGAGCACCGTCTCGTGCGCCGTCCGAGCAACAAGCCGAAGTTCACAACCTGTTCGGCAACGAACCCGGTCCAGAGACAGCTGGAAACGCGCGAGGCACCATGGGATATACTGATGAAGACCTCGAGGAGCTGTGGAGGAAAGCAGAGCTTGCAGATATCATCGATTCATATGAATATATCAATCTCATTCGCAATGCCTCTCTTGCCGACCGATTCAGCACGTCCACGCTCTCACCAGAAGCTCTTGACAGACTTAAGAACCCTCGTCGAGGACCTCCACCTCTCGCCGATGCAGATCTCGAGCTTTCTATGAAGATGTTCTTCACCAATATAACTGAGGACGCTTATGCTCAGATCGCTCAAGCTATCCGACAGCGTGAGCCCAACGTGAAGGTCTATACTCACCACCAAGTCAAGAAACACATCGAGAACCTCAGCGGAGTCGAGCCCATCTGGTCCGACATGTGTATCAACTCATGCGTCGGCTACACCGGGAAAAACTTCGACTTAGAAAAATGTCCGCGATGTTTCGAGCCACGCTACGATCCCGTACAATCACGCATAGCAAAAAAGAAGGTACCGCAGCAGCGGTTTGTTACGTTGCTGCTCGGCTTGCAGCTTCAGTCGTTCTTCGCCACACTGGAGCACGCCGAGCTCATGCAATATCGCGTCCTCAAAACCGAACAAAACCTCCACCGCGTCGACGTCGAGGGCCGTCCTATAGAAGTGTTTGAAGATGTATTCAATGGTAAGCAGTATCTCGATGCTGTTCGTCGAGGCGACATAAAACCTGGAGACCCCGTTCTCATGTTCTCAATTGATGGCGCACAACTCTATGCATCGAAGCAATCCGATGTTTGGATCTACATATGGGTGATTTTTGACGTCCCCCCTTCTCACAGGTACAAGAAAGCTTATGTTCTACCTGGCGCTGTTATCCCTGGACCTCGCAAACCGAAGCATCTCGAGTCGTTCCTATTCCCTGGATTCCACCATCTCTCTGCCATACAACGAGACGGACTTGGTCTCTGGGATCCTCGCCTCGACACCACGTATATTTCCCATCCTTACCTTCATATTGGCACAGCCGACGGCCCCGGGATGGCTTTCTTATGTGGTCTCTCAGGTCACCATGGCCGAATGGCTTGTCGTCTTCTGTGTGGTACTCCCGGGCGACATCCTGACGGCTCTGGTCATTATTATCCCATGTTACAGCAGCCGACCTTCCCTCCCGGTCTCATTGTTCCCAACTCTATGCATGAAGACCTCGATGTCAGAACTCTACCCAAGGCTGGCGATGGAGACTACAATACCATCATTGAACGCATCACAGAATGTCGAACGAATGCTCAGTACGAGTCTGTACGTCGAGATACAGGCATTACAAGGCCATGCATTTTCTTAGGCCTTCCTCGCGATCACCTTCTCCCTGTCCCCCATTGCTTCGGATCCGACTGCATGCATCTGTGGACGTTCAACGTAGGTGATGAGTTAATCCCCCTGTGGCACGGCGAATTTTCTGTCAAGGCGCCAGACTCACGAAACGGCTGGACCTGGGGCGCTCTCATGGACAAGGATGAATGGGCCAAGCATGGCCAGCTCGTAGCTAATGCGACACCCTTCCTCCCTGGCTCCTTCGACCGCCCACCTCGCAACCCTGCTGAGAAGATTCACAGCGGGTACAAAGCATGGGAGTATTATCTCTACTTGTATGGAATCTGCACTTCGATTCTATTCGGCGTACTCGAGGATCGATTCTACAAGAATTTTGTTGAGCTCGTCGGAGCGGTTCGTATTCTAGGTCAGTTCCGTATCACACTGCAACAGCTTGACGAAGCCCAAGAAAAGATCTACAACTTCGTCGAGGGCTTCGAGCGCGAGTATGTCGACAGGCTCCCAGAGCGAATCCACTTCGTTCGGCCATGGATACATGTGCTCACACACCACGTCGAAGAGACCAAAAACAAAGGGCCGCCGATATGTTCATCTCAGTGGACAATGGAACGAATGATCGGGAGTCTCGGGCAGGAATTACGATCACACCAGAGTCCGTATGCTAACCTCGCCCAACGTGCAGTCCTTCGCAGTCAAATGAACGCTCTCTCGAAGATGTATACCTTTCTCGGCGTGGAAGATCCGGTCAACAAACTACCTATGGGTTCTCTGGACCTCGGTAACGGCTACGTTCTTTTGCCCAAGCGAGAAAAATCCCCCAAGAACGTCTCCACTGCAGCTGGAATTGCTATACATCTTGCAATGGAGGAACGCGGCATAGAATCAGTACGAAGACCTAGGATACTAAAATGGGCTAGACTGCGCTTACCAAACGGCCAAGTGGCTCGGTCGGTCTTCAAGGAGGCAACCATGAATGTAGCCCGTGGTATTCGTATGGCTCGCAACATAAAGGTACGTATTGCACTTATTATATTCGCATGACGGCTTATCACTACATACAGATCACCCTTGAAAACGAGACAAGATTCGCTGAGGTTCAATACTACTTTCAAGCAGATGAAGACCAAACATTCGCTCTCGTGTCCTTGTACAGCCAGCACGATGAACATCTCTACCGCGAATCGCTTGGGACATCAATCGCATGTGAATATCACGGAGAACGCGAACTGAGGGTGATACCGGTCGAAGACATTAAGTCTGTCGTTGCGCTGGTATTGCATAAGTTCCCTCACAAAGAGACACCTTCTTTTTATTTGATCGAAAAACCTGGGCTCGAGATAGCCGTTTTGACAGGCGTAGGACACGATGAGCTGGCAGAAATAGACGACGACGCAACATAGATACCTGCACAATATAAACATGTTATACATACGCACCTCAATGAATGTATTCTAGTGAATCTGAGTCTCTGATCATAATCACACTTGTAATGGACAATAGCACATGTCATTGAATCGACGATATGTACTACAGTCATCTTATGTACACAAAAGCGTAAGGACTGTAAGGTAAAATGATTGATAGTAGTATAAACGCGAATGGGAGCAAGCGGGGGAGTAGTAATGCCGGTCAAGGAAAGGTGGTATAGCGAAGAAGCAGATGCAAAGGGTCTTTAAACTGTGGGGAACTCACGTCGAGCGAGATTGCTGAGACTCGCGATGACCATCGTCGTTCTCCTTCTCGTCATGATCTTTGCCGTCCTGCAAGTCACTCGCCTTCCTCTTGAGCGAAAGGCGGGGTGACCCATGTCCCAAATATATCCCTGGGGCTTGAGGCGGGCTGTACAGCAGCAGTGGTGCCCTGAGCTGAGAGGGCGATGGAGAGGACAGAGAAGGGCTGCGGCGAGCAGCAGAAGCAGAGTGTGAGACGTCGTGCGGGGACTTGTTGTGTTCGGGATTTTCGGTGTTCAGCAGAGTACGATCCTCCGTGTCATGCTCTGTTTTGATGACAGCTGGAGTAGCAGCTGCTCCAACTGCGAGCGTCTGGAAGAGAAATCAGTTAGTAAACGCAGATGTATAAGGTAAACTACGAACCTGTTGTTCTTGAGCTTGTCTAAGGGCCCGCATAAGAGAGCTTTCTTTGTCGAAGCGGGGCATGGGCGGGGGCGTTGTGTCTTGCCTATATGCGCGAACAAACGTGGATGGTTCGAGATAATCTGCATGCTGAGGGAGTCGACTGTGAGAGATGCGATACCTGTAGGGGGGATCATCAGAGTCTCGTGGATGCGTTGGATGGTACCAGGAGGGTAGAATGACGGAAGGAGTCGGCTCTACAAAGGTGGCCAGGATATAGGGGCGCTTCAGAGGCAGTGCGATCCTGTCTGACGCCATACCCGGAGGTTCGGAAGCGTATCTGGTGGACTGAGGGGTCCTTGAGATGTTTTGAGCAGCGGATGGGGCATTTTCAGGAAGATGGTGCTGAGGGACGTGTGACGAGGCAGTGTCCGGGACAAGAGACTGAGAAAGCGGAAAAGATTCGGCATGTGCAGGTGCGGTGGATGAGGCGATCGATTCTTGGGTTTCAAAAGAGGGAGTGGACTGCGAGATGGGAGCAGCGGTGTTCTCAAACACGGTGGGTTGAAAACGATGTGGTGCCGCTGTATTGTTGTATAGCCTGACTGCAAAAAACTGAATGTCGTATCAGTGGCGAGTATATGCGGTAATAAAACCGATGAACTCACCATAGGTTCGAGAGAGGAGGGCTGGAAACGGAAAGAAAAAGCGTTCCCTAGCTGACAGTTGATGTCGGCTACGAGAACGTCGTCGATGATGTGGGTGGTCGCTCTGGAGTGTTGGTGGTCGGAGAGCGTGGCCACACCGACGTTTTCTTCGAAGATGTAAACATTAGGGTTGCCGCGGGTGGTAAAACGGGAAGACATATGGAGTAAGGGCTTTGTTTGGACACGAGGGAGATGGACGTCGGCAACGAAGATTAATTAAAGCGGGACACTTTGTTTTGAGGGGGCCGAGGCGTGGGAAATCGAGATAAGATCTCAATCTACCCTTTGCGTCAGCTCGCTCTCGCCCTCTTCCCTCTTCATCGACCTCAAAATACCCATTGGCTCTCTAAAAAATATCCATGTATTCTATGTCAACCTCCCAAACCCCCAACATGCCACCGCCACCTCTTCCTCAGCTCCGTGGGACTGACCAGCTACTCCGCATGGGCTCCGAGATCCCAGGACAAGAGCGCTACGCCCACGAGGTGCGTTGCCATGTGCTCGTCAAGGCCCGAGGATTTTCTAATCTAATCTTATATGGACAGGATCTATACCGTACTCTGGCGCCATCTCACCGCAAAGCCCCTATTCCGGATATTAACAGCGCATGGTCGGAAGTATTCCGCCTTCGTGGAGAGATAGCAGTTCTCAATGAGAAGTAAGTTCATTGCCGCAATTTGATATTCGGGTGTACACACTTCTTTATTTAGATATCAAGCCGCTCTCAAGGAGAACGAGCTCCCGCCCCTGCCTCCGATCAAGAAGGGCCCAGATGTTCATTCAAATCTTCGCTACGAGGATGATCCTGACACAGAACTCGATCTACAAACCTACCGCGCGTGCGAGGGGACCTGGACCGAGGGCGAGTGGTCCAAGGGTCAAGGTAACAAGGCACTGAAAGATGGTATGAAGGGGGTAAAGAAGCAGACGGGAGGCCAAGGTAAGAGCCGGATGAGGAAGGACATCAACGTGAAGTGTGAGTTCCTCACCGACAAGGATGGCAAGGCCCTCGGCGGTATTGCGGCAGAGCAAGTCCGACTGAAGATGTACTCGACCTGGCACACGCTCCTCAAATTCAAGGACGGTGTCGGCTTACCAGCGACTTGGGGAGAAATGACTAGTGTGTACACCGATTGGTTCATTAGCGCTAATCGCCGCCTCTGCCCCGTCTTCCGTCTCTGTGCCGACAACTGGAAGCTGCAACACCTGGCTTCGGTCAATTACTCAACCTGGCGCAACAAGTGGGCCCCCGATAAAGCCCCTAAGCGATCGCTCGGCAGCGCCGATTCGGACCGCCCTCGAAAACGGGCAAAGAAGTCTACGAAAACCGAGGATTGTTCTATTGACGACTCTTCGGGCAAGGACTTTTCGGGCGAAATCTCTTCAGGCGACAAGTCTTCGGTTACCATTACCTCGGGCGATATCTCTGTGGTTAACGACGCTTCGGTCGTCGTCGCTTCGGGCGACATCTCTGTGGTCACCGACGCTTCGGTTGCCATTTCCTCGGGCAACATCTCTGTGGTCACCAACTCTTCGGTTGTCGTTGCTTTGGGCGACATCTCTATGGCTAACGAATCTTCGTTCGACGTCGCTTCGGGCGATGTCTCTGTGGTCAACAACGCTTCGGTCGTCGTCGCTTCAGGCGATATCTCTGTGGCTAACGACTCTTTGGGCAACAAACCTCCGGGGGACGAGGGCTCCATTGATGTAAACATGACCACCAACGAAGATCAAGATCAAGAGGATATTCCGCTTATAAGCCCTCTGTACGTGCCAAGCTTCGTTTGAGGCTGTCTAGCTGACTCAATATGTTCATTTGTTTATAGTATGGACATGATAGCGAAGGCTACTTTGCTATCTGCGCCATCGACTAAATTCAGCACGAAGATCAAGGGCGAAAAAAGGACCACAAGGAAGACCACCGCAGAAAACAAAGCGTCTAAGTCCTTGTCTCAAGCGGCAGCAATCGCGACGGACGAATCTCAGACGAACGCGAACACGAACGAGCCCAGCGTAACTCAGACGGTCGAAGGGGAGAACACGACTCAGGCAACAGCGACTCAGGCGAGCCAGGATGCGACTGGGAGCCGCAAGGCGCGCAAGCTTCTCGTTATCCCGGCCACAGTCACTGCAAAGTAAGCGTTTATCTTTAATTTTCTATTGATCTAAAGCTGTTATAGGTGGGAATGCGCGCGAGAGTGGATAAAAGTGTCTGCCGATAACGTCTATGAGGCCGATTTCAAGGCGCACTGGAAGTCCGAGAGCGCGAAGACGGATCGTCTCGCTGTATGTTGTTCTTTTCGTATGTTCTGAGCGTGTATACCATTGACATCTGTCGTAGTATTGGCTGGACGCGATGAAGAACGCGAAGGAGAAGAAATTGAAGGAGGTTCGCGGTGAGTTTCGTCGTTCCTGTGTGTGGATGTACTTGACATATCCATTTTTAAAGGCGTTTAAATCTGTTGGATTTCGTCGACGGCGATCCTGTGTGTCCTACTCGTTTGAGTCTTTAATCGCATTTGGGACCTTTTACGTGCGTTTGCTGGTTTTTAATTTCGATTTCGATGCTCTCCTTTCCCTCATTCGCTTTTAATCTGCGTGTTTCGTTTTCAAAATGCTGTATAGTGTTCTAAATTATGGTGTGCCGATGCAATGAGAACTGTGTGCTCTGTCTAGTGTTGTGCAGGGCAGGGCCTCAGGCCCTTAAGCCCTCAGGCCAAGCCCTATAAAAGCCCAGCCCAGCCCAAGCCCTTGTTCGGGCTTTTGAGGGCTCAGGGCTGGGCCTAGGTTATTGTGAGGCCTGAGCCCTGGGCCCAAGCCAGGGCCTGAGGGCGAAAATTTGCGAACATGTGTCCCTAAAGATACTCAATCTATAATCCATAAAATCTGCATGAATACAGTGTTCATGAGTTTGCTAAGACACTCATTTTATTTTTTATTTATTTACCTGTGTTGCTATGCCTTTGTCTTGATGATGCCGCTTCTTATGACTTGACACTCATTAGTTAATGTCCGACACTTCTACTAACCGTGGGAAACTTTCAATCAAAAGCGCGCAGTGTCCTAGATCTAGTAGGTATTGCACCACTTGATCTCCTTACCCTCCAGAAGGGGTATAATCTTCGAGCTGATATCAATAGCAGTACATCATATCTGGTTAAGTAGGATAACTTTGTCATAAACCATGACATGAGGTCGGGTTTTTTTAATGCTGCCTTACTCATGTCTTACCAATACCCTTGTTATCTGATTAAAACTTTACCAAGCAAGTTGATATCTGAGTCAGGTCCTTTGTAACACACTTCCTGACTCATTTGTGATAATCTCCGATGCTATGGAGAATTATGTTATGCCTAGTCGCTCTCTGAGTATTTAAGAGGCTACATTACAAGCATCAGACTTTACATCTTTGCTTCCAGGCTATACTCATGGCTCCTGCTGTCCCTAGTGACACAGAGATATCCCCCTCTATAAAACGACCTCATAGACAGTCCATACTCTCCTACAGACTCAAAGACCCTGATAATGGGGCAATTCCTGAGCTCAGCAGTCATCAAGATCACTCTCATGCAGACGCTTCCAGCAATCAATCATCACAGTGGAGCCTCTTACCCTCAGGTCCTTCTGAGAGGCGAACTGCTTCTATTGCCTTTCCATCATCAGCTGATGAATCTGATGCAGGAGATGGTGTAGCAGCAGCCAGGTCCACTGCAAAACAAGTCAAAAGTGCGTTCTGAATTACATCTATCATAACTTTAGCTCATCTGGGTTTTCTGATTTTATGTGGCTTCACAATGCTATCTAGAAAAGCGGCTGCATAGACAGGATACAGGAAGCTCTATATCAGTTTCTCATCAGCTTGAAGGTAAGCTTCGGTGGTAACTTAATGTACACTGCTCTTGATGATATTTAACCTGTCTTTTACTATAGATATCAGTATGATAGATGCAGGCAAGTGCTCATACCAGCTATTCCCTTTTATGTGCTAAAACCTAGGTATTTAGATGACTCTGCTGCCGTGCAGAGTGACACGGGCCCTGCCACTGCCTCTGTAATGTCAAAGACAAAAAATCGCAAGCAAGCTCATGATGAGGACATTCTAGACAATGAGGGGATGCTAGAGGACGTTCATGTTCAGTCTATTGATGATACTGATGCTCCCAAGAGTGAAGATCGCACTCAGGATGTCTCAGCTTTTTTTGGAGCAGTATATACAGTCAGATCTCCCTCAGACAACAAGTTAAAGGCATATAGAGATTGTAACCTCTGCAAGTAAGTGATTTTTGTCCCAGGGAATCTTACAGGCTACTGATACACTTATAGGAAGCATGGTCGTAAATTTCAGTATATTAAGGACATATCTACCCTGAGGCGGCACTGTGCTGCATTTCACAAGGTATTTTATCTGCTATAACATCTGCTTATATGCTGACCAAGTGATATATTCTCTAGGCTGACTATCGCAGCTGGTGCAGCAAGAATAACTTCAAATCCATGCTCCCAGATGACATAGAGGCTAGAAATACTGCCGCTTCACTTGCCACCATGACTCAGGGCAGTCTAGATGGCCATGTTCGTGCAATTGAACCAGGTGAACAAGTGGTGCCCTATTCCAGTTCGCTTTTTCGAGAGGCAGCTGTTGATTGGCTTACTGCCACAAATCAGGTGAATATAAACGATTTTATCCTATCAAATACTCATGAGTTTCCAGCCAATTAGAGCACTTGAGCATTCAAGCTTCAAGTACATGATAGATGTTGCATCTAGGGCAACAAAAGGTCTTATTATCCCCAATCGTCGAGCCACCAGGGGCGAAATCATCCTAAGATTCAAGAGAAGAATGACTTTCTTAAAAGAGCGCCTCAATGTGAGTATCCTCCTTATTTTTCTGCTCTAAGTGGACACTTACTCTTTCTACAGAGTAAATATGTCAAGGGTGATGTTAATATCACCTGTGATGGTTGGCAAGCTAGCAATGCAGACGCATACTTAGGCGTCACAGGACACTGGATTGAGGAGCAGGACAATGGCTCATGGGTCCTACAGTCTGCGCTTTTGGGGTTTGTACAGCTAAACAATGCCCACCATGGTGTGAGGTTAGGTCAGGCTTTGTTTAAAGTCTGTGAGCGACTGAGCATCTCTCATAAGGTTTATAATACTGCTCCACCTTTCATTCATTCAGATATTGACCCTTTTCACCGCTTAGATTGGCCATGTCACTTGTGACAATGCAAAAAATAATGATACAATGTTAGAAGAGTTTGCTAAACGAATCCTCACTAAAGGCAAGGTCTGGATTCCTAAGGAGTGCAGGATCAGGTAAGAGACGTCATGATATATCAACCGCACCCTTTTTATGTGTTTTAGGTGTCTGGCTCATGTTTGCCACCTTGCAACTCGTGCTCTTATCTCAACATACAGCAAGGCACCATTCTACAACCCCTCTGAGGCATATTTAATTGTTCCTGATGAGCATGGTCGCAGAGATGAAGTCGGGCTAATCAGGGCAATTGCAGTGAAGGTATTAACTCGTCTGGTAATGCAATATCCTGTACTAATTATTGGAGTCAAGGCACGGTCTTCTTCTCAGCGAAAGCAGCTCCTTTTGGACATTCAAAAGCGCCCACCTGCTCCTGAACATACTCCAAAGCAGCTTTTGCTTGACATGCCCATCCGGTGGTCTTCAACATATGTTATGGCTGTTAGGGCTGAGAAAATGCGCGAAGTAAGTTTGGGATTTTTTCTGATTTATCTACGCGGTCAAAACTCACCATGAACCGACTCTATAGCATGTAGATACCTTTGTCTATGAGCTGGGAATAAGGGTGGGAGCCAAGGACCTCAAAAAGCGCCAGACCATAGACAATATGAAGCTATCAGATAGAGAATGGGAGCGTCTTGGACAATTCTCCTCCTTGCTTGCAGTTCGTTTGTTTTAATCCCTTTCATGTTACATTATTCTAACAATCTCTTTAGCATGCTGATAACGCTCAGCAAAGCTTCTCATCAGCTGAAGTGCCATCCCTTCACCTTGCTTTGCCTGCTCTCGAAGCTCTGTACAAGGCCTGGGAGTCGAGATCTGAACAGTCAAAATACTCGGACTTCAAGGATGGTCTTGAGGCAGCTACCCAGAAGATTCTAGAGTATTATGAACGCACTGCTGATTCAGATGCATACACCATGGCTATCTGTTCGTATTTATTTATTGTTTCCTCTGCTCCACTAATTCTGTATCTGTAGTACTTGATCCTACAGTGAAAGACACCTTCTTTAAGAGATATTGGGGTGAAAGGCTGCGTGTTCAGGTTCTCCACAATGCAGAGCATATAGTAAAGTGTTTTTGATATACTTTCTGACCTGTTTAGACTAATGGGATGTTAATAGTTCAAGGAACGTCACCAACAATTATTCGGGACAAGCACTGCACCCAGGGCTCCAAGGCGGCTTTCTGGCAAGGTCAACAAACTCCTAAAAGAGCTCTCCAGCGATGATGAGGATATTGGAGCTGAAGACGAAGCTGATAATGCCTCAGCACCCTGGGCTAAGGAGTTTCATGCTTACCTTGGCTCTGTGACACCTCTTCCAGAGGATATGTCTATTGTACATTGGTGGGGTGTAAGTCGTCATATTTTGCTGCTTTTTATGTTTCTGAATTTTGTTTCAGCTAAATTCTCCCCTGTACCCAGTTTGGGGTTCTCTGGCACGCGATTACCTTTCTATCATGGCCTCTTCAGTCTCGAGTGAGCGTGCATTTTCTGCAGCTGCTGAAGTTATCACCAAACGGCGCAATCGTCTTGGTGGAGATGTTGTTGAGGCTATTCAAGTGTTGAGAACGCTTAACCGCCAGGATTTAATCTTCCGTGAGCCAGGGACATCCTCAGCGACTGAAATAGCTCTAGAGAAGGCAGAAGAGGATGGTATAAACGATGGAACCACTCAGAAAAATAATGAGGGAGTTGAGGATTGGATTTTAGACGTTTCAGATGACGAAAATCAGTGGGACTCAGAGAAGTAACATATCTTAGGCTACATTGAATGTTACATCAAAATAAAATACTATTTGTCGCATTTTTGGACGCTTGAGCTGTCTATGATAGTTAAGGATGTACAAAATCAATTCCTTATATTTTCTTCTACTTGTTTGAGGCAAAAACACGAGATAAAAGCAAAAGCCCTGGCCTGAGCCCGAGCCAGGCCCAAGCCAGGCCCTGGCCCTATGTAAGGGCTTGGCCTGGAGTTTTTTGAAGCCCGAGCCCTCAAAAGCCAGGCCCAAGCCAGGGCTTTCAGGCCAAGCCCGGCCCTGCACAACACTAGCTCTGTCTCGCGTCTTTAAACCCGAATGAAAATATATTGTATCTGTTTATTCGTCCCCTGAAACGCATTCTTAAAATACTGGTGTGACTTTAAAATGGAAATCGTGTTCTTAAAGTGAGGAACACGTTCTTAAAAGGTTTCTATTGATGTTTGTAAAGATGAGTTCTCACTGGGCTTCAAGAGCCATTGGCCGTGCGTGGGAAAACATATCACATAAAGCGCGCGTCAAATGCTGTGCACATGCTGTGAGTACTCAGTGCTCCCAGTGGAAACGTGCTGTGCTCGATTCAGTGGGAATCCGGGCGGATTGGTGAATTGGAGCATAGTAGGGCACATCTTTGATTTTTCATCAATAAAATACGGGCACATTGGTGAAAGCCAATGCATGTGACCTTGACGCGATTAGAATACCAAAAAATTCGGTGCATATGGCAGTCAGGGAACCAGATACGGGCCCGAACTTCCCGCTGTTGCTTCATCGATCGTCTTTTTCATGGATGGAATATTCCCAGCTGCGGTCCGGGTGAAAGGAAGTATTGCCGTGTTTGCTTCGTGAAATGCCAAGTCTTTATATGTCCTGAAATCGCCACAAATCATCATGTAGAAGTCCTGATTGGCTCGGACAGTGAATTTCAGTAGACGTGTATTTTCAAATTAGCTGTTGCTTGGCTCTGCTTGTTGTGACTTCTCTGAAAACAGCCCGGAACTATGTAGTTTTGATCCCCGCTTGTTACAGCCTTGCGCGCCGTGGACGCGTACTTCGCTCTCCCTTCCTCTCACCACCACCATCCTCTTCACCACCCCAAACACCGCCCGTACGCACTTGGGTACGTGTGCTACAACATTCTACTGGTTGCCGCAACATGACTCTTCCACGTTCGCCGCTCCTGTCAACCTCTCTAACTTACATCACTGGAAATTACTTCTGATTGTCGACTTCACGAGTAGGAAGGGATCGAGCATTCAGGTGAGTCAATTCCTGCAATCCAGTTTACCTTGCCTTTGCTCAACGACTGCACAAAGCTTGTCCTCTATGTGGTACGTACTCGCTACCTCTACTATCATACACCATGATTCATTCCATCAACAGGATTGCGATCGGGCGTATCCGGCTAATATCACTGCTCATTATTTGTAAAGATAGCCAGCATGTATATTTAGTAGCCTTTAATATATAATATCAAGTTGCTTTGGAATTTTTGCCATGGATGGAATAAACCAGATTGAGTCGTATTCTATTATAGAAATTATTTATTTAAATTGAGTTCACGTACTCGTGAATGCGTGCACCGATACGAACCGATGTGCCCGGATCCGAGCCAATGGGCGTCATGAATTGACACCAAAAAATCGGTGAACTGTCCAGCCATCGGTTCGCATTGGTGTGTATCGGTGCATCAAAGAAGCACCACGAGATATGCTTCGATTCACCAATCCGCCCGGATTCCCACCCATCTGAGCACAGCACGTTTCCACTGGGAGTGAGTCGCGACACCTAATTTGAACCTAATTTCGAGACTTTCGCTTTGACCAACACCATAAGCTCCCGAACTGATGCTGCCCCGGACGTGAGATACAGCCAGAAGGAACACGTCAAAGGCTTTAGCATCGTCTTCTTGACCAGGGCGGCTGAACTCTGCATTGGGATCAGGGTGATAGCCGTGCCAAACAGCAGGGTACGTCTCAAGGTCGCGCTGAGGATCCAATGTGACAGGTTTTTGGATACAAGTCGGCACATGCTTCTGCTGTATGCGCAATTTCTTGGATGCTATTTGCACATCGGCTCAGCTTTGGTTCGTGGGCGGCCACGGACTCCACGATGCACGTAGACACCTAATGACTGGGACAGAACTCCTGGCGAGCCAATACCACCGCTGGGGGTCAGTCTCAATCATATATGTTCTCGTAGGGGTTGACGCACTAACGCTATAAACTACTGCAGCACTAGTGCTCTGGTTTGCGATAGAGCTGAGTGGCGGTCATACTCGGACGTGGGCTTAAATCCGTCACGGCGCTTGTGGCTGTGCTCGAGCTTGTGCTCGTACTTGCACTACTTGAAGTAACGCGTACCACCACACACCCATTGGCTTCATATAATGGTACTATTAGTAAACTTGTCATATAGTTTCCATTGAGTACACATTGATGGTGTACATTAGCTGTCGGAGCTCTGAGGGCGATGGAGAGTAAGAGTGTAAGCATTAGACCAGCTGGGGATTTCATCATTTCCAAGAGCGACTCAAGAAGGGGTTAGTGGTAGTAAGCGAATAACAAGAATATTCAGGCTTAAGCCCTCTCTCTGAATTTGACGGTAAGGGTGCTCTCAGGGACCGGCCTGGTGGTCTTACGGATCTCACACACGGCGATCTCCCTGCCTCGAGCCCAGACTGCATCGCATCGACGTGATCTCTGCAACTAAGTTTCCGCGCACCCGTATCCTACGTATTCCCTCTACGTGCTATGCTACAGCACACGTATTTTGATCTTGAACGCACGTATAGGCTACGCTGTCCAGTAGACTCCCTGTGGAACTGAGGTCTCTGCCAACTCTTGATTGACATTGCAATCTTGTCCTAAGTATGCGCCTGGCAGAGTGATTAATGACAGCCATATACTGTAGGTTCGTTTCGCGCTTTGTGGCAAAGACTAGATTGCTACATGTCCGCTATCAGCGCTGCTATCTCACCTTTTTGTTCGTGAGTGATGACAAGTAAGATTATGTTAGCAATGAGCCAGGCACCATGCATCACGGGTTAAAACGGTGTTGTACAAAATCCACATCAAAGGCGGCGTATCGTCACGTAGCTCACTGTATAGACGCTATAAATAAGATGAGACAGGTTAGAATGCGGTGACTCTAGTAGTCGTTAATAAGCATCCTGTTGGGGGAAGGATGCCCTCCTCACCGTGGTTATTCTCAGCAAACCCTCGTATTTCAGTCTAGTCTCCATATTGATGTATGACTAGGACTCCTGTTCCCGCAGCTGGCCATGCGGGATCAAGGGTTCACACGGCTGTGCTTCTTTCCCCCAGATTATTACCTCCAGCGTGATATCAGTCTACGAAGCAGTAGCTGGGCCAGATGATCAAAACGGTGTTTGGAGTGTTTTCGAGTCGTGGCCTTGTTGGGGTTATCTTTGGATTCATCTGGGCACGTTGAATGAATATCGTGTTGGAATGTGACATGATTCCAATGTACTCTAGTGTCGAGCACACGTTTACTCGTAAATTCAGGGAACGAAAAGATTATGTGACAAATTTTCATTTTACTATTGCCTTTACCAAGTGGTGGAAGTTACACCGTCAAGTAACCGGCCAAGAACTGCCTTCAGTAATCGAGGAAGTTGTCACTTCTGGACCGAGTCCAATGCTTGAGAGAAGTCCAACGCTTGAGGGAAGCTCGTGGATGCTTTGCTCTAATTTGTACTTGCCCGATTGCAAATTGACATGAAGCGGCGCACTCAAGGCTCTTACACGCGGGATATCACTATTTGATGAGCTTCCCTCGGCGCTGTCCGTGGTTGCGTTCCCGTCGGGATGGCATGGCGAGTACTTAACCAGACACTGGCTTTGTGCTGCAACCTCGCTCGAACGACATCTTCCCTATTTCACACCATTTTTACAATTATCAGGGCGTAAATGTCACTAAACCAGTCTTGGGCGCCCATAGATGCTACCAGCGCTGATGTTTGGGGAGAACGTGCTCTGTTGGATGGGTCCTTGTTGGGAAGTGTCGCCTACGGTATGTTGCATTAACTATGTCGATTATTAAATCTCTGACAGGTTGTCTTTTCACTCAAGGTGTTCACTTGACGCTGTTTGCGCTATGCTTTAACATGTTGCTGTCAACGCGACGTAAAACAACGGGAGACTGGTTCCATTTGGTCTATATCTGTGTGGTATTTGTGCTTGGCACCATCGGAAATGCTTTAACCTCTCGATGGTCCGAGATGGGTTTCATAGACAACGTCAATTTTCCTGGCGGGCCAAACAAATTTAGCGAAGCCGAGAACACTAACTGGGTCCTCGTGACCTCTGAATCAGTTTACGTCGTCAACCTCTGGCTTGCAGACGGCCTCTTGGTACGCGTATTACGCTTTATTATGTCTCCTCTTATCTCAGATGACATTGCGTTTGATACGCTAGCTTTACCGTTTCTTCACCATATGGAGGCGTAATGTGTACGTGACCATAATCCCCGTTTTAGCGTTCTGTGCAACAGTTGGCGAGTCACGCTTTCATCCCTCATTTCTTACAACAGCTAATGATATGATAGTCCTTGGATGTCTCTTGATCAACGAGCTTCCTAAGCCCTATCCACCGTATCCTCTTGAGTTTACAATCCAGCTTCCTGTGGCATTTTGGTCCTTGTCAATTGCCTTCAACGTTCTGTTGACGTTGGCAATTATTGGACGACTTCTATACATGCGGTGGAGAATAAGGTCAACAGCTGCTTCTGTGGTGCTCACACCCTATGTTTCCATCAGCGCAATGCTCATCGAGAGCGCGGCAGTTTACACGATTACTGGCTTAGTGCTTGTCATTGGCTTGGGTCTAGTAAACAATATCCAACTCTTGGCTCAGCAAGTCCTGGGTCAAACTCAAGTAAGTCTAGTTTCTCTGGGAAAAGTCAATATATTGACCACATAACTAGTCCATTGCGCCGCTGATGATTATATATCGGGTGCTACAGGGCAAGGCGTGGTCCATGGGAACCTACGGATCCTTCGATAATCCGACTGGAGTGCTTGTTGCAAAAGACTTTTCTAATGGAGGAGGGTCAACGGGTGGCTTCTCGAACGAATTACCCCCGCCTTTTAAAGTCCATGATGGTTTAGTACAGGAAGCATCTTACAACTCTGAGCAAGTTTGAGTCGTTTACGTTTCTGAGTTAATTCCAGATGGCAGAACGTAGCTGAGTAGATAACACCACCGTACCATCGCTGTCATGGGATGTATACAGCCACCGGACTTTAATTACGCTTTGTCTCTTGTGTTAATGCTATCGCTTTCCTTGTTAAAGACACTGTGGCAACCGGCATATAACATTTCTATCTCTAGTCAGGGAATGGTCGGATTCGTATACGTTTGCGAGCACTAATATCATTGCGCCTCAGATGCTCCAAGTAAGTACGAAGGCTCTCATCTCCTGTGCCTGTTTTTATTTTTATTTTTCCTTTTAAATGATGAGATTATGCGCCGGTACATAGGTATGTTCTTTGAAGTTAATTCAAGGGTATTCATATTCAGCCACTTCCACTTCTATCCAGAATGCGACCTTGGAATTCCTATTATCCATAAATTTCATATTTAGCTAGCAGCACTAGAAGGCTATAACGTATTTACCTCCTTTGTACGCAATGTCTGGGTTGCTATCATTCTCGTAAAATATAAAACATGTGCCTACATTGTCGGGACAAACTTGCTGATCTTGAACCTGATAGTAAGTAAGACTGAAATGTCGTCTCAAGACGAGATCTCGGGCACCTACTTGGGGAAATACTGTTTACTGAAAAAGCTCCCATAAGTGCAATTAATGCAACGATAACCCTTCTGAGTACCACAGTACTTCGAAACATGGATGAGGAAAAAGATGATATGCTAGTGTTAATGCGAGGAAACTTCACTGTTACTTTACCTTTAAGTAGTAATCACATGGGAAACCCTCACAGACAGCAGGCTTCAGTTGGTTGCGATCGGTGCCCTAGGACCTTTGGATAAAGAAGCCCTGTTACAACATTGGTGCAACAAGTTCTCCCATAGGAAAACGGTGTGATGGCTGAGAAATGTCCAAGCTGGACACAGTAGCCAGTATGACGTGCCATACAGGCCATGCGAGTGAATGTCGAAGAGCATAGGAGAAGGCAGTAATAATCCGTGGTATGTGGTCAAACCGACGCGGGAAATTCCATGCTATGTACACAAACCACTAACAATATCCGTGGGAGTATTGTGCGCCAGGTGAATACGAGACATTCAGCTTATACGCGGGGTTTTGAGACGAGGTTATGTACAGCTAGCTCCACTTTTCATCGACTTACTTCATCGGGTATTTGTGAAATGTAGTATGAAACATTTCATGATTGGCCAGAACATGTTGATGGGGTCATTGACATCCAGATAAGCCACAATCATCTAGTACTAGTATTAGAATGAAGGTCCTAGCCACTTTCCCCCTGGTATGCGATGTCTGGGTTGATATCGTTCTCGTAAAATGCAACACAAGTGCCTGTATTGTTGGGGCAATAGTCGGCACCTGTGGTAAATTTTGATCGTACATGAAAATGAAAGATGCCTCGTAATGAAGTCCAAGTGGGCACTTACTGGAGTCGTAGGGTCTACTGGCTACTATTTTAGCTGCCATAAGTGCAACCAATGCAACCACAATCTTTCTGAGTATCGATGTTCTCGGAAACATGGAGTGGTAAACGATGACGGGACAATGGAATTGCGATGACGCTTCGCTGTTACCGTACCTTTAAGGAGTAGCTTGATTGTTATGATTATTTACCTATTTTTGTTTTCGCTGACAACAGGCATAAAACTAAACTACTATTGATGTTTCAGGATCGCGGCTACAGAGCGTCACACTGCAACAACGCTTGATGAAGTATGACCGGGGTACAATGAAGTGACAACTCATAATGATCCAAGCTGCACGGAACAGTGAGATTCAGCTCTTTGATTACAGTCCATTTATTACTGTGGTGCTTTGGACGCGCTGTGCAATAAACAATGGGGAGCACAGCCTTAGGCTGCGGTAATTCGCAGCCTTCGGCTGAATGTAGGTGTACTACCACGGCGCTCCTCAATAACTAAGTTTCCTTCAGCCGAACATGTATGTCCTTCGACTTCTCCCGCCAACTTCCCACTCTCCTGATCTCGCTGTGATAACAGCCCGGCCATAGGCGATTCAGCGGCTACAATTGCCTGGACGTAGTGATGTCAAACCCGTATACAACACCGCGCCGTGGGCAACAGCCTATCATGCGTTGATGTGCCCATGGAGGGTGATGGGGGATGTAGCGCGATAGAAACGGTCAACAATGATGCAAACCTATGTGCACTGGGTAAGTGTCACATCAATTACATCCACTACATAGCCTTGAATCACCGCCAACTGGGGCGAGCCATCTCACGCTAATGATGCACATAAGCTCACTATTAGAATCGTACGGAAGCCTTGACGTGCGGCTCAGTAACATGCCACAGGTAACACTCAAATTATACGGTCCATCGACATCCATCTTCAATCTCATAACAGCTACCACTCTTTTTCTCGCAAACCTTTACGCCGTTCTCAACTTCCTGAGCCTACACAATGCTCGAGTCGATAATCATGCCTATCGAGGTATATTATGCACGTTCCGTCCTGTACGTCCCCGTATAAGCTAACTTCTCTCCCGATAGAGTATCTTTCGAATACAAAAAACGCACGTCTTCCTATCGCTCTTCAAGACGTTGCCTTAGCATTTGAATTCACCGATGACACACGCTATGACCTTGACTCCGCCGAAACATGGAGGTCGCTAGTGCCGCCAAAGACAGCAGGGTTTGTCCATCTAGGAGAGGATGCCACACCGTATTCAGTTTCTATGTACCATTCACTTCACTGCCTGGCTACGATTCGACGAGCGTTATCCGAAGCAGACAATGTTACCTGCACGTATCTGCCCAGCAACAAGCTGGACGCCGCGATGAAGCATTCAGACCATTGTTTTGACTACCTCACACAGCTTCTGAGTTGTAAAGCGGATTCCACGCTGGAGCAGATTGTGCAGCCTCAAGGAATGGATAACGATGGTAACAAGAGCGCAGTTCCTGCGTGGGCAGGATCAGGGAGCGGTGTTGTGCACAGGTGTCGCGACTGGACGCAGATCCGATCATTTGTCGAGAAGAATCGAGATGAAAAGAAGATCTTCCCACCCACTGACTGATGGTCATTGCATTCTCAAATACCCACCGCGATCATGGCGGACATTGCGTTACTTATAGTGCTACGGGTCGTCAAGCGTCATACATGATATCTGTGTCTGCGCCTTCTTCCACCTATTCAACGATCTCATCCTTCACATCATTATCTGCCATGATACCTCGTGCTATCTACTGGTTAATCAATCCTGCTTTTATGGCTTTGCTTACGTGCATAACCATTGTGAATGTAGGCCTCATATCCCGATTATCGGCCAAACGACAGAGATTCGACTTGATAGGGGGTGAGTCTTGTCATCAAGTATCATGGCGTGCGAATACTCCAACTTGCAACACTGTCCAGAGGCTCCAGTGCTTTTACAGCCCAAGCTTTGGATAGATGATGGTGGGAAGAGATACGGGTTGCATGACCAGTCAGAATGGGCCCAACTTGAATCAGCACAGGAACGATACGTGACAGATCAGGTTAGCGGCGATCTCTTCCAAGTCTCCCTGTACCACCAGCACAGGTGTATCAACACGCTGCGGGAGTCGCTTCTTGAAGCAAGCGATGGATGTGCTTCACTGAACAAGCCTTTGGTGGAAGCCTGCCTCAACTACGTAAGGTTGTCTTTGCTGTGCAGCGCACACGACACCATAGAACACGCCGACTCGATTATCCATGTGAATGGTCAAGACATCATAGCCGCCTCCGGAGTAGGTGTACCACGTGTATGTAGGGACTGGGGAAAATTAAGTAACTGGGTAGAGAACCACTAGAGATCACACTTCCGCCTTTGAAGCGGGTAAGGGCCAATATTAGGGTTGCTTCTTAAGCTTTCAATCACGGAGCCGTAGTATATTGGCCAAACACATACTTGCTAGATTCGCGAGTGCAAGTTCTGGGGAGAACGTCTTGAGTGTCTGTTGAGCAGCCTACTTGAAACTCCACTAGAGCGCCCGTTGGGCCTCCCCTTGGTAGTCCGTATATCAGGGAGAGACATCAACGCCATCAGCACTCTAGCTGTGTCGTCCAGCAACATACTTACTAAAGTGGCGCTGCAGAGTTATGCGAGCAGCACGTAGTAGTCTGGATGCTCTTTCATCGGGCACACATCTCGAGGGGTTTGACGATTAATATTTCGACGTGTTGTTCAACTACATTATGGTTCCCATAACACATGGTATTAACTACGCGGTTCCATGTAAAGATAGCAAAGTCTATTCCGGCGCTCTATTGAAGGAAGTTTAAAGGCGAAAATGCAAGCTCAGAAGGAATCATAGACACTAGATTGAATGAATAGACACGGGATATAACTAACTCGGAATAGAATGGGAACTGTCAGTGAACTGCAGCGAGTGACATAGATGAAGCGAGTGTGTCAAACCCGAAAGAAGAGTTGAAAGGGTTGGAGCGTAAGTCTCTCGCATCCCTAAATATTCAACTCCGATTCTATCACGTTTCCATTCAACCAGTCTGACGCCTTTCTCCATCTTTGAACTCGAACTCTCACCTCTCAACGCATAACGGCAGAGCGCTCGCACGTCTGAAACCGATCGTGGCCGCGATCAAACGCAGATAACCAAAGTGGAAGAAATGGATGCATTTGACTACAAAGAAGTATCGGTGTCTACGAACATACAAGTATGTAATAGCTACTAAATCTTAATCTACAATGCACGAGCAATGGACATACGGCGATTAGCTTTAAAGGAATACATCAGAGGCGCTATCAATGTCAAAGACGATTGACTGTTCGCCTAGTTCATATCGTATATCATGTCGGGACTCTGAGTGTTTGCATAGAAGGCGATACCTATGCAATCCCCAGTCGCCACACACGGGACAGCTATCATGAAAAATGTCGTTTTAGTGTTTGTCAAAATACTAGCTGCTGGTACCCACTGGCGCTAGAGGTAGGTAATGCTAACTATAGTCAGTAAACTAGGCGTTTCGAGGAATAAAAAAAATGCTCACCTAGTCTGCTCGAAGTGACCAACATGCCGTTGGATGGTAGTCGGGCCATCGATTCCATAGTTAGCTGCGCTTGTACGACCTGGACAAAGGCGAGCATTGTTGTGACTAAAGTGCATTTCAACGAGTGGCGGTTATCCATGCTGAGGTCGACGGTTTCTGAAATGGTTTCTGAAACCAGCTGGCTATATAAATATTCAGTGGTAAGTGTCTTCACTAGGTATCACATACTGCAGTGTATGCAGCGCGCCATTGACTCTTGCTGTGCAGATAACATGCACGGGGCTACAGTAAGCAAAGGTACCATCCAGTGTCTGATTTGATGGATCAGGACTCAGCAATCAGTGCAGGCGGCACTAGTGCCTATTGGCATCAAATGGTTGTCCATAAAGTCGTTCGGGAGTTCATATTACGATGATTGTTCCTTAAAATAGGATCACAGACCACGCTTCTGCAGTGGTGAAGGACCTCTGCGTTGGGTGATAACGTCAAGTCGGCTCTTAGGCCTGCCATCAAGATATGCTGTGGATGATCGATGAAGCCTAATGCTGTTACTTCCCCTCGGAGAGGTGAAATACCGAGGTGCTTAGCATTTGGACATCGGTTAAAGTCTCCCGTCAACCTGTGTCGAACGCCACAAAACCGATCTCTTTTGTTAGCGCTGCAGGATGGGACATAGACCAGAAATCTAAGCATCATAACTCGTATCCCACATCCCAACTAATGTCTATCAATGCATCCTGGGGCCCTACAGATGTCACAAGCCTGGAGATTTTTGGAGAGCGCTCCATGCTTGACGGTGTCCTCGTTGCCAATGTTGCTTATGGTATGTCGCAATCTATATATACACTACTTTCTGGCTCTAACATCCCTATCAGGCGTCCACTTAACGTTATTTTTTCTGTGTTTTAACGGGATACTTTCATCATCGCGCAAAGGAGCGCAAGAGTGGATTAACCTCGGCTATATCTGTGTTTTGTTCACTTTGGGAACACTTGGGAACGCACTCAATTCCAGGTGGATTGAAATGATCTTTGTTGATAATATAAATTTCCCAGGAGGGCCCCTCGCCTTCAGCGAAGCCGAGGGCACCGACTGGGTCCTTGTGGTCTGCAACTCGGTCTATATCGTCAATATTTTTCTCGCGGACGGTCTAATTGTGAGAAATTATCTTCAGAATCACTGCATAGCTCACTCAATGTCTCTTTGGATTTTTATAGTTATTCCGGTTTTTCATTATATGGAAGCGATATATCCCGATTATCGTTGTCCCAGCGTTGTCGTATTGTGCGACCGTTTGTGAGTTTACTATCGGGACAATGTTGATAGTAGTGACGCTAACTAGTATCATTAGGTCTTGGACTTTTACTCATAATGTCCCTTCCTCCGAAGTGTATCAGTCTTCCTCTCGAGTTCAGGCTGCAGCTTCCCGTAATATTCTGGTCTCTTTCGGTTGCCTTCAATGTACTTACAACTTTGGCAATTTCCGGACGACTGCTGTACATGCGATGGAAACTAAAGTCAACTGGAGCCACTACCCTCATTAACCCCTATGTATCCATTAGTGCCATGCTAATCGAGAGTGCAGCAGTTTATACCATCAACGGTCTGGTCCTTGTTATAAGCATTGGTCTACAAAGTTATATCCAGATATTGGCGACGCCGGTCTTGGGGCAAACACAGGTAATTTTTTGTCACCAGAAACACCGGTTATTATCTCACAACACACACAGTCAATTGCGCCGCTTATGATCATATATCGTGTACTGCAAGGCAAAGCCTGGTCTATGGACACTCATACTTCTCTTGATAAAACAATGTCCGAATTCGTTGCCGAACCTTTCGAAGCAGATGAACGAGGTGTTCAAGGATCCGGGAACGAAGATTCTCTCTCTGACCTTGTGACCCTAGCTTACCCGGATTTATAGAGTAGTTGCTTAGTGTGCAATTAACCTTGGTTGCTACGTAATGACCGTCAGCTAAACGGGCTCTATGATAAATTAACTTATATCTACTACCTTGGAGTATACCTCCATACGAACTTGGCGAAATTCTTGAAAAAATGCTGGTCTCGACGCACAAGCGTGAACTGTGATACAGTATTGATGCAGTGAGATTTATTAGGTATCTTGAAGCAGTTCATCTACCTCCCGCGACATAATCCTCGGCAAGCGCCGGTATGCTGCTTGCCCTGAAGTTGTGGACCGGCACGTGCCACGCGTCAGCTTACGCGCCTGTCCTAATATGCTTTGTGACACGGTTCCGCGCGTCTGACTAACAAGCATCCACCTTCTGACTCACGTACTCTCCGGATAGGTCGCATAAGAGGGCTGAACTGGGTCAACATTTTATCGTCCTCCCTTTTCCCATCTCGCCATGCCCGCTATCAGACCATCTCGCTCAAGCACAGCAGTGGCAAAGGAGAGCTCTGGGCCCGTGCAGATGAAGTTCGGAATCATTGCCAAAGGTTTGAATACCCCGAACGCTGAAGTAGCAGAGGATCTGGCAATCTGCACGTGCTTTCTACGCTCCTTCAAGCTCACGCGTACTGAATGTGTCCCTCGCTACGACAGGCGATATGTACTACCCCACAGACGCCCACTCCCGGCGCACATTTAGAACGAAAGAGGGAAAGGTGCGTCCTGACTTCTCCGTCCTTTTCATTCTCACGTATACTAATGTTACTAGGCCGTGACACCTCACCAATGGGCCGTGTACGACTTCACACGTACCATCCCCTGCGGTCGAGTAACAACCTACAAGGACATGTGTACTGCCCTGGGCGAAGGCTCGCCTCGTTCTGGTACGCCTTTCCTTCGATTCATTTGGCGTTTTTTTGACCTAACCCATGAGCAGTGGGCACAGCCCTTCGAAGAAACCCCTTTGCCCCCTTCGTACCCTGCCATCGCATCGTCGCGTCAGACGGCTCCGTTGGCGGCTTTCGTGGCTCATGGGGCGTTGGCAAGCAAAAACGCGACACGAAGGCTCCAACAAAGCTCCTCGACGCGAAAGGGGAGACGATTGACAACTGCAAAGACAAAGTCAGCATGCTGATGCGGGAGGGCGTGAACTTCACGCCCCATGGACGGTTGAGTGACATGAACGTTATCTGGCGAGGTTGAGGGGGCATTCAAAAGTCGTGGAGGTAGGGAAAGATCCACTCTGTGCCACATGTTTAGTCTACGGTACGTATGCCTACCTCATACGAATATGCAAGATTATGAATATATTTGATGCTAAAAGTGTGTTACGACAGCGAAAGCGAAAGCGATAGCCCTAGTGTCCAGGGTCGTCATCGACTTCATCTTCCTCGTCATCATCCTCATCTTCTGGTGGTGGTGCACCACCCCATAGCCTCGTGAGGAAGTTCCGCATCACACGTAACGGCATAGGCTAAGAAATCGTCGATACCATGTCAGCACGCCTCGGTTCCTCGAAAGTTGGGGACACTCACCGCTCCAACAGGCTCCTCGTCCTCATCTTCTGAATCATCCTCATCAACGGGTCCTGTAGGCTCATCCTCCACCTCTCCTTCATATTCCCTTACCACTCCCGCGCCGTCTCTCTCGTCCCCGTCCTCATCATCCGACCCCATCTCAAACCTCACAGGAATCTCAATCCCCTCCTCCGGAATCTCCAACGGCATCTCAAACCCACCCGGCATGCCCCTCTGCCCCATAACAGGCGGCACATTCCCAGCAAGACCCAATCTCCCACCCGCAAACCCCTGCTCCTCCATACCCACAATCATATCCACCAGCCCCATCCCCTCCTCGCCCATATCCGCGACACGCTGCACCCAGCCCAGGCGCCCGCCGAACATCGCTCCGATCTCACGTGGATGGCGGTCGTACAGCGCCAGCAGCTGCTCGCGCATGTTCCGATCCGGCATCGCGCGCTCTAGAAGCCGCTCTTCCCTACGGGTTGCGGGGCGGGTGTAATCCGTGCTGAGCGAGGCCCGTGCGGCTGCGGCTGCGACGTCTGCGAAGAACGACTGGTCATACGTCGTGCGTGCCGTCGGAGGCGGTAGGGGATCGCAGGCGAGGTGCGTGGATGCTTGGCTGTTCAGGGCGGTGCGCATGAACGGCAGGAGGGACTGCATGCTCAGGACGAGGACGTGGCGGTATAGCGAGGAGATGAGCAGTGGAGAGGTGTAGATTTTGAGGAAGCGGGCCCGAGTCGGGTTGGAGGTGTCATGTGGGCTGGTGCGGGCGGTGAATTTGGAGAGCATCGAGTTGGCGGTTTCGCGGAACCAGGATGCGACTTCTGGTTCTTTCCATAAGTTTGCTGAGCGTGTGGCGTAGAGATGGGATAAGAGATGGAGGGCTGCTTGAGGAGAGGAAAGCCCACTACACCACGATTTGTCAAGCCGCCATTGCTTTCCACATTTATAACAAAACATACCTCTCGTCCGTGTGTAACCGAAACGCTGGATGACTACGGAGCTCTCCCGATAACGAAACGTCGGCTTTGTCCGCCAACACGGGCACAACACTAGGGAAAGCGATGATAGCCTCCCGCAACGCCTCCGTGCTGCTTACGCTGCCGCCGCCGCCGCCCTGTACCAACGCTTCAGAGCCCATCTACAAATGTCGAAACATAATAAGACCAACCTTCGTGTTCTCCTTCCCACCTTCCCTTACCCGGATCGCCAACGAACGAGCATACATCCACCCGGGAAGCACACTTGGATCCACCCTGTCCGTCTTATCCTTGTCTTGCGCCTTCGACTTTGCATACATGCTCGCATACGCATCGTATACGTCTAGGAGCCAGTCGCCCATATTTGCGCGTACGGCAAGGAAGTCGAGGTGCAGAAGCGCACCGTGCGGATCGCTCCACGGATCGAGGCTCCACAAGAGCTTTGTGAATTCGAATGCGGTGCGGAGGCAGCCACGTCGGACGAGGTCGCTGTGGAAGCCGGATCTATGTCAGATCTTTGAATAGTGAGGATGAAAGGGAAGGTCGCATACAACGCTTGGCGATGTAGCGCGAGGTAGAACGGACGGCTCTCGACGTAGTCAAAGTCTAGTCGATTCGACCCGCTGAGTAGGGAGAAGCGGCCCGTGAATGCGCGTTCGTATGCAAACAGTGCCTGATCGGTGAGTTCTACAGCTCTTGCGAAGTCTGAGAAGCAAGAACAAGGACATAAGGGTCAGAGTTGGTTGAGTAAATGTGTGTTGACGTACCTTCGCGATGTCGTTGGAGCTCAGCTAGCTGCAGCAATGTATCCGCCTGCCAAGGGAAATCACGGTATATCATCCACATCGCATCAGGGTCTGCCGCAGATCGTCAACGACTGAACGGGACAACCGGGCCTTCGTGAACTGAGGACGTACCGCCCATCATAACAGAATCAACGAACGCCTTCGTCTTAGTCTTGTAACCTTTGCTATACTCCACCGTATACCACCTCTCGCCCGCTGGATTCTCCCCCTTCAACACGATTCTCATACTCAAGCAGTAGACCACGCACCATTCACTCCACCCGTCTTCTTCCCAACTTCCTCGCCATCTAGTGGCCTCACACTAAGTCCTTCGCGCGGCTTATACCGCGCCCAGATTGCAGGGGGCCGCGTCAGCACGCTCCTTAGAGCGGTTTCGCGTCCGCCGCCCCCGCGTTTGCCGCGCGCGCCAGCACGAGATGTTGATGCATCCGATGAGGAGGCAGAGACGGCTGAGAGAACCTTCGATCCGAAGAATTTGCGCAGCTCAGCTGTCGGATCGAGATGTTGTGGTGAGATGGCAAGGTGCGGCGCGAGGAGAGATGAGAGGGTCGAGTGCGAGGTGCGCGTTAGGGGTTGAGCAGTGGAGGAGGGTGTTCTAAACGAGGTCGAGTTAGTCGCGACGCAACACAGCGAGATGGTGTGATAGATGAGGCGCACTTGGCTGAGAGTTCAGCGAGCGCTTTGTCGATGTCATCTTCGGCCGGCTTGTCCTTGCCCTTTGACTTCTGCTTCGCCTTCGATTTCTTGCCTGCTGCAGTCGGTGTAGACTTTCCGGCCGACCCGACTGGCGACTCCGTAGAAGGTTCAGCGTCGTCGATCACAGGTGTCCTGGCTGGTGCTTTCTTCTTTTTCTTCTTCGACTGCTGGATAACTGAGCACGATACGAGGTGACAAAGATACACAGGTACAACACACCTTCTTCTTGGAAGGCTTCGTCTGATCCATATGCTCTTCCTCTTCCTCCTCCTCATCTTCTTCCCGGTCATTACCATCTTGATCGAGCAGCTAACGCAAAACAAACAAGGCAGGGTTAGAGCCCCAAGATCCAACCTGAGGAGATCACGGCGGACGCGGGCGCGACAGTGGCAAGAAAGACACAACTCACCGCTGCGAACCCCGTCGCTCTGCTTTGAGGTTTCATAGCTGGCTCCTCAACCTCGCTAACTTCCTCATTGCTGGCTTCCTGCTCTGCAAGCCCCAAAGCTTGCAGCTCCTCCTGTTCACGCGCCTGGCGTTTGTTCAGGCGAGGCGGCATCGGTGCGCGTTGGTCGTGATCGGACTACGGACAGAATATCGAGACCGCTCTCTTATATTATGAGAGTTGCAAGTGAGTACGGAGGATACGACGGAAGACGCGAGAGATGAATGTTTGTGTGCAGAGTCACATCGGCCCCAGGACGCGGGAGCCGAGACGCGGAGTCGTCATCGGACTCATCTCCGGATATTTCCCCGAATGTCTCGACGCCCCTATTCATTACACCAGCTCTACGCAATTACACACGCAAAAATTAAAATGGCGAGGTCTACAAGTCCCCTCAAAGCACAAGCGTCCTCAGATGCCTTTTATCCACCGTGACCCATAGCACCCTCCCACCCTGGCTGTCCCGTGAATCCCTTCGTCTAGCCGGCGCCAACTTCACCTTTACGAATGGCGTGTCCACCCTCCTCCACCCCAAATCGTACTTGCTGCACAGCAGAAACCCCGTGAATGGCTTGACGAGACGCAGCAGCCCCGAGCCGTCATCCGGCAAAGCGTACGGTGTCAGACCCAATGCGTAGTCGGACCGCCCGTCCATGTGCTGCCGCCGATACCCGCTGAAGTCCACGTTGACACTGAAGATGTCCCCGCTCGCCTCGGAGCCCTCGCATCTGAACTTCACGATCTCGCTCGCAGCGTCGAACGATGGATGCGTGAGCGGAAGCAGAACGAGCGTCACTCTCAGGCCCCGACCGGTTAACGTCATGTCCAGCCTACACACGCTCGGCAGAAACCTGTGCGCATCACTGTGCAGCGGCGGATGCCCCGCGTAGCTCGCGGGGTTCGCGGGCAGACACCGCGACGCGGGGTGGCGCGCGGCCTTCCCGGACCAGTTGAGCACGGACGGGTCGCCGCCCGAGAGCATGATCGCCTCGACGAGCCGGCAGAAGGCCGCGTCGCGCCCCTCGCCATATGCGATCTGGAGGTTGACGCCGAAGATGCCCATAAGGCAGTAGGCGACGTCCTCGTCGCGCGTCGAACGCCTGTGCGCGGCCCATGTCATGCGCTGGTCGACTTGCCGTGCGGAGGGGTGGAAGTCGAGCAAGGAGGATTTGTCGATGCGTGTGATTTGGGCGATGGCGTCGAGCATGCTCGGCGCTCGCGTTTCCAGGGTGGCAGGGTCGTCGGCGTCGTCGGTTTTGTCGTTCTCGTCGTCCGTGAGCTGAAGCCAGTGCCGATTGAAGAACTTCATCTGCGGCGGCGCGAGCAGCTCTTGCAGCGTCCATCCGCGCCTGAACCACTCGTCCGCATACATATCGTGCATTATCTCCGTCCCCGCAAGATGTACGATGCACAGCGCCGAGTTCTTGTACCACCTGTACATGCTCCGGATGCTCTCCGCAATATCTGCGCTGCTGCTTTTGTCAATGCAACACGTGTCCGTCCAGGCGAACTCGATTCCCCGTCTCTTCGCTTCTTCACAGAACCTCAGCAGCTTTCCATACCCCGGAATCATAACTTCGTCAAACGTGCCGAGGTACATGCTCGACCGGAAGTCATGGTACGACGGCTCCCCTCGTCCCCAGCGGTGCGAGAACACCGCGTACTTCACAAGGTCGTGGATCATCTTGCTCAGACAATAGCGGTTGGGCAATGCCTTGCCGTCGCTGGGCAGGGAGCGCTGGAGCGCGGGGAGGAAGTGGTCGAGGATAAACTGCTTCTCGACGAGCTTCATCTCGGGGATGTAGATGAGCCGGATGGGGATGTCGTTGTGCACGTAGCGCTCATATTCTTCGAGGAGATCGTCGCAGGTTGTTTCCGTAGCAAGAAAAGGCCTGCCACAAGTTGTCAGTCAAGATGGATGCGCGAACAGGATTGAGATGTGACTCACATCTTCCTACGGACTCGACAGCAAGTTCGCGCTATAGTAAGCTCGTTACCATCTGCTTATAAGTGAACAGGTCGTGCTTCGACTAAGTCCTCACAGGAAGAAAGTCACCGTACAGCAATCATAAGCGGGAAGTACAATAAAATCCAGCTTACCGATGTGATAGGATCAAAACATCAACGGGCATCACAGGCGTATGTGTTCTTCGTCGATAATTGTACGTCAACTGTATATGGTATTGTCAATATGAACGTTGTTAAGAAAGAATCGCGATAGACGCTCACCGCTCACCCCGTGAGAGCATAAGTTACGGCAGCGACAAATACAGCTGTGGAGTCCTTGTCACGCTAGAAGCCTGGTAAAGGACTGGACAACGGGAGAGACCCTTTTGAACGCGTTGTTGTCGCTATATCCAAGGCGGCTGGATGCATATCTCGATACCCCATGACGGTACAGATGAAGGCACTGAAGGTACGGCTGTGCACAAGCTGTAGAAAAGAAGAACAAAGACCCGCTAGTCGCGGGGAGAGCGGCCTTAACTATAAGTCATCCTATGACGTGCAGATGATCGTTGGCTCTATGGCGGTTATGTGAAAGAAAGGGCACGGCGGGAGGGCATAGAGCAAAGTCCACGGCCCATGGTCTTGTCAGCTTCGCTTTATTGTCGTGTGTTCCCGTTGAGAAGCTGCTAGACCCGGTCGTACGACCCAGCGGTGACAAGTAGCTAGATGTCCAACAGTTCCCTTCGCTCTTGATCTTGTTTGTGTCCTGAAAATCTAATAAACCCGTTTTAATATATAGCCTCCTTGAGAGCTAATGAGCTACAGGGTGAAGCTGTAGACTTGCAGGCTGATTGTGATGAAGAAGTTGAGAATCGCCGGGAAAGCGGCTGTGCTACTTGGAGGCACTCAGAGCTAGATGCATTAAATCGTTGAGTAAAAAAAAGGAGAATAAGGGCGGTCACTGACCTCAAGACGTCAGCGCGTCACCAGCAGATGATTCATGCGTGATCATCCCTAATGTCGGCGCAAGGAGTTATTGATCGCCATGGATTTGCAGCATTCAGGCGGTTGAGTGACGAGTCGCACCAACCAAGCACCAACAAGCGCCCACCACCTGGGGACAAAGTGGCAGTGAAAAGGCCGAAAACAGACCGTCCGTCCGAAGCGGCCCGATCATGTACCAAAAATAGGTTGGTGCAATTAGCACAGGATCACACGGGCCGATCCGGCCGAGGCACGCGGACCTCCGTTTGTTATCGTCACTCTCCACCTTTTGTTTGCCCCGCGTCGTTGCCTTTTGCCTCCAACTCACGAGGACAGGTGCAGCGCTATCGCGGTCTCAGAGCATCCTCGACAACGACGACAACGTCTCTCTAGTGTGTGTGGTCTGTGTAGAACAGGTGGCCCCCTTTCCCCGCTCCCCTGCCTCAACAGCACTAGCTCAAGTCGGTCCACCGCCTCTTTATCTGGCGACGTGTCGCCGCCTGCTCGCAACAGCCGCCAATCTGAAGAATATCTGAACTCATCTACTCGCTGACATAACCCAACCTACTCAACCACAAACTACAATACCCTAGACGTCTACAAAACAACTCTGCTAGGAAAACATGGCTATAGACCTCGGTACAGGGCCCTCACGACTCGTGAGCATCGCGCGGTTGACGACGCTCGTCGGGTCCGTCATTGTCGCGCTGGGCTCAGGGACAAATTACGTGCGCATATATTCTGCTTGCTCTCGCTCTCGCTCATGCGTGCGGGCTGTCGTCCGTAGATATACTCTGGTACGGCCGCTCGCGCTGACATTCCATAACCGGACCCAGAGTGTTGACCCACAATCTAGCATACGCACCCCAGCTCGGAGCTCGTCTGCATGCCTCCCACACACAACTCAATATTATCGGACTCGCCGGGAACGGTACGTTCTTAACAGCCCATTCGCTCCCTTATCGTCGCCTCGTGCACATCCGCTGTTTTTACCCCTTTGCTCCACCAACTATCCCATCCCTATGCACGCACCACATATCGCAAAACCGAGTCTGACTGACTAATCCACACGCACACGCACGCATATAGTGGGCGTATACTCCTCTGGGCCTATATGGGGAAAACTCGTCGACGCGCGGGGACCGCGCCTGGCGCTCATCGGCGCGTTCGCGTCGCTCTTGGTCGGCTACCTCGGGATAAAGCACACGTATGATAACGGCGAGCCTGAGACAGAAATCGGTGCGTTGAACCATCCCCTCAGACATGTCCTAGCTGCCTGTCATTTCGTACTTACGTTATGATTGTGGTGCAAAGAATGGCACGTCATTATCCTCCTGGTCGTGTGCGGCTTCCTCACTGGCATGGGCGGCAACGCGGGCTTAGCGGCAGGGATGAATACGACGGCGAAGAGCTTCCCTGAGAAAGCCGTGAGCCCCTTCGTCCTTTTGCTCCCTCTACTCCCAACCTAGTATCATGCCAGCGCGCAACTACAACGGCGCTTGTCCTCTCCGGTTTCGGCCTCTCCGCATTCTTCTTCAGCACCCTCGCACATGCTCTATGGCCTGGAAACACATCCTCCCTCCTCCTACTCCTCGCGCTCGGCACGTCCCTGCCCATGCTCCTCGGTCTCCTCATTGTGCGCCGTGTCCCTGTGCCACCAAGCCGACCTGCGTCGGTGGCTGGATATGCGCGTGTGCCAGCAGAGGCAGAGGAGGCTCGCGCCGGCGAGGAGGGGGAAGGGGAAGACAGAGAAATAGAGATAGAAGACCGAACGAGCGACGAGACGCCCCTCCTGCACGGCGGCGCGGGCGGGCCCAGTGAGGCGGGTAGATCCTTCCGTGCCGCGCCGTCTGGGCGCGCGAGCGCGATATCGCTGCATGGACCCGAGGGGCGGTTAACATCCCGCGATGATATTCGCGTGGGGATTGCGGGTGAAGAGAGTGGCGAGGGCGAGACGGAGGGACCGAATATCTATGGGAAGCGGTTGTGGATGACGGGCGACTTTTATCTGATATTTGCGATCATGGGGCTACGTGAGTCGTTCTTCTGTTATCTCGTTCTCCCTCTTCTATATGGAAGTGCTGACTGAACTGCATCAACACCGGATACGCGCTAGTAAGCGGCACGGGCCTGATGTGTAAGTACCAAGTGTGCACATTTGCAACGCCGATGGGCAACTAACCTGAGATATGCGCGTGCGCCTGCACAGACATCAACAACGTCGGCTCGATCTCGCAGGCGCTCTACGCCAAGGGAAACCCGACGTACGACGACCTTGAAGCGGCCAAGTGGCAAGCAGCCCAGGTCTCCACGCTCAGCATTGGCAACTTCTCCGGGCGGGTGCTTATCGGTACGTAACCCTCCCCCCCCCCCCCCCCACCTTCAAACCCTTCCTATGTTCTTTTGCGTGTGCATGGCTAAAACGACGGCCACGCTGCGCAGGTCTGATCTCCGACGTCCTCCTCCGCCTCAAATTGCCGCGCGCTTCGGCGCTCTCGATCGTCTCGGCGCTGTTCATTGTCTCGCAGATTGTGGCGCTCCAGATCGAGGACGTGTCTCATCTCTGGCGCGCAACGGTCGTGCTCGGGCTCACGTATGGAGGCTTGTTTGGAGTTATGCCGACTATTGTGATTGAGTGGTTTGGACTTGGTGCGCTTTCCCCTTCCCTTCCCTGTTGCGCCGGCCTGATAAATAAACCCCCAAATAGCCCATTTATCCGAAAACTGGGGCTACACTTCCCTTTCTCCCCTCGTCGGCGGCAACCTGTTCTCGCTCATGTTTGGCCGCATGCTCGACGCACACGATGACGGCTCTGCCCCGTCATCCTCGACTCCAGCACCGGATGCTGTGCTGCACACCCGCGCAGGCCTGCCGTCTGAGCACCAGTGCTTCGACGGACGTGCTTGCTACGCGGATAGTTTGAGGATCACGACCGCCGCGTGCTGTCTTGCGCTCGCGTTGAGCATCTGGGCCGGTGTGAGGGACGCGCGGAAGAGGAGGGCCGGAAAGGCGGTTGGGGGTGGTTGAAGATGGACGATAGAGTGGTGTTGTCTGGGTCCGCGGCTGAAGGGTGCGAGGGTGATGAGATAGCGCCAGACGAGTGAGGTGGCGGTGGAGAAGGGACATTGTTATTGTGAGTATCGGTGGTAATTGTTATCGTCGTTCGGAGACCCATGATAGATGGTCTGTTTGATAGAGATGCGTTGCACGCAGCAGCCCTTATTATGGCACATTATGACAATAGACGCTTCTGTTTTCCGGTTTTATATTTGGTGAATCAAAGGAGAGCTGGAATGGACGAAGAGCTATGAGTAGAGCCTGACGCAGGACAACTGCTTCGAAAAATCTATGTCATGTAATAACACCATGTAAGGGCGGCCCGACGGCTGGGCCGCGCGACACGAGAACAAGCGCCACGCGGCTGCGCCACAATCTACGATCGACCTCGTTCACGATGTCGAACCCTGAGCACCGCCGGCCCCGACCCTAGTTCATTAATCTCGATCAGTTCACGCGCCATTCGCCCGCCAGACCCTGAGCACCTCACCAACTCCTCTCGACTTCGATTTCCGTTTCATTCTCTCTCTGTTACGTTATACTTACATTAGTTTAGTGCATTCTACGCGCGCAGGCCTCGCGCAAACGACCAGACACGTAAAGATACAACAGTTAGAAGTAGTACAGCCTCGAACATACGCTTTACACGCCTCTAGATACGTCTCAGATCGTTCTGCAGCTCGCTAGTATAGATACTGGATGTATTTCGCTCTAGTTACCTCAGTGAATCGCACTCCCTTCGTTTGACGTCTCTTTCGTTTCAATCGTTCGCCGCCGTCGTTCTTATTCCCCGCGATCACTCATCTATACTATCTCAAAACTCCCCAAAACTCTACTCTCGGCCTAGCGCCTTCGATCCCCCTTCGAACTCGCCTTCTCGCTTCTGCACGCACACCGGCAGAAAGCCCGCACAACCACGTTCTCTTGGGCGAATGCACTTCTCGACACTGGCTATGGGGACATACACCGGGACATGCAATGTACCGGATAAAATACACCGTCCAGTGGCGTAGGAATTGTTGTGGAGCTCTTGAGCTCAAACCCGAGCCTCTTGTAGAACTCAATCTAAGTGGACAAAAGCATCAGCCACTCATTGAATATACATTTCTGATACGAGGGGATTAAACCTGACGTTTCTGTCCGTATCCGTGCACAGAGCGACCTGTGGGTAGTCTTTCGCGCGATCGTCGGTATAGAGCTAAGCAAGTGTCATAATCAAAGGCTCCCCGAAGGTTGAGTGAAATAAGTTGACCTTCTCGATGTAAGCCTCAATCAGACTAGAGCCAATTCCGTTACGCTGGAAATCTGGGTGCACGACTAGGCATGTGCAGTACCAAGAGTCGACGACGCCCTTTATGATTTGGGTAAGAATAGAACGAACCACAAGTCAAATGCAAGACTTATGGTACTCACGTAAGGTGCGAGATGTTCGGCCAGGAAAGGCCCCGTAGCCTTCGAGTATATCTAGGCCAATATGACTCAGCGCGACGAACTTTCTCCAGATCAAGTCAGATGTGAAACGCGTACCTGTTTGGGGTCCTCCCACCACATCTTCGGCGCAGGCGGAAGCTTCGCCACGAAGCTGTCGAACTCTGCCTTCATGTTCTCGCTGATAACACATCCAACGCTCTGTCAACAAACAACTTGAACTAGTCCAAACTACGACCCACACACCTCGACTTCATCTTCCTCCCAGGCGGGAACCACACCGCCATACCCACCACACGCCTGGACCCGTCCTCCCGCGCGAAGAGAAGATCGCCGTCCGCGAGACACGCGCGTATGACCGCTCGGCAGTAGCGGCGCCTGTCTTCGTCGCGCGTGCCCATCATAACGAGGGCTGAGTTGGCTGGAGAGGAATATAATATGATGATCGCGTTAGTGAACAGGCTGTACCCGGAATAAGGCGGTAGATCCGGGGAGGATGATGAGACGTACAGTGCTTGATAGCAGCTACGGCGGCGTCGACGGTCGCTTCTATCTCCTCGTCTAAATATCAATAGGTCAGCTTGGCACCAAAGCGCGCACGCTTCTGGAATGGGTAGGAAGGTGCGGAGGAAGGCAATGCAGCGCACCTGTGAGACGGTCGACGCGTTCCACGCTGTAGTTCACCATCGTGCCCTGAGAACCGACGAGACGATATCGAGCCAACAGAACGGATCAAGGTGCGTCGCGTCCATCGCTTTTATACCCGCTGCTCGTACTAGTGGGGATGACAAGCCCTGACAAGCCTGCGTGACTCCGCTTGACTCCGTGCTTTCAATACATGTGGGTCTACTGACGCCGAGCTCAAGCCAACACTAGACCGCTTCTGTCTCCGTCTCTAGGACAAAACAAGTAAATCTTCAGTGGAGAGCGGTCACTGGACCTACGCCGCAAACTCCATAAGTGTGTTCGGATCCACGACGGCGCGATAACAGCAGGAGATAGCGGCGAGCTAGCTGGTGTGTACGCCACCTACTGAGTGATCTGCGCAGAAGCGCATTGATTAGCAGGTCACGGCGGTTGTGCGTTCACGTAACATAATGTATAGGTTGACCTGAGATTATTGACAGTAAATACAGAGCTTATCATCACTTGATCTGCTTCAGCAGATAATACACGACAGATGGAGATGCGACGTGCCTTACGTTCCGTGCTAGAACCATCGCCACGCCCAGGGACTGCCAGCTAGCCGCCACCACTACCACTACCACTCCGCGAACCCGACCATCTTCCCGTCCCATGTCCACCAGATCAACTCGTCGTCCTCGTCCTCGTCTTCTTCCCTTTCTCCGCCTTTCCCCTCTATCTCTCCGCCTGCTCCCCCAGTTACGTCGCCAGCACTCCGACTGCAGATCCACACGCCCTCCACCTTCTCCTTCGCTTTCAATGGGCCCTTGGCCGCCTTTGCGCTTCCTTTCCCGTTCGGCGACGAGGCCGAGGATGAGGCGGAGGCCGGCCGCGACTGCGCGACGAACGCCTCGATCTGCGCGTCCATCGTCTTCGCGAGCGCCGGGCGCGGGGTCCATGCCGGGTGTGCGAAGCGGCGTGGCGCGCGGAGGAGGATGTGGGTTTGCGTGGGTGCTGTGTGGGCAATGGGACACCAGTGAACATGATAACAAACGGGGAATAGAACAGTACGGGGGACGTACCGAGCTCCGACACGAGCCCGCCCGCGTCGTCCTCTGCGTTCGCAGCGGCGAGCGTGCGGCTGAGCAGCCTGTCCGCAGCGCGGAGCGCTTCTTGCTCTTGTGCGTATGATAGCTCCTGTTCGTCCTCGTCCTCGTCGTCCGAGCTTAATATCGAGTCAGAGTCGGACTCAGACGTATCAGATGTCGACTCGGAGGACGAGCTCCCGGAGTCTTCGGGGAAGTCGTACGCTTCTTCGTCATCGCCATTCGCGCTCTCATTCGCACTTCTGGGTGACGGAGCGTTGCAGACACCCTCGGCGCTACCTAAGCCTTCTTCTTTCCTATCCCTTTCCGCCCCGCCGCCACTGCCTTTGGTGAAGACGCTCTCCTTGGAAGGGCCATTGGGCGCTCGCGATGCAGCCTCGCTTCGTGCACCCCACACGCGCACCTGAAGCCCGTTGAAGCCCACGATGACTCTCGCCCTCGGTGCGCCTGCCGTCGGACCAAGTACGATGGCAAGATACGCCGTTCCATCGTCTCGGTCACCTGCGATTTCCTTCGGCGCCTCCGAGTTGGATGTTGTGAGTGTGTCAGCTTGGGCAATGGTACCGTTCTGTGAGTTGTCTTGTCGTTCTGGGGCGTCGGGCGGTGTGTTCTGCGAATGGGGTGACAGTGTGTTTGGGAACGTAGTACCTATTGGAGCAGAGGATGCGGAGGTAGAGTGTGGAGCGGAGGTAGAGGACGGCGCATGGCGCCGAAGGGCAAGTGCGGTCGAGAGGGCAGTGAAGGTGGTGGCGAGGTGGGAGGAGAGGGTGTCGTATGCTGCAAGGAGCTCGAGGCGCTTCCTGGCTGCACGCGACGTATCCTATGGAAGATCTCAGCATGAGAAAGCTTGAATAAGGCGAGAAAACGCACGTCGTCTGAGGGCATGCGCATCATCTGCACGAGAGGACTATGCGTTCAAATGCGTGCCATGAGTGACCAGTAACGAATATAAGAGATCATGGAATCAGCAAAGGCAGTGAAAAGCAAAAGTATGCGACGCACAACGGAACCTGGCTCTTTAGGAACATAACATGCCCAATCACGCTGAGCGCAAGCCGTGCCGCCATCGAGTCGGTGATCGTATCCGCATCGATTGTCACGCTCGGAATCTTGCTTCTGGGCAAGGCTGGTCCGTTTCCGACACCATTCGGTGCGATGAAGCCATTGGGCTTCGACGGTGCTAGTATGCCCGACACGGGGTCAGGACGAAGAGAGTTGTGTATCCCATTCGGGGCCTCGGCAAGTGACAGAACGCGCATTTGTGTCGAGATAGATGTAGTTTGGGAAGTCGTTGGTTGAAGTGCAGGTGGAAACGAGGCAGGAGAGGCGAGGACAATAAGGAAAGCAGCAGAACGTGGCGATGAGTCTCCCGCACGAGTCGGCGTGAAGGCGCGTCAATGTCACGTGTTGGTGATTCCTGTCATTCCGTGACAAATGTCTTGTGGCTTTACTTTACCTTTACTACAACGCTGTCATCGGCTCACAATTAGGTCTACTGCTGACCATGGGTTTCCTACAGTATCCTGGGGACTGTTTGTAGCACAATTTGGAAACCTCCGAGCCCGGAATCAAATGCGGCCACGTGGGAGAGTGTTCTGACATCCCGCCACGTGAGAAGCTCGGCCTCCGTCCGGGAACCTCAGCATAAATGACTGCAGCCTCCATCGGCCCGAAACCGTCGCTGGATTTGCTCTTTCATTGCACCTCTTCCTTTCCGTTACAGTATGCTACTCCTCGCCTCCTTGGTACTGCTCTTGCCTCTTGCCAGTGCCTTCAACCCACGCGCATATGTCAAGGAGACAGTGACGCGTCAGACGGAGGATAGAAGTGAGATTGTCGGCGGCAGATGGGTGGACATCAACCTCAGTGCGTACGAGTTTTCTCGCCCCTTTCCTGGAACTAACCGCATTTTCATTCTCTCGCGCCCAGCCTACGTCGACATTAACCCGAGAGCGGAGACAACCATCCTAATGGTGCACGGCTGGCCAGGTCTCTGGAGCACCTGGGGAAGACAGATAGACCATCTCGAGGTGTGTTCATACGCCCTCTCGCTCCAGCACCCGGGCCCATTGCTCGGCTACGCCATGGCGAATCTCTGGCCGCACGCCACTAACCATCTCCTTTCCACCGCCGGGTGCTACACATCCGAAAATAGTCCTCATACCATCTCATCGCCCCCGACCTCCGCGGTTTCGGCTCCTCGACCGCGCCAGAGGACGTGCAGGGATCGAGCAACTTTGCAGACCTCACCGACGATCTCGTTGCCGTTTTGGAGCATGCTGAGACAGGATCTGCCATTTGCATGGGGTGAGCATCGCGCGCTCTTGTTATCTCCTTACGTCACTTACGTTGATGATTCGCGACGCGTCCGCGTCAACCTCGGGCATCTTCGTTGATCACAGACATGATTGGGGCTCGGCGCTGTGCTACGAAGCCGCCCGTCGGCGGCCGGACATCTTCACGGCTGTCATAGGCGTCACCGTTCCCGTGCGCCTTCTCACTTCATAACCCCCCGCTTACAGCAACACTCATACCAAAGCACGTTGCCATGCACAGTACCTCCACTCAGCGAATTACTGGGTACCCACTCGCTTCCTCGTGCACGTCTCCCCCCAGCTCGCATACCAACACTTCTTCGAGACCTGCACTACGGAGGCCGTCAAAGGTGCATGCGACAAGTCCGCGACGGAGGAGCTCGATGCGGACATTCGGCGCTCGCTGAGGAGCGTGTTCCGCAGCGCGGACAGTCCGATTTCGGAGAAATTCTTGACGAGCAAGAGTTCGTTTCTAGATGCGTACAATGGGATCGATGTGAGGCCGATATTGTGGCTTGTGGGCGAACGTAGCACTATAGGCTGATGTGGGGTTAGATCCCACTCGTTTCATTCATGACCGAGGAGGAGGAAGATTATCTCGTCGAGGAGTATACGCGACATGGTTTCCGGAATAGTACGCGCCTCTTCTTTCTCCTTCAAATCTGATGGCTTAAACTCCACATCCTCGACCCCAGCACTCTTGTTCTACACGCACGCGGTAGCCCACCATTCCCACTGTCCTCCCGCCCTGAAACTCACCTGACTGTACTAGAACCGGTACGGCGGCTGGCTAATGGGCAACGAAGCAGGCAACCACACCATCCCGCTCCCCGCACTTGCTATATACCCCACGGACGTACGTCGTCCTCATCCTCAGCTAAAATACAGATCCAAACCTCATCCTTTCATGCTATAGGATCCCGTCGCGAACTGGGTGAACGCCGCCAACAGCCTTGGCTCACCCCGGTACCTCCCTCAGCTTACAGCCAAGGTCCGTTATTCATTTCAGTCGAGACGTTTGTTCTTAGCTTAGGGCCGAGTAGACAATGGTGGGCCAACATTGGCCGCATATGGAGCATCCGGGCGATTTCAATGCAATTGTTGACGAGTGGCTGGCCGAGAACGGGTTTGCACCTAAGGGTGCTGTCGAGGTGCACGATGAGCTGTAGCACGAGCTGTGGTAAGGTCTGTGCTCTGGGTCACTCCGAGAACATGAGACGAGTGCGGAGATCTTTAGATGTAATAAGTATCATATAATCATGCGAATACATTTTGACGAGACTTTTGTGTTTTGCTTGATACACCAAAGCACTCCAGCTGTTATAGCTGACTGTACCTCAGGCAAAATACTTTTTGAACTCAACCACCATATACTCCTACAAGACCACACCATCCTATCAGCCACCGACTCCTCAAAGGAATTTTGAGCACACTCACCTCATCCCATGTCGCCCTTAAACTCTCCCTCGCGTACAAATCCTCCCTGTACCTCTTCATCCTCGCGAACTCGAGCGCCTCCAGCGCCTCCATAAGCCGCCTGTTCTCGCCTTCACCGTACCGCCCAATACCATACCTGCACGCGAGCTCCACTCGCGCTATAATCGGCGCAAACGCCGCATCCGCGATCGTGAAGTGCATCTCCACCGCCCACTTTCCCCCATCGGCGTCGGCGTCGGCGCTAGCACGAAGTTCGGGTAGGAGCGCCTGCACCCTCCGCAGCCCGTCGAGGAGCACAGTGTGCGGCCCGCCGGCGCGTCCCATGAACGCGGTGTATTGCTTGTGCACGTGCGTGTTGACTGCGTCGATGAACAGGCGCACTTTGGCGCGTGCGACGGGGTCGTGCGGCGGTGGGAGGAGGTTGGAGTGGGGATGCAGGTCGGCGATGAATTCGAGGATGAATGATGCATGATTCGATGAGAACCGTTGAGTCTGTGGGGGGATTTTCGGGTGTGGTGGAGGGGCTGCTGCCGTATGTTAGCGCGGGGACCTGGTGACCCGGGTGAGTGGGTCATGTCATTGAGCAGGGAGTGGTTGTTTGCGCATGGAAGTACGGGGGGAACGTACCAGTCCAGGAGGGTTGATCTTCTCCAAGTACCAGACGGGTTTGGGAGCAAATATCTCGATGGGGTAGGTGGTGTACGGGACCTTGGCCTCCTCGAGCGCAATTGTTACCTGCAAAAGTCAGAGGTGAGGTGATTGGGTTTGTGCACCTTGCGATGAGCTAGAGTGTCGCTTACTCTCTGGCCGGCTGAGCTCGCCTACAGGAGAGAATAAACTCCACATCAGCGATGGTGGAGAATGGTATGAATGTCGGAGAGCTCCTCACCTTCGAGTTGTAAAGCGTGATCTGCTGGTTGACGCTCATACTGCATAAACGAGTGTCTGGAAATGAAGAAAACCGCTCCTTGTTCTGGCTGCTTTATAACAAAGACCAGGACTACGACACCGCGTCTTCGTTAGCAGTTCGCTGGTATCTAACACTTGCATCATGGCGCAATATTTTTGCTCACTGCGACCATAGCAACAAAAAGAAAGCTTACGCCGCAGACGGATATGGTGATGGGATTTATAATGTCTTAGCATGGGGTGGATATCTACGGTACCTTGCCTCGGGCATCGCTCGCCATGGCCGAGGTGGCTGAAGCGTTGGATGCGCTTACTGCTCCCGTTGCGTGTCATTCTACTTTGTGTATACTCAAGTGTATACTACTCATATTATGTGCCACACAGGTATCAGTCGAAGGGTATATACTATGTCGTCTAATGGGTCTATGGCTAATGAAGGCGCAAACAGGGTCTTGTTCGTCCTTGTATCTGCGCTGGGATTGGAACGACTGGGGTGCTGACCGTTGGCTGGCCGCCTTTTGCTGCACTTTTGAACAAATGGCTTGAGCGGAGCTGTACCTTTCGCAGTAATGGAGCGGATAAAAAATGACCTCGTCACCGCAAAGCGTTTCTAAACTTGATGACCAATGTTCTCTCTGAATGAATGATTACGCCGTTTCCAAACTCTTGTATCTTCGTATTAAGTCCCTTCCTGTATCGATAGGGTATCCAGCAGAGCCTGTTTAGTCCGTTGCATAGCCAACCGTTCGGCTGAATACACCAAGAAGTCCACGTTATTGTATCGTATACCGCATCGTGCGGCCCTTCCGAGCATACTGCAGATACAAATCTTTCCTCGAAGTCAGCGGTGGCTCCTCCGCTCTGTTGCAGGACAATCAGACGAGGCTTGACCTGTGAAGAGTGAGTTTCGCGGATATGTCCGAAAACGCGATCGAGTGCTGGCGATGCTTGCTCTAGCTGCAAGTTAAAGTCTCCCCTATACGACGCTATGTCCCTAATGACGGGGTCATCCTCTGCCCATTCACATAGAAGAAGCTCTCTGCGAGGTTGAAAATCGAAGCGGCATTGAACCAGAAACCTGAGTCTATCGCTCCCTACGAAGGCGATTCCCAGGAGTTTTGACTCGTGTGCATCGACGACGACGGGATGATCCGTGACAGGAATGGTATAGTTTTCACGAAGACCTTGGGAGCTTCTCCGTAGCGTGTAAATCCCGATGTTTGGATAGTGACTGCCCGCATATGCAAGCTTAGATTCATCCCGGGACATGCAGGCAACAGATTCCCCGTATTTTGACGCTTGAAGCTCGCCGACTAGAGAAACAGCGTCGATGTCCCATAGCTTGACAGAAGCCTTTGTCACCAAGGCGTAATAGCTCGACGTGGAGCTAAAGAAGTGGTTGAGGAAGTCGTCAGTGGAGGCAGGGATATTGATGATCGTAAGTTGTAAGTTTGGGAACTTGAATATTCGGATATGGCTCTGCTTCGGAGAGACGTGACCTACTGGTACGCTGTCGATAAGGTAACACGCACACCAGTTGTTGTCGGAAGAGAATATGACGTTCCGGAATAGTCTGCCGGGTGAGTCGATAACAAACTCGCTGCCATCGGAGTTAGCAACGTGCAGACGGCTATCTATCACGATAGAGGTGGTGGAGGTTCCGCATTCTAGCCGTGATGGTACCGGGATACCAGCTGGAGGTGCTCGTGACTGAGCTTGAAGCTGACGCATGGGGAAGTCGATGATTTCGAGCGCATCCTTGAATCTGCGAAGAGAGTTTGGTAGTAGACGAGAAGAGTCCTCCCGGACTATCGAGCTAATCAAATGGCTTGCCATCACTCCTGGGTTGGCGGTGTAGCACAGTTCCTGGCCAAGATCAGTGTAAATGACGCCGTTCAACGGGACCATTGAGTCTGGAACCAGATCCAAGATTTGAAGTTGTTCCGGAGGATAAAATAGAGTGGTGTCGCCGTAAGAATCATCGAAAAGGGTTCCTGTGACCCCGTCTGGCCGTTGATTATGGATAATAAATGTATCATCCGACGAAAAGGATGAAAACCAATTTGTGGCATGAACGAGGGGATCGAGGTTGCAAGAGCGAACTATGCTACCGGTGATGGTGTCCCATACAGCAAGATATCCCGGATTAATACCCATAATGTACGAGCCAGAGTGCGAAAATTCTAGAGAGGCTGGGGGGAAGCTTGACCATGGTTTGGTGAACGGTACCCATTGGACACCAAGTCCACGAGGGGTGGGCTGCCATATTGCCAAGGAAAGGCGATGCACTGTTGCGATGGCATGACCAGATGGAGAAATCGATAGGCAGGTCGGTGGACTTGGCCCCTGAAGGAAAACACAGATGTCGTCAAGGAGAGACCAGAGCACCGCACGAGGTCCATCAACATATACCAAGGATGACCCGTCAGCCGTAAAACAAGCCTTGAAGTATACTTGTGGGATGTTTGGCAGCCCCCTTGAGGTAGTCATTACACCGGAAACAAGATTCCAAATCTCAAGGCCCGTGCACAGGTAGGAGTATGCCTCCACAGCGTCTGGTACCTGCTCGACAGCAGCACCCCATCGCCCGTCCTGGGAGACTCTCACCCACGATCTATCTTGTAATTTGATCGTACGAACGACAAAATCCCATTCCTCGTCGAGACCCTTCACTTCGCATATCATGGCGTAATCTAGGTGGTGGGCGTATGCGCCACGGATAGATGACTTGAGTGGAGACATTGCCAGTGCATTGTGATACACCTGCAAAGCCGACATAGTAATCGGGTCAAAGAACTCGTGAACCAGACGGTACGCATCATACAGCAAAGGCATGACCACGTCCCCTTCCATGCCCAGAGAAGCTGGTTGAGATCCCTAGGTTATTCTCCTTTAGCTTGATTGAGAGAAACATGTAATCAGATAACTCACACTATACTTTTCCTTGACACTTATCAAGGAGCGCAGCGCATGATTAAGAAGCCCCAGCAAAGATGACGTCTCTATCCATTGCAGTAGATTCTGCGTCGCAAACCGGAGTAGCTCCACGCGGATCTCCGGTCTCGGGTGGCTGATGTGACAGAGATGGTAGTCCCAGTATTGTACGGCGTACCGTAGCGCCGGGGACAACATCCTATCACGCCTTTCGCTAAAATCGACTCTTTCAGTATGAAGCGTTGCTGGATCTCCCAGTTCGAGCATGTCGTCTTTCAGCGTCGCCCTCATAATCTGTAGACATCCGTACGCCAAAAACTGGTGAACTATAACCGGATCCACGTACGAGCTGTTTGAGCGCCTCCTATCGAGAAGAAAGTCTCGGAGTGATGTATGATAAGTGCCGAGGCTCGGAGGCTCAGAAGGATCTTGCCTAGGGACATGGACAATGGCGGATATCGAGTCAAGAACAGGTGGTACGTCAAAGGGCAGTAAAGCATCGAGCTCCTCTATTGCGAGCGGGCGGGCGGCTAGAACAATAGCAAGGATACAGAGGCAGGCACGGGGAGGATAGGTGGAACCTGAGATGACATATCGGTAGAGCTCGTCGATGTTGGAAGGGTTGTGGGTCTGCAATCTGCCGACCAGAGCGGAGATGGAAGATGAAAGTTCAAGCACATTCTTGCTTGCCAGAAACCTTACTATCGTCGCCGCTACAACAAATCGCTTTGCAACGTCTGTGATCAAAACCTGCAATTCTGGATGGGAGGGCCAGGGACTTGGAAGTTGCTTGTGTCTGCGGCCTATTGTAGCAAGTTGGGTCCGAAGATAGTGCGCTATGTCTTCCTTCGCGTCAAAGTCCTCCATGCTAAGGTTGACCAAGTTCCGTCCCGCCGATAACATACTTTCGGAGATGTGCCTATACGGTCGACTTGTAATTACGATTTGAATCCAAGGGAGATTTGCCTGCTGAAGTGCGTGGAGGAGAAGCTTAATGAGCTGATTTATCTGGTATCTCTCAGCCTCGCATTCATCAAGGGCGTCAATGACAATAACGAGGGAGTTGAGACTGTCTCTGTATACAATTTCTAGGTTCTTCAGAGGAGCAATCATCAACTTCTGCAGCTGATCAGAGCGGGACTTTTCCTTTTTGACCAAAATGTGATCTTCGGCAACAGCTTTGACAATTTCTTCTTTGGCACGACGGTGGAGGAGAGAGAGCTGGTACGCGATGGTTGGAAAGAACCGCTCAGTGCTGGAGCGCTCTACGTGACGCCTAGAGAAGAAAAATGATGCAGCCAGCCGACCTCGCGCATGAAGCTCTTGGGCGAGAGAATGGGCGACAGCGGACTTCCCGGAACCGGATTCTCCCGAGAGCCAGATGATGTTGTTGCTTGCCTTAGGAACATCGGAAGGGTGAGCGCTGGGGAGTGCCTCGCGAAGAGTCTGAAGGAGGTCAACGCGGGTTCCGGGGAAGCATCTGGAGATCGGTTCTCTCGCTGGCGAGTCATAAGTTGCGCTGTGGATGGTGACATGTTCTGAGGAGAGCTGCCTCCATGCTTCCTCTTGCGAGGCGCCGACCATTCCCTGCGGATTCCCTAGGCCAATGAGCAAAGTTTGAAACGATCAACTGAAGGCGAAACAAATTCCAGGGCAATGTAGACAAGTAGGCAAGGATCTGAGGGAGGTGAAAAAGCTGTAGACGCAAGTAAAGCGTTGCAAGCCGTTCAACGGCTGCGGCATCAGCCAAGGCTGTGCGAAAATGATGGATATACAAGGACCCACACGGTCCTCGGCAGCAATAGATATAGACGCCAAATTTAAACAGATCGTGACGTCTCAACGCTTTGTCACTTATGAACTGGAGATGTAGACAGAAGAATGCGAATCCGTAGCAGGGCAGGGACATTATGTTGTTATGGATTCAGGAGAAAACTTAGGAATCACGAATGCCACCATCCGTATTTACTTTTACTGCAGCCGCAGCTCATCGCCTGGTTTCATGGCGCTTAAGTATCTCCTACCTTGTGTCTACGTTTGGCAAAACCCTTCTTCCTCCAAGAAAAACAAAGGGCAACGTATGTTGCATCTTCTTCCACACCGCTGGAGAAAGGTGAAGCCCCTTCACCCATTCCTAGGAAGCATCCAATCCACCCACGCACACCAATCCCACCCAATCACCTCCCCGCGCTGCGTCACCCCCTGCACATAAAACCTCACCCCCCTGGGCGCCTCATCGCCCCCGCTCATCGACATCCCAGACACCCCCTCCAAACACCGCGGATCCACAACAAACCCGAGCGCACGCCCATCGTACCCCGTCGTGCCCACCCACGTCGCCCTCTCCGGCGCTGGATTGGGGTACTCTGGCTTTAGGCCGTCGTGTGCGAAGCGCGCGAGCGCGTATATATTGAAGTACGCGAACTCGACCTCGGGCGCCGGCGGTGAGGGACGGAGGAGCCAGAGCGGGGTAGGGTCGTCTGGTAGGATCGGGTTCTGGGGGAGTGTGAAAGGCGGGAGGGAGGTGGAGAGGGTCCAGGAGAGGGTGCCCGGGGCGAAGGCGCGTGCGCCGCGGGGTGTGGGTGCATAGGCTTCACCCGAGACGTATGAAGGGGAGTAGGTGGGAGTGTAGGACACGTAGAGGATGCTTGTGGTTTGCTCAGGAGGAGCGAGGGAGGCGTTCGGTGATAAGAGGGAAGGGTACGCGGTGAGTTGGCCAAGAAGGAGCGAGAATGAGCATGTTTTGGATGGGTCTTCGGTTGCGAAGCCAATGACGAGGCCGATGTTGACTGTCTCCGTCTGAGTCGAGCTCGTGCTGCCTTTGAGTACTGTTACCTGGACACTCTGCTGCTCCCATCCTGCGCTCAACGAGGTCTGCACAACCTCCCCGACCTCCACATCGCACCCTTCCGAACCCGCACCCGAACGCACCGATAAGCCCAAGTCAAGATCCACCCCACCCTCTTCGCCTTCAGCGGTAGCCGCAACCACAATCTTGAACACAACGCGCATATCGTACGCCTTCCCAGGCGTAAACGCAAGCGCCTGCACAGGCACCCACACACAGCGGAAAAACGCGTCCTCCGCACCCGTACCCCGCGCCTTCACATCGAGCCTCAGCACGTTCCCTCCCACCCAGCCATCCTCAAAGTCCAGCGCCACCTTCGTGCCCGGAAGCGCCTCCTCGCGCGGCTCGCCTTCCCATGAGAGCTGCGGAACAGGCCAGAGCAGATCGCCGAGCGACGTCTGCTTGTGCACGTCCGTCCAGCCCGCTTTGACGCCCTCGCCAGGGCGGGCGTCGAGGACGCGAGCGCCGTTGACGAACCACGCCTTGCCGACACCGGGGCAGAAGGACGTGAAGAACGTCCGTGCCACCGGATCGGGCGGGAGCTTGCGGTCGAAAAACGCTGTGACGGGTCTGTACCCGCCCAGCTCGAGCGCGAACGGCGCTTGCCTCTCGGGATGCGGCGGTACCGGCACCTCCCTCTCCCCCCCTCCTTCTCCTGGAGCGTCGGTCGTGCCGGTGCCAAGCCCGCGAGGCCCAAGCCACAGCAAGCGCTCGTACGCCCACCACGCGTCCCAGTTGAAGCCCTCTTTGTCTTGCTCGCTTTCCCATGTCCACGCCTGCCCGAAGAGCGCGGCGCTCAGCCCGAGCCCCTGAGGGTCGATGTGCGTAAGCGCCTTGTATGCACCGAACCCGCCGCCGCCGTAGGATCCGCGGCCCCAAATATCGACGCCTGTGTGGATGCTTTGGAGGGATTTGGACAACAAGGGTGGGTTGACAGATGCAGAGGGTGAGGAAGAGAGGAGGGCAGGATCGATGCTGAGGAAGTATTGGGCTGTGAGTTGGGGGTATGTGGGCGGCCACTGGAGCGTCTCGCTTAAGATACGAAGGAAAAGATGAGCAGAGACGAATACGCACAGTGTAGTTGGTGAAAAACGAGTCCGACGCGAGGAAAAATGGTAGATTGTACGCGTTCAGCCGGTCTTGCCAACGCAGCTGGCCGTTGACAATGACACTGTCATACCTGTGGCGGTGCACCCACATCAGCTTCCACGTAGTCCTTTACAAAGCCAATGCAATCGACTTACCAACAAACTTCTGCATGCCCCCCAACGCGCTCGCTCATCTCCTCCCTCAGCATCCCGATCCACACAGTCAGCGCTCTGCACTGCTCCGGTCCGCCTCTCAACGGACACTCGACGTTGAGCAGCCATCCGTCGAACCCTCGCTGGGCCGCGAGCTCGGCGAGACGCGTCGCGTAGTGTCGGGACACCGGGAAGGTCGTGGGGCGGTTCACGGGACCAGTTGTAAGGTCGCCTGTGGGAGGCGGGGGCGAGGGAGGGGGACCGACGATGAGTCGCAGGACGTCTGCTTCGGCGGGGCCTTCAAATATGCTGGATGTATGCGTTAGATATAGGCAGGGCGGGACAGGTGAAGGTGTAGGCGAGATAGAAGACGTACAGTGTGCCCAACATTTTGACGCCTTGGCGGTGAGCGGCGGTTGTCCATCCTGAAGGCGGGATCGTTACCCGGTGATGAGCGAAGCTGTAATGAAAGGGTCAGGGCTTTTTCTCGAACGTTTCGTATGGCCACGCACTAGACGAAGGTATCGCAGTGCTGCCAGAAGTTGAACGTGTAGGCTTGTTCAGACGGCGTCTCTGTGTATCCGCCCTGGGAAAGGAGTCAGTGTCTGCCTAGATTGATGACGGGTATCGACAATCCCAATCACCTTGTAATCATGGCAGACCTGTGGGACACGAGCAGTCAGAACTCTGACGTCTCACACGACATCAATCTGCCGCGCACCAGAAGCTTCCCCGCTTGCCTTCCATCCGCTTTCAACTGCCGAGGCTGGTATGTCGGTACACTCGACAGTCTTAAAGTCGCCGTCGCCGTCGCAGCATCTAGATCGGCCAGAGAGCTGAAGTATGGGTTTGCATCGCAGACGGTAAACGTGAGTCCTGTGCCTCGCAGAGGCATGGTGGTCAATTGGAGCCTACTTCCTTTGCTATATAGCACAAATTCTCCCGAGAGAGAGAATGGGATATGATGAAGAATGTGAGAAGGAAGCCATCCATCGTCGCCAGCGCTTAGTAGGATGGATTAGCGCTGGCGACAGACCAAGAAAAGCACACGGCGTTGATGAAGCCGAATATGCCGAAGCGGAGTTTTAATCACAGCGTCGGATGTCGATGAGCGTGTCTAATTCCCGCTTCCCGCGTCCCTTACCCAAACCCTTACTATGCTAGTTCACGCATCTTCGGCCCTATGTTTTCTTTGTCTAAGGCTTGATAATATGAGGGGCGATCTAGTAAGGAAAGTAGGAGAGCGCTTTTCGCCCTGTTAGGTTCCGATTCCCGAAGCCACAGCCAGCCATGTGCAAATAAGTGCTCTCCAAGACCTTCACCTGCGTCATGGTTTCAGGCAAGCCAGGAAGCCCCTCAAGGTCAGCTCCGTGGAAATTCTACCTCGAATAACGGTGAAACTCTCCTCTAGCTCTAAACTGTTCAAACACGACTCTGAGGGTCTGAAGCTATCGGATGACGCTCTGTGACGTCGAGAAAGCTATGCCGAAACACGATAATTTTCTTGGCCTTCACCGTGGCCGTTTCTGATCGCCGTCTACTTGTCCCACTGAATCTCCTTTGTCGACTACCATTAGGACTACGCCGCTCCGGAGGACGTTTCTAGAGGACGTTTCATCAGGACTCCTTGGACTTCCTCCTGTGTCATCTACCGGCTCTTGACCTCTTGACCGCAAACACCCACGGTTTACTCGTCATCCGGAAACATGACGTCGATAATCTCAAACACCTACTCGTCCCAAACAGCGGCTACCATACTCCTACGCGCTCAGCCTACCCAATACCCCTCATCATAAAGGTATAAAGGCCTTCACAGTTTTGCGGTGGAACGAAATCACAACCAACTCTCACCACAAACCAACAACACCTCACTCATAACTCGTATACTCGCCAACAATGTTCTGCAACTCTGTTACAATCGCCCTTGCGCTTACTCTCACCTCGGCTGTTCATGGCACCACGCTCGCCACTCGTGGTGGTGGCGGTGGTGACTGTAACGGTATAACGGGGTGGCACCGCAATCAACCGGTAAGTGTCGACGTTCCCTCCGGGTTTAATTATCAGACGTCTGATATTGAATTTGTTCATCAAACAGTACTCACGTGGCGACGAGGTATCTTACTGGTATGCGTTCTTTTATATTTACCTTGTATCGTATCTCTGATAGGTGCTTCTCATAGGGGATCCATCTGGAAAGCAAAGGAATGGAGCTACAACAACCCTCCCGGTGGTATGTTGCATGCACTGTATTCCGCGATCATGACACTGATGTTATCTGGTAGATGCCGCTAACCAGTGGAACAATGCTGGCTCTTGCAATGGCGGTAACAACGGCAACGGTGGTGGTAGTGGAGGCGGCGGCTGGGGCGGAGGTCAGACCTGGAACAAGGCCAGAGGTGATGATGGCAACGGCGCGCAGGGTGTTGGCAACGACAATGGAGGCAACGATAATAGCTGGAACAATATCGGTAACAACAACTGGGGAAAAGACAAGGACGGAAGCAACTGGGGCAGCCACGATGGTGCCAATGATTGGGACAAGAACAAGGATAACGGCTGCGAATCTTGCGATGGCAAGGACAAGTGGAACAACGGCAACAACGGCAATGGCCGCTACTGTTCCGGTGCTAAGCCCTGGTCCAAATCCGCACAGGTTCGCATTCATCCTCTTCTCTTCGCCGCTTCTTGAAATGCTGACACGTATCTGTCTTGCAGTACCCCGGTGGGAGCTCCGTCACCTACAAGTAAGCACCCCCCACTCCATACATCATCTAAGGCACAACTTGACCTCGGCTCTAGTGGTCATCTCTGGATCGCCAACTGGTGGGTAACGAGCAACTACCCCGGTGGTGAGTATACCTCTCTCTCGTATCCTACCTCCGATTCGATCTAATCTTTACTTAGACACCTCGGGTTCTTGGGCCGACAAGGGGACATGCAACAAGTGGTAGATCCGCTGAGGAACATCTCCTACGGGAAATTACCCTCGAGAGTTTGTTGTGACTTGATTGTACTCTTCTCAGAATTAAATATCACTGTGTTCAACTAGTTTTCTTGAATGATTATTGCTTGTTTTTGTTTTCCACAACCAGATCAGTGTGCTTTCGCTACATTTCCGTGCTCTTTCAACGTCTGGTAACAGTTTATTACCTGACTTAATTTTTGCTCAGCTAGGTTACATCTTTTCAACGTTTAATTCTTGATCGATTCTTCAAACATTTCTCAGCGTCGAACTATCGCTCGCCCCTTTGTCGCCCTCGCTTACTCAGCCTCTCTGATCAGCGTCACCAGCACAAAGAAAACTTTACACTATCGCCCGGATTTTGGCTGAGTGTGATACAATCCATAATGCCGTCGATACCTAGCCTGCTCCGAATCGCACCAGTCTGCCTGTATTACTTGAATATATTATAGTTTATTCCTTACACCATTTTCTACATCCCAGCGTTCACAGAGCCTGAACAAATGTATGGTTTCCCCCAAACAGACTCACAGACCCGCTCCCAGCCTCACTCGCATCAAAAGAGACACTCCCCGCTTCAGGCAGGAGGGCCGTCCCGCTCGTGCTTGCAGGCGTCGAGCCTTCGACGGTCAATTCAGTCCCGTTCGCGACAGTCCGGTTGGCACCAAACTACCGGAGCAGCGTCTTGTATCCGCCTTGGGCGGGGTTCAGCCCAGAAAGAACGTGAGCAAGGCGCCGCGATGCACCTTGAGCAGACGCGAGTTGCATACCTGCGACGTAGAACGAGGGCGCGGATATCGGGCAGGTGCTCTATCCTTGCGAGTGGGACGTGTATGACGCATCGTAGTCGGCACCGGATGCGCCGCAATAGCTACTGGGAAGGGTCGGTGGGCATGGTATAAGGCTTACGGTAGGAGAGGGGGTGAGTGCGTACTAGAGAGAGCGGTTGGCAGCGTATCCTTCAAGGAAGTTCAATTGCACGCGCAAGTCCGTGGTCGTGATGTAGCCCCGCTCCTGGCAAATGAATTCGAGCGCACGGCTGCCGTCCCCAGCGATGAAATGTGCCTTGATCTGTGATAGAAGATCATCGATACTCAACCCATGTTGACTCACTACAGAACGAGGTTGGCTGTAAACCTCCAGTCACCAGCTGGGATGGCGCAGCGTGATTTACGTCATAAAAGGAAGAATGAATGGCACTGTATAGTTGTTATTGTGTAAGTGGTGTTCGGGGGCGATCCGGAAGTTTGCACTGATCTACGTGAACAACCTCTGTGCCGTTGGGATAAATATGCGAGCGGTAGCCGCCAAAATCCCCACTGAATAGAGAGGGAGAACCAGAAAGGTAGTGCTGAGTTGCAGATTCTCAGAGACATGGTCCGACGCAATGGGAGAGTGTTGGGAGACGCATGGCCTTATCGTTCAAGTTGCATCATCAAGTTGGTTCAGCTTGAAGTAAGGCCTTTTGATGTATGAGCAATCGATCATCGGAACGTGGCACATGGGTGAAGTGAACATGCAAAGACAAGGAAAACCTAAGGAAAACCGCTGGGCGAGGACACGCTGGCACCGTGACGTCGCGCGGAGTCGGAGTCGCTCAGGCGCTAACGTGCGCTGAGTTAGACGCTCATTCCATAGCCGGTGTTTCCGACGTTTGTCCTGACATGCCCTGACAGCAAAGCATTTTTTGAATAGCAGGACTGCAGCGAAGACAAAAGCTCACTAAACAACAGTCTTCTGCAGATGATTAAGGCAGGATGCGATGACAGACGACACGGCCAAGACAGGACTGGGGAGGGTTCGAGCGTGGGAATGCTGGCGTGTCGGATGAAGTCAGCCGACGGTGAGCAAAAGTTGTCGAGCGCGCGTCTCAACAACAACGTTCATGTCTGAACAACAACAGGCTGACCCCAACAACCCTCAAACCAATGATCTCGAGCAGACACAGCCGACTGAGGACATCCTCAGCGCTCTGAACGCACTCACCAATGTCGCCAAGAGTAGCAACAGCCAGCCGCCCACCCCGTCTGTCCCTGCTGCGCCATCACGGGGCGCCTCGCAAGATGTTCAGCAGCAGCAGCAGCAACAGCAACAGCAGGATACACAGCAAGAAGAGGCCATGAACCAAGACGAGCCCGAGTCCCAGCCCGAGTCCCAGCAGTCTCGTGCTCCTACCGAGCAGGCGTCCGCGCCGTCGGAGTGGCAGCAGCTGCGCGAGAAGCTGCGTGAACACCCGCTCGACCCAGACGGGTGGGCCAGGCTCGTCGACCTAGCAGAGTCCGCGGGAGAGCTTGAGCAGATCAAAGCGACGTACGAGGCCCTCTTAGAGACCTACCCGAACACGGTGTGCTACTTTTTCTTCTCCCTTACCTGCGTGAGCGTGTTTTTTCTGAATCCCTAAAATTTGTGTGTCTGTCCGTCCACCTTCGGCCCGTCGTCCGCTTGACTATATGCGTCTCCGTCCGACTGTCCCATGTTCGCCAAACCTGTCCGAACGATGCTCAATGTATGCGCACGTGCACGAACGTCGTTCTGCCTCAAGGCCTCCGCCCAGATTGCATACATCAACCACTACCTAAGCCCTGGTCTATTCTCGTACGCTGAGGAGCTCTTCAAGCGCTTCCTCCGCACGTCTCCCATAGTAGAGTTATGGAAGTTCTACCTCACCTACGTCAGGTTAGTACTCGCCCCTCCCCTTGCCCGATCCTTGAAATGTGTGATGAGAACATGCGTGTGATCTTACCTTTACCTTCGCCGATAGACGCATTAACACGACCCCGAATTCGCGTGAGAACATCCGCCTGGCGTACGAGTTCGCGCTGAACCGCATCGGCCATGACAAGGACAGCGGCGAGATATGGAATGACTACGTGCAGTTTATCAAGTCTGGCAATGTCAGTCCAGTTCTTTACCATCTGATACAGCCGAGCTAATTGATGTATACACAACGTCTTCTTACCGGTACGCACACAGACGACCAACACCTGGGAAGAGCAACAGAAGATGGACGCGCTCCGCAAGGTGTACCACCGCGCGGTGCAGATCCCGCTTGAGAACGTCGAGAAGCTGTGGTCCGAACTCGAGACGTTCGAGAGTGGCCTTAACAAGATCACGGTGCGCCCTCTTCCCCTTTTTTTCACTCGCATCCCTCCATGTCCTGCTCACAATCTTGCGTTCTGCAGGCCAAAAAATTCATGTCCGACCTTTCCCCCGCGCACATGCAAGCTCGCACCGTCCTGCGCCAGCTGCAGCGTCACCTCGGGCCCCTCTTCCCGCCCGGGCCCACGTCCTCGTCCAGCGCAGGTGGCGGCAAGGTCGCTCAGAATCTACCGGCGGCGCCGACGTTCACCGCGGGCGAGCGCGCGCTCGTCGGCTCATGGAAGGCGTATCTCAAGTGGGAGGAGAGCAATCCGCTCGAGATCGAGGATAAGGAACGCGCGACGTTTATTGGGAGGGTGCAGCAGGTGTATAAGAAGGCGGTGATTCGGATGAGATTTTTTAGTGAGGTTTGGTGCGTTTATTCTTTTTTGGGGAATGTAAGGAGACGGGGGCTGACTAGTATTGATGGGCTGGCAGGTACATGTCGTTTGTGTGGACGAACAGCATCGGGAAGCACGAGGAGGCGGTGAACATTCTCAAGGCCGGAATTGAGTCCAACCCTCGGAGGTACGTCCCTTCATCAACCCACGTCCTTCGGGTCGACCGCTAACGGTTACATCCTTATCGTTGTATCAGCTTTCTCCTCAACTTCGCCTACGCCGAAGTCCTCGAGAACCGCGAACAATATACCGAAGTCGCAGCGATTTACGACAAACTCCTCGAGCTCCTCCGTATCGAGCTCGAATCACTTGAGGCACGCGCCTCCTCATCCACCAACACCTCTCTTTCCTCCTCTCAGGAATATGCACCTCCCACGAACGGCTACAATATGAACGGCTCGATGGCCTCGATCGGCACGCAGCCCGCGGACGAGTCGGGCGGCAAGGATAAGGAGAAAGACAAGGACAAGGGCAAGTCCAAGGAGCTCGCTGAGCGCCGGTCCGAGTTCGGGCTGGTGTGGACGATGTACATCCGCTTCGCGCGGCGCGCGCACGATCTCAAGACGTTCCGCTCTATCTTCCAGCGTGCCCGGCGCGATCGATGGACGCCCTGGGAGGTGTATGAGGCTGCGGCGCTGATGGAGTACCACTGTACCAAGGAGGGCGGCGCCGGCGTGGCGAGCAGGATCTTTGAGAAGGGATTGGAGAGTTTTGGGGACGAGGTCGAGTTTGTGCTTAGGTATTTGGGGTTTTTGATTAGTGTTAATGATGATAACAGTGCGTGCTTGTTTGTTTCTCTGCTCCTCTGACTCTCATATAATGGTAATACTAACGCGTGACTGTATAGATGCACGCGCGCTGTTCGAGCGCGTCATCACGACCTTCACCCCAGACAAGGCGCGTCCGCTCTGGGAGCGCTGGGCGCGGTACGAGTACCAGTTCGGCGACCTTAAGGCTGCGCAGGCGCTCGAGAAGCGCATCGCGGAGGTCTACCCCAACGGTCAGTCTCCCATCTCTTCCCCGCTTATCCCTGACACACGGTACACCGAACTTACACTTCGTCGCAGACCCACCGATCAAACGCTTCGCCCAGCGTCACACCTACCTCGGCATCGACGCCATCGCAGCGCGCGATCTCGGCTTCGCGATGGCCGCCTCGCGCGGCACAGCGAACCAACAAGGCAGCCAAGGCCAAATGGGCACCGCGCTCTCAGCGCTGTCGATCGGCCCGAGTCAGTCCAGCCAGTCGCTCGACAGAGGGCGCACTGAGTCCACCGTGTCTATCGGCGGAGGCGACGCGCACCCGCACGGTGGAGATAGACATGGGCATGGTGCACCACAGAGGGCTCCGCCTGGGAAACGCGCTTCGTCGCCTGATTATACGCTCGGTGGGACCGGGTCTGCCGCTGGTACTGGCGGCGGCGGGGGACCCAGTGGCGGTGGTGGAGCGGGTGGTGGTGGAGGAGGACGGAGAGGCAGAGGCGGTGGAGACGACTTTGGGCCTCCCTCGAAGCGCCAGCGGCCGACATCTCCCCCTGGGCGCGACCGGGACCACGGCGGCGGCGGTGGAGGCGGGAGGAGACGGTTCAACTCTCCGCTGTCGCGCGATCGCGCGTCGCTCGGTGGCGCTGGGCCCGGCGGACCTGCTGGACCTGTGGGCCCCGGAGGAGGAGGACCCAGCGGAGGGGGAGCAGATTGGGGTGACAGACGCGGTGGTGGGTCCGACAAGGACGCCGGTGGCTCGGACAAGGGCGTACAGATCCCTGGTGTGCTGAGCTGGTTCGTGGGGCAGCTGCCTGCGCCGAGCGCGTTCGACGGTGCGTTTCTTCCCCTTCCCGGTTGTCATACACTGGCTGATGGCTATCGTTGCGTGCACAGGTCCCGTGTTCAGAACCGATGACCTGATGAACCTCCTCCGCAATGCGGTCATCCCGAACGTGACACGGAGGCCGCCTTCGCCTCCACCCCCGCCCCGAGGCGGTAAGCACCCCTCTCTCGCTTGCAATCTCCTTCTGTCCATTCCTGACTTATGTTCGCTTGCCTACAGGTGGACGTCCGCCCCCCGACTACAGCCCCTACACGGGCCCAAGCAGCGGTCGCCCGGGAGGAGGCGCTCGCCGTTACTAAAAACATGTAGACTGTGTTCCCCGTTCAACTCCCTATCTAGTCTGGTTCTTAGTTTGTGGGTTTCACATTGCCACGCTTGCTTCATCTTGTTCGGTTTTTTGTTGTGGTCCCTTGGCTTCTCGCTCTGCTCACTCATCGCATTGACGGTGCTCAGAGGGGTCGAGGGAGGAAACGGTCCATCACAACTTCACCTACTGTGATTCACCGTCAGAGTAGACACCACCGTCAGAATAGACAACTCGCTTTTGTGCCCGTTTCCTTGGCAAATCATTCGAACTAAATTCATGGTAATTACGAGAATATGCTGTGCTTTATGCCTGAACATGCGATTGGCAAGGGAATGTCTGGATGTGAAGCTGCAAGCCTCAAAGCATGAAAAGCAGGGTGTTGTAAAAAATTTCTTAGCTTCGGCGGATAACCAGCTGTGAACATGCGACACAGTGTGGATGATAGAGCTATTGTATGTTGTAATGACATCTTTACCCTTCGTTGAAGCAATTTTGGACGCTGCAAAAGGAGACAACTCTCAATATGTCGGAACGATGACAGAGTGTCCTCTCGAGCCTTGCCATGATCTTATAGCCGCTGTAACGGCGATTTCGGCTCAGCGATAACGCCTTGATTTTCCTTTTTGAGACCGGCTACGGTGGACGGCCTGCCTAATATGGATTATCACCACCCGCGTGGACTGTCTATTCTGACGGTATTCAGCCTAAAACACTGATTCGTGCATTGCACATGCACCCTATGCTTTCTTCACTCAGCAATTTTTTGTAAGGTAGATCGCATACCAAGGATATCTCAAACCTAAATTTAAGCAAGTTGGGCGAAGGAAAAATATTCCACACGCGTTGCACAAAAGTCTGTCTATTCTGACGGTGAATCACAGTACCTTTCATTTCGTCACGTCTCTTCGTTTCGCCTTGTCTTGTTTGATTTGAGAGAATGTCTGATTTGAGGAAGAGGAAGGGATAGCAAAGGAGCAAAATGTTTCGTTAATTGCGATATGCAAAGCTACAGTAATCGAATCTTTATAAAATACACCCAAAGAAAAGGCTCGAAACGCGAAATAAAGATGATAATCTAATAGAGCATGCGAGATCAAGATAATTAAAGTCAAGGAGAACAAATTCAAACGCTAACAAGGGCACCGCAGTGGAATACACTATGCAACGCTTGGGAAACCATGATTCGCCAACCAACATCAAAAAATCACCTACGAAAACAGCACCAAACGCACGCCCGCTCGAACATATTAGTAAGCCACACTAACCGCACCCGCGCCCTCGCCCTCATCATCAGACGGCACGTCAAGCGCGACATCGTCCAAGAACTCCAGGAGTACATCCTTGAGCTCGCGCACCAGCGCATCGCGGTCCCACGCCGCGCGGTGCCGCCAGATGCATCCAAGCGAGGTTGCCCGTAGCTGCTCGAGCTGCTCGACAGTCAGCTGCGCCGTGCGCAGGCGCAGGTCGTCCTTGAGGCCCGCGAGAAGCGCCTCGTCGACGTGGAACTCGGGGTGAGGGGGCGTCGGTGTGCGCGGGGGCTGCTCGGGCTCCGGCTGAGGAGTCGGCTCCGACTGGGGTTCGGACGAGGGTTGAGGCTGAGGTTGCATCTGGGCCTGAGGCTGCGGGTGTCCGAAAGGCGAAGACGAAGCACGATGCTCGGACATGGCCATGGGCGTGAGAGCACCATCCAAGCCCCCGGATGCGGGATGCAAGTGGTGCATGTGAGATGGCATCGGGTCGTGCACAGACGCAGAGGACGGTGCCGATACTTGCATACTCCATTGGTCGAACGACTGTGGTTGGCCCTGGGGCTGGGGATAAGGCTGAGACGCTTGAACGTGTGGCTGGAAGTGTGGGTCCATCTGGTGGCCTTGATACGGCTGCTGCTGGTACATGTACGACGAAGGCGAGTGCGTCTGGGGCTGCGGTGGCTGATACGGAGGCTGATACTGCTGATGCGCGTACTGAGGCTGGTGTTGGTGTGGATACCCGTGCTGCGGCTGATACTGGGGCTGATCTTGATATCCTGGGAACAACGAAGGGTGCGACGAATGTGGTGGCTGGACGCCGTGACCGATATGCGCGATGCTGCCATCAGGTTGAGGATGTGGAGACGGTCCATTGCTGTTAAGCAAGTGTTGAATGGAGTTTGCCGGCGACTGATATTGGTGGTCTACAGAGCCGGCTGGGTTCAGAAGCCCACCAAATCCAGCCAACTTCCGAGGTGACGGGCTGTCGACCGCCATGTCGTCGTGCGGCATACCCATGCCCATGCCCATACCGTTAAAAATGTGGGACTGTGGGCCATACTGGGGTCCCTGAGGATAGCCAGAGTAGGGCCGGAGCTCAGGTGCATGACCAGGGCCAGCGGCTGGCGTGGCGTATCCGTGCATCTGTCCTTGTTGGCCACGACCGTACGATGACCCTCCACCGTAGCCATTCTGCATGGGCTGCTGCATATCGCTGGCGAAGCGCACCGTAAGCGGTCTCCCATCCCCGGCAAGCATCCCACCGTCCTGGTTCGTCCTCACTCTCTTCGAGTCCCTCCCTTCTGGGTCCATCGCTGCGCCCGCTGGAACCAACTGCTGTCCCTGCCCTTGCCCATGGCCCGAACCCGGCCGTGCGCCATCTGCGTTCTGCTGCTCCTCCACCATCGGCGACCCACTCGGACGATCCGTCGAACGCTGCCTCTTCGCCCTCCGCTCGATTTGCAGCGGATCCGTAATCGTCAACTCGAGCTGCGCACCATTGTTCCTCGCACTCCTCCTCAGCTGCCCCTCGCCCGCACCCGCACCCGCACCCGCACCACCCCCGTTGACATTACCATTAGCAGCAGCCCTCGCCTTCTCCTTTTCCTTCCTCCTCTCGTCCCTCCTCCTCTTCTCCCGCTCTGCCATGCGCTCGCACTCGACCTTGAACGCGGGGTCGAACTCCTGCACGCTGACCTCGGCGGCCGTATACATCGCCTGCGCCTTCCACAGTCGCTCCGCGTCCTGTTCGGCATGCACGAGCGCGTTGTGCACGATCTTGCCGACGTCCTCGAGAAAGTCGTGCGGGGTGAGATACGTCCCACGGTAGATCTCCATGTTCATTCGCTCGAGGTCCATGTCGTACAGCCGCGGTCGCCGTGGTGCCGCAGGCGCAGGCGCTGGTTGTGGCTGCTGCGGAGCTGGCACTAGCTGTAGTTGCGCTTGCGTCTGCATCTGCCCTTCGAGCTGAGGTTGCATCTGGGATGGGGAATGCGACTGCATCTGAGCGTCATGTTGGTCGCCATTGACCACTCCATTGACCTGAAGTGTCGTTGTGGAAACGGGCTGCTGATCGACAATTTCCACTATAGCGTTCTCCGCCTGAACCGTCACCGTCGCAGCGGGCGCGGGCTCAACATCATCGACATCTGCAAACACGTCAAAGTCATACTCCTCCTATCAACCTTTATCAGCACTCCGCGTTAGCGATTACCCCGAGCAAAGTACTCACCGTAGCCCTCTTCGTAAACCGCTTAAACTTCCTCTTCAGCTCCCCAAGAATCGGGCCCAACCTATACTTCAAAAGCGTAACCACCCTCGCATCATGCTCCTCCTGCACAGCCAGCTCCGCCGCACTCGGCTGCCTCGGCTCCAGCGGCGGCGCAATCTCCAGCACCTCCAGCACGCGCTTCCGCCGCCGCACCCCGTCCGCGAACATGTTCGGCGGCCTCCGCACGTCCACAAGCAGGCCCTCGAAGAACGCCTCGCGCTGCGCCTCCGTCGGCGCCGGGAGCAGCACGCGGTTCTCCCGCCCTGCGCCGAACCACGCGCGCACGTCCCGCGGGAGAGCGGAGAGCGGGCCGTCAACGATGCCGAGCAGCAGAACAGGATCCGTGGGAGAGAGCGAGTCCAACATCGCGCGCACGGTCGTCCGTGCGCTTTCAGAGATGGCGGCGCACCACCCGATAAGGGAAGGTATGTACACGACGCTGGGCTGGTGTCGCTTAGCTTCAACAAATAGCTGGACGATGGCTGCTTCTGGCGTCTGCAAGTGATTGGCACGTAAATAAAATGATTCTCGAAACAAGCGCGGTACGCACCCTCGCAGAATCACCCATCAAACTCCCCAAATCCAGATTCTGCACATGATACCCCTCGAGATGATGCAGCGCCGCCGCACCAACATATCCCTGCCCCATACCCGCCTGTCCATGCAACACCAGCCGCGGCCGGTACACACGCAGCGTCTCCATCGCTATATCACCGATCAGCGTCAGCACTTCCCTCACGAAGCGTCACGAGAAGCAGGTCAAACGCACATTGCACAAGCATCTCGCGCTCCAACGCGCCCTCCTCGCCCTCATCCTCCCACTGCGCCTCCTCAAGCGCATTGCGCTTCTTATTCGGCGGAAGCACGCGGTCGATCGAGCTCTTCACGCGGTCCACAGTCTCCTCGAGTAAGGGAACGAGCTGGCTGGGCAATGGTGATGCGGACGAAGCGGTCGAGCGGGCCGAGGAGGGTACGAGCTCTATGAGAAAATCGAAATAAGATGGGCGTTAGTGTTCCGCATATATAGACAGCGGCACCGAAGTATGAATGAGCCAAGAGTGTATGAATGAAAAACGAAAAGTAAATGAATCCACGAACGAATAAAATGAAGTCCCATAAGCACCGACAAAAGCCAATCATCTCATTCGCAGTCTGAATGACCGATCTCCCCGAGCCCGCTCCCACCCAAGGAAAGAAAAGGCGAAGAGAAAAACCAAGAACAAAAAAAATGCAAAACTCACTCTTCACACTAATCATAAAATCCCTCACCCCAACAACCACACTCTCGGGCCTCACAACCAACCTCTCCTGACTCTCATATATCTGCGGATACCTCCTCTGCACCGCACACAGCGCCGCCTCCGTACACAGCGCCCTCAAATCCGCACCCCCATATCCCTTCGTCATTCTTGCCAAGCCCCTCACCTTCTCCACCCCGTCCTCCCCCGCCCACCCGTCCCATTTCCCCGTCATAATCCCCAAAATCCGCTCCCTCGCTTCTAGAGTAGGCAGCGGAAAATAAAACTCCCGATCAAACCTTCCCGGCCTTCTCAGTGCCGGATCAACAGCATCGGGGCGGTTCGTCGCCCCAATCACCACCACCTGCCCGCGCCCGTCCATGCCGTCCATGAGCGCCAACAGCGTGCTCACGATCGACGCGTGGATCTGGTCCTGCTTCGACGAGCGCACGGGCGCGAGCCCGTCGATCTCGTCGAAGAAGATGATCGAGGGCTGCGAGGCGCGGGCTTCTTCGAAGAGCAGGCGCAGCTGGCGCTCGGCTTCGCCGACCCATTTTGATAGGCAGTCGGCGCCTTTGCGCATGAAGAAGGCTTTTTTTTCATTTTTACCCGCGTTAGTACAGGCGTAAGAGGCGGGATGTTGGGGGACGTACAGATAGTGCGGCCGTTCGACCGACAGCTCGCAGCCAGTGCACGCGCGAGGAGCGTCTTACCCGTCCCCGGCGGGCCGTGGAACAGCACACCCCTCGGCGGCGTGAGCCCGAACCTTTGAAACATCTCCGGATACAGCAGCGGGAGCATCGTCATCTCCTTCAGCTGGTGGATATCTGCTCATCATCAGCACCGACGACAACAACAGGGGGGAACGGGAATGGGAGAGGGGAAAGTGGACTGAAGAGGAGTAGAGAGAAGAAAAAACGCACGATCATCCAACCCGCCAACCTCATCAAACGACACATTCTGGTTCACCCCGAGCGGATCCGCATCCGCGAGCGCCGCGTCCCCGACCTTGCCCAGATTCGACGGCGTCCCCGCCGCAGCCGCCGACAGTCCAGGATCGCCGCCGAGCAGGCCTGCCCCGCCCGCGCCGGCGACGCCCGATGCCGAGCCGCCAAAGAGCGCGCCGGCGCCGAGACCCTTGCGTGGCGTGCGCGTGGGGTTGTCCGAGTCCTATCGGTTGACATGGGGTAAGCTTGGCTCAGAGAGGAAAAGAGAGGGGAGGGGAAGACGGATTACCGAATCATCAACAGGCGCCATCCCCATCCACCGACTCAGCTCCGCCCCACTCGCACTCCACCCCGGGCCCTTATTCCTCCTCCCCCCATGCCCCCCGCCCGCCCTCGCCCCGCCCATCCCACCCGGCCGCCTCGGCGCTGGCCTTGTCTCCTCAATCGGCGGCGGAATCGCATAATTAATCTCCCTCCTTGTCCTCAACGAGTACGGCTTCCCATTATCGTCCCCCTCCCCGTCCTCCTGCTCATCCGCATCCGCAATGCGCCCCGAGCGCCGCGGCGGCGCAGGCGGAGACGGCTCCGAGACGGGCGACGACGTGCGCGGGGCGTCGTCCAGCGAATCCTCGCCCGAGCCCGTGTCCGTGTGTGGATCGTCGATGTACCCGTCGTCCTGCTCCTTCTGCACGCGCGCGGAACGCGTCGAGCGTCGCGTCGCGCCGCCGGTGCCGTTGGCGGTGCCGTTGAGGTTGGGCGCAGACGAGAAGCGCTGCGTCTGTCGCGTGATGCGCCCGCGTTTGGTCTTGTGCGGGGGAGGCGGGGCTGCGGGCCCGGAGCCCGACGGGCGGTTGCGCAGCCCGTAGCGCGTTTTACGCTGTTGACCGTCCTCGTCGTCTTCGTCCTCGGCATCGTGCTCAATGAACCCGTCGAGCGACGGCTTCCTTGTCGAGCGGCGCGTCATCCGGCGGGGCTGCGCGTCGTCCTCGTCTTCGCTCTCGACCTTGGTCTCGCGCCTGGAGGACCGCTTCGTCCTTGTTCCATCTTCCACGCCCTCGCCCTCGCCCACGTCTACCTCCCCTTCGGCATCCGGCTCGCCCTCCCCATCCATAAGATCATCATCCTCATCACTCTCAATATACGTCTTCTTCTTAATAAGCCGCCCACGAGACGACGTGACCATCACGGGCTTCTCGAGAGGCGGCGCCGGGAGATCGTCGCCGTCCACGTCGTCACCGTCGTGGTGCGCATCCGGGTCCTCGTCCATGTTCTCGGACTCGTGGTACTCGGAGCCGGAGGCGTCCATGTCCTCGGGCGGGATGTCCGGGTCGGAGGCGGCGCGGTGCCGGGATGAGCGGCGGAGCGGGCCACCCATGGCTGGGAGCTTGAACTTGATTTTGAGCGAGGTTGGGGGTGAGGGGTGGGTGTTTGTGGGAGGTGGTGTCGTCGATGTGGGCTGTGTGAGTCGAGGGGAGAGTGGAGCGGGTTGGGGCTGTGGAGGGAGAGGAAGCGACGGGTGGGAGGTCGTCGGTGGGAGTGAGGACGTGGGTGGAAAGTCGAACAGGTCCTCGGCAGCTGGAAGCCCCTGAGTGGGAATGGTATGACTAGAGTCGGCCGCGTCTGGGTGGGCGGGATCTAGTTGCATCAGACTGAGTAAGCCTTGGCTGCGTCGTCGTCGGGTGAGACGAACAGCTCAGAGAAAAAGGGCCTTGGTGCCGCCTACTCCTCCTGCGTGTCGATGTATGCGTGCGTTTCTTGCTGGTGAGCGCGTCGTCGTCGTTGGAGAAGAGAGCGAGGGAAGAATGAGGCGAAACGCAGTGCCAATTGTCAGACCTGGCGAATGGAGAGAGGCTCGCGAGGGAGGTGAGTTTGGCGTTGTTTGGCGGTGGCGCAGTTATTTGGCTATATTTGATTGGATGGCGAAATGTGTTGGCCATGTTCCCCCGCAGGCCCTCCTCGCCCCGCTCGCCTGCAACACCCTCCTCCCCGTCCACCAAAGTTTCCCATTCCCATGTTCGTCATGAGTCCGGTAAACGAGAGAATCAAAGGTAGTTGTTCGTTTTAACGAGAAAACCAGCGGATTTCGCCCGAGAAAAAAGGGGGATGATGGCCAGGTGAAGATGGGTGGTCTGTAGTGGTGAAGGTTCGGTGAGAGAGACGTCGCTTTGTCGACGCTGTTGAGTGCCATTCGCCGTCGACCACACTGCGAAGGTCCTGAGTGTGACGTGTGACTGTGACCGCATTCGTCATTCCGTCACATTGCGTCACGGGTGTGCCTTCATTACCGCCGAGTGTATGCCCGATATGGGACACCGAGGGCCGAGAGAAGCTGCCCAATTGCGTTTGGGTGTGTCTGAGTATGAGCAGTCTCTGTTTTCCTCTTGTCTCGCTTTTCTCCTCTCTGTTTGACGTTCACGACGCTCACGACTTCAACGATAGCCATACCATCTTCTAATTCATACGCATACATCCAACCTAACACACTCAGTCGATGCAACCATGACTGATGAACACCATCTCTCCGATTCACCCCATCGAAGCAGTTTGCTAGGTCTGCCTCCCACTCATGCACCAGGCAGCACCAGCAATGCCGTCGATGCAGGTAAGTCTCGTCTAACGTATCACTTGCGCAACGATCACAACGTGTTTGCTCTCGTTTCACAGACTTAGAGAACCGATTCAGCCAGAGCTCGTCAGAGCTCACCAGCTCTGACAAGCTCACCTCGCTCCCAACCTCCACCTTTTCCCCTACCTCCCAAGCCGTCCCTGCAAGGACACGCACCACCTCGATCTCGGGATCCGGCAAAGCGGTACGCTACAGCTTCGATGACGCCGCATCCAGTGTCATCCCGGCATCTCTATCCGCACCATCGCTGCAGACCGCTCCATCGCAAGACTCGGCCGCGTCATCGTCAGATTACGGGCACGACCCAACGGCAGCCGCACCGCGCGTGCCGTTCCCGTACTCATACCACAGACCTACAGTCCCTGCGTCAGCGTCAGACACCTCGCTCCGCGCGGCGCCTGCTCATCCTACCACGTCTCCCTCTCCCATACCGCACGCAGCAGTTGCAGCAGCAGCAGATGCAGGCGACCAGAGCGCACACAGCTCTCCCGGCCCAGCACACAAAGGCACCCTCGCACCGCCTGCACATCCTCTCCATACACATTTAAACACCCATACTCCAAGCGATGCCCCACATCCAGCACGCTACCCCACCACCCCGTCCCGTACGACGCTCCTCGACGCAGCCCTCCGCCGCGCACGGAATCCCTCTGAACCAATCCCGTCCTCGAGTACACCCCGCAAGTCCCCATCTCCATCACGGCCGCGCTCACGCGCAACGTCGCCCATCCGCCTTCTCCAAATGGGCGTGAGCGCGTTCCGCGCCGCACGCACCGAGCACGATCACGCACGAGAAGGCACAGCCGACGGTGCGCCGCCCCGCAATGCAGGGGGGAGAGGGCAGAGACGAGGCAGAAGAGGAAGAGGACGGCGGGGAAGGAGAGGCAGGGGCGATGATGACGAAGATGACGAAGAAGAGCCCTTCGTCCCCGTCGACCCCTGGCGCCTACGCGCGCGCATCCGCCAGCTCTCTCTGAACACCCCGCACATTCCCGACCTCGAAAGCGGACTCCACCGCGTGCAATCCAACCTCGGCATTCCACCCGAGGCAGAGTGCCACGAAACACTAACATCGTGCCTCCCCTCCCCACCGTTCCTCTCTTCCCTCCGCTCCCACTCTTTCCCTCTCCTCCGCCCGCTCTCACTCGCCCGCGTCGCGTCACCGAGGCTCAAGCGAGGCCTCGAAGACACATGGACGCACTTTACAGACACACTCCCGCGCCAGATATACCTACACATCCTCCTCCGCCTCCCGAGCCTCTACTTCGCACGCATAGCGCGCGTATTCGAGGACGCCGAGCTGAGCAAGCCCGATATCGAGCGCATGGTCGAGGCGTGCTGGGAGGGCGACTGGGCGTCTCTTCCTCAGGGCCGTTCTCATTCTCACGGGCCACGTCGAACTCACGGCCGGAGCCCGGGACATGCTCACCACTCGCCCTCGCCGCCGCCGCGCTTGCTCGGGCAGGGTCTTGTCGGGAGCCCGAGGGCGTCGCTCGCCAGAGGGCTCGGGATCGGGGCCACTTCGGCTCCGGCTTCTTTGGCTGCCGGGAACGACGACGCGCACGAGGAGGGCGGCGCGACGGACGAGTGGGCGCTGCCGTTCCCCGAGGAGTGGGTGAGCGGCGCGGCGGACGTGCCGCCGTCGATCGTGCGCTTCAAGCGCTCGTGGGAGGAGTTCATCGATTCCCTGCTAAGGGAGTGGAAGACGCTCAATTTGGTGTCTGCGTTGTTGCTTTCGTGCGTCTTGCCTTGATTCTTCCTTTCTCTCTCCTCACTAACACATTCCACTTTATTTTATTTGCTTTGCTTTGCTTTGACTTGTAACCATTCACGCCCCAACCGCACCAGCGCAATCCTCTCCATGTTCCAAAACACCCAAATGTCGCTCGACCCCCTCATCCGCACCCCCGCACTCATCTCGCTCACCTGCGCGCTCATGTCCCTCTCCTACGGCTGCGTGTACATCGTGCGCTTCGGCACCATGCGCACGATGCACAACGCGCTCCGCTGGGCGGACGAGGCGCGGCACACGGAGACCTCGATATGGTGGAACGTCTGGGTCCTCCTCGCCATGCCCGCCGTCTGGCTCGCGTGGAGCATGGTCTCCTTCGTCGTCGCCATTCTCGCGTTCGTGTGGCGCTCGGGCGCCGACAGCGATCCGCAGACGCCCAATCAGCTGGGGAGCAGGGCGGTGCTGGGCCCGCGCGTGGGGATATCGATGCTGTTCGTGCTGGGGGTTGTGTATTTCGGGGCGATGGTGAGGACGCTGGGGAGCTACGGGTACGGGCGGCGCGGGGCGAGGGAGGCGGCGCGGTATCCGCCGATGCACCTGTACCTTTCGAACTCGAGGCCGACGTCGACTTCGCCGCCGCCGCCGGATTACCTCGAGCGCGAGCGCGACGTGGGCCTCGTTGGTGCGCGCAGACCCGGGGCGTTCACCCCGCCTCCGGCCATCAGCCCCACCCCACGCACCTCGCTCGACGACCGCGATCGCGTAGGGCGTACCGTCTTCCCTCCTGACCGCGGGACAGGAGAACCCCAACGCGGACGCGACCGCACCACGCGGCGAGGTGCCGATATTGGTCGGCCCCGCCGTGCGTCCGACGCGCAGATCCCGCTCTCGGCCGTTACCGGTCTCGGGCTGATGAATTTGCCAGGGGACGGGTCAGGCAGCGGTGTCAATCTCAGCGGCAGTGGCAACGGCAACGGCAACGGCAACAGCGAAGCGACGCCCAGGTCGAGCGATAGTTTGGTGATGACGGAGAAGGAGGCGCTGTAAGGTCCATTCGCGCAACGTGGAATGGAACTGAGGCGTGCGCGTGATGCTGCGTCTTGGACTTGGAGTTTGGATTTTGTCCGTGCTGTGAGGAGTGGGCAGATGCTGTATGTTCTTGCTGTACGTGGAAGTCTCGCGGGAGGCGAGGCACGATGCGGTACGCTACGCTACGTTACGTTGCGGTGCGCTGTGGTATGCGCATACATGATGGCCGGTGTACTTCTGTCTCTTCTCGTCACCCACGTCCGTGATGACCGGTTCACGAATATTTATTCTGACATCATATTGTATATTTCACAGCATCGACGCACGGCGAGTTTTCGCTGGACGCCTAATAGCGAGCAGGATTCTTTCCGCTCTTGTCTCCGTGTATATACCTCTGTATGCAAGCAGTATTGTACATATTCTATGTACCACTTTGGACTTTGTAGGCTCGTATGGGCGCATGCAGGCGTATGTATATCCTGCACATTTTCTTTTCATCGGACTCATTTCTGTTCGGCATCAAGTGCTGCTTCATTTCCAGTGTGCATATTGTGCTCATCTCGTCACACAAATTGGCTCACATGTATTGCACGCGCAATGCTGTTTCCCGAGGAGTGAGCACATGTATCATTATGAGTGGCCTAACGCGCCGAGAAAAGTATGAACGCGGCGTCAAGGTCACGGTAAACGCTGGTGAGTCTTCTCGCGCCCCTCGATATGCCAACGCCGCTCGCGGCTTGCAGAAGCGGGACAACACCAACCTGTTGACGCGTAAGCTCAGCCGGGAGCTCATTTCGGACAGGATGACCGAGACGCACCAGTAAACGCGGTCCTTCACGCGCGCTATCAACGTTTGTTCGGAGGTGCACGAACGAGCGAGGGGTGATCATTGTGCTGCAAGTTGTCTCGTGCGGATCCTTGTCGTGGGTGGGGGAAAACATCTCCCCACAGTATCGGCACTGGCGACTGATGCGAAGCTCGGCGCCGAAAGCCCTTGAGCTTGAGGGAGTGACGGGGTAGGTTTACTTAGTCTTGTGAGGCTTGTTGTTGGTGTCAACACCTAGTTTTCCGCGGCGAGGTTCGTCAGACATTTGCGATTGGCGGAATTTTGAGGAAGTGTGTTGACATATAAGTACAAAATGTGCAATCCTTGGCCTTGAATGAGAGGAACACGTACGGAACACGGCATACGCATCCTACCAACAGAGAATCCATGATACCTAGCGGCGATCAAGCAACCCGGAACGTATATCGTGCAAGCGCCGAAAGTGATTTGCTCACTCGTCCAGGTGTATATGTCCCCGACATCCATGCGTATGGACTGTATAGTAACACCATTACCTTGTTCACGGTTACCATTTTAGTACGCTGTTCGCTATTCGCCAGGAAGCAACGTTTGGGCGTCAATAGGCGCTTATAGACGACCAGGTGCAGGTTATCCTGATGGTGATTGAATGAAGTATCATGTTAATGTCCTGGTGAGGTAGAGTAACCCCTAGACGGACAGTTCTACGCGTAGTTTACTAGATCCTGTATGTTGTGGCTATTGATAATTCAAGCTAACACGTGCCCGCCAGCCCGTGGGGCTGTAGACACTGTGAAATGGTGGTTCCAGATGAATCGTGATTGTTAGACCGTTTGCCTCTCCGTGCCTGCTCTTCCCCTTTCCCTTCCTGATGGTGATTCGCCGCTTTTTCAGGCCGTTGTAGATTGACGAAAGGCCCGTGAGAGACCCGCCCGACCATTCACTTTGATTATGTGGAACTCCCTCCCCGGAGCTCCTACATATTGCGTATGGCATTCGTATCGACTGTCAAATCCTGACTTTGCCGGCTACTCTATAATGTCCTCATAGCACTGGAACAATGTGCATCTTGACTTCTAAACATTCAAGCTGCCTAGCAGCATCGTAAACTTAAGCCGAGCGTGTGTATTCCAACCAGTGTATTCTAATCAGGGTACTTCTTCTTTCATCTCGGAGTATATTCGAATTGCCGAAATTGCAAGGCCTCAAAATCCACATTGACGGAGCGCCGTGGAAGGACAAGCAGAATCTATGGTGCATGATAAGACTCTAGGCACCGCTATTAAGCTTCCTGAAGGTCTGGCAGCGGACCCAGAGCAGGCCGATGGCCTATTTGTTCTATGATATGATTTTCCCGTGTAACAACTGCCATCAATCCAAGACTGGCCAGTGGAGCGGCCCGTTATATTCTTACCTCAAGTTTCTCATCACCGCCACCATCATCATCATCGTCAAGATCCGGCTTTACCATAACGGTATGCAATCCTATGCGATCCTAGTAACGTAAGGTACCGTCCAGCGCGACGAAAGTTACATAGAAGGGAAACATGACATTGCAAACTTAAGACCACAGCCGACATCGAGCACATGAGGAGGACTAACGTAGCGAGCGAAACCGTCTAAGGCATATTCGGGTGAAATCAATAATAATCTAGACGGAACCTCGAGTTAATTTCCGCGTTGTTCTGGAAGCAAAACTTCAGAAGTCTGGCTGGCGCCTGCTGTCTGTGACGTCGCGACAGGAAGGGATCTCTGTTTGGGGGCGGTAATTCAGTCTGGTCGACTCCAAAAACAAACTTGATGACTTTAAAGCGGCCCGCAGGTCCCACAATCTTGACACTACTCGAGTAGAGTTACGGCTGCAGCTTAGCTGTGGCTGTTTTAACTGAATAAAATCACTGTCTGCCGCAACTTTATCGAGTCGTTCAAGTGGTTCGCTGTCGTACGTTTCCTGGGTGGATATGTTGCAGTCCAGTGAATTATGGGCCGTTGAAAACGCGGTTTGTTCGGCTAAAATCACGCCATATTCAAAGACAGGGCCCGGGCAATCCATCTCAGTATTAGGTTTATCACGACGAGTATGTACATATATAGTCAGATCTGAATCTTATCACGATATTCTCCCTCATGACTTACTTCAACCCCCCAGGCCACGACTATGTATACCTTCTTTAATAGCTGCGACGACTTGTTTTCGGATAATGTACTGCCAATTTCTAAACGAGCTCAAGTTGTGAGTCGTTTGGTGGGTTTCGCTACTTTTCCTAGATATCTTCGTGTCCTCTCGAGCTATCTATTCCACTTTGCCGACTCGAACCTGCTTATTCTATTATTGTGTATTTCGAGGTCGGTAGTGGATGTTTCTTTGTCCAAAAAATGTGGTCGATAAATGACACAGAAACGAGAAAGGAGCCATCTTTTACAGGTATGAGGATGGAAAGCCCACATGAGTCGAAGAGGGAAGTCATTTCGGCCACAATGTGCATACGATCATTATGGAAGCGCAGGTCGTAAATGACTTCCGATGCGCTCAAGCAGCATTGAAATATTGACGGATGCTTCATTGCTTCGTACCTTTTCTGGAACTGAAAAGCAGGTGGCTTACCAAGAAGCTCTTCGCACGTATAGGCTATACACTCCCGCCCGCGAGCATCGCATTAACACTTCATTCAATGGGTAAGTGAAATTCTGCATCAGGCCTGAGGCCATTGTAGGCATTACCATCATCAGGAAAATGACAAGCTGCTTTACCGGCATTATCCTGACTTTGCCGAGATGAACCTACTTTTTTGGCATTTTCGGCTCTTTACTAGAGAATATTTGGCTAGAAAACCACATCAGTGGCACTGAAGCTGCAAATCTCATTAACAAGAGTAAGCTACAAGTCTTTCAGACCGATTTGGGTCCTCAAATGTAGCAGAATTGTGGTTTCAAATTTTGGGAAAGTAGGTTTCACTCTGATAAAGACGGAAAGTGCGGTTAATACACGTGTCAAAATCCTGATGATTACTTGACTGGGTATCGGCTCACGCTCGGTTCACTCCACAATCTCGTTCCTGAACATGAAATCTTCGTACGACCCTGCCCTCATAGTGGCGCGTGAATAATTCAATCATTGGACATTCGGACATTCGAAGCCATGTCTTCTTCCGGGGTGACATGAGGAGTCAGCAACAGCCGATGGGGGCGGAGTAGTACTGTTTCAAAACGGCGTCACATGTAAGGGACGCAACGCAGTAGCATTTGCTATACACGCTGCCAAATTAAGTAACCGGAATTGGTAGCCCCTATTCTGTCCCATCGGCCAACAAAACATACATACAACTAGTTACAGAGCACCAGTGCTCACGAAACTTTATAGTGGCAATCTTATAGATGTTAATGGCTCCCAAATAGAATTTTAGGAAAAAATATCAAGTAGAAATACATCAATTGCTGCGACAATTTCAAAGTATGCAGATATGGGTTGTATAACTTGCATCTGAGCTGTGGAATATTTGTGAGGATAAACTGTATTATTCAAGTGCACAAATTAGTTTAACTGATCATGTATAGTACATCTGTAAACTATCAGTCCACCAGAATATGCTCTTACGGAATGATTAGCATGGAAAACTTGACAAGTAATATCATAGCATGCATTATATGACACATTAGCCTGTTTTCACTTTTGTGTCAGTCTCAATCACATCTTAATACATCTAGCAATGGTATAGATGATAAATCCCTTCAGCTGAACTCCCAAGATGCCTTACTTAACCCCGATAAAATGTGTGGACACTTTATGTTTATCCTCATAGTGTAGCTGAAGAACATGCTGCAAAATTCCAATGCTATCAATACTGTAAGAACATATTCTGATGGACTGATAGTTTACAGATGTACTATACATGATCAGTTAAACTAATTTGTGCACTTGAATAATACAGTTTATCCTCACAAATATTCCACAGCTCAGATGCAAGTTATACAACCCATATCTGCATACTTTGAAATTGTCGCAGCAATTGATGTATTTCTACTTGATATTTTTTCCTAAAATTCTATTTGGGAGCCATTAACATCTATAAGATTGCCACTATAAAGTTTCGTGAGCACTGGTGCTCTGTAACTAGTTGTATGTATGTTTTGTTGGCCGATGGGACAGAATAGGGGCTACCAATTCCGGTTACTTAATTTGGCAGCGTGTATACCTCGTTGTGTTGTGGATACATCGGTACCGTCATTACGCGGGTACGCAGGTGGGTAACTGCCTGGGAAGTAGCCGCGACATCATCGTACCCAAGAACGTGGCCTTGCGCTGCCGTGTCTCAGTAATCCCGATGATTTGGCCTCGCGGTCAGCTTATTATCAGTAGCGCTTTCCTGATCGTTCCTTCGAGGAACAACAAACTGTAAATCGCTAATCTGGGAGAGATCTCGCCCAAATATTGACCGCCAACAGCCGCGGAAGAATCCATGTTCACCGACCTTCTCAAGCCTGCTTGATGTAGAAGCTAGGACAGTGTGGGGTCAATTCACTTGCAATGATCCTGTGAGGTCAGAGATTGTGGGACACCGATGTGGAAAGAGTCATATCGCCATGAGGCATGGAATGTAACTTTGAAGGTAAGATTTGAACTGAGGCCACAGTACCTCCATTCGTATTCATTAATTGGCGGCAATTTACGGACTCAAAGCCACAGCACAGAATTGTGGTTAAGAGTAGAACGAGGTATTTGCCTGAACAGATTGATGGAAATTCTACAGAGGCAATAAAACTTCTCCGCAACGATTTCGCTAACAACATCAACACATTTACATCACGCGGCTGCCCCATGGTCTACTATTCTCAGAGGGAATATCATCAGCTCATGTTCTTGATATGTATTGCATTTTTTTGTTATGTGCTAGCATACAGCATGTCAGCACATTGGAACATAGTCATTAGTCAGCGCTGGGGCCGAGGAAGGACAGCTGGCGGTGCGCTCATAGCACAGCACCGTAGCTGATAGAAATATTACTGCGTTGAATATGAGCGGAGCTATATGTAAAGGCATGTACGCCATCAGAATCTTCTAAACGATGCTGTACAGTAGATCTGGAGAAGCGAGTTCCCGGTGTAGTTTGGGCATGCATGTGTTGTCTCACAGCGCCGAGATTTGTTGCATTCCTCTTGGTTGTAAGCGGTGCGTGGGGTCTGGCACGAGCACGATAAGTTTGCGCTGACGAAGCTCGAGATCGGCATTCCTTCAAAGGAAACTATCAAGTGCACCAGTGAAAGGGAGTACTGTACATATGCCCTTTACCATCACATGATTAGTCTTGACCTTGAGATACGCTCGTGTGCAAATATAGAGTAAAATGCTCGACAAAGGCTTGGGCTAGGTCACACATATACCTCGTGTCGCTCTCTGTTGTCAGATATACGACATGTTTTGTTGTAGTGACGACACCGGGCCGAATACTCGGTTGGCTGGATGAAACCATAGACTAAGAATCGTTCAAAGGAGGCATCCGTAGCGGGAAATGGGTGCTGTCTTCGAGGTATTACGCTTGCTGTTAGTACGCATTTTTGGGATCCTCAATGTGAAGGTGGTTTGACATCGTGGCGGTGAAGGACTGAGAGTACTACAGAGAATGTGGGTTCTTCGAGTGACACTTGCCGGTTATGACACGTGCAAATAAAATCGAAGAGGAAAGTAAAAAAAAATCTGCATAGCAGAAACGGTATTATGGCCAGGTCTGTGCAAGTAGCCAGCTTCCGAACGCATCGTGTTTTAACCGAAGTTATGGAACACGAAGTGTCTGATCAAATTGCACACGTCTTGCACGTTTCCTTCGGACCTAGTAAGGTTAAGGTTCGTCTTGATGAAGAAAGACAGCTTTACACACAGAATGTCTCAGCACAGATCGGCTTTGGCTTGAAAGCGAGCTCAAAAACTCCTGTAGGCCGGCCTATCAAGATGTGACATAGATCTCTGGTTGTGCATTTACCATACAATACTGATGAAAACAATGACCTGTTCCACGGCCAGCACCTGTGTAGAATGCATCGGAGGCAAGCGCGAGCCCCAGAGGCGGAATTAGAGCCGCGGCTACGCGACTTCCGCCAAATTCCTTCTTTGCCATATACAACCACCATGACGTGACAGACCGCGAGGATGATATTATGCTTACTCGGAGCTTTAGAAGGTAACGATTTAATGCATGTAAGGTGTACAGCTACTCATAACATTACATCTGAGACTCTGAGACTCTACAAACACAAGTAACACTTCCGCTCTCTCATACGGGCGTAATTTATCCCTTGTTGATGTCTCCACGCATGATCAGCCATTTTCCGTTCAATTCCTATCCAATGAGTTTTCGGTCAGGAAATAAAGCTGAAGCACATAATCCATCGAGATAATATCAGGTTTCTCCCCATGTGTGTCAACCCCAACTCAATGTTCACCAGAATTCCCGCAACAACATTCACAGCAGGTAGTATTTGTACATCGTACTTTAAGCAGAGATAAAGATATCGCGTTCATGTCAAGTGGCTGAAAGCAGTGAGATTACTACAGATGTGAAGGGTGGGAATCACAAATCTCAAGTAGAAAATTCAAGGTCGTGGGAAATCAGGGACAAAAACTAAGAACTTCAAAGAAAAGCACCAGTGCGATCGGGGGTCTGCGAATACTACTCCAGACGACTGATGAGTCCCACTGAAACTCGGACTGCAACTTTTGCTTAGAGCATGCTTCCGCCCTGATGTCAACTTCAACAGTCTGTCTTTTCCTGGTTTCGAAGTTCGAAGCTATGTCAGGTCAGCTGAAGTAGAACAAAACAATGTGCCCCCTACCGATGTACACTGGTATCTTCAAAACCCCTTCAACTGCGGTCGTCAGACCGCTTAGCCGTGTAAGGTGTGAAGGCCTCAATAAAGGCCCGAGAAACACCGCACTTTGCCTTGTGCAACTCCTGTTCATCGCGCGACCGGAAGTCATGACGTCCACAGTGGTTGCACGGAAGGTGCGCGCCGGAGGACGTCGTACTATTATGTTCTTGGGGCAAAGCCTGTGATGGCGAAGACGACTTAAGTTTATCGGAGGTGCCGGGCTTCACGGTTGTATTTTGATTGGTGGTATGACGATGAAAGTAGTTGGACATAGAAATTTCTGCTTGTTGATATGGCTTTGGGTCGATGAAGCGATTGAAGATCCACTTCGTTCAGAACACAAGCTTTATACTCGAGTGAGCTTGCTACAGCCCTATTATTTTACTCAACGATCCAAGCACTGTCCAATTATTGGAACGTTACCCAGTTGGATCGTGAGAATAGCAGACCGAAAACTACAACTCAGGAGATCCCCGGAGCAGCAGATCCGTGCTCATTATTTCAGTAATTTACGTAGATCTCGGATCATCAATTACTGTACTTTGAGGGTGCCTTTTGAGTGAACATAGCAACGTTGCCATCCTCACAGCGTGACAACATGGCTATTCTCACGTTTGGACAATGCAACAGTAGCTTTTGGTAAATTATTGGCTGACCAGCCGAAATGTTGAGGGAACTAGGGCTCAGAAACACTACTAATGAGAACGTCCAAGACTGTGTAACTGTGCGCGGGTTACAATCAGCCTCGCTGAAGGTTACAAATCATCATGTATGATATGACGTAGCACACACCAGCACTCATCGATTATCACGGAGATTCACACTCAACATAGTACATTAGACGAAGGATGAAAGCTATGGAACGAGCGATAGAATTGGGTCTGAAAATAGCTATTTGTGTCTTTAAACGATAGAACTAAACACCCAAATATTTCGAAACAGGGCTAGTGACATAAAGGTCGGCAGTTTATATCATTATTGGCAAATTATCTTTACATGAATAGACAAATAACGCCGCATATAGTACAGTAGAGACTCTGACAGCATAGGGGGCGGAGTTGATTAAAGAAAATACAAGTAATTACTGGCAAGCAGACGTTGTAATTGAGTAGTGGGACTAAGGTAAGTTATAAATGAACCTTCAAATCTGACGACATAACAATCATCCGATCATCTGAGGTGTGAAGACAACACGCCACTCATGTCCTGTGTCAGAGTAAAACGTCAATCATACATTGTGGAATCTAAGATGGAGAAGGTGAGCTACCTTATAGTGATGGTTGCTGATGTTATTTTGTGCACCCTCCTTCGTGCTTGTCCTTCTCGTCAAGGGAAGGGAATGTACTGGTACATTTGGAGCATTTGTAAGAAATCCCCGGTGGGTTGGGCGGAGAGGAAGTATTCCCCGAAGGCTTGTTGTTGGTGCTGCCTTTCTTTGAGTTCATCGTCGATGCTGGTTTGTAAGTGGGTTCGATGAACTTCTCTCTCAAAAACAGCAAAGACTTTATACCTCAACAAGAACACTGCCCGTGGGTTGCTGCAGTGCCGAATCGCAAAACATATCGGCTCAGAGGGATCCTCTGCATAGGAGCTAGTCGTTGGACGTTCAAACGTTGCATCATACGAAGTTGCGGGAACAAAAACGTACCATTAGATATGGAACTTGATTAAGTCAGTGCGAAATTTGGATTGAGGTGTTACGGGGCCGCAAAAAGCCGCTGGGCGATGATAGACTGCGACGATAGACCTTCATCTGAAAACGCAGGATTGTGATTGGATCTAGGCCCAGGTATATCATGTTTTAAAGATAGTAAAAAGAACATAGGAGATCACACGATGTTGAATACCTGTGTTTTGTTCGAAATGTTATCCAACCAACATCCGATGATGCCGTCATAGACATCGGCCGAGGCCTGTGCAGAGACCATTCAAGCGAGCCCCTTGTGTTTTTTATCGGCAGAGTTAGCGTAGTAACACATATGTGCTGTGACCAAAAACAACGGGAGGAGAGCGCCCCTCCGTTACACCTTGCAACGATCAAGGGTTTGGACGCCTTAGAACCATGGTCATGATGGCAGAGACGCGACTCAGGGGAATCGTGGTGATGAATGCAGAAACTACGTTTGGGGCGGTAGTGATGTTACTGGCTCTGGATATGTGGCGGCCGTTTCGACATCCATATCGCCACTGCGTTGACTTCTGTTCCCGTCGAGGATGCTGTATGCCGGCCAGAGACTTCTCGAGGATGGGCGCCGAAGTTTGACCGGGACCCACAAGCCCGTGGGAATGCCACTTGGGTGGAGAGTCCCGGAAAGCCCCGGCCAATCAGGTCCCGTCCTGTCTTTTTTCAGTGAACGAACTCTAACTTGTCTAACGATGCTTGGACAAGGCTGTCTCGTCAACGCTAGTTCAAAACTTGTCTCCTTCAAGCGATGGCGAAGCAATCCCAGCTGATTACTCTCGGCAACATGACACCATACTCACAAGATGATGGGCCCGCAAAATGCCGAGCTAACAAACGGTAGCTCGTGCCAGTATGAAGAAGGACTTTCTTTGATCCATCTTCTTGGACACGCGAGCTCATCCTTTGGACTCTCCGAAGAGAGGTAGGTTGGCGTTACGGTCCGATATCATGAAGTACAAGTCTCGTTGGGCGGTCTTCTGACATCCTGTACACAAAGATAGAGCAAAGAACGTGGGATCACGGCGGCGTGCACGTCAGCGCGGAGCGCTGCCTTGCATCACGGCTATTCAAACCTTTTTGTCTCTGCTGAGCAAAAGTGGGGCGCTGACAACACTGTAAGCTTCGTTTGGCGCGTTACCGTCCTTCGGTTCTCCGCGGCATTGATGTTTGGGGAGTGGAAGTAGGTTATGTCTCGGAACTCGCACTCACGCAACCTTCCTCCACAGATAAGACATGGGGTATAGCGTTGAGCCTCCGTGCTATCATTTGACAACCGTTCCGCACACCCGCTACGCGCTCAAGGTTTGTTATCCTGTTTAGTCCTTCTCAGTCCCTACTATTTTTGCTAGGCTGTCATGAGATCGTTGATAGGACCACAATCCATCCGTCTCTGGAGTTCGAAGGTTGTATGATTTTGGCATCTCTCATAGGCTTGACGTGCTATCTTCTACCTTTGAGGTCGGTGGAGCTCTTCAACGTAACGCGCATACCTTCAGCATCAAACACTCGACCCCATCTGGTTGATATCACACCTTTCATGACGCGCTATGACTCCACTCTGGGCGTTCGTTCCATCGGCTTTCCCTCGCTCCCCCCAGTCCCATATTCGCTCACATCCTTCCACGCAAGAGTAATCACCAGACCTTACGTTGCCTGGCCTCTCGAACTTGTGATCATCCTTTTTCAGTAATTCAGGACGCAGTATATAAGACGTCCTCAACACATGGGCATAACTACACCATACCACCGCCACAATGTCTTCGAGCCCCACTGCGCCAAGCGAAAAAGTCGATCAGCAGCACCTCGAGAAAGCTCACGTTGAGCAGTTCGAGACGAGGAGGTACCCACCTGACTTCGAGGCCGAGGTAGCCAAGAACCACATCCCACTACGGGGGAGACTGCTTACTGCGGGCCTTGCGTTCATCGCAGGCACCGGCTTCACACTCTTCGGGTCAGCTGTTTCATTGTAGTTTCCTTGATTTATCTTCACTAATACGTGTGCTGATCAGGTATGACCAGGGCGTTATGTCGTCACTCTTGACAGGGAACCAAGTATGTAGAGTTCCGTTCAATTCGCAGCTGTGTTTTTGACCGTATCGTAGTTTGAGGCACAGTTTCCGCAAGTCGTCGTCGAGTCCAGTCATCCAAACCATGCAACCCTTCAGAGCTTCATCATCGCCATATACGTAAGCCCCACCGATTCGCCAACGCTATTTCCGACGTTAACGGCATTGTCCATACAGGAAGTTGGGTGTCTTGCCGGAGCGCTCACAAACCTGGTGATCGGTGATCCTCTCGGACGTCGCCGGACTATTGCGTTGGGTGGAGTCATCATGGCCATCGGTGCTATTCTGCAGACGACGTCTTTCAGCTTTGCCCAGCTCATTGTCGCTCGTATCGTGACAGGCTTCGGTAATGGCATGATCGTGAGTTGACCTTCTCGTTTTCGCATTGCTTAGTTAGATCTTCACTCCTCCCTAGACGTCAACGGTGCCAACGTATCATGCTGAGTGTTCACCGGCCGCTAGCCGTGGACAGCTTATTATGCTGGAAGGCTGTATGATTGTGTTCGGTGTGACGGTGTCGTAAGTACCTAATATCCTCCTCATGACTGCATTCTTATATCAACGTAACGTCCATAGATATGTAAGTGGCTCATCAATCATTGTCAACCACGTGTTGAACGTTCCTGATCTCATTTGCAGTGGATCGACTTTGGCTGGTAAGCTTCAACGTTGTCGATCAAATGAAACCGCGAAGGTTTAATGATCATCTCTTCAGTTACTTCATGACGAATTCATCTGCGCAATGGAGACTGCCGCTCGCACTGCAGTTGGTCTTCGAGCTGATTATGATTTGCTTCATTTGGTTTGTGAGTAGCCCGGCCTTTCTCATGCCTTCAAATAGCTCATGCTTCTTATAGTTGCCGGAATCACCACGATGGTTAGTGCGTGCGCCTAGCTAATATATCACCTCTGAGTGCAATGTCTCCCATAGGCTTGTCAAGCACGGGCGCGATGCCGAAGCGATGGCTGTCATCTCCGCTCTGGAGGACAAGCCCTTCTCCGATGGCGAAGTCCAGCGCACGTTCCACGCCATCCGTGAAGCCGTGGCGATGGAGTTCCCCGGGTTGTCTGACAAGAAACAGTCATCATTCGACGTACTTAAGACACAAATGAAAGAGCTCCTCACCAACGACCGCAGCCAAAACTTCCGCCGCGCGTCGATTGGCATTGTCTGTCAGATGATGCAGCAGCTCACGGGTATCAATCTTGTCACATAGTAAGTGCAACACTCAGCTTTAAGCCCTCTATATTCACTGGTCGGTCGACAGCTATGCTACAATTCTCTTCCAACGCCTTGGGCTGTCTGATATCAACTCACGTATTATTGCTTCGGCAAATGGAACGGAGTACTTCCTTGCTTCGTGGATCGCCTACTACTTCGTTGAGAGGGTGCACCGGCGAACACTGATGCTCGTAGGCACCATCGGCCAATGCATCACCATGGCACTGCTCGCCATCATGGGGGCGATTGACAACGGTCCGGCGAACGTCTTCAGCGCTGTGCTTCTTTTCGCGTTCAACACTTTCTTCGCCATCGGCTGGCTGGGTATGGGCTGGCTCTATGTAAGCCTTACGTGTCGTAGTCTTCTTTTCAGGAACTGAGCCTTGTCACTAGCCCGCGGAGCTTTCTGGACTACGCACTCGTACCGCTGCCAATGCGCTCAGCACAGGTAAGGCGATTCGTTACGTTCTCTTGACTTAGTGCTGATGAAACTACACCAGCGTCGAACTGGACCTGGAACTTCGTTGTCGTCATGGTCGTCGGGCCATCTTTCAACAACATCAACTGGGGAACCTATATCGTTTTCGCGGTGCTGAACGCACTGATCGTTCCTGGAGTCTACTTCTTCTTCCCTGAAACTGGTGGTCGGTCACTTGAAGGTACTGTCACACTTCTTAGATATGATCAGCACTACTGAAACTGCGATAGACATGGACGTAGTATTCGCGTACGCTCATATCCATAACCTGGACCCGGTCAAGGTGTCACTGCGCAAGGATATCCCGCCGGCGGGTACACCAGAAGCAGACGAGATCCTAGGTGTTCACCCCGGTCTGCGCCGCCGTGCAAGTCAAGGCACTTCGGAAGACACTGACTCCTCTTCAGAGCCCAAGTCTACGTGAGCTCTGCTAACGCCGTGCTTGACAACGCCACTTTGCCTCTCCGCGGAATTGATCCCGAGTCTTGTTACTGACACTATTATCGAATTTGTTTTATGTATCATAACGTATTGTTATGTCAAGGACTACACTCACTCTGTAAAATATGCACGACACTTGCGCTGTATGAATAATCGTGTTGCACAGAAGCTGAACGATGTGACGAACCGATGAACTTTAGCGACTCACCGGCAACGAATTTCTCACGCCCCCTTCACCGCGACCACCACCGTCCAAGCCACCATCGGCGCTTCAGCTTCATCATACGAAAGCCTGTCCAGTGTACATGGATTTGCTGACATCGAAAATATGGTCCCAGTGCGTTCGAGTTGACTGCGCTTGAATCTCTCCCATGCAACTCAGTCGTTGAAGGATTCTCGACGCAATGCGGCTCTGTGATGCGGCGGCCACACCATACCTTCTCAAGGTCGCCGGCGTCCACGCCAAGCTCCTTTTATCCACGACCTCAGACATATCGGGCGTATTCACCCCCATTCTTCTCTTCTCACGCCTGGAACCCCACAGTCAGTTGACCGCTATGTTGATTGCGTTTCCCCTGAGATTTTCCAACGGAACGACAGGACATACACTCTCAGCTCGATCTTTCGCAGGGCTATTCGGGCCGCGTTCGTCACCCACCTTCCTTTCCTCCCCTCCTTTCTTGCCATGTCGTTCGAGGAGAAACCATTGGGGGAGAAGGCTATCCCTCGCGATGATCTCGTCTCGGAAGTGGATGAAACTCAGTACGCCGAGATTCTCCGGCGTCATGGCCGGCTGGTGAGTGCTCGTTTACTCCATGTTCACGACAAAGCGGTTGACAGCGACTTTAGGACTTGGTACCCATGCCGTCGGACTCGCCAGTAGACCCGCTCAACTGGCCCTCGTACGTACTTACTCTGTTGGCTGTTCACGTTGTCCCCTCAGGCGCTTGAGCAGATGGAAGAAGAACATCTTGTTGTTCATCGTCAGTTTCCATGCCGCCCAAGGACCACTCGGTGCAGGTACGCCTTGCATTAGGCTGGATAGCAGGGTCTATTCAGCTAAAGTTCTGATCCTGATTAGCAATCATCATTCCGGCCTTCCAAGAGTTCGTAGAGGATCTTGGGGTCACTCTTGTAGAAGCGCCTTACTCGGTGTACGTAACGCATAATCCTCCTCATCTCACTCCCTCCATTGACCTCTTACATGACAGATCGATCGAGATTCTCTTCATGGGCGTTTCACTCCTTGCATGGGCACCACTTTCGGAGCGCATAGGGCGTCGACCAGTCTACCTCATCTCCGCTCTGCTCTCCGCCGTTTTCGCCTTAGGAGGTGCATACACCAACTCGTGGGGTGCTCTTATCACTACGCGTATCTTCCAGTCCATCTTCATTGCCCCAGCTCTTAGCATTGGAGCGTCAACGGTCGATGAGTTGTTCTTTTCGTATCAGAGGGGACAAAAGATGGGCATATGGGGTAAGTTGAAAACAACGTTTTCAACCCGGGGGCACTGATACCGTGTGTCAGTTCTTTTTGTAACTATTGGGCCTATCATTGGGCCCTTGATGTATGTTTCCCGCACTGTTATCGCGACACCGCTCAGTTAACGGCATCGCAGCTCCGGTTACCTCGTGCAAAACAAGGGATGGCGCTCAGCTTTATTCCTTCTGGCAGCCATTCATCTAGGCATCTTCTTCGCTCACTTCATCCTCGGGCCTGAAACCCTCTTCTTGGATCGCACTGCGCCCGGCCAGCCATACAACCAAGACGAGGTAGCGAAGCGCACGGACTGGCGCTCCTTCTATACCCTCCGTGTTTTTTCGACCCGAAAGTATCAGACGTCTGAGTTTTTCAGGCCCGTTATTATGATTACCCGGCCGGTCGTGCTCCTCCCCACCCTAGCCTATTCTATCACGTACACGTACACCAACGTGCTTATGGTATGGACATTTTCCGTTATATTGTCCACATTACTGACACCCCATGACAGACTATATTCGTACCCCAGGTCAGTCGAAGTTTCGACTACCTCGGGCTCTCCGTGTTGCTAACGTCCACACGCACAGCTGTTTGGCGCCGCTTTCGGTCTTACGCCCGGTCAGATCGGATTACAGTTCATTGCATTGCTAATCGGTTCGCTTCTTGGCGAGCTGGTCGCTGGTCGGGGTAGCGACGCTTTCGTCAACTGGCGGGCCCGACGACGTGTGGCTGCTCGCGACCAAGTCAGCGAAGCAGATACCAATATTGAGGGTCAAAAGGAAAGCGTGGTTGAACCCGTTTGGCACCCTGAAGACCGTCTTATGCTGGCTCCTCCGGGGTTCATCATTGCCATTGTAGGCTTCATGAGTACGAGCATTTTCCTTGAGAAGGTGTATCAATTGACGGGTTTGGTGCGATTTAGTTTGGGGTGTGCAGCTGCAAGACTCTACGGGCGGAAAGTGGAACGTTACTCCAGTGAGGTTGTTTCTAGCCCAGATCAGACAAATGCTAATGGCGTGGATAGGATGTCGGGTCTGCGATAGCGCTTTTCGGTCTCCAACTCATCACCACGGTTTGCGTCACGTACTCTATCGAGTCGTATCGTTCCGAAACCTCGGACGTGTCGGTATTCATCTCGCTCGTGAGACAGCTCTATGCATTTGTGATTATCTTTATGCTATTTCCTGTTGCTGCTTTCACTGACATAATTTGCTGCTGCGTTGAAGGTCGCCCCATTCTATCTCTCCATCGCATATACAAACTTGGGTGACATAAGGGCTTCGGGACTATTCTCCGGCATCATCGGTCTCGCTATGTTCATGACGCTTGCGTGTAGCATATGGGGACCCTATTGGCGTTCACTCTCATAGGTCTCCGTCCGCGAGACCATCAAAATACAAGAGAGCCCTCCTTGTACGATATCGCAGCTGTATGCAGTTAATGAGTCTTCGCGTATTTGCGTATACCATCATGGGATATGATATTGTCAAATCAGACTGCTCCGCGTTGCATCGCAGGAAGTTCTCCGCGCTTGGCAACCCGCGCATACGATTATTCAGCAACTATAAATAGTCAAGACTAGGCGCCTAAGATGGTCTCTCGCGCGTTATATAGGGACCCATATGTTCGGACTCGGGCCTTTGGTTCTTTTCCCTTCAATGGACGACAAGGCTGAAGAAAAGGACCTGAACATAAGTAAGCCTGATGGCTTACTCCTTCAAACTAAAACTTGTCGAAGGTCAAAGGGTGGACTATGGGATTACATACCTTGGACCATGGCTCTGGCAATGTGGGCTTTTGTGTTTGTGTCTCGATGGCGTTCCGGCATCCCAGAAAGTACAGCATCGGCTGCGTTGCATCCATGTATACCTCCTCTTCCCGCGTTATTGACAAGTTCCCCGCCAGCTGCTTCTCGACCTAGTATCGCCCAAGCTTTAAACAAACTCGACGCTGATCTCACAGGATACTTCGCCCAGTCTGATCTGGACAGTCTCAGCGTAGCCCTTGTGGTCTCGAATGGTCTCTGTATGAAGGGTTCTGGGGTTCTCAGCGCGCGAACGAAAGTTCTACTTCGGGTAGAGCAGCTCCCAACAGGGACTCCTTGTACCGCATTGCGTCTATTTCTAAGCTCTTCACAGCTATGGAAACGCTCATTTTGCGGGACAGGGGTATCCTTAGCCTGTAAGTGATAGTGATTGAGTACCTCATAGACACTCTGCTAAAACACCCGTCACAAGAGATGATCCCATTGAGAGATGGCTGCCCGACTTCAGATATCATACCTACCTGGGATCTATAACTCTGCGTTCGCTGATGAGCCACATGTCCGGACTCGGGCGAGACTGGCCAGCCGGAGACGCAAGCGGAGCGTGGCCACGCGCCCTAGTTGGAGGAGGACCTCCGCCCATCAACAATCTGGACTTTCCTTCTCTCGAGATGGTTCTCGAAGCCATTTCGGAGACAGCACCTATCTCAGCACCGTATGTATACCCGGTGTACTCGAATACCGGATACTCGCTCCTGGGGATGGCAAACGTGGCGGCTAACCGGGCTAGCGAGGGCCGAGGCGCTCCTACCTCTCATGCGGGATTAGTCGAGCGAGATATTTTTGGGCCACTCGCCTTCAACGGCACCTCGTTCCTGCCCAATGATGATACAATACAGCGCCTTGTCGTAGCATCTGTTGCACCAGATGAAGTGGTAAACCCCCGTGTTGCCCAGGTTATCCGAAGGCTGACGTCTGATAGGACCTCGACTTTCAAGACCTTTCCAATCCCGCATGTGGTCAAATGAGCTCACTCAGAGACCTCGTTCGCGCGAGCCAGATGCTCCTCGACCCCGAGCGGGAAGGGCAAGTAAGCGTGATCTCCGAACGCACACTCAGCGAGTGGCTTCGCCCCATACATTCATGGTTCGACGGCTTCTCAGAGGTAGGGGCAGTCTGGGAGATATACTCGTCGAAGGACTCGTATGGGCGCACACAGAAGTTGTATCAGAAGTGTGAGCCACAAGTGATCCATCTCTATTGACCTAAGTCGCTTACAGTCAATATGCAGTGGGGGAGCTGGCAGGACACCATACCGCCCTAACCCTCAACCCTGCCAGTTCCTATGCGATCGTCATCCTCACGACGGGACCCACATCGCAGACCACGGACCTGACCAACTTCGTCATCAAGCGTATCCAGTCAGTGTTTGATGAGGAGGCAAGCGCGGCAGCTAGATCGACATTCGAGGGGACCTGGGAGTCGGACGATTCCTTGTCGCGAGTCCAGATCGCCGTGCAAAACGGTGCTCTCTTCGTGCGGGAATACATCCTGAATGGAACAGATGTGCTCGGTGTCCTGCAAAATGCAAGTATGCCAAAGCCGCTAGCCTTGTGGACATTGGCACCAGGGGAGTTCCGGTAAGCACCTCGAAGATGAAGCTGTGTTCGTGTGCTTACATTGTCACCAGGATGACTCCACCTACGGTCCATGACGGCTGCTTCTACTCCTGGGCAATCTTGGACATGTACGGGCACGTGAATGGCGTCGCGGTCAACAGCTTGTGTTTCTTGAGGAACAAGAGCAACGACATGGTACTTGACACCCCCGGCGTGCTCACCGGACTAAGGATTCGTAGGTCGGCCGTGAAAGAGAAAATCCAGGGATACTGAGGTCAGGCGCCGCCTTGATCACCATGAACGGTTGGATCAGCCCAGCGTCCTGAGTGCATCGAGTTGCATAGGATGATGTATATGTGGTGTGCCATAATATTGTGAAGCCCTGGTAGAACGACTCAATGTCCCCGAGCTGGATAGAGGCGGAGGAAGAGATGGAGGGCAACCTAGGGCATCGCTTGTTTGTTGCTATTTATCAATAATAACAACAACGTCATACAACGCGCACACAATTTGTGCCTCCTTCCTCCACCTCCGACGCCTGCGCAGATCTACTACTTGATTATTTGTTTGCTTTGTCTGCTGGTAAAGTTAATTTAATTAATCCACAAATATCCATAAAGAAGGTCTCATTATGCACAGCATAGAATCTCGCTTTGAATGACTGCTGTCAATGAGCTCCCGAGCGAAGTTTTACTCATCATCTTTCAACTACTCTACGATGGCTCTCGATCTCCCCGATCCGACGTCTCGGAGGTGAAAGCAGCCACTTACGGCGAGGAATACTCGGAATATGATCGTCGAAACTCGAGCCTTTGGCGTTGGAATGATGAACATGTCACTCCGCCTACGCTTTTTCCTTACGCAGTCTCGAACGTTTGCACTCGATGGAGAGACATTACCACAGCTGTACCTGCCTTCTGGACGCGTGTGGTCTTCTGTATAGACTCTTTGTCGGACCTTACGCCATCCCTTGTCCGCCACTGCTTCGAACGGTCTCAAGCTCAGCCCATCCAGGTCTGTGTGACACGGATGCGAAAGAGCCCGGATGAGAACGTCGCCAGGGACGCGGCCGAAGAGCGCGCTAAGGTTCGTATGATCGTTGAGCATCTTCTCCCCCACCTCGAGCGCTGCGAGAGCATCTGCTTCAACCTCGTCTATCGATCATCTATCCTCTCTGCATGCGGAATGCTCGGCGGAGAAGCTCCCAACCTTCGTGCTCTCACACTGAACTCCAGGGTCACCGATACTACCGAAGAAGTGCGAGGCCTTGAAACTTTGGATTGCCCTCAACTTACACATCTGGAAGTAGACGCACATACTTTGCTGCAGACGCATCGAGCTCTGTGTAGCTGGGCATTGCTCAATGACATGGACCGCGCACCCTTCAGCCTTGCAGTATCCCACTGCAAGGCCGCTCGCAACGAAGACAACATCCTTATTTCCCGCCTGCTCGCCTTCTTAGGTGATTGCTACGGCATCCGTGTCCTTTCCATCAAAGATATTAGCCTCCAGCAGACCGGATACACCCTTGACGACGGTCCCATTTTTCTACCCGATCTTCGCGAACTTCATCTAGAGGGCCTAGAGGGTGATGCGCTCTCTGAGTTGTTCGAGAACATTCAGATGCAGCCTGAAAAAGTTACCATCTCTCGTTGCGAGTTCCTTGGTCGTTGGCCAGAGCCCATCCGTAGCTCTTCCCTCACACTTGCCAACATCGACGACGCCTCGGAGATCCTTTGCTTCTTCGAGAACTCTCGGTGGTACGGCACCTCGCTCACCTTTCAGCGGTGCCTTGGCTGTAGCGACGAGCTGATCCTCGAGCTTATGACCTCCAATCGACCGTACTTCCCCCGCGAGCTTCACATCTCGGAGTGTCCACCGGTTCATCCCGAAACTCTCAAGCGTATAGTGAACACCCGGAGACAGCATCAGCATCCCGACGCTCTTACAGCTTTGACCGTTGTTTCCCCTGGTGTTCCAGCGCCGCAAGGGCTGGAAGATTGGATGGCCGAGCGCAATCCGCTGGTCTTTCGATGGGATAGCGCACCCTCCATCGTATCCTTCGGCACTGGACACAGGGAAATCGACGAAGCAGACTACCGAAACTATATCGGACGCGATCCTTTGCCTCTCAACCAAGATGAAGAGAGTGACGGAGAGTAATCTGATAGGTCGCGTTTGTGGCTTGCTGTAGGAAGTGGCGGCACAGGGTGTTTTCTCACTTATGTATGATTGTGTTCGTACTGTATGCTGTGTGGCCCACCCGTGTATGCTTGACAAGTATTTCGACACTTTCAGCTGTTCGACCTCGGGTTTGGTAGTTGCGCTCCGGTCAAGCTCCGGTGAGGACAGGAGGTTCGGAAAGAATCGGGTTGAAAGCTTAGCAACATAACCGCCAAGCACGTGATCCGTTGCGGCACGTTGGTGAGAACGCCGAAGCCGAAGCTTCTTCGAGTCGGACCATCGCTTCCACCACTTGGGCTTACTCATCGTTCCCATCGTTCCCTTCTGCTTGACGCGGTCTTCAGCTCCGGGCATGCTGAATGAATTGACAAAGATGAAAGTTGCAAGTCCTATGGCCGTACCATTTCCCCAAAGTGACGCACAAAGAGGTCAAGTGAATACTGATTGCATGAGTGTTCAGCTGCCGCAAGCCCGGTCGCCGACCCAAGGTCAATACATGAAACACCAAACCTTTGTCATATCAGGAGCGGGCTCGGGTAGCGAAACATTCTGCTGGGGAGTCTTCGCCTGACATTAAACTGATTGCGGCACCGTCGACGTTAGGCCCGAATGATATAAGAGGCTGCTGTCCTCGTTCATAAAGACAATTAGATCACTCAGTCATTCGAAACTCTTCTCACATTCGACATGAGCAACAACAAGCAAATCACTCTCTACGAATATGAGGCAGGTATCTAATACTGTGTCATCAGCCTGGTTGAGCTTTATTGACTTCACTTCATCAGTTGAGCCCCTACGTGCACCGGGTGAGCGCACTCGAAATTGTAGATGTGTATATCTTTCAATGCTTACTCGAACTATGGCAGGTCACCATTGCGCTCAAAGAGGCACAGCTTCCTTATAAGACGTACGAGGTGTTGGCTCTCGGGGCTCCAAAGCCCGACTGGTATCTCGAGAAGATCAACCCCAAAGGATTGGCGAGTGCCCAATCAGTTATATGCTCCGTAGCTACGACTAACTCGGCCATTGTAGATTCCCGCCATAACCTATGGCGGGCCCGATGTTCCCGGAGACCAACCATCTCCTGAAGCGACAGTGGTCATCGAATCCCCCATCATCCTCGAGTTTATTAGCGACCTCTGCCCCGAGGCGAATCTGATGCCGACGAACCCTGTCGCTCACGCCAAAGTCCGCCTATTCATCGACAGCATCGACAGCTACTTCGACAAAACGTTTGTCGGGTTCGTTGCCAAGGGCGAGTCGTACACCACTGTTCTCGATGGGCTGCGAGAGGTGCAGAAACTCTTGCCTGATCCGAGCGCTGGCAAGTGGGCCATCGGCGAGCAGTTTACTATCGCCGATGCTGCGTTCGCGCCCTTCATTGCTCGCATTGACACTTGCTGCAAGGCTGGCTATGGGAGCTATGCCAAGGGCGAGGATCGTCTTCTGCTGGACTCACTGGAATCCCCCGAGTTTACGAGAATCAAGGCATACATTGCGAACTTGTACGATCGGCCAAGCTTCAAAGCTACATTTAACGGGGTACGCGCGAAGTCTCTGATTGTACGGCACTCCACATTGACGCACATTTTCAGGATTACATCGTAAATGAGCTGAAGAGACGCCTTGCTTGAAACTCAACAGGGATGATACTTGGCTCGAATTATTTTTGTTGTCGCTTCGAACACAAAGAACGGTAGAATACGTCAGATTGTGAAACAAAATGTTCAATATCGCATCTTGTATCGTATAGTGATATCAGACCTCCCCTTACCACAAAGCGCTCCTGTGGCAAACCACTGATATGGCTATGGCGCGCAAGAATGATAGGCTTCAACAAGTTTAATAAGTGTGGTCAGGCTAGATAGGGGCTACATATTAATCAGGGACTTAACAAATAGAGCCCAACAGTTGGCACGATCTGCCATCACAGCTTTCTTCAAGCTTTCTTTTACTCCAGTCTAGATCAACTCTAGGGAGCGGTATGTTTGAGGTATAGCAACCGACGTCAACCTTTAACATACTTGCATGACAGGATGGTCGGACTTCATGAAGACCGCCCATGTTTCCACTCAGAGCCTGCCTCCCGAAATCCTCATCCTCATCTTCAAAGCCCTATACGATGACCTACACGGGGTGAGGGAGAAGTACGATACTTGGATAGCACAGCAGCCTGCGCCTGTAGGTCCAGAAGACCTCACGTGGAGTAGGCGCGAACGAGCTTTCCGCCGCTGGATCGAAGAACACGTTCTCTCGCGTGCGCTCTTCCCCTACGCGTGTGCGCGTGTCTGCGCAAGGTGGCGAGACATCATTGCATCCGTTCCAGCGTTCTGGACGCGTGTCGTCATAGCTCTTGATGATCCCCATTTCAGCCAATCTTCCGTTCGCTGGGTGTTCGAGCAGTCCAAAGACAAGTTCATTCATGTGTGGGTGACGCGGAATTCCAAGAGTTCGGATTCCGCGCTCGTTCGTTCTCAAGAGCACAACAGAGTCAAGCTGGTGGCTGAGTGCCTGCAAAAACACTTGTCTCGCTGCCGGGGCATTTGCTTCAACCTCATCTACCGTTCCTCCATTCTGGCTGCCTGTCAAAGCCTGGCCGGAGAAGCGCCTGAACTCTGGTCGTTGGCACTGACTTCACGCATCACCGACTCTGCCGAAAACAACACCTTCCTCCGTCGCCTCGTTTGTCGCTCGCTCACGAATCTGAGTCTTGACGCAAAGAGCTTCATAGACGTCCGACAGGACCGCCACTGGGCCTTGCTTTCATCGCGGGCTCAGATATACAGGCGCCTAAGCCTCGCACTATCGACATACCAGCCATCGGACACGGACGACACTTTCTCCATGTTATCAGTGGTCAAGGCTATTCGAGGCATACACTGTCTCAGTAGGCTCACTATCAAAAACGTCGACTTTTCATCTTCCGACGATGAGGAAGGCATCACCGCCGCGATGGCCGTCCAAGACATCCGCCTGGAAGGCCTCGGCGGCTGCGCTGTATCGGACTTCTTCTACTATACCGTGACGGAGTCGCATAGCACCGCAATTACCAACTGTTCTCTCGCCGGTGATTGGGGGGACGGCGTTGTAGGCGAGGAGTTGACGATCTCCAATATCAGCGATGCTACAAACCTCGCGGCCATGCTTCAAGGCTGGGAAGGCAACATCCTCAGTCTTGTCCAGTGTCCCGCTGTCGACGACCGATTTTTGAAAGATGTGGTCGGTAGGGTTATGTCAAACTCGATGCTGCAGCTCGCGGAGTGCTCGTTCACCCCCAGCGTTCTTCGCAACGTGGTGGAGCAACGCTTTGATGCCCGCTATTTACCGCATGATACCATCAAGGTTACCTACCCTGGCGTTTCCGCCCCCGAGGAGCTTCGTGCGTGGGCCAAGGGGTGGATAAAGTGGTTCACCTGGGACGATAGGAAGCCGCAGCCTGGGTACGATTACGATGGATATTTTGTGGGTGTCAAGCCGGATGAGTACGATCATGAGGATTTCTGTAGCTACCTGAACGAAGATTGAGGGAGATCTAAACTCTGTTCTGTTCTAATTGCGGTCATTCTATCTTGTTCATGTACTTCGAGTAATGTTTCTAGCAATGTATTTGTCATAGCCTAAGGGATTACATACAGACGAGACTACAGGAGGCTCTGGAACGACGATCAAAATGCGTGAAGCAGTTTAAATTCCAGGCAGTACATGACTCAAGGCAAAGAGCGTGACAAAAGACCGGTGAAACCGAGAGGATAGAAGCAAGAGCAGTGAAGGAAAGACAAGAACACAGCCCAAACGCAACTCGACGTCCAACCGCATCGACCTAGTGCTGGCGACGATCGTCCCGACTCGGGTGTTCGAAGTGGCGTCTACCGCAGCGCCGGGCTGGGTCGAAGGAAGTTGGTGAGTCTGGCGAGCGACGAACGAGAGCGGGTGCAGGGGCAGGGCTCACAGCTCGTTACAGTGTCAGACTTGCCACGGTGCTTATGATGGACATGTGCGTAGGCCACGTCAGAGGTTGCACAGTCGTCGCAACCGCCGTTTGAACATTCGGTAGTCACGGCTGCGATTGATGGAGAGGTCGATGGAGAGGAGACACGGCGTTGGAGTTTGGTGAGCTTATGGATCGAGCTCCCTGGATGGCTACATATCAGTCTATGCTCAGAGACATATTGATAAGCGACATGCGCACTTGTAGTTGGCTTGGTTGACCTATCTGGGCTGGACCTTGAAACTGAAACGTTACTGTTGCAAACTTCGGGAGAGACTAAACCGCGATGTCTATCAACGGTTGGGATAATTGATGAAAGCGTACGCACCAGCCAACGCGACCCGTTTCCCGATAGGTTCGAGCTTCTTCGTAGCACGCGGGGGCGTAAGAGAGAGCTGCAACGAGTTGTGGCGAGGCAGGGACATTCGCGGGGAGCGGAAATGGCGGGTAGAACCATTGCTGTTCTGCGAGAGCGAACGGACCGGCTTCGTGTCCTTGAATGTGACTGACTGTGATTTCTTGCCTGGGGACGCGACTGGTTCTTCGTTTGTGATAAAGCTATCGACCGGCGAGCCTATAGCGAAGTTTAGGATGGGAGGAGTTGTGTCACAGAAAATTAGGACGTACAATTGCCATGACTGCTGGAGTTGGTGCATAGGATGGATGGGGGCGAGGCGCTTTTGAGAAGCAAAGGTGATGCGGGCGTCAAGGAGTTGACAAGGGTCTCATCTGCATCCACCTCTGGGACGGTCACGAGGGTTGACGGATTCGGGCTGTCGGAACGATGGACTCTGTGGTCGACTATACGTACAAGTGGATCAGCGGCTGGGACAAGGAAAGTACAGGCGTCGTACCTATAGGCGGAGGTCGACCGGATGAATCCGAGACCTGCATCCCGGCTGAGCCACGAGGGAGTTTGCGAGGGCGCGATCTTGCTACGCCAGCCTCCTGCGCGAGATCCTCCATGTCGTCCTGCTTAGTCTCAACGTGCATAATGCGCTCATCGAGAACGTCAAGATCCTCAAGGATTTTATAGCGGATGAGCTCCAGCTGGAACGCGACTTCGGTAAAAACATCATCCTTGAGTTCCATCCGCGCGGCCTCATTGCAGGCAGCTTGCTCTCTCATTCGCGAGCTAACGAGCTCCTTGCTGTAGTGCTCGCGGGTCGCATGCTCGCGCAGGTGGTCGTTGAGGGCGGCGGAGCGCTTGCGGCAGTCGAGGATGCCACCATCGAGCGTGTGCGAGAGGGAAGAGATGTGTGCTTCCACTGCGTCAATGCGCGCGATGAGGTGCATAAGGTGGGTGTCAACTTGCTCGCGTGCGGCCGTGCGGATGGTGTCGCGCACAACGTCGTCCATGCATTCGTGGACGACTTCGCGAACTCGTCTTTTGACAGGGCTGAGCAGAGCTTCGGTTGTCATGAGGGTAAAGAGCGTTGTTGGAAAGGGAAGAGTTAGGTTATGTCTTGAAGAGTGGCTATGGGAGGGAAACGATGGACAGAGCTACTACTGGGCTCCGTGTTGAGAGTGAACGATGCAAATGAGAGTGAGAGAGAGACGCCAGCCAGTTAGTCCGAGGCATCCTTAAGTCAGACTGAGGTTGATTGAAACTCCAGCGCATCTGAGACAGTTTCCTGAAGCGTAGAGAACAACTCGAGGCTAGAAAGATGTCCTGAAACATAGATACCTAACCAAGTCGAGGTTTGAGAGTAACCAACGCATCGGCACAACAAACGGAAGCAATGCCGAATGTGTTATCACGTGATATTCATTAATCCCACGATGGCCGATCCGCTGGTCTCACTCTTGCTTTGTGCGTGCGGCGACAACAGCTAGCGCACTCTCCGCACCAGCTTTGACGCTGCTTTCATCGCCCGGTCAATGCACTTTTCCTTCCCGAGCTGGGCTTGCTTTGACACACTGCATGGGTTGCTTTGAACACCCCACATCGATAAACACCTGCTACCTATCTGGCTCATGCGCTCCGGTATTGACCTTCATTCAAGCACTCACGTCAAGGCACAAGCCCAAGTTCAGGCCCATGTCCATCCAGAACCCCACACACGTAGCGATCCCCGCGGAGAATGTGTCCAATGTCTAATACTCTTCACAACTGGCATTGACACCACCACCACCCTCCCACTAATCACTTTCCCACGTTTGGGAACGCGCGCCTGGGCGCCCATAGGACCAAACACGCCAACATCATGGCATGAGGAAGCACACCCCCGAAAAAAATGCAACGACGAATTGTATTGGTCCTTGCTTTGTTTCCTCCATTTTACCTGCCCCCTCGTTCACTTTGCTTTATCCTTGACGCCGGTATATTAGGAACCGTTGCCTACCTTGATGCAGTCAACAACCACTTCTCCCAAAGTTCGAACCTCGTCGTCGTCCCCTTCACCGCTTCCGGCTTCTCCAAACCCTCTCACGATGCAGCCCCCCATTCCCCCGACGCCGGACTACCTCGAGCGGGTCCCACAAACGCCATGTGTCCCCGAGGACCCCTCACCCTCGCGGCAGACCGTCACCTTCGAGCGCACGGAAGCCTCCCCGTCCGAGCGCGGTATCCCCATCACCGAGCTCGCCAACCGCTCAAGTGGCTCGGCCACACCTATTATGAAAGGTGGCTCGGACAAGGTCGGCGCGTGGATGGCGTGCAACAGCCACAAGAAGATCAAGGTCTGGCTCACGGTGCGTTCTCTTCCCCACTCCCCCGCTCCCCTTCGCATTCTTCGAGACGTTTCTGATGTTTCTCTTTTTGCGCCGTTGTAGTGGCCTGGGTATGAACAACTTCAGTGGAGCCATTCCTTGAACGTGTTCACGCCCGTGGGACCCATCACACGCTCACAGCTCGCCGTGCTCGTCGCCCTCATCATCTCGTCGTTCGTCGAGGTAAGCATCTCTGCGTCTTCGCATCGCTTTCCGGTACCCTGGAGCTAAGGTTATCCACTTTAGAACATCCGAACCCTGCCTGCCGACTCGCGTCGGCCGCCTCAATTTGAGCTCGCGGAACGCAGCGGCTCTCCTGTGCGTGTCGACAACCTCGTGCTCGGTTCCTTGTGGAACGTCGCCGATGACAATTGGATGGCTGAAATTTACGTCGAGAGGCGATAAAGTACCTGCGTTGTCTGTAGTGCCGCTTCAACCGGGTATTGGACAATTACGGACACCGCATATGTACTCCATGGTCCAAGTTACCGTATGCTAATTTAATTGCCTGCTTACATCTTCACATTTAAGTACGTGACATTGAGCATAAATGGAGCAGCTCAACAATAACGGACGCTTATCGGCTCTACAGTGTCTAAAGGTCCAGTAATGTTACAACTTTCTGATTATCGCAAATGAATTGAGACTTCATGACGTCGCCCAAGGCAAACCCGAAACAGGCAAAACTCATTGTGCATTACGGAAGGCAGAATATTTACGGGGAACGATAATCCTAATCAGTGGGCAATCACACAGTGGCCCTAAGCAACCCTTCATCACATCACAGATTGCCCACTGATAATGCGAAAAACACGGTGACCTACAGCGTTATACAAGCGTCCATAGGCGCACCCTGCCCATTTCGGGTCCAGAGAGCCTTGTGGTCGGCACGGTTTGATAGACTTGAGGCCACTCTAGTGACGCACGCGAACCTCCTTTCTGTTCACATACTTGTGCTTAGTTTGATCTCTTGCAGGTATAAATAGTGTGCCCGAACACGTGGGGTACCCGTGGTGGCGTTCCGAGTCGTCATGCTATTAAGATACTGAGATCGAGGGAGACTCCAGTAATAACTGATACTAAACGATCACGACATACATATCATCATGAAGCTGTAATAACGTAGACTCAAATACGCAATACGGGCCATACAGGGGGGCAGATGAGAGCAAACAACGGGTATAAGCATGCGCGGGTCTACTTTGCTAGAGAAAAAAGGTGGTGGCAAAGCACTGATCGCGTTTCCTGGTTTCCACGAGCGTGCCGCGCACCGAATGTGCAGCCACTCATTCCTCATTCAAGTAGCTATAGAAGTCCTCATCATCGCATTCCTCCGGCCGAACACCACGGAAGTACCCATCATAATCGTACCCCGGACTGGGCCTATGCGCTGACCAGAGCAACGGCATGTCCACTGCCTTGGCCCATGCGCGCAGATCCTGGGGCATCTCGACGCCTGGGCACGCAACCTCGAACTCAGTCATCCTCGACAGGTTCTCGTCGGCAGCCCGTCGCTCGACGATGGTCCTAAGCACGCCAGGCGTGAACTCGCATTCTGTGAGATACAGAATGGACAGCTCCGGAAGCTGGGCGACCGTGTCCAGCAGGAAAGCGTCGTCCACGGCGGGACACCGCACAAAGTGCAGGAACTGGTTGTCCCAGTAGCGCAGCGCGCCCGCGAGCGCCGTCTTCTCGTCCGCGCCGATGTCGATGAAGGCGAGGTCCTGGCCCTCGACAGGGTTCGTCCACTCGCCGGCAAGCGAGCAGCGCGTAATGGAGGTGGACTCTGGATGTGTGATTGTGTTCGCGAAGAAGTCACGCACTGCCGTGCCTTCGAGGTTCTCGAAATTGAGCAGATCAATGCCGAGCACGACGCCGAGATCGTTGGCCGTGGTGTCGGTGGGTCTGAAGCAGACGTCTTTTATAGTGAGGGAGTCGCACCGTGGCATCCTACGCAGCGCCAGTATGAGTCTTTTCATGGATACAAAGGAGGTGGGGCCGTCTGAGAGGGTGTAAGCTGTGATCCTGATGGATAGGTGTCTGGATGCGTAGGCAGAAAGTCCGCCCCAGTCGCGGTATTTGCGGATGTCAGTGAAACTCTTCGCGTCGACCGTCAGGTGGGTAAGGTTGCACGTGAGGTGACGGAGACGCGAGCTCGGCGCGACCGTATCGGTGACCCTCGAGTTCAGCACTAGGGACCTGAGTGCGGGCGCCTCCCCGCTGAGGCGGTAACACGCGGCGACGATAGAAGAGCGGCAGAGGACATTGAAGCACAGCATCCGGCAGCGCACCAAGTGTGGTTGAAGACATTCCAACGCCATCTTGACGTTGACACGTTCCTCAACAGAGCCATCCCCAATCACAGGATTAGGTTGCTTGTTCATGCGGGTGACCCAAACCTGGATCGGATGGTTCCTAGACCGCTCAAGAAGCCAGCGGACCCAAGAAGCGCTGAAATGCGGCGCATCCAAAATAATGATGACACGCGTCCAGAACGCCGAGACGCCCGCGATAAGGTCGCGCCACTGCATGCATACGCGCGCGCATGCGTACGGGAAGATGGATGGCATCAAGACGTGTTCATCCTTCCAGCGCCAGAAGGTGGGGTCACGCGTGTCCCAGGAGACGTCTTCTTCCGCTATCGTTTGATGGGATAGCCTAATGTCGTAGTTCTGTTTCATCTCGTGCAAGCTATCGTAGAGGCTCCTGAAGATGAAAAGAATGACATCGGCAGGAAGGTGGTGGATGGTGAGACGTCGCGTCGCCTGCATAGTGTTCAAACGGACCAAAGTGTCCTGAGAGGGGATGACGATCAGCGACAACATGGGAGGATGAAGATTAACGGATGTACCATCACTTTACCTACTCCTGAGCTGAGGACGCGGGCTCGAAGACGCGTCTAACCGGGTGACAACGCGATACCCCGATCATTGACGTGTGTTTGCTCTTATTCCCACGGATGCAAGGGTCCCCTATTCAAAGCCTCGAGCTCCAGGCCTCAGGCCTCAGCTCCGGCTTATTCGGACTTGCCAAAGGACAACCCTTGGTCGACATATTACCAAGGGATAATCGAATGACTTTGGTTGGTTGAGATAATTTCGGCTACTTGAAGTCTAGATGGTGCTCAGAGCTACTCAGTGATGCGCTTCTAAAATGGGCGCGAAGCCGGTCCGCCGTCTTCCGCTGCTATTTCGCTCACCCCGAGCGCATGCATGACCAAACCATGTTACATTTTGACCCAGTGCCCTAACTGATCTAAGCCCACCGTAGCTTGTTGAAGCCTCCAATGAAAGCTGTTGTGTTACATACATCTCTATATTCTGCCTAAGATCTACCAAGACAGCTAGCACCCCCAAATCTACAGAATGAATCGTCGAAAGGTCCAGAGCCCAAGTCGAGCACCGTGATGCACCCACGTGCGCGGATGTTTCCGCCTTCATCTTCATCTCTATTCTACAAGGGACGCGTCGCGGGAACTGTAGACAGTTTTGGGCGAGGCGCGTGAGCGATAAGTAGCGTGGCGTTACCGGATCGGTCGTTGGCCTAGTCTTCTAGCTTTATCAGATAACCCCGTCCCGACGCGCTGGGGAAAACCTACCTTGCGTCAGCGTGAAGCATCCGTGGGCACGGGCACATCTGGTCCTATTCGAAGGCGTAGGCAGGGAGCATGTGTTCGTCGCCGTAGAGATCTACCGGGTCCACCCCTTCTTCGTGCTGCGCATCCCCAGAGCCACTGCACGCCGCGGAACCCTCGCTGGGGGAGATAGGCGCCATAGGGGCAGACGACCAGTCGAACGCATTCAGACAACTCGAGAACCAGGAGTAGTCCTCCGTCGAGATGGGGACGCCGGGCGACCTCACCTGCAGGCAGCGGATGGGATCCGTGTGCCAGCTCTGCCGCACGACGCGCTTGAGGTCCTCCGTCGAGAACGGGCAGTCTCCGATGCGCAGGATCTCGAGGTTGACCATTTCGATGCGTCCCTGCGCCATCGCATGGAGTACGGTCTTGCCGAGGTTCGCGCAGCGCTCGAACGAGAGCACGCGCCCCTCCCACGCGTCGAGCGCGTCGACGAGCCCGGGCGTATCGTCGATCCCGACGAAGCGCAATTCGTACCCCTCGAGAAGGTAGTGCCACGGCCCGCGCAGCTGGCACCGCGTGATGGTCGTGAAGAGGAAGTGGTCGTCGGCCATCGCGAAGAAGTCGGACACGGCAGATCCGCGTAGACCCTCGAGGTGCAGCTCGCGCACGTGCAAAGGCCACGTCACCTGCTTCAAAGTGTCGCCTGCGGCGTCGCAAAATGCAACGTCCCGGATACGGAGCCGGTGGATGGAGGAGATGAGGTGTAGGGAGCGGATGACGTCGGACATCCTGAGCCCGCCTCCATGCGAAGGCGCGTACTGGGTAAGTTCGACATTTATTCTGCTTTGCCTCTCCGCGAGCCACTGCGGTGCAGACCGGCCCATGTCGACCAGAGTCTTTGCGTCGAGGACGAGGAGGTTCAACAATGGGCATTCTAGGTGACGCAGGCCGTCGGCGTGCAGGGTCTGCTCGGTATCTGTGACTGCGGAATTAAGAACCAGAGACTGGAGGAAAGGTGCCGAGCCCTTCAGACTCCTCGCGGCTGCCATGATCGATGAGCGATAAAGGAGGTTCAGGTGAATGCTGCGGCACCGATGGAGATGGGGGGCAAGCCTTCGCATGATGCCTTCCACGGCCCTGCGTTCTCTCTCGCACTCGCCAACCATGTTTCCAGAAAGCTTGTCCTTCTCTTTGTCCTTCTCGTGGGAGACACTATTTTGGGAGGGAAGTCGCTTTTTCCGTCGTGTTATCCAGATATGCACGAGCTCGTCGCGCGACCACTGCAGACAGTTCTTCGCCAGTGTAAGAGCGGGACCTGGCGAGTCGACGCAGATGACGATGCGCGTCCAGAACGCGGGAATGCTAGCGAGAATATCCCGCCATCGACGACATGCAGTTGCGGGCGCGTATGGGAAAAGGGTAGGGTCGAGGACATGACACGCACGCCAGCACCAGTGCTTTGAGTCGCGCGTGCGTGCGCACACAGGGGGAGAGCCGTCTTCGTTGACTGTGATGTCGCAGTCGCAGCACTTGATGCGGAGGTCGTCAAAGAGTCGCTCGAATATATCGAGTAAAATCTCGGAAGGAAGGCTGTGGATCGTTGTTTTGCTCGGGAGGACGAGGGGTACGACGTGGCGGTCTCTGTCTCTCTCCCTTGCCACCACGAGGGTGGTGGCCTGTGCGCGAGAAACGTAAGAGAAGCGTGTGTCAGAGTGCCTCGAGGCGATTGATTTAACACAAAAAACAAAGACGAGGACGTACGACGGGCTGAGGGCGAACTACGATGGATGTGGTGGACATGGCGGGACAGAGGAGGGTTTCGACCGAGGACATTATAGGGGGCGCCAGTGGCTGGTGAGATTGCGATTAACAATAACAGGGGACGACATTCCTTCCACTGTCTCGGTTCACATCAGCGGACTGGGCACGATCTCCGATTCGCCGTTCCGCGCTTCCGACACCCGGGACCTTTCGATTTCAACATGACCAAATACCTGCCTTATATGGCCAGGTAGCCCCTAGTCTGCTCGCTTCTTGCAGTAACACCACCACCATTCGCATTCGCCTGGGAGGCTGGGGTAAAGCTGACCAGCGCCGCAGTTCCTGATCATCGCTCTGCACATTCTGAGCAACGAAAAATGAAGATTAGGTTAGAACATGGCGTGATATGGATACATAAATATGCCTATGGAATATGCGAATTTCTATCAACCATGCGAGCGTGCTAATTATATCCAACCATATGAGATGGGCCTGAGAGGCATGAGAGGGACATGACGGAGATGAGAGAGAGAGCGCCCGCCCTAGCGGTACGTCCCCAGGCAGCACCGACCGAGCGGCGCGCAGAAGTCCTCGCACGATCACCGGGTGTCCACCAGAATCTCGGTCATCCACATGTCCGAGGAGGTGTTCCAGAGCCCGGCGAGGTAGAGGCGGTCGAGCGAGATGCCGTTGGCGCCGACCCGCCACTCTGGGCAGCGCGAGGGAGGGAACTGCCCGGTGGCCTGGATAAGGTGGGTAAGTCATTCAGCATATTCGGCTGGAGAAAGAGCAGCGCATGGGAGCTCACCTCGACGAAGGAGAAGATCATCTGTGACACGAGCACGGCCAGCTGGGCGCGCGTCAGCGGCCCGAGTGGAGTGTACAGCTCGATCGAGTGCGCCCAGTTCGCGCTCTCATGCCCCGGCCACTATAGCGAAAGGGTAAAGTCAATAACTCTAAATTGACACGTCGAGGATGAGTAAACAGTGACGTACCACGATACTGAGGGAGATCTTGCGTGAGCCACCGTCCATACCTTGTCCAACGTGGTCAGACGCGCCGACCATCATCCGAGAGAGCGCGTCCCCGCCGCGAGCGATGACCTCACAGACGGGCATGCCCATGCCGTAGGTCTGTGCACCCGCCAGGTCGAACGTAACCGGTGACCGCTGTGGCGACGCGTTCTTGGGGAATGGCTGGGGTACGCGATGAATATGGGGAGGATATTGAGTAAATGGGGGTTGGGGGGAGAGCAGTGCGGAGTGTGGGGTGTACAGGCCCGGGGAGAGGGAGGAAAAGGACGACTTGCAGCTGTTAGAGACAGCGGGGTGGAGAGGGTTGGAGTAGGTCATTATAATGAATATTCGAGGAAAGTGCAAAAGAAGATTGCGAAGAACGAGTTTGCGACGTAGGAGGATGAGGAGGTGAGTGAGGTATTCAGCTCGATGCCGATGAGGACGACATGGAGGTGGACTTACCAGGTTAAATATCGCGTTCGACACAGAGAACATTGAAGAGGATGGTGAAGCGTGAAGAGGCCAGAGACAAAGCATCGAGAGTTAAGACGCTAGACATCAAGGCGTCGAGGAGCGTGTTGGTGTCAGAGACAGCATGGTGAAAGCCAGAGGGAGGGTCAAGCGACAGAGGATGGTAGAGAGATCAACGGAGAAGCCAGGGGCGAGGATATTGAACGTCGAGGAAAGCACAAATGATAAAGCAAAAAGTGTCAGTGCAGAGCGGAGGGTTTGACCCGGCGGCGCATGGCTAAACGGTTAATTAACGTCGAGACAAAGGAATTGACGCGGCTAACATTGTCGCCTTGACGTCAGGATAGACCCTTCTGTAATCACAGTTTTGAAGCCCTAGAGTGGCCAAACGCATATCAAGAGACCACTGCATCGCTTTGAGGGGCCCGGAGGTCTCCAGTGAGCTCGTCGGTCGTCGCCATGATCGTCGAAAGAGGTCAAGACGCGTCGGCTGAGCCCGAACAAGCAAACTCGTTTAGGAAATTTAGGCCCCTCAGCCACGCGAGCTTGACACACCCTCGACCCTCTCACACATCACACCACCCCTTCACACCATCACACCGACGTCCTGATCACTTTCAGCCAGTTGTCGTCGTGCCCGTCGACGTTCCCCGCCGTTTGATGAAATCAGGACGCTGTCCCCGAGACTGAAAAAACCTCCTCAATATCACACTGACGCTCGGAACACGGGCCCGAGTCCGCTTCCTCTCACTTTCACATCGTCACAGGGCGTGCATGCTCGTTGACGCCGCCCACCCGATGATCAAGCATGGTTATGTCGTCGGGAGATGATCCTCACTATAATCACACCGTCTACGCTTCACAAAGTGATACCCTCCCTTCACGTACAGATAGTTCGATGTTGATGGATGCCAAGTGTGCCCTCGAGAGCTGGAACCTTTCAAGATCACACTCGCTCGCATCAGTTCCTTGCACGATGTCACACTCACGGGCGGAGGGGAAAACCGATAATGACCTACCGTGAGTTGACGCCAGATGTATGGTGCATAATGGATTGTACTCGATGCATTCTACTGCGAGCATAGTATTTCCTAACTGACTTCAGCGTCTCGGCCGTCACTAGAGAGTATTACTAAGTGGCCTTGTTTGCGTCGGTAAGATAGGAGATAATCACATCAAACAGAAGAGATGCACATAGCATCCATGATGAATCGATGAGGCGAGATTCAGAAATAACCGACAGGTTCATGTGAGTTTACATTGTTGATCTCTACGGAACTGTCCACACAGGAGCAACATCATCATCACTCCAACCAGCGACCAAAGTAATTGCTCAACCTGTTCAAACAAGAACGCCACCCATACCAGTGTCCGCGCTCAATCCTCCTTGACCAACTTCTGAATCTCATCCAACCCCTCATCCGTCGCCCAAAACCCACTCCACTCCCCACCCTGTCCGCCCTTTCCATCATCATCCACATTCGGCGCCCCATCATCCACATCCTTCCTTGCGTCCTCCAACCCCACATTCCTGCCCTCGCCCTCGCCCTCAGCGCTCCGCCCCGCCAAACTACCCACATACTTCTCCTTGATCTCCCGCTCGACCCTCTCCGCAGTTCGCTCCTCCTCGCTGCCCGTCCATATCGCGCGCTCGAGCAAGTGCCGCATCAGACTCCGCAGGAGAATATACCCGTGCGACGCCACGAGCGATACCAACAGCGCCGAAACGAGCAGCTCGCGCGTCCCAGCGAGTGCTGCGCCCGAGTCTTGTCCGTGTGCGTGGTGGTGGTGGCCGGGCGCTGCGTCTACTGCAGGCCCAGTCCCGGCTGCGGAGAGATCGTCGCTGTTGAGCGCGGTGCCGAACGCGTCCGGCCCTGCTTGGCGGTGGCTCGGCGGACGGAAGAGGTAGACGAGAGCCGAGTTCGTGAGGGCGGCGAGCCAGGTGAGGAACGTGAGCGCGTCGAGCCACGGGCCGATCGTGTCTGTGCGGATCGGGACTGGACGGCGGGTGTGCACGGTGATCTTGAACGCGTCCGAACGTGCTTCGAAAAAGTTGTTCACGTATGCCATCACTGAGATGTACCCGCGTCAGCCGCGTATTCTCGCTACGGAACAAAAACAGTAACATACCAGGTGCAAGTGGCCAAATCGTCGACCACAGCGCCACATACCCAAACTGTGTCGCCATCTCGCTATAATCCGTGAAAACCTGATACTCAGGCAATGCCACCTCGCTCCTGACTCTTTCGAGGAACTCCCGCTCCTCCTTGCCCCGCGCGTCCTGGCTCGGCGAGCGCTTCCCCTTGCCCTCTTCACCATCCGCGCCCTCCTTCTCAAACGCAACCCGCTTCTTCTTCTGCCCCTTACCCAACCCCCCGCGAGAGCCGCCGCCGTGCCCACTGAGCCCCTTTCCGTTGCGAAACGAGTCCACAGCGCGCATCACGAACGGCAGCCCGATCTCCATAAACGTATTCACCGCCTGATTCGTGACCGTAAACGCAAACATCTGCTCCTGCAGCCTCGACGGATTCAGCTTCTGCCGCGCGCTCGCACCGTCCACCTCCCAATACGCATGATGCGCGTCCGCATGGTGGTGGTGATGCTCGCCCGCCTGAAGCGGAGGCTTCGCAGCAGTGACGTTCCCATGCCCAATCCCGAACCCGAGCGTCTGGTTCAGATCGATGTTGAGCCGCTGGAGAATGGCGGAGCCGCGGTCCGAGAGGAGCGTCTGGTGCACGGCCGTCATCACGCTTTCACCAAAGGGGACGTAGACGAACGCGGAGAGGGCGAGCCCGAGATAGGCGTTGATCGCCGCGAGCGCGAACTCCTTGATGGTGAGCGAGGCGGTGTGCGTGGACTGGTGCGAGTGGTTCTCCCAGTCGGTGTAGCGTGTCGCGTGCACCCTGTAGATGTTGAGGATCTGCGGGACGATCGCCATGAAGAGGACGGTCGGCATGAACGACTGTGCAAGCGCAGATAGGTCAGTGGCGAACAAGGGGAGCTATTTATAGTACTCACGACGAGCTTGCTCCCCGGGCCCGTATATAGCTGCGTCACAAACGCCTCGAGAATGAAGATCACCGTGAGTATGATAGCAAGCACGCTCGCAAACAGCAATATGACAGGGATGCTAGCCACGATGCGCAACTCGCGCTTCCACCACGGGAAGCCGGGCACGTAGTCCGCGCGCCGGCGCTCGACACGTGCAGAGCCGCGTGTGCACCAGCGCACCGAGAGTTTGCGCTCCTGGAGGCGCCACCACTCGACGAAGCCGATCGACCAGAGGAGCAGAAGGGAGGAGTAGAGCGCGGAGTAGGGCGTGCCAAGGAAATAGAAGGCAAACCCGAGCGCGGCGGGGACGGCAAGCGCACGGGTGTATGCTTCGAGAAAGTGAAAGTAGAGGGCGACGGAGTCTCCAAACTAGATAGGTAGTTGGGTTAGACTCTGTCTCCTTGGTGGAGACATGAGGAGGGACTAAGGATAGGAAAACGTACCTGAGACCTAATTCTGTCCAGCTGCACCGTCGCTATCCGATTCCGCGTCCACAGGTGGATCCATTGTTCGTTGAAAAGGGGGTCGTGCAGAACCATGACAGACTCGACAAGGTCCCACTCTTTGCATAGGGGAATGATGCCGAGCCCGCCATCCTGCGGGGTGGAGGTGATGAATGCATGTACGAGACGCAGACGATCGGCAGGTGTAAGGGGTGCGGTGTCAAAGTCGTCCGAGAAAGCAGGAAGGTTTGCCATCGGGAGGCCATAGAGGAAGTCGGATTGCCTGCACAGAAAGCATGCATGAGCTCGCAGTTCTCACTACATGGTGCGAGACAAGAGACCACGAGGCGCGATAGCGCTAATTCAAGAATAGAGTGCTCACCTTTCCCTGTGGACGAGCGTGGCGAGCAGGTTCTGTGGGCAGGTGACGAGCACGAGCAACTGGCCTTGATTCTCTCCCCGGCGCCCTACTGCCTTGAGCCCCGCACGCGTGAGCGTGTCGACGAGGACCGAATACTGCTTCTCGGCTTTAGCGGCGTTTTCCTTGAGCTCATTCTTGGATAGTGCGGCGCCCTTGGGCGTAGACCGGAAGACAATGACGACGTCCACTTGTGGTGGCATGGTCGTCCCCTACAATTGATGGTCGCGGTCAGTGATGAAGAAACGAAGGAGTGGGTGGATGGAGGTGCGCTCGCTCTATTCGACGCTCACGACAACCCAACGACGTCACACGCGCCGAGCCATCGTGTTGTCGTCTGTTTGTCCTTTTGCCTTGAGGCACATCCGCCCTTGTCGGAGCCGATTACCGACTCCTTCATTTTGTCATCGGAATGGTATTATACGCCCTCAAAAACAAGATATCGGGGTGTACAGAACATGGGATACGGTAACAATGAGCGATGCTATCTTGACAGGAAAGCGATAGAGAATCGACTCCAAGCACAATCGCATACTGAACTTGGCCACTCGAGTCAGATATCTTCAAAGCCGTACCCAAGGAGTACACCTGCTCAAAGCCCAATTCACGCGCGCGATAACAACATGCTTGCTTGTCATGATTCCGGTCGCTAATGAAGACATATGGGTGATTGGCTACCCTAATCAACATCGGCACCTTGAAGTACACAACCTTGTACCAATTGGCGGTAAAAGATGGGGCGTTTCGAATTACTACAGAGTGCGTGAAACCTACAAGACAATCGAAGCAGCATGCAGAGATAGTGTGTGTCAGGATTAATAATCTATCCGACATGGCGTAGTGTGATGGTCCGTGAAATTCAGCAGTCGCCGATACGAAGCCCGGGTTGAAGACAGCCTGCATAACCATTGAGAGCCGGATACGCGGATAAGCAAGAGGAGAGCGCTAGTGGTTTTCGTGTACGGAAATGATTGTGCGTATGGATGCGTGAAGGATACGTTGGACTCCAGGAGTTACGAGCTCCCGTGTCGAAAGCCAAAGACAAGATAGAGGTGGCGTGATGGTGACGTTACGCACCTGTTACACGTCTCCTGACACATTCCGTAACGTCACGACCCTCCTTCTCTTCTTGCCACCACGTCGTTGGCGCACCGAACGAATCGCTCAAGATAGGCAAAGTTTGGAGTGCTCGCCCTCTCCTGAGGCCGCTTTTTATGGACATCTTCTGTAGATGTGACGATACCTTTAGAGGGTTTGTCACTTTGTCACTCCGCTTCAACTCGCTCGCGAAGTGAGCGTCAACGCTCGTTTGGCGGTGCTCCTGAGAAAGCATTAGGACTGCTATGGGGACCCCTTACTAACGAAATCTTTACAGGAATGTATGCTTTACCTGTACCAGATGACAAGACAGTGCATTTATCCATGCATGCCCCTCGAGCAAAAAAGCTCTCTGTGTAATGGATCACCTCGCACTTACGGTCCGTGGTGAATTGCTCGTGTCTCTAGCTATATGAAAGATTCTTGACCAAATAACGACACTGACAGTGGTGGCATGACGTCGCAGATTAGCGTCTATTTCGAAGCCAATCTCGAGATCTCTCTTGTAGAGTCCATTCACGAGTCCGACGCGGAATGGCGAAGAGGGATGCGTACACCGTAGTGCGTAATGTTTGTATAGTACGAGGTAAGATCATGTTCTCGACACAACCCTGCATGCCCCTTTCACACCACGCTCACAACTGAAAACGTCATCCATGTTTGTCAGACGTTAGAAACCCGACCGCTCTGATCGGTACGTGCTTGCGCACGTTGTCTTGATTCTACAATGGAACATTATCTTTAGATGCAGGAAAGAGGGCACCTCTCACTCAGATGTGCTCTTTTGGGTAAGCTGACAATGCCTAACAGCATCGCTGGGCAGCTCAGGGTATTCATATGGCCACTCGTATGGAGGAACTCGAGGCGCAGATGGGCGGCTTACGGCTCCATACTGCTGAGCAGGGCGCGATGATCATCGGTCAGTGCATAACCTCTGCTAAATGCGCTTTTCTAATGAGCGGTTCTACTCTTTTTCTTGTGCTTGAATGCTTTAGCGACTCAAGGGGTATCTACGCGATGATGGTGGCACTGATCTACGTTGCCTCCCCTGACTCACTGGTCGGATCTCGTCAAGCGCCCAAGCTCTCGCTGCTTGTTACCAATTCAGATGACGGAGTCCCGAGTCCGCGATGCTTCTTCGATCATCTGGCACTGGCTTTCGAGCGACAGTCTCGGAGGCATCTTTGCTATCTCAAAGCACGTTCTTATGTGCTCCGCAAGCCTTCGCAGTGAGGTTATGGGATGATTTCGACGGCGTCTTAATGCGAACCCGGGGCGCCAAAACCACCGATTGGCCGGCTTCGAGGCTCGGGAAACGTGCTGATTGGCTAGCGGACATGGAATGTGCAAGGCCATATTGGGCGCTCGAAGTCTGGGAAACGGCTCATATTTCTCGCCAGATTTATGTTTAGCTTCATATAAGGCTCGATGCTCTAATGTTCGGTCTCCTGAGCCTCTCCACCCCTCAGAGGCTGTCCGTCTTATACCCCTTCCTCCCGAGATTTCCCTCCGCGCTCGCTGGGATACGAACTTGTCGGCAGCGAATTTAGGTTCCTCTCCCTCTTTCGTCCTGCTCTCAGTCAAACAACTTCCCGGAAAGCTGCACCACCATCTCACTTGCGACATCGGACGAGCTTTGAGCAACCATAATGGGGGACGAGTGAGTATTTATTCACAACTGCTCGACTTGCGTCTCGCACGCTCTTTCTCCCTCTCTTCCCCTTTTTTTCTGCCCGGTTTCTTATTGTTTGCCGTCCATGCGTTCTTACAGGGCAACTATCATCATCGACAATGGCCAACGTCTGAGCGGCGGGAGCGATCAATTTGCTGCACGCATCACTAACTCAAACGACAACGAGGAAGACGAGGCCTACAAGCTCGAAACACTCCCACGCTTTCCCTCGGGCGGCCACCCCAGCAGCGGCACGCTCAACGCCGCCTTTCGCGAGTTCGAAAAGGAAAATAGGGGAAAGGATGCAGAAGCAACACAAGTAGCGGCAGCACCAGCCAAGGGCCCGCCGCGGGTGTCGCTCTTCGACCCGAGCATCGCGGCGAAGCGATGGACGTACATGAGGCTGTACGGCAAGTACGTTGTGTACCTCATTCTGTTGATGTGGGCGTTCCTGCCCATATATCTCGCGGCGCACACGTCGCCGAACAGCCACGTGGACAATCTCAGTGTATGGGTCGTGGACAAGGACGGGGGTACGGTTGGGGAGGCGATGAGGCAGGCGGTGCAGGGTGGGCTTGATGGTGCGCAGGGGCTTGTGCTGGGATATGATTTCAGAGGGACGAATAATGCGTCGGTGGGGACGGACGAGGACCTTGAGTACGCGGTGTGGGACGAGCAGACGTATGCTATCCTCGTCGGTAAGTCTTCATAACGATCTTGGCGGAGATGGGCGCTCATGCACACACGTGCAGCTAACGAGGGTGCAACGAGCAATATCACGTCCTACCTTGCTGGAAACAACCCCGACTACTCGCCTACAGAGACGCCTGCGATCACCATCTGGTACAACGAAGCACGCAACCTCTTCGCCGCCGACTTCTACGTCATTCCACTAATGCAGCCGCTCGTCTCCATCGCCTCAGGCAACGCCGCCAATTCCATCATCTCCCAATTCATCTCCAACAACACAGCGAACCAAACCGCGCTCTCCCACTTCGTGCAGGCGACCGCCCAGCTCTCCACCAACGGCGCAATAGAAGGCGGCCTCGTCAACTTCGCCTACACCAACATCCGGCCGTACTTCGCGACGAACGTCGCGGGCGTGACGACCGTCGGCTTCGTGCTCATCCTCATCTTTTCGTTCCTGCTCACGATGGCGAACGCGGCGATGCGCGCGATCCTCGCGCCACACCTGACGATCAAGTCGTACGTGCTCCTGCGCCTCGCCGCGCCGCTGCTCGCGTACATCCCGCTCTCGCTCTCGTTCGCGACGGTCACGCTCGCGTTCCACGTGCCGTGGGACACCAAGTACACGGAGGTGCAGGGGTTCGGGCTGTTTTGGATCACGGTGTATCTTATGATGTGCTCGCTGGGTCTCGCGACGGAGTTTGCGATCTATGTGGTGACACCCAAATTTGCGCCGTTCGCTATGGTTATTTTGGTGAGTTCATCGTACTTTTTGTTGACCCACGATATTGTGTTTATGAAATTCAATGATGCCCTAGATTCTGACAAACATCAACCTGGTCGAATACCCGCTTGAAATGCTCCCCGGCATCGAGAAGTACGGCAGAGCATGGCCGTTCTAGTAAGCCTCACTACTTCTCATTATATACTTTTCCTTTCTAACGGAGAAGCCACGCACATAGCCAAGGCCTCGAGATCATCCAAACAATCACCTTCAACACCAAATCGCACATCCGGCAGAACATACCCATCCTCGTCGGGTGGGCGCTCCTGAACGTGCTCACCATCAGTCTGAGCACGGCGTTCATGGAGTGGCGGCTGCGTCGGAAGCAGGTGTAAGCACCTGTGACTCCGCTGGCACGCTCCCCAGCTTCGGAGTGCGCCGAGGATGTGCTCGTGTTCATTCTTTTCGGTGGCTGGTAAAGAACGGAACGGAGTTCGCGGTACTCCGCTCAGATACATCGTCATCTGACCAGTCCGCGAAGAGTACGATATGCAATGGCTCATGGGAGCCTTTCTTGGACTTGAATGAGTCCAGTGACTATACGGGACTGGTCCCTGCATACTTTCATCACACTTTTTCTTGTTGCACTCATTTTCTCATCACGCTTACTTTTTGCTTTATTGCCGCACTCCCTGACTTGCCGCGTACCTGGGGTACAGCTGATGCACACACACAGATGATGGACATGATTGCACGCATACCTTACACCTCGCATTAGTTTCCCTCTTAGCACATACATTATGCTTTCCCTTCACAGTCACTCACTCAACGCAATCCACAGAATGTTTAGTAGGCGCTGCCGCCGTTCTATTTCGCTATTTATTGTGCGCAGCATTGTAACATGGACAGAAAAGCTACTATTGATGACGCATCTGCCTCTGAGGTGGCCTGTGCATGGCATTTATCATTGTTTGCGTCGCATTTGGGCGAGTTGTTGGAGATCTGGAAATCGGACGGGTGTGAGCGAGTAAAACCGTCGCAACTTCGTCAGGAATTCTACTCGAGAACAACTTGCATATATACGTCACAACGAACACATCAACGGAAAAACTGACTGCGAGAGCTTTTATGCATGACACCCGGGCTGCAGATCGTCCTGTGAACTACTCATACATTCTAGAAACAAACCGACATAGTTCCATTGCGATTCCTTGAACGTTATCATGCACTGCGACGATAATCTGGAAAGCCGCCCATGTCAGCCACATGATCCTAAGTTCGCAAGCTACGTATTCATATACTCACCGCTGGCGAAAATCGCGGTGCCCTGCTAACGGCATCCCGGGTGTCAGCATGGCGATGTAACATACGAGTGTATGTTGGTAGGGTATAGCTTACATGTGACCACTGAGAATGACCTCGTAGTACGTCAGAGCGCGAGCAGGCTCATAACATCCTTCCTTGGCTCGTCGGCCTGGTATGTGCGGATTTCATTGGGGGGCAGCGCGCGTGCGCCAGCCGTCGCAGAGAGCGCGCCGAGGATTGCTGCAGCAATCAGCGTTGGCATTGCAAACTGCATGTTTGTCGATCACGCTTGTGGTGCAGTACTTGATTGAGGGAGGGAGTGTTGCAGTCCTGTACGACTGCAAAAAAGTCGTGAAAAGGTTATCGGCTGTTGAGAGAGAGAACGAGAGAGGGGGAAAGAAGCCGTGCCTCTGGGAGTCTTCTTATACTAGAGGAATAAATCTACACCCTAACTCATGCCCAGTGGCACTCTCCTTATCACGCCGAAGACTGCACGCACCATGTAGTCCCTCCGATGCCCTTTGTAGGAAGAATAGAAGTGTGCGAGGGAGAATGTTTCTATTCTTACGTCAGGGTCTGGAAGGGACCACTTGCGCGGCGTGCCTCATAATGTGCTCGTTGGGCCCTCGTGGCCGAGTTTGCAATTCATTTCGTGACACCAAAGTTTGCGCCGTCCTCTATGATTGTTCTGGTGCGTTTCTCTTACTTTGTGACATTCGTGGTGTTGGAGTTATGAAACAGGTAGCGCTATAGATCATAACAAAGATCAATCTAGCCGAATGCTCGCTCGAAATACTCCCCGATACTGAGAAGTACGGCAGAGCATAGCCATTGTAGTAAGCTCATCTCCCCTTACCTCTTGTCTCGCCTATTTCGATATTTATTGTGCGTATAATCGTACCAGGGACCGAAGAACAACTGATAATGCATCTGTCTCTGATTGGCCTGCGCATGACATCATTAATTTTGCCGTTACTTGGGCTGCAATATTTATCTAGGGAGAGTCCCTGAAGCCCATCAGGTACTGCATAATCTGGAAAGCCGCCTATGGAAGAAGTCGCAAGCGAGTCAGTCAGTCATATCAAGCCATCCCAGGCTACGCATTGATACACTCACCACTGGCGAGAATTGTGGCACCCTGCCAAAATCGTCAGCCTAGGAATAAAACCTATAGGTGGGTGCTATAGCTCACATGTGTCCACTGAGAATGACCTCGAAGTACGTCAGACCGCGCTCGGAGTGCATCTGGCCGAACGCGCCGACGCCGTCCACGATGAAGGTGTCGTTCTCGATCGGCGTCTGGAAGCCTTGCAGGCCGTTCCCTGAGAACACGAGGGTTAGATGCGGTGAATCGTTGAAAACGAAAGAGGTGGCATACATGTCATGCTACACAGTGCAAGGTGGGCGGTGTATACGTCAGTCGGAGAGCCAAGTAGCCTACAGAAACGGGAAAATACTACTTACTTCTGAATGACGATCCGCGTTCTGCGAGCGAACACACGTCAGCACTCAACAGTCCATCCACCCGCCAGCCTCGTGGCCTGGTTGAGAAACAATAACTCACCCCTCGGCAATCAGAATAAAGTCCGCCAACCCATGCACGATCACGCTCCGCTGGCTCTTCTCGATCACGTTCGGGAGGACCGTGAACGCGGGCGGGAGGCTGCCGTCGCCGTCGGGGAACACGTTCACGTTCGAGCACTCGGCCCACGTCACGTTCGGCGGCGCGTGGATGGCCGCTTTGACGTCGGGCCTGTTGAAGTAGATGGGGGATTGCTGTTGTGGGAAGGAGCCGCTGTTTGTGCGAGAAGGTTACGTGTGTAGGTTAGGAGGGAAACGGGCGAAGGAGAGGGGATGTAAGGGCTTACGGGAACCCGAGGACGTCCCATAGGATGGGGTACTGCACGCCGCGCCTAATCAGCTCCCGAGTCCATATATCACAATATGAGAGAAGAGCGCTCACCGTGTCCCATATACGATAAATATCAAACGCCGGATTCGTGATCAACGCATTGTTGAAGATGTCGTCCCACACATCGCATCCTGGGTCTGCCTCTACCGATGTGCCTGGGAGCGGCAGGGGGCCCCGCGGGTGGGTATGTGACGTATTTTTCGACGTAGCCAGCGTAGTTGCACTGCTCGGCTTTGGCATTGAGGGAGGCCGCGTAGGTTTCGCTGTGCGCGGAAGGCTGTGTCAGGAAGGAGGGAAGAGCAAGGGGGAGGGGGAGGGGAGAGGAGAGGACGCACTTGAATGAGAAGAGGCCTGCGTAGCGGTTGACGAAGTCGACTGCTGGGATTTGTTCCTGGACGACATCCCAGGACAGCGATGCTGTTGTGATGATGTAGTTAGCGAACGGAACCATCACATATGAACTTCGGGAACACGCACGATCGCTGACCCATATCCCTTGCAGAGACAAGTCGAGCAGGTCCGGGTTCTCATAGATGTAGTTCGCGATATCTTCGTATATCTGTCAGACCACCGAACCTATCCCTAATAAAGTCTCGCAAGAACACTCACAAGGCACATACGTCCCCGCGTACTACGTTCATCAGCCCCACATCCCCCATCCTCAAGGAAGACCCAAGGGAACACTCACACTCTCCCCAGTCAAATACAGCTTCTTCCCCTTCAGCTCGCCGAACACCTCCAGGAACTGCTGCATAAAGCCCACGAGCTGTGCCGCGAGCTCGTCCTCGTTCTTGATGTTCGGCGTGCCCTGCGAGAAGCCGGTGCCGACGGGCTGCTCGACCCAGAGCACGCTCGAGAGGTTCGTCCAGCTGTGCTCGTTCGGCGTTGCGTGTGCTTGGCCCCAGGACCAGGTGAGGGGCTGTGTGATGTGTGGGCGGGGCGGGCCGGGGTGGGGTTAGCGAGTGGATAGGAGGAAGGGAGGGGAGGAGGGGAGGGGAGGGGAAAGTACGTACACCGTTCTCCTGCAGCACGCCCTCGAGCGATGAACACCCCGGTCCGCCGTTCGTCCAGAAGATGATGTCGTCGAGGCTGCCTTCGGGTCCGGGCGGGAAGAACCAGAAGTAGAGCTGCATTCAGACGTGCCAGTAAGCACGGAGTCAGCAGGGCACATAGTGGAAGACACGGTAGCGACGCACCTGACGCGTCTCGTCCGTCTCATTGCTAATAGGCAACAACCCCGCCCAGCTCGGACCCAAGTCGAAGTCCACAAGCGGGAGCGTCGCGCCGTCGACGTAGAAGTCTGCATCCACATGTCGTCCCCTTCAACATGTGATACAGCGAAGAAGAGGTAGGAAACGCACCAGACGCCCGCGGATTCGTAAACGTGATGTTCTTCACCCCCGACGCTGTCCCGTTCGCCGCAGCGCGCGCACTTCGCGCATTGGCTTCGAATTGTCTCGCTGCATCTGCCTGGCGTGCGCGGACCTCGTCGGGGCGCAGCGTGCGCGCGCTTGTACCTGTCGCGGAGAGCGCACCAAGGATTGCTGCAGAGAGCAGCGTCGACACTGTAAGACGCATCTCTGTCGACCGCTGGATGCTAGCTTGGAGGTAGGAAGAGAGGGAGCGTTGCTGATCTGCAGCGATGTAGGACTGAGACGAAGGTTACGAGGCCCTCAGAGGGATAGGTCGAGGAGGAAAGCGAGCCTCCACGAGCATGGGAGCGTTCTTATGGAGGATCTGATTTGCAGCCCACCCAACTAAAGCCCGGATGCAGGCGCTCATGCGGGCGTGTGCTAGGATAGTCCAGATGGCCCGTACTTTGTCAAGGTGAGCATGTGGAGAGGCTTCGCGTACCAGCGCGGGCGCTTCTATTCTTACGGGAGGGCCTGAGAGGGACCACATGGGGTGTGCAGGGTTTGGCGTGATAAGGAGGGCGCCGGTGGGACTTGTGTCCTGGTGTTGGCGTATAGGAGACGGAGATAAGAACGGAGTGGGGACGCGAACAAGATGGCAAGAGGTGGGTCTGCGCGCGATCAGATGATGGTAATATTGCCATGTCGTGCATGACTTGTGAGGTCTCGGGCCGCCAGTATGCGGTGCGATCAGACAAGGCAAAATGCAACGACGGTTAACGTTAAACGCAGCGATCCATGAATAAATAAAATACAAGTTTACTATTATGATCACCAGCAGAGACTTTATCGTGTCTATAGCGGGGTGTGCCAGCCCTCTATCCAAAATGCAATCCCCAAGGTCACAGTACTTGACCTACGTGTAGCCAAACAGTAGAATGTCGGTGCTCTCAGAGTCATGTCCAGCCAACAGGCCTCATTTGTCCTTCGAAGATACGGAGGGTATGACGCAACTCCGGACAAAGTACTCGTGGAACCGGTTGTCCTTTGTGAGCTCGGGGTGAAACGTCGTGAGCATGTGCTTGCCCTGGCGAATCGCAACGACGGTACGCGTATCTCGCGGGTCGGTGTCGTCCTCATCGGGGGACACGAGCGTCTGGCCCTTGGGGAGCACGCTTGCCGGGAGGCGGGCGAGGATCTCCATTGGGGCGTCATCGGGTTTGGGGTTCATGCTGAGCACGACCTGTTCCCAGAAGGTCGTGTTGGGGCTTAGAATACAGACGAGACAAGATGGGAACGCACCGGTGCCCGGATGAACACGCCGGTGAAGGACTGCTCTGCGTCCCGGAGGCCGTCAACGTAGAGCAGCGCTTCGAACGACTCGACCTGGGATCCCCATCCGTTGCGCGCGACAGTGACGGACATGCCGCCGATGAGCTCCTGCCCGCCCTTCTTGGTGTTCTCGACCGCCTGCGCGAGGAGGATAGCACCGGCGCAGGTTCCCCAGATGGGCTTTTGCTTGAGGAACAGTCTCAGAGGTTCGAGGAGACCAGCGAGACGTGCGAGGAGAGCTATGGTTGTCGACTCTGCCAGAAAGATGGTAAGTTAACATGGGAATGGCCAGGATGTCGAATGTGACTCGCCTCCGCCGGGAATGATGAGGCCATCACATCTATCAAGGTCCTCTGGGGTGCGGACGAGGACGACAGAGACTTTGCGGGGAATCGGCAGCTTCTGGAGAGCGACCTGGTGCTCCGCAAATGCCCCTTGCAGTGCTGTCGCCAAGCGAGTGAGCACGTCACCATCCCCAGTCCATGACCGAGCCAAACGTACCGAGGATGCCGACAGCGATATCCTGCTTTTCCTGTGCCCTGACCATTTTTGATCCTCTTAGAGTCTAACGGGCAGTGTTGGTGGGGGGAGAGAGGGCAGGACGTGGGCGTCGTCTTGAACGATGAGCAGCGAATCCCATTCTTTTGCAATTTTACAAATTTCGCTGGTGCCGGGCATCGATGGGCTGCTCCGAGTCCGAGTCCGAGCCGGCCCTGTCATCCGTTCCGTCCCTCGGCCCTTGCCGTCCGTGTGGGAAGGCGTGGGATCTGCTGACATCATACGCACCCACACCCCAGCTGAGCACCCTCCCGCCGCCACGCGCTTTTTTCGTCTCCTTCCCTCGTCCTCTCGTCCTCTCCCTCTGCCCCTCTCACGTTAACATGGCCTCCGAACTCGACGCTGATCTCTATGGCGGTGCGCACTTAGTATTCTGGGTCTGATCTTGGCTGTGCTCACGAGTGTTGATACAGACCTTTACGGCAACGACGAAACGGATGTAGCCCCGGCCCAGGACTCACAAGACTACGTAAAAGAAGAAGACTCAACATCCGCAGAACATCTTCCTGAGCCCTCACCAAAACCCATCGCGAGTGCCGTTCCCGCGTCGGCACCCATTAAGCAGCAGTCTCCTGCACCCGCGCCCATCCCCTCATTCACCTCTCAACCGCAACAGCAACACCAGCCGCAAGACCAGTACATGCATGACCAGGGTGCCGATACAAACGGTGACTTCCAGCAGTACCAGGAGATCCCGACGTACTCGTCACAGCCGCAGAGCATACCGACGTATCAGCAGGAGGACGACGGGAGCGATCTCGCCAATGGCTACAACCGCCAGCGCATGCCCGAACGCAGCGTGCGACCCTCGGAGATGAAAGACGAAGGGTAAGCCACTCGTTTCCGCCCCCCCTTTGCTGACTCCAGGTGGATACTCGTGCCCTTGCTGCTTGGTGGATCGCGTGCAATGATGCCTTCGCCTCTCGGGGCCCGACGCCCTGGTCGGCCTGACGCGTGGTCCTGTGGCTATGTGGAACGGGATGCGTCTGCTGTAGTCGGTCGTCGTCGTCGCCTAGCACTACTCAGCTACCCTATCAAGTAGGAGTATGCTAGTTCCTACCACCACGTATCAGCGTCGTAACACCTTCTAGGCTAGGCTAGGCTAGCACCGCTCCCAAGAGCGCCGTAGCGTCCACGTCGTCTCTCCTTTGCTTGCTGTCTGTCAAACCAGATGTCTCTACAGAAACTAATACCATCTCTGCTCTCTTTCTATATCACGTCGCGTCCCTGTCCCGTCTCGTCCCCCGTGAACCTCGCACCGTCTACGTGATCGCCATCACTCTCTAATCTCCGACCCTCAAATCCAAACCCAAACAATCTCCGCCGTACGCTCGGATCCGATGCGCTATCTATAGCAAGATGTTCATAGGCGGTCTCAACTGGGATACAACAGATGGTACCGTACACCTTAGGTCGTCGTCGTACGCGCTTGTATCGCTAAATAGTCCTTCCCTCCCCATGCCACCCTTTTTGTTTTCCCCCGCTTTATAGACTCGCTCCGGGACTACTTCACCCAGTTCGGTAAGGTAGACGCGTGCACGATCATGCGCGACGCTGCGGGGCGCTCGCGCTGCTTTGCGTTCCTCACGTTCGACGATCCCGCGAGCGTGAACGCTGTTATGGTCCGCGAGCACTTTTTGGATGGCAAAATCGTGCGTCGTGCCTGCTTTTTGTCGCTGGTCTGCTTGCTAAGCGTGTCTTCTGCTCATTTTACCTCGGCGATGCTGTGCCGTGCTACGCCTCCCCGTGCTATGCCACGCCACGCGACGGCAGATCGACCCCAAGCGCGCAATTCCGCGGCAGGAGCACCAGCGCGCGACGAAGCTGTTCATTGGCGGGCTGCCTGGCAGCGTCACGTCCGAGTCGATGCGCGAGTTCTTCTCGCAGTTCGGGAAAGTCATCGACTCGACGGTCATGCTCGACCGCGAGACGGGGCGCTCCAAGGGGTTCGGGTTCATTTCGTTCGAGGATACGGATGTGCAGCCGTTCCTTGGGTTTGGGAAGTTGGAGATTGACGGGAAGCTGGTGCGTTCCGCTTTTGGTCTATCTTTGCTGGGTTGTGGGTGGTGACACCGGATGCGCGCAGATCGACGTGAAGCTCGCGCAGCCCCGCTATCAGCGCGATAACTACGGCGGCGACGGCACTGGCGGCACCACACCCACTGGTGGCAACGCTGGCGGCGCTTACGGCACAAACCCCACCGCTGCTGCTGGCGCTGCCGGTGGCTTCGGCCGCGGTGCCGGTGCTGCTGGGCCCATGGCCAACATGGGCGCTGCGGGCGCAGGCGCGATGGGCGCGATGGGCGCGGGTGGAGGTGCACAGGGCAACACGCCGTTCGATCCGCAGGCGCTCGCGGCTTTGTACACGCGCATGTTCCAGATGGCGAGCGCGGGTGCGGGCGGGATGGGGATGATGGGTGGTGCCGGGATGCCTGGTGCGGGCGGGATGGGCGGGATGGGCGGAATGCCTGGTGGGATGGGCGGCATGCCTGGTATGGGAGGTGGGATGGGTGGGATGGGAGGAGGTATGGGCGGCGGCGGTGGTGGCATGGGACGGGGTGGAGGGGGCATGGGGAGAGGGACGCCGCCGACGGGGCCGCAGGGCGGTGGGCCGGGTCCGAATGTTCCTAGGGGGCCGAGAGGCGCGCAGGGTGGACATGGAGGACCGGGTGGGCCAGGTGTGGGCCCACAGAGGACGGCGCAGAGAGGGCATGGGTATCATCCGTATGCGCGGTGAGGTCTGCGGGCGTGCTTCTTAAAGTGTGGTAGTAAATTATGGTGCGGACGTCGTAATGTGTACGAAGATGTGCATGTTCGTTCTTCTCTCTAAAAGCTGTTTGCTTTTCTCTTGTTACGATGGTGTTTTACGTACAGTACAATTAGCCTATTACTTGGCCCGATGAAGTCTGACAATGCACTCCTCTCACTGCCTTCAGGTTCTTTCCTCGATGACAGCGATCGTGCTGAGAGTGGCGGCAACCATGACCTGCCGTCAAGTTTCAACATGCGATGCTTGCGCATGGTCACGATTATGAATTGGAGAAAATGACCGGCTAGGTCGATGGGACTATATGTAAGGTCGGGTCTACACCTTAAACTCTCATTGTTTATCCGCAGCGTACTGACAATTCCGTGCGCCAGCAACTTATTTTATCGTCGTAACTTGTACCTTGTATTCTGAAGGTGGTTACCCACCACAGGAAGTGAGCAGATCTTGGTTCAGGAGCAAGGTCCTGGTGGCGATTCTCAGGACCTCAAACTTAGAGCTTTGCTGCACATGCACTCGACTCTTCTATGGCCAGCTGCAGGTGGGCAGTGTCATGAAGCAGGTCGGAACATCTAGTAGCTGTACTAGCATCAAAGCCGGTGGGGGCTACGACATGTGTTCGTACGAGTTTGAAAGGTATGAAGGGTAGACCACCGAAGTGGGAGAACTGAACACCAACCGATTGATTGGGAATAATTACGAACTTGCATGTTCTTGACTATTCGAAAGCCTGTCCTCGGCGTAAACGTGTCATGGACATACTGCATGTGGGAGTCTTGATGCGATCTTTACTCATGTAGTATGCACAAGACAAATGACAAAAATCATATGGTTTCTCTGTATTTACTTTCTGCGCATTTCAAAGCTCGATTTATGACCTCCGTAGGTAAACCACACGCCAAATCCAATGAAACCACAAGCTGTTAAGTGTCTACACAGTGAGAATGTGATACTATTTGCTTGAAATTCGACTCCATCTTGTATGTATTGATATACCGAGACATTTGATCTAGATGGCATAAATCTCGTCGGGGCTTGCGGCGTTGTAAGAGAACGTAATGCAGGTACTGGAGGGACAAGCCGTATCAATTCCATTCTGGTCGAGGTTTGAACCTGCAGGGAAATGAGAAATCACGACCACATATGATGTGTGAAAATACCTTTCAAATCTGCTTCTACGTTTGAAAAGGCGTGAGCTGAGCTGCATTACAGAGTTCAAGGGGCAACCATACCTATAGGCGCACCATATGCAGACGTAGCGATGGTGATGAAGGCGAATACAAAGACAGCTATGCGCATGTTGATGGTTCAAGCTCGAAATGCAGCTAGGGATGATGTTTGTTGTACCTCATTCTTGCTGGTTTTTATATCTTTGGCTGAGGCCTGAAAGCCTGACGCCTGACGCCTGAGGACCGGAAGAAGCCGTATGAATAAATCACGTTCGGCGGCGGCGATGTCTTTTCCTCGCCCCATCTGGAATGATAGGTTACAAATGTGTTAATCAAGCTAAAGGCGTTGAATGAAGTGATGAGCGGAAGTCATTGGCCCTAGTTGTTTGAAATTCTCAGTATAGTAAGAGGATGCCAACGTAGAAGAAGTCATGCCGGACCATCGCACATTACTAGATAGGCCATTAATCCCAGTGGAAACGTGCTGTGCTCGAATCGGTGGGAATCCGGGCGGATTGGTGAATTGGAGCATAGTAGGGCACATCTTTGATTTCTCATCAATAAAAGATGGGCACATTGGTGAAAGCCAGTGCATGTGACCTTGACGCGATCATAATACCAAGGGGTTCGGCGCATATGGCAGTCAGGCAACTAGATACGGGCCCGAACTTCCCGGTGTTGCTTCATCGATCGTCTTTTTCATGGATGGAATATTCCCAGAGGCGGTCCGGGGGAAAGGAAGTATTGCCGTGTTTGCTTTGTGAAATGCTAAGTCTTTATATGTCCTGAAATCGACATAAATCATCGTGTAAGAGTCCTGATTGGCTCGGACAGTGAATTTATATGTGATATCATTCTGCGTTTGTCCACTGAATAGACAGTTGCAATGCCCTCGTAAAACTACATTCCAGTAGACGCGTATTTTCAAAGTAGCTGTTGCTTGTCGTAACAAGCTTCTCTGAAAACAGTCCGGAAACTCTGTAGTTTTGATCCCCGCTTGTTACAGCCTTGCGCGAGGACGCGTACTTCGCTCTCCCTTCCTCTTACCACCACCACTCTCTTCCCCACCCCGAACGCCACCTGTACGCACTTGGTTACGTGCACTACAACATTCTACTGGTTGCCACAACATGACTCTTCCACGTTCACTACACCGGTCAGCCCCTCTAATTTGCATCACTCGAGATTACTTCTGATCGTCGAGTTCACGAGTAGGAAGGGATCGGGCATTCAGGTGAGCCGATTCCTGCAATACAGTTTACCTTATCTTTGCTCAACGACTGCACAAAGCTTGTCCTCTATGTGGTACGTACTCGCTACCTCTATCATCGCACATCATAATTGATTTCATCAACAGGCTCGCGATCGGGCGTATCCAGCTAATACCACTGCTTATTATTTGTAAAGATAGCCAGTATTTATATTTAGTAGCCTTTAATACATAATATCAAGCTGCTTTGGAATTTTCGCCATGGATGGAATAAACCAGATTGAGTCGTATTCAATTATGGCAATTAGTTATTTAAATTGAGTTCACGTATTCGTGAATGCGTGCACCGATATGAACCGACGTGCCCGGATCCGAGCCAATGGGCGTCATGAATTGGCACCAAAAAATCGGTGAACACTCCAGCCATCGGTTCGCATTGGTGTGTATCAGTGCATCAAAGAAGCACCACGGGATATGCTTCGATTCACCAATCCGCCCGGATTCCCACCCATCTGAGCACAGCATGTTTCCACTGGGCATTAATTGTGATGCAGAGCAATGCACCTGACCCAGCCAGACGCAAAGATCACATTTTGTTTTCACATGATTGGCAGAGATTTTGGATAGGGTATATGCGAAGGTGTGCATTCGTACATGAGCGGGCATGATCAATGATCTTGATGAGCCCCAGCTCTTGTATATTACTATCAAGCTCTCGCACCCATTGGCGCTGAGGCAATACAAGAAATCAGCGGTCTTTTCCGAGTTGGTCCCCGCTAAGCACCAAAGCTATCAGCATATGGGTGTATTTTTACAGCTCAAAATATCTCGAACCCGCTTCAAGTGCGTAAGCAAGGGAACAGAAAGTTACACGGTCGACTGAATAATCAGCTCGTCAAGGTAAACGTAGGGTAGATCTTTCATCATGGAAATTTTCAGAAATAGCCAAGGATCGGTCGATTCCTTGGATTTTAAACGGTAAAGACGTCAACATGTGCGACGGATTTTGCAAAATAAGGAGACTTGGTTTATGAGGGGCGCCGAGGACATGCCAGACGTGCCAGACACTCTGCTATAAGGCCGCGCTTAGTGCAGAGGCTTATAAGTCATAAACACTTTGGGAGCAACCTTCAAATCTCATCTGTCCTAATTTGATGAACCCGATCCCGGTAATCGACTACATTTTGAGTTGATAACTACAGACAACGCGGGAAAATTAAACTCGTATGGAGCCAAGCATGTGGGAAGAATTGTTGTTACATTACACCAGTGAGAAAAGATATAATACTTAGCGCTCGTGATCAAGTATACTAAGTTCACCGTGTTTAATCAACCACGCCACAGTACGGAACTGCCAATACACTTCCTAAATAATTCTCTTGCTGATCTGTTCCGTCGACTACCCACGGTACAGCTCCAACTCATCAGTTCCGCTGGCAGGTAGCTTCTGCCCTTCGTCTGTAACGATAGATATGTCTGGCCAGGATTTGAAGTGTGATCGCCGCTATCACTGAACGTTCTAAGTTCCCAGTGTTCCTGATACCATAACCATCCGATATCCCACTCGTAACTTGTGCTCCCATGTGCGGGTTTAAGAGTGAAGATAAGAAAGGCGTATCTCGCTTCTATATCATCAGCGAGGAACTTGTCTCACAGGACTCGATCTTTGCTCTACGCCGCCGAAAATGGTTCATTCCTGTCATGAGGTGCTGATGAAGCGGAGTGCTACCTATCGGCGCGTCACTACACCCGTGCTGACAAGGAAAATATAGCATGTAAACCCGGAAAGGCATGTAAGGAATGTTGTGAGGTCTGGAGGTTCGAAGGAACTACCCCTGCGAACTCGGAGTAAACATGTAAGGGAAGAATGCACAAGCACTCGATACAGAGGGTGGCGCACGGATGCCGCGGAGCTTTGACGTTGAACCGTTTATAGCCGGTTGAAAGCGGCGTTATGAGTCTGAGCTCACAACATGGGTACTTTTTATCACAGCTAAGTATTTCAAACGCGGATCTCATGCGTTTACTGTACTTCGACCAGTGTTGAGCAGCGGAGAGAACGTCACCGGCAAACATCGATGAAAGATTCTGACTTGAAACCTGCCAATTCGTCTAGGAAACGAACGAGAATGAGTTAATGCCTTGATTTTGGACGAAGAAGTACTATATAGCAAGTGGCTATTGATCATTTATACGCGGATATCTAAACATTCTCAATGGGCATAGGCCGCATCCGGATCTTCTTTGTTCAATCCAAAGAGAATACAGTTTTCAGTCAAATCGCCACATCCACGCTTTGGTTTCACGCCTAATGATTCGTCAGCGACTAGAACTCCCGAACGTATTTAGTCAAGTTGAAATTATAGTACCTCCTACTCTGTCAAGACGGCTGTCTGAATAATGGCATTAGCTAGAGTTTTGAGGGTGCCATATAGGAAGCATTACCTGTGGGTAGCCCATATGCAAACATTGCCATCGCCATGAAGACAACTTTGATGAGTGTAGCCCGCATGAGTTTGGAGGGAGTGAAGTTGACGATATCGACGTGTGCAAGTTTCAACTTCTTATAACTTTCCGTCCTTGGCTATGCACGCGGAGCCTGGAGACTACTGTCAACTTCTTGAAACATAAGGTACCAGTGCCTGTAGTAAACATAGCTTGGTTGACGGTGCCATAGTACTGGTATGTTCCGCGGAGTGTATACATTAGTTTACTTCTGACTGATTTGACTCTACCCATTCCCACAGCTGTTCACAATCTTTGCAGACGCGAGGTAGCCCTGTTCCTGATGCACCCACTATCTCTTTCCCGTTCAGCGGAATGACCCCACTACCCGGCTCCAACCCAATATCTGCATTGCACTGGATCGCCTGACGTAGATAGTTCAGGCAAGTTTCAACCAGCGGTCGGTTAGGCGGAGAACACCCTTCACTGGCGGCGATAAGGGACTGCCGTAGGGTGTTGAGGCACTGATGTTGATGATACAGCGAGATTTGATATACTTGTAAGCTGGAGTTTGTCACAATAAACCTTTCTCGAGCGGATACGAGACTATCCCACCCGGAGTCGGAGTACAGCCCATACTCTTGTTTTCCGTCGTCTCTCCAGATCTTGAACTTGATCTCGGGCATTATCATATTGGACGCTATAACACGTTACCACGGTACATTACAGCAAGAAGCGACTCATATGGGACTTACGCTTGTGTGACACGGAGAGATAGGCACCCTGAAGGGCCAGCATATTGACGCATGTGAGAACAAAAAAGGATGAAGATAGAGCAAACAAGGCAGCGCGAAAAGTCATTGTATCTGAGGCAAAACCGCACCGCCGTCGAGTGAGGGAAACTTGAGTGCCAAGGATCTGGTGTGCATATTCCGACTACGATGCAGTATATAAGCTAATTTGATGTTGAGTAGTCGGTACCAGTGGTGACATTCCTAATACGGTAGGCAAGAAGCTAAATACACGCTTTCATACATTTAATCAGTAGGCGGAAATATCTTTTTTTCGTCACGGTTGCTTTCAACGAATCGGCGGACTTGGTTCCAGTCACAACATCTATGAGTAACCCCAACACCCGCTAACGCCCACGCGGGAACGGCCGAGGGATTCTGCTCGAGACCATCATCCACAATAGGCTCTAGGGTTGAGTCAGCCGTGCAGAGTAAGAGCTGAGCAATATAATCGAAACAGTGCTTGGAGTGTTTCATTGCCATGTCGAGTTTGTCGCGAGAGCCGTTGGTGCAAGTGTACGTGTCTGCCTCCAAGATAGCGCGACGGACTGTGTCGAGGCAATGAAGGGAATGGTACATCGAGACGGCGAATGGAAAATTATCTTCTCCAAGATGAACAAAACCAGCGGTTCTATCTGGCACGAGCGATTGCCATTGAAATACTGATTCGAGTCCGTACTCTGAATTGATTCCCTCGAACTCATAGGCAACGTGCCGGAGAGTGAGTGGAAGCTCATAGAGTCTATTGTCACGGAGATGCTCTGTTGTAAAGCTCAGTATATGTGTCTCCCTATGGGTTCTGAGATCTGAGGAGCTACCTTCGTATCCGTACTCCGCGCCGAAAGTCGTCCTCAACTCGGAAAAACAGGAAAAGACGTTAACCACATTTACGAAGGTCAGTGCAGCTATTGCACCTGTCCCAAGTATCGTGAGTGAACGAGACTGGGGCCATAGGTCCGACATTGGTTTGGGCTACGGTGAGGAGAGAATATCTAAGAGTAATTGATGGTATGTAGTAGGGGGTTCAAATATCCGGTGAAGAAAAGTGGCAAGAAATAGAATCTTGGGCACGCATGGTTTGCACGAGAATCCTGATGCAGCGACTATGAGCAAGGGAAAGTTCCGTGATCTTGAGCCAGAATTCTTCCGTAGACCGTATTTAGCTAAAAGGCCGCTACCGGATCTCGCTTTTGTGTTGATGACTTGCAAACATGCTCGCATCAGACTTGGGTCCGGGATACCTCTAGGCATATGATCGTTTTGGACTGGTCGCGGCCCGTGCTTGTTTGATTCGAAGCTTTATGTATTGTGCAGGTACGGCTAGACTTGTCACCATCTGCCGCCGTAGGTCAGCCTTGGTACCGCACCTCCAAAAACACAAAGTGGTACTCGAGACTCATAAAAACTGTGTTTGATGTAGGTCAAACACATTAATCTGCCCATAGGGATTGAATAAGCTAACGGATGGCTGCAGATGGACCATCAGCATGGATATATGCAAGTCAGTGTCAACGACAAAGATGAAGAAGAGAATAGTGATTTACCACACCATCGTGAGGTGTACAAGTCCAGGTGTACTATTGCAATCGCTTGGGTCGTAGTTGGCGTTCTATGGTTGAATGTGGTCCTTCTTTCCTTCTCTCTTCACGCTCAACGCAGAGTTGACACTCTGGGATGGCACAAGGGCACGGACATACTCCCTCGTCTCACCATGTAGTCTTACCTACTTTAGTTCTACTCAAGTACCCAGTGCATCACAGTCAAGATGTTTGCGTCTGCACTGTTTTTGGTGCGCGACTCCGTTAATGAAGAGTGTTTGAATCCGATGGGCTACCAATTATGGCCCCTTGTTCTCCAGGTGTGACTTCAGCTATCTTATCTCCGAATCACCGTTCACAAAGGAGAAATTTTCAGCTTACCATCCAAAAGTCTCGGTTTGGGGACCTTCCAGCACCTACAGAGCGTGTACGTATAAGTCCCACACGTCCTAGGCGTTGGCTCAAACGATCTGTACCTGGGACCTGACTTCCTCATGTACATCAGAATCAGAAAAGTAGGCGGGGAGGTTGAACACCCAGACTTCAGCTTGAATCGATGTTTCAAGCTCTGATCTGGATAGAAATGACGTCCAAAGGAGGCGCGTGCCAAGTGATTGTCGCTGCAGGTCTATTGTTAGATTTGAAGACTCCCGAGATAAGCTACTACGGGTTGTATTACTTACTCAGTGTGCGCCAACACGCGGACACGCGCAAGGAAGATTTGATCGCCGTTTGCTTCCATTATTTATATCCTGCCCTCAGCCACAAAGATGGTGAAAGTGACCCGCATGACGAGATGCAAGAGATTATTTAAGACTGCACTGCCACATGCACGTACCTGACATTGTGTCAAAATTCGGCTACGCTTCGTTGGAGACGTATTTCCAGTAGATCAAATCCAGCCGCGTTCTGAACCTTCTCAGCTTCGTTCACAATCAGCATGTGCTACAAATTTCCCAGGGCGTGTGTTTCTTCGAGACAGAATCATATCTCCCGGAACACTACCCTACCCTATAGGTTCTCATACCTCAGAGTCGCGTATATCAGGCACTCCTAACACAGGAAACGCTGAAGTCTTAAATGTTGATTCTTTCAGTCATCCGCAACACCATCCCCTCCTACCTTCGTTCCAAATCTTCAACTCCCCCAATGAGTATTGTCTACACACCCCAAAGCGTCTCCCCGGGTACCCTCACCCTCGAACAGCTCGACGGCCTAGCCATCGAGTATGTCCGCATCCAGTGGACTGATATTGCCAATACGACCCGCTGCCGCGTGGTCGCCATCGCTCACTTCAAGAAACTCCTCAAGACGGAGCGCCCCGGTGTGACGATGGTTAGCGGGACGCCCCTTGCCATAGTCAACTTCCTCCCCCCTGGCCACTACCCTGTCGGCGAACAGTTGCTCGCAATGGACCTCAGCACACTGCGCCCGTTACCATTCGCTCCAGGCCAGGCTGTCGTTCACGGTTTTTTCCAGGAACGAGTACCAGTCAAGGTTGACGGTAGTCTCAGCATCGAGGTGCCGTACTGCCCACGGACCGTGCTGAGCAACATCACTAAGTACGTCCGCATTTGGAAATCGTTCGTACACGGCTGATTGGGCGCGGCACAGGAAAGCCGAGGAGAAGCTTGGAGTTGAGTTTCTCGTCGGGTTCGAGTCTGAATTCACCCTCCTCGAGTCTACCAAGCCCGTTAAAGCAGTGAGCGACGGCGCCTGGTCGTATGCGAGCTCCTTCAACGCTGGTACAGCTGGACAGAAGGTCTTAGACGAAATTGCGAAGCAGATCCGCGCATCTGGCATCGAGCTCCTAATTTACCATTCCGAAGGTGGCCCTGGTCAGGTACGTCCGCAACAAGGTCGACTTATGCTCACATTTATCACCTCCAATTCGCAGTACGAAGTTGTCACAGGACCTTTGCCTCCGCTCGAGGCTGCCGATGCCCTCATCCAAACGCGTCAGATCATCTACAATGCCGCAAGCAAGCACGAGCTGCGTGCAACCTTCGCCCCACGTGTTTACTCCGATAACTGTGAGCCGTAGCGTTCTTGCACCGTCATTAGGACGCTTACGTTGCTCCAGGTGGTACTGCATGCCACGCTCACCTCTCCGTGCATAAACCCGGCGCCACTCAGCCGATTTCGTCTACCTCACCTCACCTCAACGCACTCGAGTCTTCTTTCCTCGCCGGATTACTGAACCATCTTCCGGCTGTGACTGCGTTTACCCTCCCCCAGCCTGCGTCGTACTCGCGCGTCGTTGATGGCATCTGGAGCGGGGGCACCTGGGTGTCATGGGGCATCGATAACAAGGAAGTTCCCGTCCGGCTGTGTAACTACGCGTTCCCCGCATCGCGCAACTTTGAGGTCAAGTGTATCGATGGCCTTGCAAATCCGTATTTGGCGCTCTCCGCCGTCCTCGGGGCGGGTCTGACGGGAGTAAACAAAGGAGCGGACCTCCACGTGCGTGACTGCTCGGTGGATAGGGCACCGGGGCAGCTCAACGAAAAGGAACGGGCCGAGCTGGGCATCGTCGACCGCATGGCACTGAGCTGGGAAGATGCGATTGCTAAGCTCGAAGCAGATGACGAGCTCATCGATGCCATCGGCCGCAAGTCGGTCGACGCGTATCTTGCTGTCAACAAGGTATTTCCTTTTTCGCTGTAAGCTCCCTTCTGAGCTAACGTGCATCGCTGCAGTTTTTGTCTTCTTTCATGGTAGCTGGATCTGAGGAGGATGTTACCACCCGCCTTGTTGAAAGCTACTAACATGCATATCCAACTTTTAACTTATCGATGTACTAAGTAGCGGTATTTCCAAACTTTCGTTTTTGTATCATATCGGAATAGAACCAAATCAAATAGCCTTTATTGCAGCCATCCACAACCGTCAGAAGTAAATCAATCTCAATATATGTTTTTTTTTTCAACATCGGGATGTGTTTTCTACTTCAACTTTTGTATGCTCTTAGCTGTATGATATTCACTATGTTGCTTTTGCGATTCCATTAGTTGGAAGTTGCACCAAAGCTCACCGCCATAATTTTTGCCTAAGACCGCGTTGCTGGAACTCAAATATCAAGTTCACGATAACATCTTAAGGCCTTAGGAAGGATATACCAACCATTAATATCGAAGTCACTAACCGCTTGTTCATCCAGTCTAACATCTGATTAATATATTGGCAACGTAGCATTACAGGGACAAGCGCGCCTTCACTATCAGAAATGGATATAACTTGGGGTAGCGTGCCTAAGACGAGTATGAATTTGTTTGACTCTCCTTCGGTAGGCCGTCATGAACAGGAAACGAATGCTTTGGATATGCCGCCCGGACCATCCGGGACGTGCACCAAAGTTTGTGGCCCGTAGTGTTCTCCACCTTCGAAGCTCAAATAGCTCTTATTTCCGATCAACCTTCCGATCTTTTTGGAGACCATTTCACTTGTCCACATTGCGTGGCTCTCCGCCATCTCGTTGTGTACTTCTGACGGAGCTTTCCGCTTCTCTGTGTAGGTATTACATATCAAAATGACGCCCGTACAGAACCCGCCTTTTGGACGTGTGCATATGATCCGGCAGAGCGCAGAAGCATTGTCCTGAAATTCGGTTCGTGCTTGGTTAGTCAAAGAGGATGATGTGTCTCCCGTACCCTGGCCAGTAGTGATCCCCGCAGGAACCCTTTCAGCAATACCGGTAAATGCCGTGGATGATAAGCGAGCTCGTTTCTGACCGCTCTTTCTAAAAATATAAGCACCGCGCAGTCAGAGCACAATGAGTTTCTCAACAACAATTCGCGTACCTTGTTGGGAACTAAATGAGCCACAACCACGGTTCCCCGGAATCCAATGGGAGCCGTGTACTAGTCACCCTGATTGAGTGGCTGCCGATCTGAATATGGGTCGGATCTGAGAGATAGTGTCAGAAACCGCAGAATTACACAGAAGGGCGGGCACTCTGCTTATGCATGAGTTGTTCATTTGGGGCATTATTCATATTTTGAAGTCTTCCATAGTTATTGATACGACTTCACGGGCGGCAATATCCTTTATGAAGCACGGGTACCTGAAGATGGTCCTAGCCGTGGTGTCTACCGCATAGTTCCATGGAAGGGGAATCGGTGGTCAAACAAACCTAGTAGTGGTTCAGCGTATGGACACATCTTATCTATGTTCCAGTACCCCAAAGATCACTGGGGGTTTACGTCTCTTTTTGGTCTGCGCGAAGACGCGGTCACAATCACTAATGTCTTCAAGTTTTGTAGGAACTCCCAACCGTTGAGTATAGATACGGAATGTTCCTGGAAGTTCGCTATCATACATAGTTTGATAATCCGTACTCCATCAAACAACTAAAGGAATTTGAAGCAGGGGATGTGATCGGAACTTAGACTATCACAGCTGCTCTCTTAGGAATGGCGGAGGAGTCCGTTTGCAGAAGTTACCATGCTCCTCGGCGCCTTGTGCGGCTATGTGCTTTGCTACAATGTTATCATCTACCACAACAGCCTTGTAGCTATCCATAACCGAGCGCGCGGAGGATAATAAAACGTCACTACCATCATTGGCGGGATTGGTTCGGAGAAATGAGACGAGCTGGAGAGAAAGAAAAATGTGCAAAATCAGCACTTGCTTCATGCTTATTATGAGGAACACAATATATTGGATGTTCCTATTTATACTTGTACCGGAATCGTTTAATGTAGCGACACGCATATATGAAACTCTTATACATAGATCTGGTATATTCGTACACATATATCTAGCTCCAAGCCATAAACCATAACTTAAAACAAAATAGAAAATAGGAAGAACAACTACAAGAGAACGAATAAATAATTCAGAACAATAGTACCAATTTCTATATGACGGTTAGACACTGCTCTTTATTGGCCGATAACTTCAAACCTGGACGTCACTAGCAATGACGGTCTGCTGAGAAATATTGACGGATAGAGTGCCATTGTTATGCTTGACCGAATCTCTATCTCCTGTGTTACTACTCATCTCAGTTTTGGACCGATTGATGGAGGAACCGCGAGCGACTAGCTGCATATCTGTGCCAAGAGTAGTCGACCCAGAAGATCCAAATGTCTTCAATGTTTCATTCGTCCACGCCTGCCCCTTTAGGACGCGGTATATGATCATCAAGGGGGCGATTGACTGGAATATTCATTCAATAAGTCAGCAAAGCACTTATATCCTACAGTGTCAGGACACTAACCTGCGTCTGCCCGAGCAGTTCCATAACGAGGTTTTGCAGGTTGCTATTGAGTCCGAATCCAATCACAAAAATTAACCCGTTGATCGTGTACAACGCCGCACTTTCAATCAACATTGCGCTGACAGAAACGTAAGGCGTGTAAACGCGAGAATTCAGCAGGCGCTTTATCTTCCAGCGCATGCACATGAGCCTTCCAGTGATCGCCAATGTCAATACAGCGTTGTAGGCAATGGAGAGAGACCAATAGATGATGGCAAGGTGAGATGCGAAACCCGCATAGAAGTTGTTTGTCGGGTCAGCGATCAGTGCCATCAACAAACACCCGAGTACTATCGGTGCATTCAGCACTCTGGGTAAAATAACGTGGTATCGGACTTACCTATAGATACTAGGAATGTCAACACAGGGAGTGCGGTAATGTAGATGTTACGCCGGTAAATAATGTAGAATCTGTAAAGCTGTTGCATAGAGGTTAACAGTCTCGCGTCGTAAACTATAAGTCAGGCATACGTACCAAAAGACCGTCTTGAAACCATAAGTTGATAATGTATACACAGTTGCCTACGAGATTCATCAAGTATCCACTCTCTTCGGAGTTAAAGGCTACAGGCCCTCCTGGAAAGTTGATGTCGTCGACAAACATCATCTCGCACCACTTTGTATTGATGGCGTTTCCCAAAGTCGCCATCGTAAAAAGGAGGCAAATGTAGACGAGATGGAACCAGTCTGTGCGACTCTTGCGATGCCGAGACACGAGTATATTGAAGCACTGGAAAAACAGCGTCACGTTAATGCCTGTGGATTTTCAATTGTGTGGAGTTGTTAGCGATTTGAGTAGTTGTAGCAGTTTGAAGACGCCTACCATAACCGACACTAGATATCATCATACCATCTATCAGTGCCCGCTGACCCCATAGCTCAGAGCTGGTGGCATTGACTGGTGCCCAAGACGCGTTCAATGACATAGGGAAAAGAGGTGTGTGGGGATATGGGAGCTGGGCTGACATGTAGAAAACGTCGGGGACTTTATAAGAAATGATTGACCAAACAACGAGAGCACTGCATTTCAGACATTCAGGCTTCAAGTTTGGTTGGAGCCTCAATGCTGGCTGTCATCACCGACGATGATAAGACTCAGGGCAAACGCAGTGCTGACCTTAGTTCTCCATGGGTGGCGCAAGCCCAGCTAAATTAAGACTCATCCTATATCGAAAGCCAGCGATTGAACTCATCAGTTTGTAATGGATCTCTGATGATCTGTGTACAAACATCGATGAAACAACCTTACAGGTACTCATATTTTCTCAGAACGGTTTATTTATAACTCATAATTCCCTACGCAAATTGAAGAAGATTGCTACACCAGGTGAGCGCGACCTCACCGACATCAATGATAAGTTACCAGCGGCATGTGGGCACTTGTGATGGCCGCGCATGCATTTGAAACACTGTAACAGCACGGGTGCCGCCGGCTGACTCTTATCACTTCTGGAATATCTGCGAAAGCTACCAGGCAAACTCCCCCGGATCAGGTCATAGCCATATGGAAGATGTAGTTCCTTGAATCAAGTGCTGTTTATGCAAGGTAATAATCTCAGCGACACGACCATGTGCAGAGTGGCTGTCATTAGTGCAGTGCGATGATCCCGAGATAGTGCCTTAGCGTCTGGAAAATGCTCGCCGTGCACTGGCGGTGAAGCTTTGATGTACGAGTGTGGGATAGCCGACATCAACTTGTAGATGCTCACTCACCGTGAGTCGTCTTCTTTGAGCTTCTACTTACAAACGATTCATGTCACGGCTCACAGCCCGGATAGGAGATTGCTGTGAGTGTTCTTACTGTACGAGCCCTGGGACGTAAGTGCTCGTGTTTCACATTGGCTTTGCAGTGGAACGTCTAAGTATTGTAATGAGAAAACGCGACGAAACTCATATAGTTCTACTCTCGACAGTGGCCAGACATGTACAATGATGCAAATGCACGCCCCACGCTCCCGGAGTAAGGGTCATGGGGTTGCATACATCACATTATTAGCTGAGATTTGCAGTAGTCAGTATGAGTTACAGACGCAAAAATATTGAAACCATGAATCAAGCATATCTCATCGCCCGTAGGAGATGCAACAGTTCTAGAGACAAAGATGAGCACATGATGATGAAAACGGACGCATCACTTCTCTGGACATAGATAAGGACCTACGGCCGGTCATTTGCATGCACTGTCAGTGCCTTGCTAGCACCTATGGCTTCGCAAGTCTTTGAACCCGATCACGGATGAACGTTATAATGTGTCACTAACGGCCTCTTCTCCACCTTTTAGCTTCCGAACCGATGTAACTACAGGAATGATATGTGGTCAATTGTTTCCGAACCCGAATTTTACATGCCCACTTCGATCGTAATCTGACGAAACATTAAGTAGGGTTGAGAGATTCTTCTCACTACCTCGTTGGTTATCCCATGTTTACTAGCTCTCGGCTGCTAGCGCGCGCGTAGATGATGGTGAAACACATGCGTTTTGTTCTCGTCGTGGTTCTGCACTAAGAAGAAATACTGATGATACGCCGTTAAAATAGATGACACTTCTGGGATTTTTCGGATGCCCGAGTACGAGTACAGAGCGGGCTGACTTGGTCAACAGTGTCAGCACACAAAGTAAGGGTGGTGAAAGACTGGGGCACTCGGGCAGTGTTTTTGGTAGCGTGTGCACTTCATGTGGCACTTAAAGTGGATAACTAACAAGAACGTTAACAATGGTGTCGATTGTCTTGCATAAGTAAGACACAAATACCTTGACATTTGAAGGCATACTGGTAGCCGATATTGAAACAACAAAAAATATCCTTTTGCATTAAGGGGGAATCGAACCCCCGGCGGGTCGATGGCAACGACCCAGGTTACCACTACCCCATTAATGCTTGTTAAAAGCGCTCGGTATTGTTTTTATATCGCGCTGGCAGCATTTCGGAGTTTGAATGACCCTCGCGCTTTGCACGCGCGCTTTTGCTTAACTCCAACTATCACATCCACGCTCGAGTTCAGGCCCTTTCGTTTCGCGACGCATGCAGTCACGACGCTGTTTACTTGGATATGAACTAGCACACATCTAAAGCGTGAGGCACTCTACGCAGGTAAATGCCAAGACTAGAGGGCCAGCCTAGACAAAAAGACAAAAAGCGGGTAAGCGAAGCTTACATCAGTTGTGGGCGTCCATTGGGCCACCCTTTTTTCGTTCGACCCTGACCTTCCGCCCGACGCCTCATGCTCTTTTTGTCTAGCGCTTAGACCTTGACGTCTAAGAAGCTCTGGACTCGGGCTTCCATCTCCTCGGGGCTTCGGATGGTTGTCTGGTCCGAATCTTGGGGTTTTTCTGTTCTGGGAGCTCGACCCTGATCGAACATCGCAGGCTGTATTTGGACACTTTTCATCGTCGAACGCCTCATTGCTCCAAGGGTCGTTCGGAAGCGGTTCCTGGAGGCGCTGCTAAATGCTTTCGCGAGTAATTTGCCTGTATTTGTGCGTATGGGACGCTATGGACGCCAGGTGAGAAGTCCCGCGGCCGGGATTTTCGGTATTTGCCCTGCGGGCCTGGTCGACTCTTGCCTCGATGGACACTGGGGCTCAATGCAAGTGTTGCTTATGCTGTATAAGCGCTTGGCGAACTTCTCCTTTTTGGCTGGAGCTGTCTTCTGTTGTCCGTGTAGGAGGTACTGGCGGTCTAGCCGCCACAAAGCTCACCGTCTAGCGCGTCGCCGCCACGAAGGACACCAATCGCTGGATCTATGCAAACGGTAAGCGAAGGGCGTTAGGGAGAGGCGTCTTTGACCTCGCCCTGGGCTTTCTCGCTTGGGTTAATTATGCGTATTACCGTGTCTATCGACGCCCACAAACCCTCTCGTATAAAAAATGGTGCGTATGTTCGAGAAATCTTCAGCATCCCAGGTTTTCTCCTCCCCTCGTCTACTCTACTTTCCTCCTTCCTGACGCACCTCCCTCATCTCTGTCTCACCACAACCCTCTTCGAACATATCAATATGTCCATCTACATGAACTCGATCCACCCGTCTCTCGTTGGTGCCCGCACTACGCGCTGCTCGATCTCCGAAGGAACAGGCTACTACGCTCGCGCTGCAAATGTCCCGACGTGTCCGCCCTTTACTGCTTACTCTCATGCTGGGCTCGAGCCCGTTTCGAATATGGTCGGCGGCGCTTCCCATTCTAGTGCTAGGCCTATCACGTTCGACTCGCGTGGTGCGCCGGCCTGTGGACTCGGCGTCCCGATTTTGACGCTTATCAAGGACGGTGGGTCTACGCTCGAGGCTGCGACTGACTCTCTTGGGCTGTACGTTGGGAATGCGAAGGATATCAAGCTCGTTCTGAAGGTAAACTCGCCGGCATATTTTTGCGATACTTTCTTGACTAATAGCCCTTTCGTTACAGTGGATTGATATTCCTTGTGAACACACGGTCGTGATTGAACACGCTCCTGGCCAAATGGTCTCCCGCGCTCAGCTGGCTGTCTTCGTCGCGCACATGGTTTCTTCATATGTACAGGTACGTACACGTTTAGCGGTATGGTATATTATGTGCTAAAAACTCTATAGACTGTAACTCAAGCTGGCGGCTCTAACCGCCTCGCTCATCTCCTTCGCAATGATTCACTTTTACTCTCTGGTCTCTGGAACGTCGCTGGCGACGTTTGGACGGCCGAGGTGCTCATGAAGACAGCCTAAGAAAAGCACTGGATGTCGACGCTTCTCATCAACCCAACGTCAATAATTTACCGCTTTGAACATCGCTATCGAGTTGCTTTCAAGAACCTCATCACGCTTTAGACCTTAGACCATAGACACACTTGCATCCGCATTGTCATCCGCATTTCTCAAGCATTACCTATGTCATATACTTTTGCCATCTAATAAAACATGATTCCCTATAAACTCGCTTCCCACTGCAACAACCGACGTTTGAATGAACTTACCCTAGATAGTTCGAGGATTCCCTCAATGACTGAACGTGACGAAAACAGGGGTTAATGCCAACAATAGTAACGAACGCGTGACATCACACGTCGCGCTCCGTAACAATCCGTGACGCGCGCGTGCCTCCGCCGCGATTCCGCCCCACGAGCTCAGAGTCATCGTTGTCGTCAGCCACCACATAGCTCACACCACATCATCTCGTATCGACACCATATCATCCGGCGAGCGCAGAACGATGCCACCGAAAAATGCGAGCCCAAAGAAGAAACCTCAAGGTGCGGACCTCCGCTCGTTCTTTGGTGGTGCAGGGGCTGCGAAGCCGAGCGCTGTCACCGCAAAGGTACGCGACGTTCTCCTTTCCTGCCAGTCGTAAGGTGTTGACGATACCATAGGCGACGTTGAAGACTGGGAAGGATAAAGCTGAGCCTATAGAAATCAGTGCGTGTATGTATGCTTTGCGGCGTGGCGTGCGGGCTAACGGATATGGGTTAAGGCGAGGATGAGGGCAAGTAAGTGGTATTCGATACTTCGAATTGTCGTATGACCTAACATGACTTTTTCTCACTACGTAGGCCTTCCAATACTCAGGCAACTCCGTGAGTTCACAAGTACACCACTTGCCCCTGGTCATCTCATCCTTCTTGCTCCAGTGCATCCGTAAAGAGCAAGCCACCCGTAAAGTCCCAGGTGAGTCGCTACAAACACGTTCGAGATATGCCGTTATGACGCGTTTTTGTAGCCGACACCCAAGTCCAAGTCCGAGCGCGTCATGGTAGATAGTGACGACGAACCCTCCTCCTCACGCAAACCTCGGAACCAACCTCCACCCACGCTCAAGCGCAAGAAAGCTGTCGTTATATCAAGCGACGAAGACGAAGACAGCGATGAGCCCCAGCGGCCTTCCCCTCCGCCCAAGAAGAAAGCGGCTGTCGCGCCGTCCAGACCCGCAGCCAAGCCGCGAGCCTCGACTGCCTCGAACGGTAGGGCTAAGAAGAGGAAGGACGACGACTTTGTAGTTTCGGATGATGTTGAGGACGATGATGATTTTGAGGAGGGCGAGTCGGAGGATGCGCCGAAGAAGAAGATCGCGCCGAAGGGCAAGGCTAAGGCCACGCCCAAGGAGACTGCCAACAAAGCGAAGCCCAGTAACGACACACCAAAGGCAAAAACTCCCATTTCGACGCCGAAGAAGAAAGCGGATACGAACGGCGCGTCGAGCTCGGTAGCACCCGCACCCGCTCCTGCGAAGCAGTTCAAGTGAGCATTCCCTCCTCTTTTTTATCACGACATTCTGTTGACTCTTTGCTCCTCCTCCCAGCTGGGCCCAAGCCAAAGCCGCGAAGCTCGCCGGCCCTTCCGCTCCAGGGAGCAAACAAGTCCCCGATCCGCAGTGCGACGAACCCCTCCTGGGCCTCACCTTTGTCTTTACCGGCGAGCTCTCCTCTTTCTCCCGCGACGAGGCACAGGACCTCGCCAAGCGACACGGCGGGCGCGTCACCGGCCAGCCGTCGTCGAAGACGTCTTTCGTTGTACTGGGGGACAACGCGGGACCGAGCAAGGTCGCGGCGATCACGAAGAACAATCTCAAGACGCTGAATGAGGATGAGTTTCTAGAGCTGATTGGGACGAGGGTGCCGGACGACGATGAGTTGGACGAGAAGACGAAGAAGAAGCGGGAGAAGGATAAGGAGGCGATTCGCGCGGCCGCGAAGGAGATAGAGAAGCGGGAGAGGCATGCGGCGAAGGATACGAAGGGAAGGTGCGCTCGCCTTATCTTTTCTGGTGTCAGGGTATGGCTAATAACTCACTCGGATGGTACCTAGTGCGAAGGCAATAGATATGTCGTCAGCCCTGTGGACAACGAAGTACGCCCCGCAGAACCTCAAAGAGATATGCGGCAACAAAGGCCAAGTCGAGAAGCTGCAGCAATGGCTCAAAGACTGGTATGTCCCCTCCTCCCGTCTTCTCTCCTAAGTTCCCTCCTTCCCTTCGTCCACCAAGCCGTACCTTCCCGTGTTCGTCTTCATGCTCACCGTCCTCATTTTCAGGAAATCCTCCTATAAATCTGGCTTCAAAAAGCCCGGTAAAAACGGGATGAACATCTTCCGCGCCGTGCTCATCACAGGGCCACCAGGAATCGGCAAGACGACGAGTGCGCACATGTGCGCGCGCCTCGAGGGTTTCACGCCGATCGAGATGAACGCGAGCGACGTGCGGAGCAAGCGCATGGTCGAGAGCGGGTTGAATATCAATAATACGTCGTTGGATGGGTGGATGGGCGGACCTGAGGTGCGTCAACTATTTGTGTCCTCGCGGGTATGGGAATGGTTGCTGAGAAAGTGGGCTATAGGCGACGAACGCGTCAGGCGTGGCGATCACGGACCGGTCGTGCCTGATTATGGACGAGGTGGACGGGATGTCTGCGGGCGATCGGGGTGGTGTGGGCGCGCTCAACGCGCTGATTAAGAAGTCGCGAGTGCGTTGCTCTTGTTCTCTTCTCTACTTGATGCGTGGCCTGACATTGCACGCAGATACCGATTATCTGCATTGCGAATGATCGAGGGGCGCAGAAGCTAAAACCGCTCATTGCGACGACGTTTAATTTGCCCTTCCGGAAGTGGGCTGTTTAGTGGGTTACCCTGTGACGAAAGCTGACATGACATGTAGGCCAGACGCTACTGCCATTCGGTCGCGAATGATGAGCATTGCGTACAAGTATGTGTCTCATGTATGTGTCCTCTGGATGAGACTAATCGTGTGTTTCGTCAGAGAGAAGATGCAGATTCCACCTAACGTGGTCGATGCGCTCGTCCAAGGTTCCCAATCCGACATCCGACAAGTGCTGAACATGCTGAGCACCTGGCGACTCTCGAATACGGCGATGACGTTTGACGAAGGGAAGAACCTGTGCGTCTTCTCTCCTGATTCTCTTATTTTGCCTTCGTATTCAGTCGGATATAACGTTCTGCAGCGCGAAGATTAACGAGAAGTACTCGATCCTGACGCCGTTCGACGTCACGTTCAAGATGCTGGGGCCGTACATGTTCTCGAATACTGCGCGCGAGACTTTGGGTGACAAGATGGAGTTGTATTTCCATGACCATTCGTTCGTGCCGCTGTTTATTCAGGTGCGAGCATTGTCTCTGGTCGTGCAAATTTGGAGTGGTCTGCTCACGGGCGGTATAGGAGAACTATCTGAAGACCGACCCCGTGCGGGTGCGGAATCTCGCGGGTCCCGAGAAGGCGCTGAAGCAGCTGCAATTGATGGATAAAGCTGCGGCGTCGATAAGTGATGGGGATTTGGTGGATAGCTTGATACATGGGTAAGGGTCAGATTTTTCCCTTGGTCTGCGAGGTAATTGACATCTTTCATAGACCTGAACAACACTGGTCGCTCATGCCTCTACATGCCGTGTGTTCGACAGTGCGTCCGGCTTACCACGTCTACGGGCCTGGCGGCGGGTACGGCTCGAAAAATCCCATTACGTTCCCGCAGTGCGTATCCGCCGTCTCCATTGGGTTTCCACATCTTGCTGATTGAATATTTTGATGGCAGATATCTCGGCCAGAACTCGAAGATGGGCAAGCTGAGCCGCCAGTTGACGGACGTTCAAGTACGCATGCGGCTCAAGGTCTCTGGAGACAAGTCCGAGATACGGCAGAGCTACATCCCCGCGCTCTTCCCGCACATCGTCAAGCCACTTATAGACGACGGCTCGGTACGTCTTCCTGTTTTTATTTTTCTCTATAAAATGTGGCTGACGTTTTTTCGCGGCCACAGAGCGCAGTGGACGAGGTCATCGAGCGCATGGACGAGTATTTCGTCTCGCGCGAAGACTGGGACACGATCGTCGAGCTCGGCGTCGGCGAGCAAAAGGACGAGCTCGTGCTCAAGAAGATCCCGCTCGCAACGAAGACGGCGCTCACGCGCAAGTACAACTCCAGCGAACACCCGATTCCGTTCCACAAGGCGACGGACCTGGGCAAGGTGCCGAAGAGGCTGCCTGGCGGGCCGGCTCCGGATCTGGAGGAGGCGTTTGATGTGCGTTCTTTTGTTCTTTCGTTTCTTTTCGTTTGGGTTTGTGGGTCTGATTATGAATTGGTGAACAGGCCGACGACGAGGTGCCTCCGGATTCGGATGACGAGAAGAAGAGCAAGGATGAGGATGATATAAGCGGGGATAAGCTCATTCAGCAGGCTGGTGCGAAAGGCAAGGGTAAAGCCAAGGCCAAGGCCCCAGCGAAGGTGACGAGCGAGGACAAGCCCAAGGGTAAGGCTTCGACAAAGCCGAAGGCAGGAGCAAAGTCCAAGAACTTCTATAACTAAAGTAGAGTACACTCTTTGGTGCTTAATAGCGCCCCCATATTCACGTCCTCCGTTGAGAACGAGCTTGACGCCATGAAAGGCTTTAGTCTCTGAAGAGTGTCACGGACGCGTTATGTCACAATCCACAGTCACCAATTCATCACGTCGCGTCGCCCCATCACCCAAAATACTCGTCTCTCTGGCTAAGGCTATATCTACGGCCTTCCTTGCCGCATCGCACGCTCCGAACAACGACACGCAGGGATGCACCACGCACTACAGATAGTCGAGATTGTGAGGGCCATATGCTGGGATGTCAAGCACTCCGGCATGCAGGGGGAGCCCACGCTCGTTTCTTTGGCCCAGACATGTCGCACGTTCCAGGATCCTGCATTGGACACTCTTTGGGAGCACCTCTATACCATCGATACTCTTATCCGTGCCCTTCCTAAGGATGCATGGATATATAAGAAGGATGACGATGACGATGAATATGAGGATGAGAACGTAAGCGGACCCAGTGTCTAAACCAGTCAAAAAGGGCTAAGGATTTGACTTGCAGCCTGATCTCTCGGAAAACGGGTCGCCAGACTCGATCACCGTACGTTCTTACATACTTTCTGACTTGCCCAGATCTAACGTTTCTTTGGTTTGAAGATCCTAAATCGCCCCTTAACACCTGCTGACTGGGCCATCATCCGCAAATATGCGCCTCGCGTGCGCACGCTCTGGCAAGCTCGTCCACTCAGTTCCGAGACGTTTTGGGCCCTCAGTGTAGTCCCGAATGGCATGATGCCTCTCCTCCCCAACCTCAAGGATCTGCGCTGGCTGGACAAGAACCTTAACGACTTCCCTTCCATGCGCCTGCTGCTCCCATCGTCCCTCGTGACCATGGACTGCAGCCTCAAGGGCGACCCCCACCGCGTCTGCGCGCAGATCGCCGCGCTTTCACGTATGTGCCCCCGGATGAAAGACATGGAAATGTCGTCATATAATCGTATACCCCAGGCGATGGAGACGTTCTCGCGCGCGCTGTGCAGTTGGACGAACATCACGCGCTTGCGTTGCGAGGAGATCACCGACGACGCGTGGATCCATATCGCGAGCTTTCCGAGACTCACAGAGCTGTCTGTTTCAGCTTCTCCAGCTACGTCGTTCCGCAGGCTGCGGGATCGAATGCCGGAAAACCCGTTCTCGAGTGTCACGTCGCTGGACTTCTGCTCAGTCAAGCTGGATCAGGCCACCGAGTTTATCAGCGAGACGGCTATCTCACCCACGGATCTGGGGATTCATTGTCTGCACAGCAAGTCCGCGACGCTCGCGGAGGCTCTCATCAACGCCATCGTCGAAACCTGCGGTATTTCTCTGAAGAAGCTGACTGTTGGATATACCGACAAGGAGACTTTCATTTCGCCTCCGCCTCTCGACTCTATCCGACAACGCGGCAATTTTCTCACCCTCGCTAGCCTCAAGCCACTATTCAGATTCAAAAACTTGCACACACTCAAAATAGATGTGGTCTGCAAGATGGACCTCGGCGACAACGACATCATCGAGCTCGCCAAGGCGTTCCCGCACCTCCAGGACCTCTCCCTAAACTCCAGATTCGGCTGGCAACAGCGCTCAAAAGTGACATTCTTCGGTTTCTTCTCGCTCCTCTCCCACTGCCCCGAGCTGGAAGAGATCGGCATCGTCTTCGACGCCGAAGACTTGAGCGCCGTCGATCCCGAGCTCGATACCCCACCCGAGCGACGCGCGCCGATACCGGCCCAGCGCGACTTTACTTACGAGCTCACCGTGGGGGACTCGAGGATCGGAGACCCCGAGAAGGTCGCGGCAGTTTTGCTTGCCGTTTTTCCGTGCCTTGAAGATATACACTCATGGATGTTGTGCGACGCACTGCCGATGGACGAGGAGCGTGCGCGGGAGGGTATGCCGCATTACCTGGGGTGGCAGAAGGTGCAGGAACTTATCCAAAGATCGCGTTCTGAGATGGAAGATGAGGAATCGGGCTCAGATGAAGATGGGGATGATGACAGCGACGACGACGACGAGACTGTAATGGGCGACTAAATTGCAAGATGTATTAGTTGTCAAATGTGACGATTGCGCGTTACGTGTTGTGCATTTTAGTGTATATGGCGACATATCAAGATTTAGCATGGCTCGCATATTTAGTTATTAAGTAGAACAGTGGTATCGCACTAACGCCTAATCGATTGACATGTCATCCTGCTCATTCTCCTCGTCTGAATCATCATTGTCGTCCGATGCCTCACCCCGGTGAGCCAGATGAGGCTTACGGAGCCTCCGGAGGCCCCGCTGAACCTCAGCCCACCGTGGCTTGAACATATTGCGCATGAGAATACGGTCCATCTCGTCCCACTTCGCCCATTTTGTGCTCCATGCCTTTATCTTCTTCAGCTTCGGCATGACTGCGTACAGCCGCTGAGCCACGGTCGCCGGGTCTTCGATGAGCGAGTCGCCAACGACGAGAAACGTAATCGCGGTGTTGGCCTTCGGCTCGGGGAAGTTTTGGAGGTGCTCGGGTAGGTCAGCGCTTGGGCGTGTCGAATTGATAGCTAATGCGTCGAGCTCAATGCCAAGAGAGCGGAGGCGTGGGCAGAGGTGGATAACGGTGTACAGCCCGTAGAACGTGACTTTGGAGAAGGTGCGCCAGCCGTATTCGGCATTGAGGCTGAGGTCTCTGAGGAAAGGGAGCGCGAGCGCGAGCTCGATGAGGCCTTGATCGTTGAGCTCAAGGCAGCAGATCATGTTAACATGAAGAATCTCGAGATGGGTGAACTTGAACAGAGGGCGGAAGCTGTCGATCGCGAGGAGGTGGTTGCGAACTACGAACTTCGACTCAAAAGCTGGTACGCCGTCATAGTCCGAATCGATCATGAAAAACGTCTTCAGTGGCCTAGTTCCGTGCTTTGCGAGGGCTTTAATGACATCCTCGACTCGGCCTGCGCAAAAGAATGTATCGCTGACGTGCAGTTCGATGTCAGTTAGGGAGAGCTCCATGTGACTAATGAAGTCGACGAGGCCATCTAGATCGTTGAGTTCAGCCACCAGAGAAGTGAGAGCTTCGAATGGTTTATCGATGATCCGTGAGCGAAGGTTATAGAAGGATGTGTGTGGTCTCATCGTGAAGGACATAGTCCTAAGATTGGGCAGACTTCCGAGGTAAACAATACCGTCATCCATGAGTTCTCCAGTGTGAACAGTCTCGAGGGTCTTCCAGTGATGAAGCGACCGAGAAAGCATTTCAGCCCCTTCATCAGCCTCTTCGTATCCATATATATGCGCATATTTGACGTCGGGACATAGATCCCCAAGCGAGGAGAGTACTGGCTCTATACGCTCTACACCTCTGCCATAAATCCGGTGGAAGCTAATGCTGAGGTCTTCGAGCGTAGGGGTAAGGAAGAGGGGCAAGTAGCTGATATCTTCTTTTGACACGTCGCTCCAGTGGATGCCCTTCAAGCGAGGTAGAAGGGGAAACATGTCGTGTGGCCCTAGACTCAGTTCCAGGAGTGCTGCCGAGCAGAGCTTCATAAAAGGCTGTTCGGACAGCTTCCGAACTCGATAGGTGTATTTACGAAGGATTTCCCAGTCAGCGACCGTAAAATGCCGGGATGGAGTCTAGATACAATTGGAGTCAGCCCAGAAGGGACACACTTTTTAGACCTGATTATCCTACGTACAGCCATAACTTTGGGTGTTCGCTTTGGTGCATAATCCGGCTGGCGCAGCTAGGTCAGCCAGGTAGCCAATGTCAAAGGACCCAGATCGTACCACACCGGCATCGACAAAGTGCCAAGCATCCTCCGGAAGACATCTGAGAAATGGATCTAGCGTGATGATACACTCCCAGAGCGCGTCGAGCGCTGGCTCCTTGAATGCGCAACACGTCCGAGCGAGCGCGGCTAGCGTCGGGTTGCCTTGAAGGCCACCGTTGAACTGAGTACATCCTTTGTTGAAATCGGAGAATATAAGCTGGAGGAGTTCGGTGACCTGCAGTGCTCGATGCATCGCAATGGCAGCGAGGACGTGGCCGTGGGCGACGATGAGACCAGGAGTCAAAAATTGCGGGAGCGATTGGGGAGCGATCATTTGGAGATTGACGCGCGCGACGCGGATCCGTGACATGCGAATGACATGTCACACAAACACTATTACGTCACGCGCCGAGGCTTCCGCTCCTCGCTTTGCTCCTCTCCACCCACCTGCCGGTCCTCAACAAATTATATCTTCTTCAACGATGCACCGTGCTCTACTTGTTCCCGAGATATATAGGATCATTCTGAGGTTCGTCGACGAAGGCCTCGATGCCGAACAAACTCTTGCCGCACTTGCACGGACATGTCACGCGCTTCAAGATCCTGCTTTAGATATTCTCTGGGAGGAGATCACGAGTCTGGATGCTCTGTTCTACTGCCTTACTGGCGGTGAAACAACGGCATCTGTACCACATAACGTGCGTTCTGTTCTATTCTCCTCTCTGGTAGCATAATGGCAGATAACGGTTACTATGGGTGCGCTCAGACCCTGGAGAAGCCCGGCGAGAAGACTGTGAGTACTTCACATATTTCCTTCGATAGCACACTGGTCTTAAGTTACTCCAACCCTTAACCATCGTCAAGAAGGAGGCTCCTTGGGCACTCACTGCTGATGGGTGGGCCATCGTCCACAAATATGCACCTCGAGTGCGACGTCTGTCGCAGTCTCCGGTTTCGCCATCCTCGCCCACCCTTGAAGAGATCAACCAACTTCCCGATTATATGCGGCCTTTATTCCCTAATCTCAAGTACTTGAACTGGTCTTACATGGAACCTCGCGACTTCTCGTATTTTCCAACCCTCTTCCCTTCGTCTCTCGAAGTTCTAAGATACAAGCTTAAGGCCATGAGCATGCAGACGTCCCTGCAGATCGCCATGATTCCACAGTCATTTCCCCGAATCAGAGATCTCTCGATATCCTCATACGCTTCCATACCAGAAACGATGGGCACATTTACTAGGGCGCTTTGTAGCTGGGCTCACCTTGAGCGCTTGACATGTGACGAAATTACGGATGACGCCTGGGCTCACCTTGCAGACTTGCGAGCGCTCAAACACCTATCCCTCACAGTCCAGCCAACAACTTCGTTTCGCAGTGTTCGACAGCAGGCACAAGGTCAACCGTTTCGGAACTTGACATGGATCACCTTTCTCCTCGTCGATCTAGATCAAGTCACCGAATTCGTCAAGGAGATGCGCGTCGCCCCTGCGCACTTCGAAATTGGCTGTCACCACAACATATGCTCATCACGAGCTGAAGAGCTCATTCACGCCATCTCTGAATATGGTACCTCTTCCATGGATTGCATCATCATCGACCACCACACCGAAAAAGAGAACTTCACCTCACCGCCATCTCTCGACTACTATGCGAAGCGGGGCAATCTCCTCACTATGGCCCAAATTCGCCCGCTTTTCAAGTTCTCGCAGCTGACGAAGCTCCACGTTGACGTCGTCTGCAAGATGAATATTGGAGATCAAGATGTCATCGACATCGCACATGCATTTCCTCGTTTGAAGGAGCTGTCGTTGAACTCGATGTACGGCTGTCAAGGCGGTTCGACCGTCACATTCTACGGTCTCTTCTGGCTCCTGTATCTCTGTCCTCACATTCACGAGCTCGGTGTATGCCTCAATGCCCAGGATATCAGTACCGTTGACCCGTCTTCGGGTATCCCGATGGAGAAATGCCCACCGACGCCTCCTCCTCATCTAACCCTGACATGGCTATTTGTTGGCGACTCTAAAATTAGCCACCCATCAAAAGTCGCGGACGTGCTATACGCCATCTTTCCTCAGCTCAAGACTATTTGCTCCTGGACTTCACACCCGGCCTTGCCGGAGGTGACTCCCGAGCAAACCAGTGAGGCCAAAGAGTTCAAGCGACGGTGGCAGAAGGTTGACAGGCTGCTCCGAAAGCGAATTAGAGATCGTCGGCGCTTCGAGGAACGCTGGGAAAAGGTTGAGCAGGAGATGAGTTCCCGTTTCACGGAGAATGGTTTCGCGTGGAAGGGACTTCCGGGCGGACATGTGGACGATTGCCCGAGCTCAGACGCCGACTTCGGAACAGAAGATGGTGTAAGCTGGAGTAGCGAAGATTCAAACAGCGACTCAACAGACTTAGATGACTCAGATGATTCTGATGAGGATACGGCCAGCATGGGAAGTGGGGACAATGACGGATAGACCTGATTTGTGTAGCAGTGGTTCGAGACAACTAGGTTTCTCTATGTGTGATCGCTGCTTTCCCCGATGCAAGTGGAGTGCTAATGTAAGTACCCACACGCTGTTTACACAACCTGAAGAACTCTCCTTTCTGGGCTCAAATGACCGAAACACAGTTGAGATACTGTATGTCGGAAACGTACTTGAAGTAGATGTTGTCTTTCTTTTCCTTTCAAACTTGATTGTTGCTGGGCGCTAAGCAGGTGCACCCGTGAGAGACGGCCTCTGGTGGCTCACGCGCACAGACGGGAATTCAATTACCGTTTTCTATGCGTTATGTGACAACATGTTATGCTTGCCGTTCGGTGACGCCCTGTTGCCCTTCTCCTTTCCCTCGTCGTTTCCTTTGACATCCCCTCAGGCTCCCTTTCCATCGCCTTAAGGATCACCTAACGCCGGTAGCGGACCAAGCATGCACCTTTCCCTCTGCATCCAAGAAGTTCTAAGGAACATCTTTCACCTCGGACAGGATGAATACTACGGTTTGTCCGCTGGCAGGGAGTTTAAAGCCACGCTCGCTGGTCTCGCGCGCACCTGTCGGACGTTTCACGATCCCGCTTTGGATGTTCTTTGGGAATCGATAGATCTCGAAAATCTCATATGTAGTCTTCCCAAAGATAGCTGGGAGTATGCCATCAGGGCCCCGGAGGTAAGCATTCCTATTTGAACTCGGGGGCGGAAGCTTATAGCTCATAGCCCTCCCGGCAGCCCATTCCTGTGAGTTTCAGTACTTCGCTGGAGAAGTGGTTTCTTGATTGCGCTCAAAAAGGCGTTGATCCGTCCTCTTTTATCTCGAGACTGGGATATCATACGCAAGTATGCCCATCGCGTTCATGACATTACAATTTCTTCTCTGGGTCTACACACAGATATCCTGGCAAGTCTAAGCCTGGCGCCCAAAGATCTGGTGCCATTGTTCCCTAATTTAAAGGGAGCGCATTGTGTTTCCATAGGCTTTCATGACACCCCCTACCTGCGGATACTACTTCCCGCCTCGCTCAAGAATATGACCTTTTCCATTCAAAACAGCTCCGACCTGGACCCGCAACGTATCCCTAGTCAGCTTTCGTCGCTTCCCCTTATGTTCCCCCTTGTCGAACATGCAAACATGACTCTGTACTTCTCTTTCCCACAAGCAACACATGCGCTCTCGCAAGCGCTTCGTGGCTGGCGCCAACTTACTTTCTTGTGCTGCAAAGAGTTGACAGGTGATGCATGGATCCATCTCGCAAGCATGCCTAGCTTGACGACCATCATCCTTGACTACTCGTACGCGGGTGTTAGCTACGATGTAGATAACTCAACAGCATGGCCAAGAAACCCATTTCCAAGCATCAAGTACGTCCACATTGAAAACATTGACATGGGCGAAGCTGCAAGTCTCTTGTCAAAAATGACCTCCGGATCTCTGGTCAACGTCAGTGTGCGTTCCCCTTATAATACTTGCTCGCTCCGAGCATCGGAAGTCATTAGTGCCATTGCTCTTGCGGAGCACGGCACGCACAACCTTGAAAACCTACGCATCGGTCACACAGACGAAGACGAGTACTCGCCCACCGACTCGTATGTGAAGCAGGGTGACCTGCTTACCATTGCAGATCTGCGGCCTCTGTACAAATTTTCCAGCCTTAACCACCTTTTCATCGACGTCGTCTGCAAAATGATACTCCACAACCAGGACCTCATCGAGCTGGCTGAAGCTTTACCATGTCTCAGGTCCCTCTCTCTCAATTGCTCATTTGGTTGGCAGACAAGGCCGGAGATCACATTCTATGGCATATTCTGGCTCCTGCACCTCTGCCCTGAACTCGGAAACTTTGGCATCGTTTTTGACGCCGAAGACCTAAGTTCGTTGGATGTAGGTCCCGACGCATCGACGCAGTATCGCCTTCCGCCACCTTCCCCTCCTCGTGACCACTCGCCCTTGATGCTCTTTGTCGGAGATTCTACAATTGCTGATCCGTACAAGGTCGCTGACGTGCTTTCCGGTATCTTCCATGGACTAGAGGGAGTCTCTACCTCGTCCCGGCATAATACGCTGCCGGACGACGTACAATGGATCAAAAATAGGCGATGGCACTCGAGGCGATGGCAGAAAGTGGAAAGTTTACTCAAGATGCGTAACTATCAAAAGTTCAAGAACTTCAAAAGCCGCGCTCAAAGGGCCAAGAAGGATACAAAATCGAGGTACAGTTTGGAAGAAGGAGCATACAAGCACTTGGCTGCCTATGATGATACATCGGACGGGTCTTCGACTTCTGATGAGGATGATCTTGAAGATGATCCGGACCCCTGGAGCGAGGACGAGGACGGATCGGACTTTGTCACGGACGATTCTAGCTCCGAGTCTGATGGAGACTTGGGGAGCTACGATAGCTCGGCGGACAACGGTTCGGGCAGCGATGGTCAGATCCACGTGTATATGAAAGGTAAAGGCTCGGACGACGAAGATTCGGATTGCGAAGATTCGGATTATGAAGAATCAGACGACGAAGACTCAGACGACGAAGACTCAGACGACGAAGACTCGGGCGACGAAGACACAGGCGACCAGATCACGAGCGAGGAGACTTGATAACACGGGAGGTAGCGACGAAGAGATTGACGAAACTGACTAATGCGAAAGTTGGAAGTAGACCGTACATGTGAATAGCTAGACGCCGCTGCTCATATAGTATGCCAGGTTCCTGTAAATGAAATGACAGACTTCAACCTCCTTCATCGATATCAATCGCATTGTTCATCAGCTATTACCGATTTCTTCATCATCCTCTAATTCCTCGCTGCCTGAGTTCCACGACTCATCCGACTCGTCTTCGTACGAGCTTGTACCATCCACCTGAGACTCTGACTCCTCGTCTGAACCCTCCCACTCCTGAACTCGCTCCCGACAGCGCTTCTTCATCTCCTTTCTCACTTTCCATCACCGCGTCTCGAAACGCTCGCGATCTTTCCTGTGCTACTTCATGTATTCCTCTACCCTCTTCCAGCGCCACCTGTGCAAATCGGCCTCCTCAGCTCGGTCCCTATCGAACGGCAGATCTGGACTCTCTTTCCAACAGGCGATAGAACTCAGGCGAGGAAAGACGTCCTTTAGGAGTGTAGCGACTTTCCGAGGATACCTGATTCGCGAGTCGCCCACGAAGAGCACTGACGTGTCGTGTGGTGGAGGTATCGGAGCGCGTTTCTCGGGTGGGACGTCAGAGGTAGGGTTTACAGCGCTAAGGTCTTCGGCGTCGAAGGCGAGGCCAAATTCGTAAAGGCGAGGGCAAAGTGCCAGAAGCCAAAAGAGACCGTAAAACGTGACGCTCGAACGTGTTTGGCAGCCGTATAGTCCGTTCAGCATGAGGTCTTCTAGGCAGGGGAGTGCGCGACCGAGGTCGATGACGAGTTTGTCAGTCAAGGTCATGGTACAGACGACCTCGAAATGAAGTTGGGTGAGCTGGGAAAACTTGAAGAGGGGCCGAAGATTATCGCCATTAAAGATACTACACCGCTTCGCGAAGGAGGACGATGGTGGTGGTGAAGACATTTCACTTTTGTCAGTGCTTCCAATCATCAGCGACTTCAACGCAGGGCTGGCATGCTTGGCGATGGCACTGACGAGGTCCTCTGCTCGTGATGAGCATGTGTTGAATAGACAGCTAACATCGACGGAAGTAGGAGAGGTACCCATTTCCGTTAGAAAATGAGTAGCTTGATCTATGTCGACTAGGATAAAGGAGAGGCTCTCAATGCGTCGAAACGGCTGCCCATCAATACGTAACCTTATATCGTGAAAAGAGGTCGTGTGTAGGACAACGAAAGACAATGATTTGAGACAGGGTAGATCCGCGAGGTAGACCAGACCGTCGTCGGTGAGTTCTTCGCAAGTCAAGGACTCGAGGTGAGCCCAGCTACGCAATGATTGTGATAATGTCTCCGTTGCCCCAGGAACCAGACCGTAAGACCATAAAGTTAGATCTTTCAGCCGAGGGCAGGTGTTAGCTAAGGAGGTGATATGAGTCGTATCATCAAGAGTGTAAGAGACGACTTCGAGAGAAGGTGAAAGGAATAGGCTAAAGTGTGAGGATTCGTGGAGATTTAGGCAGCCTAACCACGCAATTTAGTTGGCGAACAGAGGAAGCATGTCTTCAGGAGCCAACATGAGGCGGGAAACCGTGTCTGGGCTAACGGATGACTCGAGCAAACTGAGGTGTCGCACCCAATATGCATATTTGCGAATGATGTTCCAGTCAGCAAACGTTAGTGTACGACCAAGAGCCTTGAATTTGTATGAGAACCGAAAGTGGTCGGAATGGTATCATCAACTTACTATTGCTTGCGCGGGGCCCACCTCTTCCCTGATCACAATCCATCTTGTCAGTGCCAAATACCTTTCGGGTGAGAGAACTTCAGTGCCTACCGAAATTGTATCACTCTTTATCAAAGCATCGCTTGGTAGGCACCGTAAAACTGTTTCAAGCGTGAAGACATGCTCCCACAGAACGTCCAATGCAGGATCCTGAAACACGCGGCAGGTACGTGCAAGATAAGCGAGGGTGCGGTTGGCTTCAGGACCCCATGCCTCGATTTTGAGGAAACGAAAGATGAGTTGAAGGACTTCCTGTATGAGTAGAACGCGATGCATGATGACTCCCGAGCACTTTGAGATCTGACCTGCAGCGGAGACAAAGTCAACACCGCGGGACGTGACAGGACGAGACGCGTCGTGATGCGTGATGAACCGGAACGCGTGTGTCACGGTCACGCTGATCCCCTGAATTCGAGTCACGGTGTGACCGTTCCCAAGGGACGTTGTCGATCCCCATCATCATTCCCCCCACTAAGCTCACACAAACCACTTCGTTATCAATGCATCGAGTCCTAAACATTGCAGAGATTCTACAGAATATTTTCTCATGTTTAAACGATGGCTACACGGCGCAGACAGGTCTCAAAGGCAACCCGACACTCTACTCGCTCGCTCGGACATGTCGTGTCTTCAAAGACCCAGCCTTGGACGCGCTTTGGGAGCATATCGTCACACTTGATCCCGTGGTCAAGTGCTTGGGCAAAGATGCTTGGCAACTCGTTAGCTCACACGTGGTGAGCTCAATGCTTTTCGTTTACCTGCTTTTGCTGAGCCTGGGATGGCATCGCCACCACTCAGCCGGAGTCTGTCTTGCATGATGAATCGAGCTTGTACAAAGCTTCAGCTGTACGGTTCAAGGACTATCTATATCGATAATTGGAAGCTCATATGACAAACAGACCCTGACTCGCCCGCTGCTACTCAAAGACTGGGCTATCATCCGCAAGTACACCCCTCGCGTCCGGAAGCTGTCCCAGGCACCTATGGTTCCGTTCTGCCCAGGAGTACTAGAGGCGATCCTGGCTTCCGGTATCTCAGGCTACTTTCCCCACGACATGAAGTTACCCTTGTTTCCAAACATCAAGTCCCTTGACTGGAGTCAGGTGCTCCCAAAGGACTTGCACTGCTGGTTTGTCCTCTACTCCCCACTAGTTGAAGACGTGAAGATCGGTGTCGTCGAAACAGTGGATGCGTATCAGCTTTTGGGAGACCCTAAAGCATTCCTTCGTGGGATAGCAATTCTGTTTCCTCGTCTGAAATCAGCGCTGATCTTCAACTACTGGCGTTTTCCCGGATGCACCGAGAATTTCTCGCAGGCCGTTTCCGGCTGGAAGTATCTGCGCAGCCTTCACTGCGAGGAACTCACTGCCGACGCTATCGCCCACCTCGCGAGCCTTCCCACCCTAACGAGTCTGACCTTCGCGCTCACACATAGAACTGGCGTAGACACTGCACGGTCTCGCGTGGCTGGACAGCCCTTCGCCAACCTCACCTCGGTGTCTGTCGTTCTGAACGACTTGGACCTTTTCGCGCAGTTCGTATCCTTGATGTCCCTCTCACCGACCGAGGTCGAGCTCTTCATGCCAGCCAACAATACCTGTTCGTCGCGCATCGAAGATGTCATCCGCGCGCTCGCAAAGCACGGCACCCGCCGCCACCTCGAGAAGCTCCGGATCGTCCAAACGGACTACGACGGCCTACCGCGCCTCGGTACCTTCACGCCCCGCGCACAGCTTCTCACGATCGACTCATTCCGGCCTCTATTCAAGTTCAAACACCTACACACCCTGCACATCGACGGCTTCTGCGCCGTCCAGCTCACCGACACCACCCTGATCGAGCTCGCGCTCGCCTTCCCCCATCTCGCCGACTTCCACCTGAACGCCAACTACGGCTGGCAGTGGCCAGGCGACGAGAAGCCCCCCTGCACATTCTACGCGCTCTACGCGCTCCTCCACCTCTGCCCGCGCCTGCACACGCTCGGCCTCGAGCTCAACGCGGAGAACCTCGCGGGAACAGCGCCCAGCGCCGACGTCCCCGAGGCGTACCGCCGCTTCCCGGTGCCGCCGCCGCCCAACACCGCTATCACGCACCTCGCGCTCGGCGAGTCGATGGCGGAGGACGCGCGCGCGGTCGCGGAGCTGCTGCATGCCGTTATGCCGAATCTGGAGAGCATATGTGTTTGGGACCCGGAGTCGACGACGCCGGACGACGATATGATGCATCTGGCGATTTGCAGATGGCAGACGGGCATATGGCGTGCGGTGGGGGAGAACTTGAATGTGCTCCGTCGGGGAGGGTTCAGGGGCTCGGGCTCGGGTGAAACAGAGGCACCGGAGAGCGATGGTGAATTTGAGGAGGACGAGGATGATGACATTGGCGACGAAAATGAGGTCAGCGACGAATAGACGATGGGCTGAAAACGAGAAGAGGGAAATCAAAGATTAAAGTAGTAAGGTGGGTCGTGACGGATCATTCTCAATCCATGTCTTTACCGTTGACACTTCGCAGCAAATCACAGCAGACGGCATGAGCCAATAGGATAATGTAAGATACAATAATGAAAGAGAAAGTAAAACTACTGTACGATGATACTATTTCGGGAACGAAAGTGAATAGCACTATTTCTCTACGCAAAGAAACCCTTCTTCTCCAGGTACTCAACATGCTCCTTTCGATGGCCAAGAACCATCCTGTCAGCGCCGCGACGCCATATGGGCACACCAATCTGCGTGCAATGATAAACCTCGTCAAGAACAATCCAACCCAAAAAAAGTGAAAGGACCGACCAAAGCAATGAAATCCAGAATCGTGTCCACGAAAACGTTGTTCATCGGGGCACTCCCGCGCGTGGACGCGCGGAACAGATGCGTGATGAGGTCCGCGGCGATGTGCGCATGTCCGCTCTCCACTCCTGTTTTCTTCCGTCAGAATCGAATACCTCACAGAAAATAAGCTCATAATGTTCCACATACCCTTGAACATCCCGAGAGCAGCTTGGTCAGACGATAAACCACCGTCGGTCTCCTCGATCTTGCGCGTAAGGAAAGGCTTGGTCTTCATTTCCTCTTCGTAGCTAGCTGTGTTCATCGTCGGAGGGAAGAAGATGTGGACATCGATGCCGTATAGAAGGAGCTCGGAACGTAGTGTATCCGCAAGGCCTGAAAATTAATGCATTAGCACCGAGGAAGACAGAAGGTGAAGGACGGAGGTAACAAGGACTGAGCTATAGCAAGATACGCACCTCTCAGCGCATGCTTTGCAGGTGCATACGATGCCCACCCAACGAATGACATCAAGCCCAGCGTCGACGACACGAGCACAATCTTGCCCTTGACACCCTGCCTCGTCATCTCCTTCGCAGCTGCCTACAGCACACCCCGTACCGCAGACACCACCCGTCAGCGCCGGACCATTCAAGCGAGATTGAGGAGAGGAAGCGCACGAAAGCAGTCCACGCCTGCACCCAGTACCCGTCCATCATGCCCTTCGTCATATCCTCCTCGCTCATCTCCATGACGTACATCGGCTTCGCGGCCCCTGCGCACGCGAACACCGCGTCGGGCGCGCGTCCGCCGAACGCGTCACTCGCGGCTTTGAGCGCGGCAGCGCTCTCGGATGCGCTGTTGAGCGAGAAGGAGAAGGCGTGAACTTGCTGCGATGGTGAGACTCTCGCCGCCTGCAAGTCCGAAAGGACGAAGACGCATAGGTGGTGAGCCGGAGAAAACGAGAAAGAGGTGGACAAGTGAGCGCACCTCGATCTGCTTCTTCGCGTTGTCCAGCCTCTCCTGGTTGCGCGCGACGATAGACACATGTGCTTCACGCTTGACGAGCAAGATGGCGAGCGCGAGTCCGAGGCCTTGCGAGCCGCCGGTGACGTAGACGTGCTATAGTGCGTCTCCTCAGATGCGTGTCCATTCATGCACGAGCTTGACGCTTACCTTGTCTTTAGGATCCCATTTCTTGCTGAACAACATCCTTGACGACGCGTATCCAACGACGAGCGTTACGACAGCTATTAGAAAAGAACTAAAGGGCGCGGTGAACGGCATGGAGTGAATGGGCAAGCCGTGCGGCCCTGGTACGATTTTAGATTCATGGTGGAAAAGCACAGAAGAGTCCGACGCGACTTTGCTCGCGCTTTATTCTAAATCCCATCAACCCCTTGGGCGTATTCAAACTCTTCGTCAACGCGTGAAGTGGGAGTTGCAAGCAGCTTCGTACTCGACGCTAACAGTATAATCACTAAATATTGTACCTCGAGATTAATAAATAGCGTTTAAGAGAACATTATAGAGCTTCCGGGCCTTCCATCCCTCTATCTGCACAGCCAGAGCAGAGACCGTACACCTGACAACTAGGCAAGAACATAGAACACGCTCACTCGTCATCAAGAGCTTCAGGATACAGCTCCTGAGCAATCTGGTCGGCGATCTGCTCCTCGTGGCCCAGCGGCCCCGCTGGCTTTTTGTACGTCTTCTCCACCTCTACCTCAGCTTCGGTCTCGGCCTCAGGCTCTTTGTCCGTGCCAGTGGTCGTCTCCTCACTTTCCTTCTCCTCCTCCTCCTCCGTCTTCTCATCGCCCTCGAATCCCACAGGCGTCTCCTTTTTCTTCTCATCCACCACCACCTTCTCCTCCGCCTTTGACACCACTGTAACCACCGGCGTCTGCACAACCACACTAACCTCCCTCTCCTTCTCCCTCTCCTCATCCTCCTTCTCCCTCTCCCTCTCTCTCGCCGCAGCCTCGTCCGCCGCGACGCTCTTCGACGCCATCGCCTTCTGTGGGTGCTCCTCAAAGATATCGCGCCCCGGCTCTGGCGCGCCCAACGCGGGCGCCGCGCTGCTCTCCGCTCCTGCCTGGTTCGCCTGGCCCTGGCCCGCCTGGTTGGCGGCGTCGCCCCCGGCGCCCGCGACGGGCTCGTTCACAGCGACAGGCGCGCGCCCACCGTATTCACCGCCGACCGTAGCCTGCGCCGCAGAATCATGCGGCGTCGCACCAGCAGTCTTGTACTGATCATACTGCAAAACCACCGCGTACATTCGTCAGTATCATACCAGGCCACCTCATCCCGACGACAACGCCGACGACACGAACGGAAAGAACCCCGACTCACCGCATGCGGGAACGTGCTACAATCAAAATCCCAGCCTTTGCCCAACTTCGCCGCCTCGCACTTCCCCCGCGTCCACTCCGACCCGTACGCGAGCGCGCTGTACCGCGCGAACACCACAATCGCAACGAGCGCGAGCACCGCCGCGATCTGCAGCCGCACGCGCGGGCGGAACGTCGCCGTGCAGAGGTCGAATACGCCGCACGTGAGGAGCACGGCAAAGTACAGCGCGGGGAAGTAGTGGTGCAGGAACAGCTGCCGGCCCATGAGGAAGAACGGGAGGTAATGCATCGCCCACCCGAGGAAGAGGAAGCCGAGCACCGCGTCGTATTTCATCGCTTTGCCTTTCGGGTTGTGAGATGGAGTCAGATGGAGAAGGGGGTGATAGGGAGGAGGGACATACTGTTGTCAAAGTCACGGTATCCGCGCTTGGCGCGAAGAATGAGGAACCCGCGCGCGGCGACGTAGCCCAGGACAGAGAGCGTGCTCATGTACCAGATGAACGGGTTTCCAATCAGGTATACCTGACGACCGTCCTTCACCCAGAAGTTCTACGATCTCGTGAGCGACATACACGTCGAGCGAAAACAGGAGACTCACGATTCCGCGACGGAGACGCGGCCAGGTAGCAGGGCGCGAGTCGTATGCGTGGCGTGCAGTCAGCCCGGCATTCGTCTTCCACATGACCTTCTGCAGCTCCCAGAACTTGGCAATGAACCCGGGCTTTTCGTAGTTGACCATCTCCGCGTCATCGTGCACTATGAAAAGAAAGGTTAAGCACGGACAACTAAGAACAGCACACCAAACTCACACTGCGGATGCTTCGCCACCGTCTCGATATACCACAGCGTATTCGGCTTCGCCGCCTGCTTATTGCACGTCACCTCCTGCTGCTCAAACCCCCACTCAGGCAGCTTAACCTTGTGCGAAAACAGCACACATCCCGTCATAAGATGCCTCAGCCTAAAATACGTCTTGAGCGCCTTCACCCGCTCCCCGCTCTCGCGATCCCCGCGCGAGCCATGGTCGATGTCCACGACCCAGTCGTCGTTGAGGTCCCCAGACCACCCCGCCATGCCGTACCCGGACACCTCGTTCTGGAAGTCGACGTCCGACACGGGCGGGCGCACCTCGTGCGAGTGCAAAGCCTTGTCCGTCGCGATGTGCCGCAGCTTGATGCGCGCGCCGTCGCGGATGTATTCGAGCGGGTCGTTGGCCCAGTCGTATTGTGGGTCGTCGTCCACGGTCGCGTTGAGCACGCGCCAGACGTTGTTGAAGTCTTGGTGCGGGTAGAGCGTGACTTGTTGTTCTGCGGGACGTTTTTATGATGTGTTAGGTATAACTCGAAGGGGAGTATGGGGGGGAAGGAGGCGCACGTTCACTGCCAATGGGGTAGTTGTGCGGGTGCGAGTGGAGGTACCCGCCATCGGTGTTGGCGTGTTTGAGGGTGATCTCCGAACCGAGCGCGACGTCTGGACGGCGCATACCATGAGCCAAAAGCCAACAACGTAAACTGAGCACAATGACGCACCGGCATACGTATCCCGCATCCCCCTCCCAAGCGTCGACCTAAACTCCGAGCTCATGAACGAGTCTCCATCTCCCGGGTTCGCCAGGATCGCAAAGTGGATCGAAAACATGAACATATAAAACACGATCGGAATCCCAATAAGACAGATCGCGCGCGCGGCAAAGTGCCGCATCCACATGCGCGGCGTGACGCGCAGATCGCCGAGCAGGAACCACAGCTGCAGCACGGTGCACACGCCGACGGTCGCGATCGTGAACAGGCCGACCCACTTGCACGACACGACCGCGCCGAGCGAGAGCCCCGTGAACGCGAGCCAGACCCACCACCGGTCGGAGAAGGGCTCACGCCGGTCCTCGTTCGAGAAGACGACGAAACAGAGCGCGGTGAGGGCGGTGAAGAAGACGAGCGGGGAGTCGAGGAGGATGTACCGCGACTGTGTGACGAGGCCGTTTTCGAACGTGATGAAGAGGGCGGCGAGGAGGGAGGTCGTCGCGCGGCAGTCGAGCGCGCGGAGGGTGAGGTAGGATATGGGGACGGTGGCGACGCCGAGCATGGCTGGGACCAAGCGCATAGCGACGTAGGGGACGTTCTCGAAAGGCCTTTGGGGTGCCATAAGGTTAGCGCTATGCATCGACGGAGCCAATGGAAACACTCACTTTGCGATTTCCTTGAAGTCAAAGTCTCCATTGAATCCAAATATCCAACCGGCGAGAGTGATTAGCATCTTGGCAAGAGGCGGATGCACGTCCACGAAGTAACGCGTCTTGATGTACCAGCCCGCGAACTTGCCAAAGTGGACCTCGTCGAAACTGATCGGAACATGTCAGCACAGCTCAAAAACATTGACGTGACGATGGACTTACACCACGCTGTCTGGCTTTGAGAGCCTAAACAACCGCACGGAGCATGCAACCAGCAGGATGACCACGAGCAACTTCCACTCTCCAGGCGTAATGTTCAGTCCACCAGGCAAGTTCGCCGCCGCCGCCTTCGCTCTAGTTGGCCCCATCCCCCTCGCTGCTGCCTCCCTCCGTTCGTCCGCGTCGGAGTAGCCGTGGCTGGCTGGAGGGTACTTGTGCGGGGCCGGATAGCCATAGCCCGGTGGTGGAGACGCTGGCCTGCGCGCCCTGACGTTGCCTGACATTGCAGGTCTGGCTCAAAGAAAGAGAATGAAAGTATGGGTGAGTCAATTCGTGAGCTATGAGATGAAAGTAGGATTTGAGAATGGGAAGGGGATGGTGGATGTATGCGTCGGGGAGGAAATGGGTACGTGGTGCAACTGCGCGCCAATAGACGCCGGTGATGCAGAGCATCGCCACCAACTTTGGACATTTAGCCCCTGTTCATCAACTGTGCCTGGCGACTCGCGTCTTTCTTCGCTGCTCCCGCTGGAAAACTCATGCACGCTTTCAAAGCGAGATAAAGGCGTCTTCGTTTGTCAATGGGTCATACAGGTGGTGCTATATTTTAAGCATCAAAGACATAGGCTACCACGAGGGTTACCAACTTCATCGCATTATCGACATACGATGTGTCGCAGAACCGTTGTCTTGACTGTTGTGGAGGTTTGTGACGCTCATGCCAACCTTCATCCGCATCCATCAACGCATACTTACTCCGCAAGCAGCTTGAGCCATATGATGGGTATGGTACCATGACAGCCTATGCGTTGACCTCACTATCCGAGGTGTGAAGCAATCAATTGATGAATGTTCCTAAATATATTCGAGAAGTTTCAGCAGAGGATGCTAGAGTGCATAACGGAACAAAGACACACCGCAAAAATGTAAACAAAAACTTGACTCTTCATCGAATCATCCCTCGGTGTTGACGCTGGAATGATACATGAGCAGAACAAATTACACGTAACTCGTCTAGGGTGCCCGACTACGGGTAGCACCGCTCGTCGAGTGAGCAGTTGTCGATCGAGCACCTCGACGGCACAGGCTTTGTGTCGCTTCTAATAAAACCTAACATGAATCCCCGCATCCTCGAGCGGGATACTGGTCTATTCGATAAAAGGATTTCACGATGAGAGGCTGGATACGCTGAGCACGTCTGTGAAGTACATTAATGCCAATGAGATTCGCGAGGGTGGATCAAACGCACCTTGGTAGTTCTTCCTTCACCACCGCACATAACCTTGGTCGGTACATCTACTCCAGAGCTCCCTGTCCCCAGTTCGAGGATTGAAGGTGAAACGGACGATTCGGAGTTTCCTCCAATTATTGGTGCAACGTCTGGTGGTTAAGTGACGGTGGCGAATGAGGAAAGGTGTGGTCAGACTGCTGGCGAAGCGTCGCGTCTACTTTTGAAAGAATTTTCATAGTGTAGAGCATCCGCAGAAATAATGATAGAGGACAAGAACGCATTCAAAGGGTATAAAGGCGCGTTGCCACCGAAATCCACACTGAGGACAAGGGCACGCTCAGGTCGGAATTATTTAGGTAATTGTTGTATTTTTGACAGAAATCTGCGTCAACGACGCGTTTGGCACATGAGTCCTCCTTGTACGCACGACATAACTTCGGGACAAAATTCGGATAAAGTTGGTCTTACAGTCTCCCATTGCTCCTCAGTCAGATTCGAGCGTGCCTTTCAAAATCACCGCGAATGACGGCTGTATCCCGTCTCTGAGGGTTCTATTCGACGCTTCATCCACTGGCACCTGTTTCTCCCATTCAGCCTGATATGGAATTGTTTAACTTTCGAGAACCCGTTCGCCTAAAGGTTTCTTGGCCTCGACCCACTTCACGAGGTCTTCCCTGGAACAATTCCTTGCAGTACCGAGTCGGTACGAGAGCCGAGTCGCGACTTTTACGGAACCGCGCCTCGGACGTGCCTCGAAGTCTCTGGAAATTTAATCGGGCAAGTATCCCAAGAACCCGGTAGCGAGAATAGCACCGCTGGGCGTAGACGTCTTCAGGGAAGATCAACCTCTATTGTGCAAGCCTTCCGACCAGTGCCCGCAGCCTCAAAGAGGAAAATTTGAAACGTCTACCTGCGACGCCAGCTTGATCGACCTTTACGTAGCTTGACGTTGGAATTCGGGGGGTTTAATTTGCCAGGGAAGCGGCGCATTAGTTTGGCAGATCTGGAAGATTCGCGACCTTTGGTCGACGTCTTGTCGACCTCAAACAGTCCGACCGACCGTACCCCACCCATCATTGGTGGAGGACCATATGGGTGCACGTAACTTACACGGCGCATGATCCGTTGACTCGAGAATGGATTTTCCCTGAATTTAGAAGCGTGAGGAGCTCTGAAAATTCCGCCGAATGGCATGCCGTGACATCGAAGGTCAACGAGGCACGGCGGAAATGTCGCGCGACGCGACCGGGGGATGCGTACCGAATGGAAATCAAATTGCGCGTACTATTGTTCGACTTTTCGACCTCAGCTGAAAGGCGGCATGAGGCTTGGGAACACCCGCGGAAGAAAACAAGATGTCGCTCACTACACGGACTTCACGTCAGCCCGATTTGGAGACAAGGAGGCCGTCGAAGGTTGTCATCCGTCAACGCGTCGCCCTTTGAGGAACTTGGCGGCCTGGTCGCTAACGCCCTTTGAGAGACCGAATGACAAGGCAGTAAGTTGTCGCTACTATCAGCGCTATTCTTGTCAAAGAACTGAGCCACTCACTTCAGGTAGCATGTTCGACAACCTTTCGCCTCTCCCCCGCCAAGGCCCTCGCTCACCTTCTCTTCACCAGCAACCTTTCTCACTGTACCCCCCTCGACATCTTCACTTACCCTTCGGCCCCCAGCCTTTCACTCTCCTCCCATACCTTCCCCAGCGCATCGCCTTCGACAACAGCCGGGGAGAAACTCACTCGCACAAACTCGTGGCGCCCTCTTCCAACGACTCCACCCCATCAAGGCCGTCGTCGGCTCGTCGACACTGGCCTCAATCCCACCATCCCTCCTCAAGCGACAACCTAGCAGCAAGCCACCTTCGAACGCCCGGAAAATTTTCGTCCTGGAGATACCGAGGATGGTAGTGAAGGAGGTCGGAGGGTCGTAGAATTCAGGTTTTCTGCATCCGTACGTCCCGTCGTTGGATGTGAGCTGAGCGAATCACCGACAATATCCAGGTCCTCAAACTCTAAGTCGGTACCCCGTAGAAAGCCGTATCACCAGCCGACGCCAGCGCTTCTCGTAATGGTACCCTTTTCCATGCAGGAATCTGGGTCAGTGAGCGCTCCGCTCGTCTTGTCCAACGCTAAAACTGACCTTGTGCCGTAGGGGTCGACGTGGCCCATGACGCCGACAGAGAACATGAGGCAGAATACAAGACGTGACGTCGCCAACAGCAACAACGACAAGGCTATTTGCTGCTTTGTCCTCCTCATCTCGCACAGAACGTCACGACCTCACCTTCCATCATCACTTGTACCCGTTATGGACGTCCCCTTGTTCCCGAAGCAGCACTTACCCTAGCACACTGTCGCCCGTGCACTGGTGCAGCTCGACATTCTGTCTAGTAGACTGTGAGTAAACGTATTTTTCAGCATTTTTTTGTCCTCATGAATGTGCATGCAGTAGCTCTAGCTGTGGCCTTCACCGCGGAAGCTCGCGACACGGATGCAATAGGCGCTCGTTAAGCGCCCGTCTCTATCCGGAAGGACGCGTCTGGTTTTTGGATCGTGTAAAACAATGGCATCGTCTAGAGACCTCTATATGGTCGAGTGAAGCTGTAGACGCACCTAGACTCTGACATCTCCGAGACGGTATCAGGCCCCGAGTCGGCGGAGTGTTGGCGGTAACATACCCAAGTTGCATCAGATCTCAGCTGGAGGTATGTAACTCTACAGCTCGTGGCCATCGACTCTCTCTGACGCGTGTAGTAGGATGTTGTCACGAATGAATCTTGTGGGAAGCGAACGTGTGGACTGGCTGCGCTGTTGTGGGGACGAATTACGCGTCTTTCTGCTCAGGCCGTAGTGTGTGGTACTGCGTTGGACCTTCGGCGGGACGAGTCACGTACAGTTTAATGCAAGGCTCAAGGAAGCTCTGTATGACATACAGTTGAATGAGGGCTCACCTGTTCCGCTTCTATGCAATGTATCTCCGTTTGTCTCTTCGTTGAACTGGATTAAGAAAACTAAGACATCGCTCCCGTGCCATCTTCCATGTGGATACCGGGTGCTTCCTTGTGAGCCGCGAGTATTTGCGTTATATAGAGCAGCTTTTGTATGTCGTGAATGGTTAGGAACTGTGGATGCCTTCGCTTTAGGGCTACCGTTGCGATATTTTCTCGAGCTGAAGCTTTAGGCGCGCAATAGACGCGCGTCGCGCGTCTCAGTCAATCATAATTACGTAATAGTAAATCTGCCGGACATTGCCGTTCCTCGTCTAAAGCCCCTGAGCCTTTTTCTTCACGGCCATTCATGGTTCTAGCACAGAGCAGAATCACTCCAGCTTTCGCCGGTTTCATTAGCTTTCTCTGGATGAAAGGGCAGTGAAGGATACTGGGACCAGGATGCTATGCAGGCACTCGTGACAGCTATGCACTAGTGCGACACCCAAGCGACACCTCCGTGATCTCAGTCCGATCCTGTAAGCTATCCATTTCGTCCCTGATCATTTTGGTGTCGCCGCTTATAGTGTGACCCTGTGCGGTGCGTAATAACGACCCATTTTCAAGTAAAGGGAAGAAGCCTCTCGCTAACCTATTGTTTCTACAGCCCCTCGTGCCGTCTGACCCGCACCGCAGAGGCCGCGCCCCAGCTCGCAAGCGAACCTGAGTCGTGCAGATATATGGTGATTGCCTGAAACCTTTTTGACTGGAGGATTCTCTGCCTTCACGCTCACTATTCGCTCTCGCCCTTTGCGCCTATCCTGTTCGTGTGTCCAGCGCGTTGTTATGGAGGAAACAGTGCGTGATTTGGCCCTCCTTGTATTCGCTCTGATGATTAATGACGTCGAAGAAGGCAATCTCCGACAGCACTTGCAACACTCGAAGACTTTTCCAGCTTTTCCTCAAATTGCCACCTATCTATCGCGTTCCGAGAGATGTCTTTTACCGTATCCTCCAGTTCTTCTGCAACAGCTACGCCGTTTTAGACCATCAGCAACGGACACCTGAGCTCATCGAGCTGCCACAGATGGTTGCCGTGCGGGTGTGCCACGCCTGGCATGACATCGTCATGAAGGACCCATCCCTATGGCGTCGCCTTGTCTTTCGCTACGGCATGTCTGCCAGAGGCACTGTGGACAAGTTCAACGCTGCCCTGGCGTACTGGGTCAAGAAGGCCGCACCGTACACGCTGTCTCTTACCCTATCCGTCGAAGGACGCATCAAAGGCCACCTATGGTGGGATGTCACGGCGTCTCTCGAGAAATGGGCGTGGCAGCTGGGAGCGATCACTCTGGTAGTGCCGGATACCCACTACTGCAGGTTCCTCGGCAACGTCGATTTTCTTTGGCTCAGGCATCTCGAGCTGGACTTGGATCCTTTCTCGCACAACGCAGTCACAGCCCGTAGTTCTCGCACCAATCCATTCCCCTTGATACGTTCACTTGACGTCGTCTCCCTCCATCCGTCCCAGTTCCCCGACGAGCGTGTCACTTCCAGGCTATTCAGCCTGTCTCTACTGTATCACGCAGGCGCGAGGGGATATCGGCCAACACTCACGTCTGACTGGAGCTACGCCACAGCTCTCGCCGGGTGCAGCAATCTCGTGGAGCTGTCCCTTGGTCTCGGTGCAGCGGATCCTTCTTCTGGTGTTGCCGTTCAGGGTCTCGTCGAGCTCATGACGCTACGTACCTTGCGTCTTCGGTTCTTGTCTACGCAGTCCGTTTTCGGCAAATTCCTCGAAGACATCAGATGCCCCAATCTCCTTGAGCTTGACGTCGACAGTGCGGAGCGCATCCACGCTGACGACCAAACGGACCTGTACGAGCAGAGACTGACGCACCTCATTCTCCAGTCCCCCTGCACCTGGAGTCTGCGCTCCTTCAGCATCCGCAACGTTGACTTCAAGGAGAGCGAGCTCATATGCATGCTCATCGCTTTACGGGCTCTCTGGCATTTCGAGTTCATGCCCGCCTCATATTCCGAGAGTTATCCCAACCTCTTCAGGAGATTTCAAGGGACGTCAAACTGGAATCCGCTTTGTCTAACACTTGATACTCTGCGTGTCGGCTCTTCAGAGATCCTCGACTTCCACAAACGGCTTATGGGCGCCATTCAATCGCGCTGTCTGCACCATCTCCCGTTGAAACGCGTACAGTTGGTTTACTATGATGACTTGCTTTTAGAGAGGGCGAAGCTAGATGAATGCATCGAAGGCTTTACGAGGCATTCCCGGGCTTTCCACGAAGAATGTTTTCGAACGCGTCAAGTTTCTGTTAGCGTACAAGTAGTACCGAAATGACCTTGTTTTAGCGTAGCCACAACACTTTCGCTGAATTAGGCAGTTATGTTTCTTGAATTGGCTACATGATATCCCACAAGCCGTTATAGAGACGCAACTTCTACAGCGCTGCCTAATAACACGTCAGCGTCAGTAACGCGCGAATTCGTCTACTGGCTGTTTATGACACTATGTACCCTTGTCGCTGACTGCGGGAGATCGGGCGCACCTCCTTGTTGTTTCTAGTCTGCCTTCCCATCACATTAACTCGTCACTTGCTCCCTCCGAGACATCAGCGAGGATGCCAGACCTTTTCGCCCCACTCGCCCTGAGAGACCGACGACTTGGACATCTTGAGGATACACGTAATCGTGAGCATCGTTCACCTCAAGCTCCCGGAGCTCGGCCCACTCGATCATCCAGTCAAGACAATGGGGCCGCCCAGCAGTAACGCATTTTCAGTAGCCTGTCAAATCGGTGTGAGAAAAGTGTTGTCCAGATCCGCGCCTCGGAGATGCCGAGAATACTTGCGCCCAGCCCGAAGACGAGCGTGCTCATTTTGGAAGACGGCGCCGTTGTGCTGGCGCGGGGAAAAGAGAACACCACTGGCTAACACGTCTGCTCGTCTCGGATGAGCAGACTAATCGTGATAGCTCAAAACAGGAAAATTCGCCCGATACACTGCACCGGGACTGGTCAGAGTTTGGAATTCGGGGCGTTAATTTTGCAAGGGCCAGACTTACTAATTTACTGGACATCCGAATGAGCTCGGCTAGGTGACGATGGCACCCTGCCCCACCCTGTTTGCCAAACTCATGGCCACCGGATAGCAAGCACGGTGAAACGGTCATCGGCACAACGGAACAATCGGCTTGGATTCGGGACTATGAGGATTTTTTTTCGATACCGAAGTTCACCCCGTCATGACAGTGCCGTCGATGAAGGGTGCATGGGCGTTATACACTGCGCGGCCGGGGGACAAACTCCGAAAGACAATGAGATGTCGCGTATTTTGACGCGTTGAACACGATCTGAAGTGCAGCACGATGTGCGAAAGCCTCCACGGCGGAGAACGGGCGTTGGGCACACAGTGGTTTAATGTTAGCTCGATTCAGTTACAAGGAGCCAGCATGGATTGCTATGAGATCTTGATGTGCTGTGGTCTATTGAGAAAATGTGCGGCAGCGACGCACGAGTTACCCTGGACAAAGGCCTGTCACGGATGTTATTGGCCCCGTCGGCTGGCGCCCTTTGACGAATCAACCACTCACTAGGTCCCCTTGGGTTTTCTCATCCACCGTTTGAGGCTGCCTATACTCCCTTTTTCCACCATCCATCCGCGGGAATTGTCCGGCTTTTCAGCCACAGTCAGTGCATGAGCCAAGTCGCGGACTTCAGCGCCTTCACCAACCTCCATGTGCCGCCCACTCGAAAGCACTCCCCAATGCCACCCTCTCTTCGGCCTCAGTCGACCGGTCCACCGCCAGCGAGTAACCAGCAAGCCTCACCAGCAAGCTGACCAAGCAAGTGCTGAGGCGGGATGTACACTATCCTCCTTGCCTCCGGAAGCGGAGGTCTTTCAGGAAGAAGTGAGGACGATTGCGTTTTGCAGGTCAGTCTCGCTTTCTTTTCTGGCTGAGAGAAGCTCAAACTGACCAACAGTTTACGGCAAACCATCCTTTATCACCGTCCACCCAACAGCGCCATATACCTTCGGTCTTCTCCTCGTTCACAGCCGTGCCCGTGCTCGAGGTTACGAGAGGTATGTCCCGTCTTCATCCCTTGCCCGCCATGCACTCACGATACGATATGTTTAGAAGGCCGACCGCCAGTATGAATGGAAGAGACACAAGGACAAGGTCCTGTCGTCAAGCGCAGCGAACAGGCAAACTTGGAGGACGTCCTCAAGACGCCCTTGCTTTGTGGCCATAACGTCTCACGAAACGTCACCAGCCATCACTGTCAGCGCCAGCCGTGCTTCGTATGGGCGTCCCCTTGTTCTCAAAGTAGAGTGTCTCCTAGGGCTTCGCCACCCCCTTGACTTGACTCCGTAGAGCAACCAAAGTCTGGTGAGCGACTCTATTCGGTCAGTCTGCCGCTATACTTATCAGCGCGCAAAGCTCGAGTTAGGTCTCCAGCGCGGTGACGCACGACAGTCGCGCGACGCGTTCGCCGTCGGAAGCAATAAGCGCACGGCATCATCAAGCGTACGTCAGTTTCTGCTAGTGTATGCGCATGGTTGACCAAACGTCAGCGTTTCGATTCTAGTTGAACGCCTTTCAGTGGTACGCAAGACGTACCTGGTGCTTAGCCCCTCCAACTACCGAGACCGCGTCAAGCTCGACGTAGCCACGCGCTGTGTCCGTATATCGCCCAGATCCTGCTACCGCGGGATTCAAGGTATGGTTCGCGAGCGAGACTAGTATCCCCAGTCTACTTCTGAACTTTCAGTTAACAGGGTGGCGGAGGGGGAAGAGTCGAGATCATTGGCGGAAAGTAGCATGTACGCGTTTGTCTGATGGCAAAGCCACGCCATCGGGCGAGGGCAATGTTCAACGCTGTGTTGAAGTCTCAAGGAGCTGCAGGCCTTCAAGCGTTAGGAGTATCAGCCTTATCAAGAGCTCACCTTAGCCTTTGGTCATAACCACTCCCGCCTGTCGTTCGTTTCACGTTGACCGTCGAAGGAGTTTGAAGTCCGTTGTGTCTCACTTCTCGTTTGGTGTCAGGTCGGCAAGAACCCCGCCGCTGAGGATGTATCGTTTCGCATCCGCTACTTCTCCTGACCGTGCTCGTAGTGGAGTGCGAGGATGTGTGTCGAGTCTTTCTGTGTCTGAGTGTGTGTGCTGGTGGACTTGCCCGGCGCTGGAATGAGTTTTAGGCGCGCGTCAACCCGAACCATGAGTCAACTGTTTTACGTGTTACAAAATCGGAAATTACCGACTTGCAACTCGCGTGCGCCTCAACAGCCCCGCCACTTTCCTACTTACAATTTCCTTGCGATTATGCAAATGCCCGAACTGCGTCTTGAATTCGCCGCTTAATATTATTTACCTTAGCTAGAGAATAATACATTCAACGGACTGATAACTCAAAAAGGTCTCGAGCGGTTTCATTACAAATACAATTTCCGAAGTCATCCTCGGGCTGGTGCTGTTGCCTGCAGTGTGGGGCGCCGCTCATCATGAAACCCATGCTGATCCGCTGTCATGTTAGGCTGAGAACCGAGCTATGCGGGAATACTTACGGCCTCTCACGCTTTATGCAGATTTCCCTAGATTTTCGTCCCTCTATTTGCAAAAGCCTGGAGGCAAAGAGTCCGAGTCGGGTGCGAAATGCCGGCCAGGGGTCGAAAGCCTCATATGCATTGCCCTCGACACCTCCCGAGGTCGCCTTTATCGTATTTACTACCCTGATCTAATGCAGGGTCATAACGTGAGTTTTTTGAAACTCATTCCTACACTTGCCGCCGTCAGACCCACGAGAGAGAAAATTCTCTAGCGCCAATTTCACTTGGGCAGACCTCGTCGTTCGCCTATATTATGAGTGCAAGTTCTCCGTGACTGATGGGACGAAGCCTGTTCCTCCATTTCCATTCCCAACCACTTCTCCGTTCGAACTATCTAGATAGCCCTCTGCCTAGCTATGTCCGCAGCGGTACGTGCTATCACGAGCGTTGCAACTGTTCACCGCTAACGTTTCTACTCCAGAAAGCGCACTATCAAGCTCTACTAGCTTCCGACTGCTGCATACCTCTGTGCCTCCTCCCGCTCAATATTGTCCACCGCATCATCTGGTACTTTTGCGCTAGCTCTCGCTTCATAGAACCCGATAAACCCCTGCCCCATCCTCACAAGCTCCCGCCCCTTGTCGCTTCTACTGTCTGCAAGACCTGGCTCCATATCGTTAACGATGACCCATCCATGTGGACGCACCTTATCATCCGCTATCGTACCCCCAGCACACTCATCTCCAACTGTCTTGTCGTCGTCATGACTGCCTGGCTCCAGCGCGCTCGCCTTCTTCCCGTCTCTCTTCACTTGTCGATTGAGGCAAGAATTGAGACTGATTCCTGGAAGCTAATCAAGGCTGCCGTTGAAGAGCACGCGGAGCGCTGGAGCGCGGTCACTGTGTCAGCAAACAGCTTCTATGGTGGCGACTACATTGGTCGGCTCGCGTTTCCCCGCGCCAAGCGCCTCGAGATCGATCTAGGGCCTTTTCCGAGCGAAACTCTGCGTCCCAATGAGGCGCGGAAAATAAACGCGTTCCCCAGCGTAGAGGCCCTCGACATCATCTCTCTTCACCGAGTCTACGATCTTCGTCATCAGTACCTTATGCAAAACCTCACCAGCTTGTCTATTCTGTACCACCAAGGTACTCGCGGTTACCAGCCGGACCTTGCCTCTGATTGGGCTTACGCTCGTGTCCTCTGTGGTTGCCCCAGACTTGTGGAGGCTTCCTTCGGCCTTGGAAAGAAGGGAACCAGGTCGGGCGTTCTAGTGGCCGAGGTCGTTGAGCTTGAGCATTTACGCACGCTACGCCTCCGTCTTCTCTCTCCTCAGTCCGTCATCGGGGCGTTTCTGGAACATCTATCTTGCCCTGCCCTCGATACTGTGGAGTTTGACAGCGTCAGACGCCTCGGCAACTACCGGAATGTAGACTACAGGGAAGAACGACTCGCAAAGTTCATTACCCGATCCAATTGTCAACTCTCCTCGCTTACCATTCGCGACGTCGACTTCTGGCAGGAGGAGCTGATGCGCATTCTTGGCAGGTCCAAGACGCTACGTCACTTTACCTTCCTTCCCATCTCCGCGGAATGTTATTGGACCCTTTTCTATAAACTCGTCAGGTGGACCGTCGGTTTTGACACGTTGTGTCCATCTCTCGAATCTCTTTGGGTGAGCTCCTCGCTAGTGTACGCGCTGCAGACGAGGGTGCAGATTGCCCAAGTCCTGCGGTCGCGCTGCCGTTGCGCCCCTGCGTCCCAGCATTTACAGGCACTCAAGCAGGTCGTGGTGATTCACAACTATGACCTCGCCGTAGAGGTGGCGGAACTCAAGACTTGTATCGTCGGTTTTGTGTGTTCAGTCCGATCTTGCACGTGTAAAACGCGGTTTTCGCTCAGTGGATATGTAGCACCACGTAAATAAAACTGTACCGCCGCTGCGTTTCTTACTCATAAAAATGATAGATTTACTCCCGGTACCGGACCTTAGCTCAAATAGAAACGACCCAGCCATTGCTACTTAGAAATGCGGCGTGCTCCTGTTCTACTCATGTTATTCTACGCCGATTCTCACGCCCCATTAGTCCAGATCTTAGCTTGAACGAGCACCGAGTCCTCGGTTTACATCGACGTGCGGACAGTCGGCGGTCGCGCTAAGCTTCTGTCAAACTTCTCGGCCCTAGATTAACAGCAACTTCCACAATCTTGAATCTCGATTCCGGTACCTTTCTGCTTAATTGTCTTGTCAATGGCCGAGGGATGAGTCATAGCAAACATGTAGCACTGAGCTGGCGGTGAAGTCACATTGTTGTCGAGTTGGCATCGCGTATCTACTCAATTCAAAGGAAGTTTTGACTTGTTCGTCGCGAGTTCTTGCTGCGTGACCAAAATGAGAACCAAAAGCTTCACAAACAAACCGTATTTTGCACCTATAAAATGCGTGGGCGACCGAAGGAGTCAAAGTCTCCCTGGGACATTTCCACCGTCGAGACTCGGAGTACGCCACCAGCCTCTTCATCCCCCTAGTTGCTCCGGTTCGACGACTTGTTTTATGGCTAAGGCAAGCAGTGTATGTGCTCGTCTGATTTATCGACGATCGCTTACATCTATGCAGATTAAGTCCCAAGCGCCTCGCCGTATGTCCAAGGCGGCCGGCAAAGTTCATAGTAGGGCCATCGTCCAGTCATCACATATTTCCCGTCTTCCACCGTACTTGCACCATCGCATCATCAAATACTTTTGCAATGGATCTTATCTGATATCGCCTCAGCAACGTACACCGGAAGTCGCGGAACTTCCACCATTGGTTTCAGGGCAGATTTGTAGAGCTTGGAGGCACATCGTCAAAGCCGATCCGTCTCTCTGGACTCAGCTCGTCTTCCGCTATAGTAAGCCTGCGAGATCGGCAAAGAGACTCGATGCTGCCATAAAGCACTGGATCAGAGGCGCTGGTCATCTCTCCATTTCTCTTGCTCTCTCTGTCGAGGGACGCGTCGAGGCTAGGTCCTGGTCGAGGATTGTCGGATGTCTTAACCTTTATGCGGGGTGCTTCAGCAAGATTACTCTCAGAGCACCTGATAAGCACAGCTGCAGATACCTAGGCGACATCGAGTTTCCCTCGCTGAAACGTCTTGAAGTTGATTTGGTGCCTCACGACAAGGGAGACCTGATAGGGCGCCACCGTATTGATAACCCGTTTCCCAGCCTTCGGTCTCTCAGTGTTGTTTCCCTCCACCAATACCAGCTTCACGAGCGTCATTTTATGTTCGACCTTGTCGATTTATCGTTGCTTTATTACCCAGGCATACACGGGTTTCAGCCTGGACTTGCATCTGAGTGGAAGTATGCTCAGACCCTGGGTCGCTGCAGCAATCTCGTCGAACTCTCCTTAGGGCTCGGCATGAATCGCTCGGACGTCCCTCAAAACACCGTTTCTCTCCTCAGACTACGCACCTTGCGTCTCCGCCTCCTATCTAAATACTCAATCTTTGGCAAGTTTCTCGAATGCCTTGCCTGTCCGAACCTTGAAACTCTGGAGATTGACTGCTTAGAAAGACGCATCGACGCAAACACTCGCGGAGGCCGTCTGTACGAGGAGCGACTCGCGGTACTCGTGGATGACTGCCACTTGCAGTCTTTAACCATCCGTAATGTCGACTTTGGAGAGTCTGAACTTGTTTATCTCCTCGAAAACTGCCCGTGGCTTCGTCACTTGGAGTTCACGCCTGGTTCCTTCGAAAATAGATATCCTTATGGCTTTTACGGCCACGTTTGTCCCGATCTTGAGTCTCTTCGAGTTGGGTCACCGCCTTTATGTCAGTTCTGTATCATACTAACGCCCGTTTCAAGTGGTTGGGTCGTGTTGTTGAAGCGAGGTAACCTGGTTTATGGTTACGATTGGTGCGTCGAACAGGAGCTCTGCGTGGGTGTGAAGTTTCCGCCTTCATGACTCTCGCACTACACGAGGAAAAGTTCACGTTTGTGTACGATACAGTTGTCACCGGAGCCTGCTCCGCGCTCATGCACATGTTTGATGAAGTAGCTACATAGGTCATACAGTTAGCTTAACCCGCCGCCGCTTCCCGGAAGCTTCGCTGTCCAAGTCGTCACTGCGCCCTCGCTTTCGTCGCTGTACCGCTTTTGCTCCCTCACTGATGCCACCCGAAGCGTCAGGAATACCGATACTGCTCCAGCGGATGCGACCGCTTCTCCGTTTCATCTTGTGTCCCCCAGCGGCAAGCATCGGTAGCTCCTCATCCATCTCCATAGGTGGTGTAAGCGGTGGCAACGGCACCGACACCTCAGTAGGCGCCTCCCGCAAGCCGTTAGGTGCTTTGTAAACATCATTGTTGTTAGATGTGCTGACGAGGCCCGCGTTGTGACGGTTCTCGATCTCTGCGATGAGCGCAGCAGTCGCGGCTGCTATCTCATTCACGACGCCAGTTCGGCGGGCGTATACACGCAGCAGTACTTCTGCATGTGCTGCAGGGCGGAGGTAGTTCGTTGTAGAGGAAGACGCTGAAAACGGCAAGACAATGACGCGAGTTAGAGGAGTAGTCGATATGACTGAGATGTCGACTTACCCGTGTTATAAAACTTGACGAGCTCGAGCGGGTCGCGCTCTTTCATGCCGCAGTGCAGAAGCGCGACATGGACGACGATGTCCTCAGGAGTAATGCTTCGGCCGTTCCTTTGGGGCTTGTGAACCTCATAGATGTTTTGTGGAGTGATAGCCTGGATGACTTGGTTTTCCATCTCCCAGCCAAAGGTGTGCTCGATGACTGATGTGTAGAGGTCGCTTGTGTGGATACGCTCAATGATATCTCGTGCTGGTGCGAGTTCCTGTGGTACGATGAGAAATTCAGTGCCCGCTCTTTACTGATAATGTCAATAGAGATTTCACATACAGGACTCTCGGACGCCTCAACCTGACACAGCACATCGTCTGTTAGATACAGATATTTCTCAGGATTTGCCGCACGCTCTGCAAGCCGCATATGTGGTTCAGCTGCTAGGAGTGCGTCAACGATCATGTATTCCACGGCTCGCGCTGCAAAAAGGCCATGTCAGCGCCCACATCTCCAGGACCCAACTATGAAAGAAGAGAGAAGACGAAACGGAAGACATACTAGTCTCGTGATTGCACATTCTGCGGTGCTGGTCGAACCGCCTCCGGCAGACCTCGTGCAGCTGCCAGGCATCTGCGGCGTCGTAAGCAATTTGGTCGCCGATGACTCGTGCTGAGTCTACGAGTCTGTCGAGGGAGAGGTTGATGGGCTCGTCGATGGCGTGCGAGTCTCGCATGATGTAGTCGAATCTACGAATAAAACATCAGCAACGTTTTCCTAATGCGAGAGCGCTAGTAAATTGCGACGCACTTGTCGACATCGATCCCATTCCGCTTGTTCGACACGATATCGAACAGGAACGGCATTTTTCTCCCTAGCCTATACGTGCGTCCGTGTCAGTCAAATTTATCCTTCAGACAACGTGAAGAAAGCAAGGCGTACTCGCACCGTTCCTTATCTCCCGCGATAAGCGCCATAACCCCCTCCCTCTCCCACTCCTCCATGTCGATCCCATACATAGCGAGCATATGCTCAAACATGAGCTCCGATGCCTCCTCGTGCGTCCACTCCTTCTCGCCTGGCGCTGGCCTCCTGATTCCATTTCAAGGAAGAACTTGTCAATGCCGTAGTAAGGGTCCACAAGAATAGACAACGACATACTGCGCACGCGGCATATACAACCCGTCCCACAAGTGCGAAAATGGGCCGTGCCCGAGGTCATGGCACAGCCCCGCGAGCTCGACGCACCGGACGTGCGCGAGTGTGATGCCCAGCTCAGGCTGCGCGAGGCGCAAGCGGTCGGCCATGCGTCGGGCGACAAAGCCTACGCCTGAAAATGTCCGCAGAGACGAAGTAACTCGGTGAGAAGGCGAAACGGCGCGGAGGGGTGTGGGATAACAGCCGACGTACCGAGGGAGTGCTCGAATCGGTTGTGCGAGGCGCCGGGCCAGACAAAATACGAGCCGCCGAGCTGCTTGATGTGGCGTAGACGTTGCATGTGTTTCCTGCATGGTGGGTGAATACACAAGCGTGGGCATGCGAACATATAGAGGGCATAGGGGATAACAACTAGGGAAGAAAAGACGTACGTATTAATCATCCGGCACGCGAGTGGGCTGAACGACACTGCCAAATATAATAACGTGGTCAGTTACGAGTCCAGGATGCAGACGAGCATGGCTTCGCCATATGAGAGCTTGTTTTTGGAAGACGACTCACTGTAGTGGTGGATGGGGTCTCGGAAGACCCGAGGCGAGGTTTCGAATTGCTCAGCCATATTGACTGGTCAAGCTACGTTTAACGTCGCCGTTTGTTACGCTTTTCTCAACAACTCGACGAGATGCGCGAAAGGCGCGAAATCGATATAGTAAAGTAGGAATTAGTCGAGACAGCGAGACAGCTTAAATACGTTCGAGAGAGAAAGTCCTGGCGGATGACGCACAGAATACCCTAGAGCCCCGGGTTTGATACAAGTGTTGCGTTGATTCGGATTGTGTTTGAGTGAGGGGAGATTGCAACGAACGTGAATGTCCAGCAGCCAATAGAACGTCAAAAGGCAAAACGATAAGGATTGGGTCACTGCGATGCTACAGGCGCGGTCGCCGCGTTCATTGATGGTGTGCTTGACGATGCGGGGTTGTATACGGGGCCCTGTCCTACTAATGGTCAACAAAGCTCGATATAGTGAAGCCCCACAGCAACTTACCGTTATGTATGCCATCATCCGCAGGAGGGTTAAGCGTTTCTATGACGGCTTGATAATATCAGAAAGAGCACGAGTATAAAGCTTTAGAGTTGTTTGCTTACATGCCTGCGCACCCCCTGACCCTGGTATCGAACGTTGGTCCAGCGGAAGACTGATAGGCTTTCCTGCCTCAGATGTGATGGAAATGACCCCAGCCTGCTGGTCCTGTTCGGCCGCCCTTTCCTCTTCATCTTCGCCCACACCGTCTTCTTCTCCGTCGTCCCTTGGAGCTCCAACCGCAGCCCCGCTCTGCTCCTCATCCCCTACGCCCACATCTCCATCCACATCCGCACTCACCACATCCACGTCCATATCCCTGCTCACAGCCGCACTCGCAGCCCTCCCCTCAACAGCCCTCACAAACTCGCCCCAAATCGCCTTCTCGTCCCCAGCCATCTCCTCAAACCGCCTCTTCACCGCAGGATCAGCGCGCCGCCACAGCCCGCGATGCCGACACACCGTGCTCTTCACATACCGGCATCCGAACACGCGCTCGAACGCGAGTCGCTGCGTCATCGCGCCGCTCGCGCTGCCGCCCACGAGCGCGTCGACGCGCGCGAGTCCCGCGGAGAGCTCGGAGACGGTGTAGTCGTTCGGCCAGCGCTTTTGTGGTGGGTGCGGCGGGGTGCGTTTGGCCCCGCCGCTGCCGGAGGCGGATGTGCTGGAAGAGGCGGTCTTGGGGGGATCGTGTGGGTGATTGTGGTGCGAGGAGGCGGATGGAGGCGGCGCGTGTGTAGTGCCAGGAAGAGGGTAGAGGGTGTTGCCCTGCGAGGCTGCCAACGCGGCAGCGGTGTAGGGCATGTGGTGCACGGAGTGCGCGTGCGCAATCGGACCAGGAGGGTGATGGGCTGTGTCGTTCACGACTGATGGATTCGCGAGGAGGTGAGGGTATGGTACCGGCTGTGAAGAGAACATGTAGTTCATGTGAGGAATGTACATCGGGTGAACGAAGCCCTCGGGCAGGAGCATCCGCTTCGCCTCGGGTGCATCTTGGCGCTGAGAGTCTGGCGCAAGGCGCTTAAGTGAGCCCTGCTGCACGTCGCTGAGGCTAGAGCTTGCCGCTGTCTGGTTGTACGTGGGCAGTAGCGACGGTTTTCTTCTGGGACCAGGCTGCAATGCAAGCTCGGCCTCGACACCTGGACACTCGGAGTCGGCGAGCCCGCTCAGAAGGCTCTTGCGTATTTTGTACAAGAGGCGCTGCTCGCTTTGAATTGCGCGCACGGTTGAGACTGTATGCTGCTCCCATGTCCCTGTTTGAGAGTTGTATGTATCGACGTAGGACACCTCGGATAACTCGAGGTCGGCCAGCAATGCAGGGAGAGATGCGAGTCGGAAGAGAGGGAACGTGGATACTTCGTGCGTAAGCCGGACTGGCTCATTTCCTGACTGAACTCGCGTGCCACAGAAGTCGCCCATTGTCAGAGACGGGCTCCACGCGATGTGCGCGAGCGAGACGAACCTTGTACCAGACAACAAGCGTGACAGAGCGATTGAGGGATTGTTGCATGAGCGTTAAGCTATCGTGCACAGTCTGCGTATCCGGAGATACGTCTGGTTGAGATGGTTGTTCAGGCTGAACAGGAGTCGGCGAATGTGCGCTTGCCCCAGAGCCCATGGAAGCGGGGTTGTGTGTTGTACGTGGCTGGTCCACATCGTAGAGGGGTATTGACACGGTTAAGACCCTTTGGTTATCCTCGAGCTGGCTAGACATGCGAACTTGAATTTCTGCATGATGATGGTTAAAGGCATTGAAGCTATCGACGTCGATAGATCAGACACTCACTGAGCACTTTAAAGGACCAACTCAGAGACCGATGGCTAATATCCACGGACGACAGGCGGGACCTCCAGCGGGACAAGACACGTAACGGGCATTTCGAACTCCGATACTCCGCAAGGCGGGAGGAGGTCCACAAGCTAGACACTTCCCACGCACTTCCTCAGCTCATGTTCTTGACTTTACCCCTTTCTTTAAGTCTAACATCTAACCTCGCTCTGACCTTGTCTGCCATCCCCGATATCTCTGAGCTTTCTTTTTGCTTTTCGGTCATGGAGGTCCCCCTGGCTAAGAGTCTTATTGTTGATAGGTTCAAGGAGACTTGCGCCCACGATTAACCTTCTCGCCTGTGTAACCCCGCGCTGACATTCATCCAATTTCGTAACACCCACAAAGTCTCCGCCCGCTAACTTCCGCTGACGTCCTGGCCGATGCTCGCGCAGGGTCAGCTGGTGCGGTTATTGAACCTACTATGACATATGCAATAGGGTATATATAAATGGCACAGCGATAGGCGCTGCCCCACATATTCTAATTATCGCCACCATTCACCTCTGGGGCAATATCCACACTCGCCACAATGTCTCTCCCATTCGAATTCCCTAACCTCGACCGCGTTCATTCACTCCTTGCATCCGCAGACACGAGCAGCCTCCCCCTCCTCGCCGCATGCGGCACCATCCTCGTCGCGGGCAGCGCGATCGCGCTCAACCACAGCCGGAACAGCGCATACACGCGCCTGCGCGGTCCGCCGTCCGACTCGCTCCTCTGGGGCGTCTCGCAGAAGCTCCCGCTGACGGAGGCGGCCACCGCGTGGTACACGCAGTGGGAGGCCGAGTACGGGCACGTGTACAGTATCCCGTACACGCTCGGCAAGGAGCGCATCGTGCTGCACGACCCGAAGGCGGTCGCACATTTCTTCACGATGGATAACTCCGTGTATGTCAAGTCGACCTTTACACGGAGCGTCATTAGGAAGATCGCGGGAGAGGGTATTTTGTGGGCAGAGGGGGATACGCATAAGCGGTGAGTCGAAGCTGGCGCAATGTCGTCGTGGGCGCCAGTGCTGATGCGTTGGTTGGATGTAGGCAGAGGAAGGTGCTCAGCCCCGCGTTCAGCAATGCTGCTATCCGCGCGCTCAGCCACGTGTTTTATGACTGCGCGAACAAGGTGACTTGCAGACCCCTATCTTCTAGGTTCAGCATGTTGACTTCATACTCGTGTAGTGCACCAGTGCCTGGGAATCTATCATTCAAGACTCGCCTTCAGGGGCAGCTATCGAAATCCAGACATGGTATGTCCCTCCACCCTGCCTTTTAATCGCTCTGACGGCAACTGCTCCTTCAGGATGAACAGAATCTCGTAAGTAGCGCACTCCATTATCCTCTGCTACTGGGCCAGTCACTGACTCGAATTCCAGCATCGACTCCATCGGCATGGGCGGCTTCTCGCACGACTTCCGCTCGCTCGCCGGCGAAAAGCCCATCGTCGCGCAGATGTTCGACGCGAACGACACCAAATCCTCGTTCATGAACATGGCGCCGATGCTCGCGCTCGTGCTGCCGTTGGTGAACAGGATTCCTGGGCCGTTCGACAGCAAGATCAAGGAGCTGAACGACTCGCTTGAGAGCATTGCGGATGGGATATGGGAAAAGATGAGGCGGGACGCGGGGAGTGAGGCGGTAGAGGAGAAGTCGATTGTTGGGCGGTTGTGTGAGTGATGTTTCTATTGTATGCGATGAGGGTTGTTGAGCAGCTTTCGTTTGGATAGTGCGTGCGCAGGGATCGGATACGAGCTTGCAGCTGTCGAGGGAGGAAGTGTTGGATGAGGTACCTGTCGTGTTCTTTGAATCTGACCTGAAAGTGTCTAACCTCTGTACAGATAAAAGTCCTCATTCTCGCGGGATACATCACCACCTCGAGTAAGCCTCCTGCCCACTCTTGCTCTCTGTCATCCGTGCTCAAACCCCACTCAGCGAGCTTAACGTGGTGCCTGATCGAACTGGCCAAGAACCAGGAAGCCCAAAAGAAGCTCCGCGACGAGCTGAGGAACTATGACACCGACGAGCCCTCGTACGACGACCTCATGGACACCACCAAGCTGCCCTACCTCGACGCCGTCACACACGAGACCCTCCGCCTGCACCCCGCCGCAACCGAGCTCGATCGCGTCGTACGTGTCTCCTCACCCTTCCGAGTCCCCAGCCATAAGCCTCGTCCCTGACCTCCGCGCTTACGCTGCCCCAGGCCGCCGTGGACGACGCGATCCCCCTCTCCACGCCTATCACCGACGCGCGCGGGCGCACGACGGACCACATCGCCGTGCCCCGCGGCACCCTCGTCGCGGTCCCCATCGCAGCCGTGAACCGCTCGCCGGCGTTCTGGGGCCCGGACGCCGCGCTTTTCCGCCCGGAGCGGTGGCTCGGGGGCGCAGCGGAGGCGGGCGCCGCGAAGGACCTCGTTGGGCACCGGCATCTGTTGACGTTTGCGAGTGGGCCGAGGACGTGTATCGGGAAGATGTTTGCGCTTGCTGAGTTTAAGGTGCGCTGTTCTTCTGGTGATTGTAGCACTGTTGATGATGGGGCTGATGCGGTGTTGTAGACGGTTTTGTCTGTTCTTGCAAGAAACTTCGCATTCGAATTCGAGGGTGGCGATGCACAGAAGATTACGATTCTTCGTGGGAGGACTATGCCGGGGCGGATGTTTGTGGGCGAGGATGGCAAGCCGTTCGCGTTGAAAGTTAAACGAGTTTCTGCGTGATTTCTCTCTCTCTCTCATTTACTCTGTCTGCATGAACCCGTTTTGTTTGGTCTCATCCTATTTAATGTGCTAGAAACGCGCTTTATAGCTTGCTCAATGCGCCTGCATCTTCAGTATCAACTACTATCAAGCCTGACATTCCTTTGTTTCAATCAGACTACTATTAGTACCTTATATAATACTTTTTGCAATAATTCTGAGTGGTCGGCACCCTGTGGCTACTTGTTTTCTTGGATATTGCATCACAAGTTGTCCAGCTAATCTTTCGCCTATTCATGCAATTTTATTGCGTGAGAACACTTGGGCCACTGTACGAAGACGGGCTTCTTGTCGCCTTTCCCACGAATGCGAATGGGCGACAAGAAGTCGCGCGGGTCATGTGATCCGACTAGCGGAGGCAAATCTTGACATCGCTTTTCTTTGACAGCGACTAGCGCCGATTATGACCTCACTCACCATCCCTCCTCGGTTCGGACGAACATACAGAGATTCGGACGAGCGGAGATGTTCCCCTACACTTGATGAGCTTTGACGGGGACTCTGTGACTAACAGGCGGTGGGCTTGGGTGTATATACAAGACATGCCTTGCTCCGCTCCGGCTCATGAGCTGAAGGAGGCCACCTAACCCTAACCCTCGGGTGGTCATCACATATAAGCAAGTAAAGGTAAGAATAATTGTTGAAGACTATAAGGATAGAAGCTACGCTTAATCACTCCAATATGTAAAATGTTTGGCCAAGTCTGCATTGAGGTATAGCAAACAATCTAACACAAAATGCGGCAGCAGGACTCCAGATTCCATCACTAAACACACCCGCGGCCGCTCGCTATCACCCTTTGTTAGGGAACATAGAGTACTTCTCAGGCACGGAAGTGATCGGACCAGCATATCATAGATTGGGAATTGATCGACACGAAAGAACATTGATATGTATGCCCAATGTCCCATCAGATTGCTCGAAACGATCACCTTCAATGCCACGACACAATTACCAAGATTTCGAAGGCGCTCTTTTACAGTTAATGCAGACTCCGAGTCATACCAGCTCATGAAGTGTAACATTTGCGGGGAGAAAAGGACAGTGCATGGAATTGGCCAAAGGCTTTGCATAAATATGGGCATACCAAATTAACTAATTGCAAGACATATCTCACTTCGAAAACGAACAGCAGATGTCAATGGCACGGTGGTTATCAAGGTGCAGTCACATTGCACCCATCAAAATCACATCGGAACCTATGCGACGTGATCTTATTGACACCTAAAGCTCGGAGGCCTTGACACGCCAAGACATCACGTAATAATCAAAATAACATACATTGCAACTGAGACAATCTGAACATTCACCAGAACTAATCTACGATGAAACAGACTGTAAATGAGTAATACCATCTACGCGTAAACATGACATCACCCTATGTCACGCAGCTCCATTGCGACAGGAACGTGCACGCCTGCGGTTGACATGTTCGTCGGCGCGTGTTAAGCCGCACATCCTCGAAGGGGCGATGGGTGCGGAAGCAGGCGCGACCTCAACGAGGACGCTCGAGGCGCGTGCAAACCTGCACGCCGGCGCGGCCATAGTGCACGCCGGTGCCAATGGCGGGGCAGCTGCGGAAGGGCCACGGACGTTGGCGCGCTTAGGCGCGCTCGTGTAGGACAATCAATTAGACTAGAGTAAATAAATTTAAACACGATTAATGGGAGTTGATCAGTAAAGTTAGAAATGGAGGGGAGGAATGGAAACATATCGTGGCTACATGCGGAAAGGGGACGAGAGCGATATCAGTCGCATAACAAAGATACCATGGGGGAATAAAATCAAGGAGATGCTGCGTGACGGCAGGAGAGCTCTGATGCGAACAGGTGTACGCTGGGCAAGTGAAACAAACTCAGATACGTAGAAAAGGCGCGTACCATTTCGTAGCCTGATGCCGGACAGGCAGGGAGATAATTGAGCTCCAATGCCGCTGAAAGGTATAAGTCTGCAAGAAAAAGGCGTACCTGCACCATTGTACGGGTTGCAAACCACCTACTCAGGGAAGTACCGGGAGTGCCAGGTATACAGCGGTACGCGTTTACGCGTTTACGCAGGCATGATACTCTGACGCGTGCTTCGGGGGTGTGCGTGAGCTTGCCAAACGCGGGATGCCGGTTCGTGCATGCAGTCGGGCAGCTAAGAGAAAGGGCTTAGTGATGGTTGGGCTGCCCAAGGCGTCTGGAGTGAGAGGGAAAGGGCATCGAGAGACAGAGACCGAGCTGGCGCGGTCAAGCATGAGTTCGCGGCTGGCGAGTTCGGGTCTAGAACAGACATTTTTATCGGTGGGGAGCAGGGTTCGAACGAGAGCGTACCTGCATATCGTAGATCGAAAGGGAGGACGGGGGCGATCGCGGGCGAATTGACAGTGGAAATAGATACAGAGATCAGTGGTACAGAGTCGGGAAGAGCGCAGGCGCCATCTGTGAGTAGGTTTCGTGAGCTCATAGCCCAAAGCGATAGAGGTATGGTACGCACTGCTGCTCCGTGGTCCTGGCAGGGCTCAAATAAGTGAGTGTTGATGTTATTGAACTTGAGTGACGTACCAAGTCTGTGAACGCGAGGATCCATAGTGAGAAAATGGGGAGGGAAAGAAGGAGGGGAGGAAAGGATGGCGACGAACGAAACGGCAGCTCTGGGTCCATTATCTTATCAACGGGAGTATGGCCCAAAAAGGACGAGACTGTCCAGATCGAGAGCGAATCTGATCTGAAGGGGATCTCATCAAGACCACAAACAAAAAACCAAACAAAAGCGGGCAGAAATTTTGAATATACGAGTAATAAGTATCTGCATCCCGCAGATGGGAGCTGGCAGACACTGTTGAAGACTTTGAATCGTCTTTCTAAACCATGGGCATTACTCAATCCACCACCAACATCAGCGACCTCGACTGGCTCAGCTTTCTCACCACCTCTATCGACGACCCAAACGCGCGCCTCATCCTTGCCTTTGCCTCGGCTATTGCTCTAGGCAGTATCGTCTCGGCTGTCCGCTCCCGCAGCAACACCACGACGCGCCTCCGTGGACCTCCCTCTGAGTCGCTCATCTGGGGTGTCGCGAAGAAAGTCCCGCTCACGGAGCACGCCGCGGCGCAGTACACGGCCTGGGAAGCGGAGTACGGGCCTGGCGCGTACCGCATCCCGTTCACGCTCGGTAAGGAGAAGATTGTCCTGTTCGACGCACGCGCGATCGCGCACTTTTTCGCGATGGACAATACGGTGTATATTAAGACGGCGCAGTCGCGTAGTGTGTTGAGGAATTTGGCTGGGGAGGGGATATTGTGGGCGGAGGGTGATGTGCATCGGAGGTGAGTTTTTTGTGCTTCGGCGCTGAGACGTGATTGTCAATGACTGATATAATGTATGATATTTAGACAGAGGAAGGTACTCAGTCCGGCATTCACCAACGCTGCTATTAGGTCCCTCAATCCTATCTTTTATGACTGCGCTTACAAGGTATAGTCATCATTGCATCGTTTACTGTGGAAAAAGACCACGTTGAATTGTGTCCATACAGTGCAAGGACACATGGGACACGCTCACCAAGAACGGGGAAGCGTTGATTGAAGTTCAAGATTGGTACGTTTATGCTGTCAACTGCTTACCTCGACGCGTGCTATACTGATCACATTCAAACGGGTAGGATGAACAATATCTCGTAAGTTTTCAGACTCCACTTGCCATAAACAAACGCGCTCAACCCCCGTCGCCCTCGCAGCATCGACGCTATCGGTCTCGCCGGTTTCTCGCACGACTTCAACACGCTCGGCGGAGACCGTGCCGGCGCCGTGGATGCATTCGATGCCACCGGCGCGAACGCCCCGGCGTCGTTCACGAACATGCTTCCATTGCTGCTTCTGGTCTTCCCGTGGCTAGATAAGCTGCCGAGTCCAAACAAGAAACGCATGAACCAGTTCAACGATGCGTTGAATGATCTCTCGGAGCGCGTTTGGAAGAAGTTGAAGGATGAGGGCGCTGGAGACGTTTCGGAGAAGTCTATTGTTGGGAGGTTACGTGAGTGGTACGGCTTTATGTCTTTAGCGTTGGGGCTCATTTGAGGTTTGAACAGTGCGAGCGGAGTCGTCGGACACGAGTCTACAGCTTTCCAAGCATGAAGTGATCGATGAAGTAAGTTATTCGTTGGAATGAGAGTATAGCGACGTTAGCTGAACTGTTTGAAGATCAAAGTGATGATTATCGCTGGTTACATCACCACCTCCAGTATGTTGTTTTGTATTTGCGCCTTCAACACGCCCTGACACCCTCTCCCTCCTCTTCAGCCAGTCTCACCTGGGCGCTCATCGAGCTAGCGAAGAATCCAGACGCTCAAGCAAGGCTACGCACTGAGATTACCCAGTTCAGCGATGAGGACCCCTCATACGAGGACCTCGTGGGCGACAAGCTTCCCTACCTCGACGCCGTCACACACGAGACCCTGCGCCTGCACCCATCCGTGCCCGAGCTCACCCGTGTCGTACGTACCTCTCCCCTGCCCCATCGCTATCCTGAGCGCTCACTCCCGCCGTGGTTGTGCTATACAGGCCGCCGTAGACGACATCATCCCGCTCTCCGCGCCCGTCACAGACGCATCGGGGCGCACCGTCGACCGCATCTCCATCGCAAAGGGCACACTCGTCGGGTGCCCCATCACGGCTGTCAACCGCTCCCCGGCGTTCTGGGGCGCTGACGCGCTCGAGTTCCGCCCCGGGCGGTGGATCGAGGGCGTCGAGAAGGGCAGCGCGAAGGATCTCACTGGGCACAGGCACCTGCTGACGTTTGCGAGTGGGCCGAGGACGTGTATCGGGAAGGGGTTTGCGATTGCTGAGTTCAAGGTGGGTGTTTTATCCCCTTTTCAAACTTAACTCTTGAGCGGTTAACCTGACTGGGACGTGTGTGGTAGACCGTGCTCGCTGTCCTGGTCAGAAACTTCACGTTCGATATCGAGGGTGGGAAGAGCCACAAGGTCACGATTACGCGTGGGTCTAGTCTTCCGGGGAGGAAGATATTTGGCGAGAATGGGAAGTTTTTGGCGTTGAAGGTTTCTCGAGTTGCTTGAAGCTATGGCTGCTGTTTTAGCTGTTGTCGATGTCGAGGCTTGATTTGCGTGATCTTATGCTAGACTCTTCGGTTACTTTGCTGTATGAATGAGTTTGAATCCAAGCACTTTCATGTTTTGATGTTGAAAACTCCTTCCAAATCGTCGCTGCTGCGCGGTTTTCGGTTATCGTCGTTATGCACTCAACGTCCATCACCACTCTCAGCGATGCACCGTGCCCTACTCATCACTGAACTTCGAGTCCAGATCGAGGATGTTGGTGCGGTTGCGAAGTTGCTGCGTGGGGTTATTCCCGACCTGGAAAAGATCGTTTCGTGGGACGGAAGGTACGGGAAGCGCGATCAGGAGGAATGGGATGCGAACAAGAAGAAATATGCGGGGCGATGGGGCAGGGTGGGGTGTATGTTGCAGCAGCATCGTCCTGTCAAAGGAGGAGCTGGGGGTTTCGGTTGGCTGCCCATAGAAAGCTCGCGTGCGAGTAGGAGTAGGCAACCCAATGAATACGTGGACGGTTAGTATTACGATGATGGACAAGAGAAATGGGGTGACAGCCTAACTGTGAGGTCGAAGGTGGGCGATGGGTCAGAGCAAAAGATCCAAGTAACGAAGATCGTTGTTGGCATTTCAATGTACGGGATTTTAGTAGATTACGGTGCTACGACATACTGTCACTCGGAGCACTCGACACGACTCACTCGCAACGGCGCATCCGCCCCTTTCTCACCCACGATCTTCGGGCGAGGTAGAATACCTCTCGCCAGCTCGACATCGGCCACATTCCCGTCTCTTAGCTCAAATTTGAACTTCCTAACGAGGACACTCAACACAGCCTACCACGCCACGTTAGCACCAATGCCACATACGGATTATCAACAAACCCCGAAACACGCACCTTCATCTCAGCGAGCGCAAACGCCTTCCCAAGACACGTACGCGGACCGTCAATGAACGTCAACAGATGCCTGTGTCCCTGAATCTCGCGTGCCCCGGCGCGCAGCCCGCCAGACTCGAGCCACCGCTCGGGGCTGAACGCCTTCGCGTCGGGCCCCCAGAACTTCTCTGCGCGGTTCATGTACTGGATGGAGACGACGATCTCCGTGCCTTTTGCTACGGCGATGTGGTCGGCGCGCTTGCCGGAGGCGTCGGTGAGTGGTGTGCCCAGGGGGATGATGTCGTCTTTACTTGCCTGAGGAAATTTAAGTCACAAGGGAATACGGGGATAGGGAATGGAGAAAGGCGTACGATGCGAACCGTGTCATGGAATGGAGGATGGAGGCGCAGAGTCTCGAGGACGACTGCGTTGAGGTAGGGCAGCCCATTTGTGAGTTCCTCGTATGTCGGGTCCGTGGTCACGAAGCGAGAGAGCTCCGTTCGTAGCTTGTGCTGACAGTCTTGGTTCTGCGCGATTTCGATCAAGGCCCACTAGAAGGGAGGTTTCTGAGCCATTAAGACGACCTCATAAGTCATAAATGCATACTGTAAGGCTGACTAAAAAGGGTGTATGTAAGTATGAGATCGAAGTCGAGATCAGTAATCAACGTACTTGAGGTGGTTTCATATCCTGCGACCAGGAGCAGCTTAATCTGCGACAGAACCTCTTCCTGGTCCATGCTAAGCTTGGACTCGTGCGACGCTGCCTTGACTAAGGGAAATTATTTTTGGTTAACACGATCGATGACTCGAAACACAGAACGCACCAAGTAGCCCAAGGACAGATCTGTCTCCCTCGCTGCTCGGGGCATCTCCGATGAGATGGTTAGCCACGTCCCCCAGCGCGTTGTTCAGCAGAGGAGTAAGCTTAGAGCGCCCAAAGGACGGCTTCATCACCCAGGGGAAGACGAGGCCTATCATCAAGCTGAATTTGAAGAACAACGAGGGCTTTGTCGATGTGAACCTTTCGAATATATCCGCGACGGCGCAGTGCCTTCCGTCGAGCGTGCCAAAGTCGTGTGAGAAGCCGGCGATGCCGATGGTGTCTAGCCTGCGAGAGCATGAGGGGGTGGCGTAGTGAGATGAGGGAGGGAACACGTACGAGATGCGACTCATCCTATATAGTTGTATATGAGAGATAGAGGGAGACGCAAAAGCAAAGGCTTACCAGCTCTGGACCTCTATCACCGCGCCCGAATAGTCGTCGTCTATCACGGACGACCATGACTCTATCGCCTGATAATAACCATAGGGAATGATATAAGAGGTGCTTAGCGAAGTTCAATAGGGTGAACTAACTTTGTACGCCGAATCGTAGAACACCTTTGTGATGTTACTTATCGAAACGTTGCTGAACGCAGGTGTCATTGCCTTCCTTTGCCTACACGGCAAGGCGCGGTCAGCGAATGGGTAGTGAAAGCTGGAAGAATGGCCATACCTTCGATGGTCCTCTCCTTCAGCCCATATGATACTCCGTCCGGTCTAGACAATCATGAGACAAGGAGCACATATCGTAGAGGCTGCATATGTACAAGCTTCTCAACCAGAATTCTGGCAAACTCCGGTCGAACATACACCGAGTTCTCCTTCGCATAGAAATGAGCGACTGCGCGCGGATCGCAAAGCGCAATGCGCGTAGTTCCCAGCGTAGACGGCACGTAGAACGCAGGTCCATACGTCTTCTCCCAGTCTTCGTACAACGAGCCTGCATCGTCTGAACTGGCGAGGGCCTGCCCCTGACCGAAGAGAAGGTTGGCCCGGGGAGGGCCGTTGAGCTTGGTGGCGACGAGCCGGCGGCGGGTGGACTGGGCAACCTTCATGAGGAGCCAGATGCCGAAGGATATCAGAGAGACGTCAAGGAGACGAAGGAAGGAAAGTTGGTCCATGTGTGAGCGTGGAGGTGAGGGCGAGAGGTGGGTGATGGAGACTCGCTCAGATACAGCTCGTCTTTTATGCAGTCTTGAACGGGCCGAGGGCGTCAGCAGATTGACGCGTGTAGACGAGGAGTTGGTCAGTCCATACGAGGTTTGGGGCGTTCACGACGAATCTGATAGAGCTCTGAGCACCCTTGGAATAGTTATCGTGGTGTCCCTTTGGGTTCCTAGGTATCGGAGCACCATGGCAAGTATTCGCATGCGACTCTGAGACCCACAGGAGACCTGTGGAAGGAACGGTCAGAAATTTCGTGTAGAGGGTGAAGTGGCCGTCTTACGAAGCCGTATGGGCATATATCAAACCCGTCTACCGATGGTAACACCTTCGCTCGTCTTCGTCGTTAATTTCAGAACCCCTGTTCCTGGGTAAACGCCCGTATGATGTTCAGAATGAAAGTGCGCCTGTGAACATACATACTGGGTCCCTCCTTCATCCCGCGAGTGAGTTAGAGGCTGTTCATGTGAGATAAACTTTGCAGGGATGTCTGGGCAAGCTGTGCCCCTCGTAGAGACATACAGCTCTAAAGTCAAGAGATTCGGTCCCATTAGATATGAAGCATGCCGGATGGCCTGGGTGATGGAAGACGACATCACCTGTTAGACGGTGTTGTTTCCTTTTGCATATGGTACAGTTTTGTCCATGTGTATCTGGAATACGGCTTAGGGAGTGGTCATGCTCGAGGCGAGTTCGAATGCGAGTACGTTGACTGAACAAAGACGAGTTACGGATAGTGGACGGTCCGCTGATGTTTAATTGGCCACCAGCGGAAAGTGACAGGAGAAGCGCGTGACCGTGACATCGAAAGTGTCCATCGCAACGCGTTTTTTTGACTCAACCATACAACGCATCATTGCTGCTGCAGCTCACCGTATCCAACAATCACCATGCATTGCGTCCTCCTCATTCAGGAGATCAATCATGTAATCTTTCAACATCTCAATAGCCAAAGAAGCTATGGCCGCCATTCGTACTCGGCCCTACACGACGCAGATTCCTGCGCTGACCGCACCCTTGCTCGTCTCGCACGCACTTGCCGCGCGTTCCAGGCCCCTGCATTGGACATCCTATGGGAGCAGATATATACGATTGATACAATTTTGTGGTGCCTACCTACCGGCGCTTGGGAGAAGGTTAATAAGCCTATGGTATGTGCTGAAGTTTTCTTATCGAGTGGCATTTAGTGCTAACAAGGCGAGACGTAATTAGCGAGGTGACCCCCTCGCCAAAGTTACAGTAAGCTGAAATTACTACTTGCCGTCTCCCATATTATTGATCCTTCAAAGGTCCTAAGGCGCGACTTGACGTCTACCGACTGGGATATCATTCGAAAATACGCACCTCGTGTGCGACACCTCGGCCAAGTCAACTCACCTGTTCACTCCAAATCTCTTTCCCGCCTCTTGTTGGCTCCAGACGACATGTCACCATTGTTCCCCCACTTGAAGGGCGCAAAGCTAGACAACTTTAATCTCAGGATATTGCCATGTCTTCGCCTATTTCTCTCTTCTTCGATAGAGCACATGGTCTACACTGTCGAAAATGTATATGGCCATGCTTGCTCTCAGATCTCTGCCCTATCTTACACCTGTCCTCTAATGAAGAGTATGCAACTGCGTTCTTATGGTCGCATACCTGGAGCAACGGAGGCATTTTCACAGTCCTTGCTTAGCTGGGCTCACCTTGAGACCTTACGGTGCGAAGAGCTCACCGACGATGCTCTAGTTTACCTTGCGGCGTTACCCTGCCTCAAGGAGCTTACTTTTTCAGTCTTGCACAATACCTCTTTTCGCAGACTAAGGTCACGTATTGCCAGAAAACCATTTCAACGCATTGAAGATATCTGGTTCACTGTCGTCGACATGGATCAGGCAACCCAATTTGTATCGGAAATGGGTATCTCTCCTAGCTCGATTAGAGTTTGGTCTCGATACAACACATGCTCATCACGAGCCGAGGATCTCTTCGATGCGGTTGCCAAGCACGCCAGCCCCGTGTTGAAGTCGCTAATCGTTAGCAGCACTGATGAAAGCGAGCTTGCCTCACATCCACCTTCATCTTCCTTCACGGTACGGGCAAATACCCTCTCAATCAGTAGTTTTCGACCCATTTTCAAATGTTCTCACCTTACAAGTCTCCACGTCCACGTTGCTTGTGCTTTGACCCTGAACGACCAAGATCTGATTGAACTTGGTCGTTCACTTCCGTTTCTAAAAGACCTCGACCTGAACACGGGCGTTGGCTCACAGACACCGTCAAATGTGACATTCTACGGGTTCTTCTGGCTCTTGACCCTCTGCCCCCATCTGTACCATATTGGCATTAGCTTCAACGCCGAAGATTTAAGCTCCGTTGACCCTACCTCCGACGTGTTGCCAGAGAAGCGCCCACCAATGCCACCTCCCCATAAAACAGTACTACTCTTCGTGGGCGAATCCCGCATCCAGCACCCTCAAAAGGTTGCGGAGATTCTGGACGTTGTTTTTCCTCGCCTGGAATTTGTCGAATGCTGGGACAGCGAACCTCAAATTCCCTTTGACGCAGAACGATCTGAGGTGGCAGCAGTGCACTCGCGACGCTGGAGGGTGGTCGAGAGTCAGATCAGACGACGCAGGAGAGATCGCAAACGGTTCGAGACGCGGTGGGCGAAGGTGCGAAAAGAGATGAAGAAGCACTTTCGAGAGGATCAAGACGGGGACTCAGGTTCACAGTCCGATGAGAGCGAGAGCGAAAACGACGAGGCTTTAACTGATAGTAGTACATCAGAGGAGGAGTAGCGGTGCTTGAAGGATGACTTGGAGGATGAGGGGCCAGAGAACGTTACAAACGCTGCTAGTTTGATGGACGACGGAAAATAAGCTAGTAGTGTAGACGCCTCCATCTGTTGCCGTAAAGTTGTTAAGCTGTGCTACATAGCAGCAGCATCCCGCTACACCAGTTACTCGCGACATTACACTGTCAATATTCACGCATTCTTTGGTCAGCGTTCACTGCACTCGAGGTGTACTTATCCTTTTCCTCGTGGAAATTGATTCACCACAGGCTGGATTCAGAAGTTATTCAAGAGCGTAACATTCATTTCGACATATAGCTACTTAGTCATCACACAGCTTAAGGAGCATACAGGTAGCCACACAATTCCTCATTTAGTTTCCATATCAAAGGGAGTTCGCTATAGACAAAACGTTAAGCAGCAATGCAAGACTCTCAAGCTCATCCTCGTCTAATTCCCATTGTTATGACACGCTTTTTCTTCTCTTACCTAAAGAGGCAGGACCTCTAACTTGTACGATATATCGGGAAACTGGTCTGTGCGCATTCATATCTTTGTATATAAGGCTCGCTCTGCTCGCCCATGTAACATAAGCTAGTCCTACCTTAGGAATACTAGTCAATTTGATACCACTCTCGATACAACCTAGTACACGATCTGAGACAACCACTAAGACTAAGAACCTCATCGTCGCTGACGACTTATTAAGAACCCTTCGACATCGTCCTCTTCGACGACCACGAACCTTTGACGTCGTCAACTACGGTGACGACTAATATTCCACATAAGGTCAAGACGCAGTCTTAACAAAAGGACTAGCTTCTTCTTAGCTACTACTACGTACGCTACCACAACATTGAGAACGATCAGGAAAACGAACAGGGCTTTGAGCAACTAGCTCAACAACAGTGGCTAACAAACGAACTTGAAAGGTTAAGCCACTT